GCCTATGTAATGAGCAGGTGGTTCGTGATCAAACGAGTAGTAGTAGACAGAGTGGCCGGCATCAGCGTGCAGTCTAGCAGCTTCCAATGTGCTCCAGAATGAGAGATAATCATTCATGAATTGTCTGAAGCTTCCCCGTGTCTCGCAAGTGTCACCTAGTCCACCCTTCCCGATATATTCCGTTATCAGAGCGAGAGCTGCTTTATTAGGATTAGTAAAAGAAAACCCGCTAACAACCTGTATGTACTTCTGAACTTCTTCAACACTTGGACATGTTAGGCCAGTGAACAGAAATGCAGGTGCGGCATTTTCGTCCTGCGCAACCCCCCAAATGACTCCACGTCGTTGATTCTTCCGGCTTTCATCAACTCGAGGGGTTTGTCAGTGATTAAATCACCGTCAACAACGGTCGGAAAAGCAAGGCCAAACGGAGAAGTGACAGTGTTGGACACAAAGTCTGCCACGGGCTTTTCACGGAGACAGTCGATCATGATCTCACTGCTTGTAGTTGGGCATCCTACTTGGATGGCTAAAGCTTCTGCTTTCTCGGATGCACTTGGAAGGACTGGGTTATCGACGGCTGGCGATATGGCAGATGCACTCATCAGAACAGCTCTGTTAAATAGACCATTTGCTTTCTCAGAGAGAATGAGAAAGTGGGTAAGAACTGCGCCTGATCCGTGGCCTTGGACTGTGACTTGTTCTGGGTCACCCCCAAAGCTCCCGATGTACTTATTGACCCATTGAAGAGCAGTTAGGATATCGTGCAGTCCGTAGTTACCAGGAGCTACTTCGTCTTCTGTGGACAGGAATCCAAGAACTCCTATACGATGGCTGATCACCACAACTACAGTTTCAACCTGAGATGCAAGAAGAGTTGCGTCTTGGGTTGAGGAAGTACCTATTACTCCATACTTTGCGGGGTGAATGAAAACCAGTACTGGCAAAGCAGGGTCGTTAGGTTCTTGAGATGGAGAATAGATGTTAAGAGTCAGACAGTCTTCACTAGTTTGATTAAACCCAAGTCGAACCATCCAAGGATCTTGGGTGACATCTTGGGGCAGGCGGGTGGTAGCTTCTCTGGGATACCGAGCGGTTCATCGCCCCACGGTCCTATTTCTTGAGTTGGTTTAAATCGCAAATCACCGAGGGGTGGTTTTGCGTAAGGAATTCCTAAGAACTCAGCAATCTCTCGCCCACCCATTGCCTCGTCAGCGACTCGCACAGCACCAACGACAGATCCTAACACTTCTCCGTCTTGGCTTGAAATCTGTACCGTCTTGGTGTCTGGCTTTTGTTTGGTGCCACTTCTTACAGGAACTTCATAGGAGCAGGTCTTTATATCAGTGAGATCAGTGATGGTTGGGATGAAGTCATTCCAGAAGGTTACTCTATCAGCTTTAAGACGCTGTCCTGTACTAATGTTAGCGTCCAGAATGATGTACGTTTCGTTCTCTGCCTCGAATTCAGGCCACTCAGGTAAACCGGCTCCGTTCGGATTCCTAGACAAAAACAAACAAACAAACAAGCCATTGAGCTAGAGTAATATATATGAGTAAGCCGTTACTTAATGAACCCATTCACCTCCTGGCATACTGTGTACAAACCAATGGGGGTCTTGACCAATATTGAACAAGACTGACAATGCATGTTTCCGTAGGAGGGTTAAGTGTGTTGTTTAGTAACACTGTGATTCGCAGCATTCGAATAGAAAATAGCCAGCTACAAACTAGGAAGGATTAAATCAAACATTAAGTTAAATCAAAAACACTAGTATCACTCATTTTTAATGCCTCTTATAGTTATAGTTAAGAAAAAACTCTTGGAAAGACAGTGTGCAACGAATCAAGACATATACATTTAGAAATTAAAGTAAAAAGTCTCCTGTGCTGAGTATGAAACGCCACTGTATTCTATTACACTGATTTCGAGTTTGAACCGCATATACTGATGTTGAATATGAGATGTATTGAGCCTGACTCGATATGTTAGAATTGGCCATAACTCAATAAATGTTTACCCCATTGGAATTATACGCTATATGTCTCATATTTACCCCATTGGAAATATTTTGTTCGACGATGAAAAGCTATAAATGAACTATATACTTTCCAAACATGTATCGATATTTGCAATATGTATTTTCTTTAACGCTGGAAGCTTAGCGGGTTCGTTTTTTTAGACACCCTGTGGTCCATATCCGTAATTGTATAAAAGACAATAAATATTAATTACCCTTAACCAAAAAAGAAAGTCTCCCCTTCCGATACTTTATTGCCCAACTCAAAAACTACTGAGCACCTCTCGCTCAAATAACGACTAATCAGTACCGAAATTTCTTAGCAATCCAGCCATGCTCTCTGTTTGGCCCAAAACAGTGATAATGTGTACGAATTTATGCAATTTATGACAAAATCATACCGAAAACAGTTGCAATTTTGTATACGTGCAAGTTGTAGTTTACACTCACCTTGCACGCATACAAAAATGCAACTTTTTGGGGGCACCATTTGTCATCAATTGCATAATTGCGTACAGATTATCACTGTTTTGGGCCAAATAAAGAGTATGGCTGGATTTACGATTTAAGGCTTTGCATGGTGGGGTATCGGTATCGTTTCGGTTTGCGGTAACACAATGTGGTAATAACTACTGCTTAGAAGATATTAGTTCTGAAAAGAATTTGTCCTGCTTATTATCAACTTTGCTAAGTAGTTTTTTGTTCTGTTAAGAACAGTCCTGCTGTAAGTTCTAAACGAACTTGTCTTTGATCTCAACGTTTCGACTAGCCTGCTCTAGTCATCGTCAGGAGACTCTGGATTGCTAAGGAATTTCTGTACTGAACAGTGTCGTAGTTTGAGCAAGATGTGCCCAGTAGTTTTTGAATTAGACAAAAAAGTATTGAGGGGGACTTTCTTTTTTGATCGAGTGTATTTATTTACCCATTCTTTGCAAACTGCGACCAGTACTCTATGATGGTGTCGGATAATGACTTCGCTTCCGAGTTTCCTGGAAAGAGGAAGTTAACGAGTCCGAAGACATAGAAGACATCCAAAGCGTGAGGTGCCCCGGGAACACGGTCAGCCAAATCAGGAAGAAGCAAAAACTCCTTACCAGCTTCGTAGTCGAAATAGTAGTAATATGTCTTAGTGTTACCGGCAGATATCATTGCATGTTCATTACGGAAATTGGCGCCAGGAATGTCAAAGTATATGTCGCCGATCACATCGAAGTATTTGAGAAGATTGTTATCGGCGTCATCCAACTTGTCTGCACCAAAATAGAAGGCAATAATTGCATTGGTGATTTCCTGCGGGTTATCACATTGGCATGTGATTGCAATCTGGCTTTGTATGGCATCACGGAGGCCCTGTGCGGTGAAATTATCTGCACTCTGAAAAACAGACCCATCTTGGCTATTAACTCCTAGAAGGAGGTCGTATTGTCCAACACGTGGATGGGATAAGAGGGAGATGATGTCGGTAGGAAGAAACTCTCCATCAACAGTGGCTGCTGTTGTTATAATGCTCGATTGACTCATCAGCTCCTCCCTGGTTAATCCCCGGAGGCAGCTAATCAGATCACGTGTGGTGCTGATACCATAGATAAGGTTGCATCCCAATGATGAGGCAAGATTCCACGCCTGGTACTTGGCTAAATTACCTGGGATTACCAGACCACGGAAAGCCACTCCACTCTGAGAAATCACCTTCTGGAAAAGATTCTTGTCATTTAGTGGTGATGCCATCTGGTAGGTCACGCTCCATGCTCCTGCCGACTCACCAAAGATGGTGATTTGGTCTGGATCACCACCAAAGCTTGCGATGTTGTCTTTAACCCAATTGATGGCCAGGCGTTGGTCCCAAAGTCCATAGTTCCCAGGTGCTGAGTCGTCACCGGTGCTAAGGAAGCCGAAGAGTCCAAGACGATAGTTGATGTTGACTACGATGACTTGTCCTTGAACTGCCATTAGAGTTCCATCATAGAGTGCACCTTCACCGGAAACTAAACCTCCACCATGTATGTAAACCATGACAGGCAAGGGTCCCAATGCTTCAACTACATCGTGAGGGACATACACATTCAAAAACAAACAGTCCTCATCAACATCTGTATTCGGTATAAACACATCAGTGGCAACGTCGGTAATTTGGGGACATTTGGAGCCGAAGGTTGTCGCGTTGAGAACATCGTCCCACGGTGTTTTTGGTGCGGGTTTGGCGAAGCGTCGTTGCCCGATTGGTGGTTCAGCGTACGGTATGCCAGCATAGCGTGTGATGACAGGTGTCGGTACACCTAGTATGCCCAACTTCACGCCCATAACCGGACCCAAGGTGGTGTTGGTTATGACCGTCTGCCCGACTACAAGATGGACAGTCATCAGGCCGATCCAAGTCAAAACAAAACTCGTAAATCGCATCATTGTTGATGATTGGTCTTCATGAGTCGAGAGGGATGGATTTTAGTGCGGCAGTCGCAACGACAGAATGTACGGTTTGAATTCAGTAAACACTCCCTCTGTTTAGCTTGATCGCCTCTCAAATCCAAATATATATTTTTTTCGCAATTGAAGCCTAGTTTGCCCCGTCCTCCTTTTTCATGACTAAATCACACAATAAAGCTTAGCCATAGCGGGTCATGGCCGTTCAATGTGCCAGGCAAATCTACACCATTTTCCCCACTGCATATGATGCATTTGCAATCCATTTCCTTGATGCTTGTGCTGTCAGGGCCACTTTTTGACCTAACCCACTGAGGCATTTCGTGAAGAGTTATTTCTTTGGAAAGTACGTATACCAATGGCGGATTCACAACATAAGAATATAATGCCTAATAATGCATGGGCCTTCACGTGGTACGGTAGGAATTTAGAATGAGATAACATAACTTATATAAGGAAATAGATAGGGGTATGGGTGTGGTTCAGTCACTGCAATGATTTGGGCCCATTCTATTTGAAATCATGACAATTTTTGTATATATAATTTTTTATTCTATCCAAGTCGGATCTACTGCAAACCATTAAAGATACAGACATCAGAAGCCAAATGCTGGATTCCTACGCAGTAATAAACTGATATCGGAGTATAATGTATGAACTTATTTACAATCTTTTGATATTCCTTTGGTCAAACACATTAATCTGTTACCCTTTTATTTAGAATTTCACTAGTGACTAGCAATTTCACTGGAACTCTACCTTTTGCGCATGCTCAATGAAGTATTGTTGTCACCGGCACCTTGTCCAGAAAGTTATTTGGGATTAAGCGACGGCCCATTGAATTTATATGACCTTGCTGGCTTTTTATACAAACACAGTGAAACTGCTGTATTCTTTCCCTGATCTACCCTGCGTCTTTGAATAAGTGGCGATTCTTCTCTCTCAAAACTTTGTTTAGCAAACAGTGAACACATATCATGCTTTTATTTGTTATTTATTTATTTATCGTTTTATTTTACCAGGGTAGTGAGTCCCATCATTTATCAAAGAACTTTTCTCCCTGGGGGCCTGGTATCAATTTGTAATCAATCAATAACATTTAACAGATTCAGATGTTAAACAGCATGTGTCCAATTCCTAAACATCAATGTTCAATAGCTAAACACTATCCATCCTTACTCTAAACATTCTCGAATTCCTATCAATTGAATGCACAATCTGTGGTTATATAATGTACGCTTTAATCGAACATTTTTAAAGCTATAGAAATCGAGATATATTTGATTCAATTTAAATTCATTTAAAATGACATGCAAACGAGGTTTGAAATTTAATGTGTTTATGCGGGTGAAAAATATTTATTAATGCGATTACATATTTAATTTAATGTGACAGTTAAGTTCACTGTTTTTTCATTCAAAGGATCCGTTGCCTGATTGTTGAGATACTTACGATATCAAAGTTAAGACATTAATTATGCCAGATCGTAACCCCTCAGCTGCCTGGAATATGCCATTGCAGGTAGCTCAACGTCCACTGACCGAATTGTCACAAACTATCGTATTTAGGAATAAGTAACATTCGGTTCAGATTAAATACAACATGCCCCTCTTGCTGCAGATGATACACAATTGGAATATTTAATAAAAAACACAGTTTATGCAAGATTTCAATGCTCAGTTCCTACCTCATATCTCTCTAGAATTACGCACTGTGTAGCGAAAAGCTAGTCCTACATTTTGTACACAGTGTATATACGCCTAGTCTATACATGCTTACAATAATCATTATTTCGCATACCGGAAAATAGTATCATAATGATGTAAAATGAGAATAAAAAAACTATACTGAGTAAATGAAAGTGGAGCGTTTCGATGTAAAGGTATAAGAATTGCATACCTGCGAATAAAATACTCCAGATTTTAATAAGGTCAGTTATGTGGTAACAAGCATTGATATCATATAATACTAAACTATACTATAATACTTTTGTTCCAGTTTGGAACAAAATAGGTTCAAAATATATGTAATAAGATTCAACAAGGACGGTTGCTGCCCTAAATCCGTTTTAAAGGAAGTTGTAAAGCGGATTTATGACAGTCCAGATCCGTTTTAGCGGCTAAACGATATGCTCGAAATCCTAGGAATTGGCAATATTATTCCTTTTTTGTGTGTAAATCATTAAGATATCCTCATTTAACGTACCCCGATTGTGTCGATGTCAAACACTCAAAGCTTTGAATTAAACTCTTCTCTCTCAGCAATATCCAAATAATTCGGCCTGCTCTTTCCCATCTCTCCCTGGCTCCGAGTCTCAATCCCACGTGCTCGAGCCCTGTATGCCAAGCAACCCCCTAAGAAGAAGACAGCCAACACCAATGCGCCTATCACTGCTCCTATCAGAGCTTCAATGAGGGTACTAGCCTCCTGTGAGGTAAGCTTCAAGCCAATACCCTCACCGACGAGACAAGGTTCAGGGTCCGGTGGGCAGGGAGTAACCTCAGCAGGTGGAGTGACAGGTGCAGTGATGGACGGTAGGTAGCTTGCCCAGAACTGAAGGAGATGTTGCCAGTTGTTGTCGTTGCCTGAGTAGGCTTGGGGACAGTCGGTGAGTGACATGTACATCAGGTTGATAGAATCGAATGCTGGCCACTCCACTCCAGACAGCGAAGTACCCGGAGTCCTATAGAAATCATAACACAAACAAGAAGGTGCATGATAGCTTTATTCATCATTGATAACTTTTTTTATGTATGCCTGTCTGCATTATTTGCATGGGTGTACACGTGATGGCAGTCAAGAGGCGTAGATGGGGCGCGTTCTGTAACCAAATATTATTTAGGTGTGTGTCATCATTAGTGTTTCTGTGATTCATTAATGGGCCAGTTTTCTAAATTCTCCCCAGTCCCAAGAACCTGTGAAAAAAAACAGTCTTGGTTCTTGATCTTAATGATAGAGGATGATATTTGAACAAAATTGAACAAGTTGTTATGGCTTTAAAAAGGTGTCATCAATTAATGTTGTTCTCTGACTTGTCTAGGTCTTAGAGGTGCTTGGTATGGAACGATTACTACAAACTATAGGGTATATCTTACCCAGTGTGGATGAAATTCTTCAAGAATGCCATCAGCTCCAAGGTAAACTGCTTATCTTGTAGCGTGTAGGATAGCTGGAGTTTATCCACGAGAGGACTGTATGGATCTCCAAACAGGAACTGCAGATCATCTGCCAAGGCGGGTCCTGCTTGGGGTGGAAGTGGGCCTATGTAATGAGCAGGTGGTTTGTGATCAAACGAGTAGAAGAAGACAGAGTGGCCGGCGTCAGCGTGCAGTCTAGCAGCTTCCAATGTGCTCCAGAATGAGAGATAATCGTTCATAAATTGTCTGAAGCTTCCCCGTGTCTCGCAAGTGTCACCTAGTCCACCCTTCCCGATATATTCCGTTATCAGAGCGAGAGCTGCTTTATTAGGATTAGTAAAAGAAAGCCCGCTGACAACCTGTATGTACTGCTGAACTTCTTCAACACTTGGACATGTTAGGCCGGTGAACGAAAATGCAGGTCCGGCATTTTCGTCGTGTGCAAGCCCGAACATAACAGCAACGTCGTTGATTCTTCCGGATTTCATCAACTCGAGGGGTTTGTCAATGATTAAATCACCGTCAACAACGGTCGGAAAAGCAAGGCCAAACGGAGGAGTAACAGTGTTGGACACAATGTCTGCCACGGGCTTTTCACGGAGACAGTTGATCATGATCTCACTGCTTGTAGTAGGGCATTCCAGTTTGATGGCTAAAGCTTCTGCTTTCTCGGATGCACTTGGAATGACTGGGTTATCAACAGGTGGCGATATGGCAGATGCACTCATGAGAACAGCTCTGTTAAATAGACCATTTGTCTTCTCAGAGAGTATGAGAAAGTGGGTAAGAACTGCGCCTGAATCGTGGCCTTGGACTGTGACTTGTTCTGGGTCACCCCCAAAGCTCCCAATGTACTTATTGACCCATTGAAGAGCAGCCAGGATGTCGTACAGTCCGTAGTTGCCCGAAGCTACTTCGTCTTCTGTGGACAGGAATCCAAGAGCTCCCAGACGATAGTTGATCACCACAACTACAGCTTCAACCTGAGATGCAAGAAGAGTTGCGTCTTGGATTGAGGAAGTACCTATTACTCCATACCCAGGATGAATAAAAACCAGTACTGGCAAAGCAGGGTCGTTAGGTTCTTGAGATGGAGCATAGATGTTAAGAGTCAGACAGTCCTCATTGGTTTGATTAAACCCAAGTCGAACCATCCAAGGATCCTTTGTGACATCTTGCGGGCAGGCGGGTGGTAGCATCCCTGGGATTCCGAGTGGTTGGTCGCCCCACGGTCCTGTGTCTTGAGGTGGTCTAAATCGCAAATCGCCGAGGGGTGGTTTTGCGTAAGGAATTCCTAAGAACTCAGCAATCTCTCGCCCACCCATTGCCTCGTCAGCGAGTCGCAAAGCACCAACGACAGATCCTAACACTTCTCCGTCTGGGCTTGAAATCTGTACCGTCTTAATGTCTGGCTTTTGTTCGGTGCCACTTCTTACAGGGACTTCATAGGAGCAGGTCTTTATATCAAAGAGTTCAGTGATGGTTGGGATGTAGTCATTCCAGAAGGTTACTTTGTCAGCTTTAAGACGCTGTCCTGTCCTAATGTTAGCGTCCAGAATGATGTACGTTTCATTCTCTGCTTCAAATTCAGGCCACTCAGGTGAACCGGCTCCATTTGGATTCCTAGACAAAAATAAAATAAAAATTAAACCATTGACCGTATATGTACATAACTCTTGAAAGACATAACATAACAATGCATAACATCAGAAATTATAATATAATGTCACTTGTGCTGTGAATGAAACGCCAATGTTTACCGACACACTAATTTCGAGTACTGACGTTCCAGTGTGATACCTCGTGGAACGAGTAATACGAAAGACGACGAACAGTTACGGTCGATCGCCGTGTTTTTAAAGCAATGCAATACCATATAATTATTTACCCATATTTTGCAAACTGCGACCAGTACTCTATGATGGTGTCGGATAATGACTTCACTTCTGAGTTTCCTGGAAAGAGAAAGTTAACGAGTCCGAATACATAGAAGACATCCAGAGCGTGAGGTGCCCCGGGAACACGGTCAGCCAAATCAGGACGAAGCAAAAACTCCTTACCAGCTTCGTAGTCGAAATAGTAGTAATATGTCTTAGTGTTACCAGCAGATATCATTGCATGTTCATTACGGAAATTGGCGCCAGGAATGTCAAAGTATATATCGCCGATCACATCTAAGTATTTAAGAAGATTGTTATCGGCGTCATCCAACTTGTCTGCACCAAAATAGAAGGCAACAATTGCATTGGTGATTTCCTGCGGGTTATCACATTGGCATGTGATTGCAATCTGGCTTTGTATGGCATCACGGAGGCCCTGTGCGGTGAAACTATCTGCACTCTGAAAAACAGACCCATCTTGGCTATTGACTCCTAGAAGGAGGTCGTATTGTCCAACACGTGGATGGGATAAGAGGGAGATGATGTCGGTAGGAAGAAGCTCTCCATCAACCGTGGCTGCTGTTGTTATAATGCTCGATTGACTCATCAGCTCCTCCCTGGTTAATCCCCGGAGGCAGCTAATCAGATCACGTGTGGTGCTGATGCCATAGATAAGGTTGCATCCCAATGATGAGGCAAGATTCCAAGCCTGATACTTGGCTAAATTACCTGGGATTACCAGGCCACGGAAAGCCACTCCACTCTGAGAAATCACCTTCTGGAAAAGATTCTTGTCATTTAGTGGTGATGCCATCTGGTAGGTCACGCTCCATGCTCCTGCCGACTCACCAAAGATGGTGATTTGGTCTGGATCACCACCAAAGCTTGCGATGTTGTCTTTAACCCATTGGATGGCAAGGCGTTGGTCCCAGAGTCCGTAGTTCCCGGGTGCTGAGTCGTCACCGGTGCTGAGGAAGCCAAAGAGTCCGAGACGATAGTTGATGTTGACGATGATGACTTGACCTTGAACCGCTATGAGAGTTCCATCATAGAGGGCACCTTCACCGGAAACTAAACCTCCACCATGTATATAAACCATGACAGGCAAGGGTCCAAATGCTTCAACTACATCGTGAGGGACATACACATTCAAAAACAAACAGTCCTCATCAACATCTGTATTCGGTAGAAATTGATCAAACTGTGAAGAGATAAACACATCAAAGGAAACGTTGGCTTGGGGACATTTGGAGCCGAACGTTGTCGCGTTGAGAACATCGTCCCACGGTGTTTTTGGTGCGGGTTTGGCGAAGCGTCGTTGCCCAATAGGTGGTTCAGCGTACGGTATGCCAGCATAGCGAGTGATGACAGGTGTCGGTACACCTGGTATGCCCAACTTCACGCCCATAACTGGACCCAAGGTGGTGTTGGTTATGACCGTCTGCCCGACTACATGATGGACAGTCATCAAGCCGATCCAAGTCAACACGAAACTCCTAAATCGCATCATTGTTGAGGAATGATGTTAATTCAAGAAAAGCATGGATTTTCTGCGGCAATCGCAACTTCAGGACTAAATCACACAAAACAATAGCCTTACTGGGCCAAGGACTTTGATGGCAATCCATTTCCTTTATGCGGATGTTATCATGGCCACTTCACTGACGTCATAAAAAACGCGACATTTCTTCGACATTGAGTCAAGTGCACAAAGAATTGGGCTCAAATTGAAAGTACGTACCGGTAGTGGGTCACAACGTAAGAATAATAATAGGCTTTGCATGGTGCGACTTTCACATAATTAGAATAATAAGATATAGGAACGCAAGGGAATAAATAGGGTTAAGGTATGGGACTGTCACTGCATGATTTGGGCTCATCCATTTGAAATCATCTACATATTTATATATGTTTTTTTCATTTGAAATCGTGTATAAATATACGTTTGAACATTCTTACGATTGCAGTGACAAGTAGGATCTACCCTAAAGCAACTAGATACATCAAGAGCAATTTGCTGGATTCAAAATTGTACCGAGGCAACAATAAACTAATTATGCGTATCATGGCATGAACTTATCTACAATTTCATATTCCTTCGACCCGGCCCGCAGGTGATTATGAATGCGTGTTTTATTTAAGTGTTTTAACAAGAGAGCAGAAAAAGATCTGTGATCGTTATATAAAGGTATGCTTCATTTTGTCAAACACAAGACACTGCATGCAAATGCGTATTATATTATATAAGTGCTAGAACAAAACAGAAAATTGTAGACAGATCTGTAGTTGAAATCGTCTCATTTTTGTCAGTCGATTAATTTTTTTTTTTTGTAAATCCGTTTTATACTAGCAAAGTTATTGCATGTTTCCTCAATATGAAAGAAAACGAAGCGAGGCTAAGCGAAGTTTACCAACCCGAACCAGGATGTTTACCGTTGACTCACCTTTTTCCCCGGTTCATAAAGGCTCAAGTTTATTGGCTTGCGGTATTCAAGCTTTGGACAATGACAATCTTTCCCGCGGTGGTTGTATTTCCTGAATAAAAAAAATGGCTTCCAAGGCCTGCAAGGCACTGAAAGTTTACAATGTATAGGTACACATGTAACAACCTTGGGGGGGGGAATTTTTTTTTTTTTTTTGTCATTTTATCCGGGCCATGTGCGAATCATAGTAAAGATACATTTTGTCATCCATTCATATACAGTAGTGGCACCTTGTGACAAACTCCAGCGGGTTGCAATTGGATCCCATGCGAACTGTATTTATAATAAGGCACAAAATGAAGAAATATTTCCAATTATGACTCCTTGGGAAAACAAAGAGAAACTGTAAATGCTAAGTGATCAAATAACCAACCCGAGACCCAGACCGACTATCCAGCAATCATGTCAAATGAATGATTTTCATTTCTATCCGTTACTCTGTTATTGAGAATTTCACTGGACACTAGCTTAGTGAACTCTTGCCTTTGCACCTTTGCCTTTGAGAAGATGGAGTCCAGTGAAATGATTTGACCTTGTTGGCTTTTTGTAAACACTGTGAAACTGCATTATTCTCGTAGCGACATCAGCCTGTCGTAGAGGGCGCTATCATTGCAGTCCGAAGCCAGCTTGCTTTAACCGATGTCCTGAATAGCACTTTAAAGTGAGATGCATATCTTTCTGTAGATACCGTGTATTAAGCTCATTTTGAGCAGTTGGAAATACAGTTTGGAAACAAGTAAATGTTAGAAAGTACAATCAATAAAACAACTTAATTACTAATACTTTAATAATTAAAATCGCTTTTTGTACGCTTCCCTGTATCGATTTCTTATACGTGTTAGAAGACATTAAACGCGCCACGTGTTAATAAGGAAGTCCAAAACCTATGCAGGCGTATATTGTAATGTCAGTTATTGTCCTTTAAAGGGAATGCACATCATTGGGTTTTGCTATAATTTTCAGAAATAAACTATTTGAGGGGTTAGTATAATAGATCAAATATTGTTACACTGACATGTTTGAAGTTTTGTGTTCGAAAATGATGGGGAAAAAAACAAGAAAAACAAAAACGTTCAAGTAGTCTGGTTTCCTGACTCCACTAAAGTTGAAATGGATCAATTTATAGATGCCAGAAACCCGTTCATGTACATGTAACCAATAGCAAACAAAATTGGACTGCAAAAAAAATTGGTAAATTTGGAGCAGTAGTTGAACTTAATTAGTTTTTTCCAGCGGTGGTCGGCCGACCACCGTTGGAAATGTACACACAAATACCACTTTTCTTGAAAATGACTTCACACCAGGTGCCATTATTTTACACTATCATTTACCAACATCCTAGTAAGGTATTTCGATGTTTGCAAATGTTGTATATTCCCTTTAATAGGCCTAATAAACTTTGCAAATATACAAAGGTCAGTAATATACTGCTTCTTTATCAATACCACGAGGATATACTAGCCGTTGAGTTTCTTTTATTACTTTAATCAAACTAGTTTTCAGCCGATAAGCTCAAGGGCTTCGGGAAAGCTCAAAATAGGTTAGGTTTACAGACGCAAAGGTTAATTTGCTAGACTTCGTGCCAAAATCACGAGATAACCAACAAGTTGTTTTGCAGCCCTTTGCCATTTCTAATGAATCATTGACTAATTCGTTATAAAGACTAAAAAAGGCAGATATGCTCGGTGGGCAATTTTAATATTAAGGAATGCAAACACTTCTTCACGCATTCAGTGGAGTCCAAGGATAGACTGCCAAAATGCCGATAGTTTTTCCAACGCAGATTGTTCTAGCTCTGCTTGTCGTTTTCAGTCTCAAAGCTGTTCCTGCTGTCGAGACTGAGTCCAGTGGTCCAATTGCTAACACAACATGTGGCTTGGTGATGGGAACAAGACCAGTGCTACCATTCCTCGATGGCAATATCACCACCTACCTTGGAATCCCCTATGCTGAGCCACCAACTGAAGATCGTAGATTTACAAAACCGGTTCCCAAGAAACCATGGCAGGGCGTTCTTAATGCGGTCGCCTACGGGCCAATGTGTCCACAGGTAACCTCAGACCCAACGGATATCATGGATGAGGCTTGCTTGTATCTGAATATCTTCATTCCGGATGATGCAGTACGAATCCACGGACCGTTACCCGTCATGGTTTGGATTCACGGTGGGAGCTTCACCAGTGGTAAGGGAGATACCTACCTTGGGTTTATGCTGGCAATACAAGGTGGAGTTGTCGTAGTCAATCTCAACTATCGTCTCGGTTTACTGGGGTTCCTCTCCACTGGCGATGATGCAGCTCCTGGTAACTACGGACTCTGGGACCAGAAACTGGCCATAGAGTGGGTGAAAGACAACATCGGGAATTTCGGTGGAGATCCTCAGCAGATCACGATCTTTGGTGAGTCTGCTGGTGGGATTAGCGTCTCGTTTCAGGCCATCTCGCCAGCTAATAATCGTAACTTGTTTCAGCGGGTTATTGCACAGAGCGGTGCGGCTGATGACACGGTGGTCTTACGTAGTGACGCATGCCGAGCTAACGCTGCCAAAGCCGGTTCACTTCTCGGGTGTGATGATATCCAGGCAGGCTATGAGTTTGTGGACTGTCTACGTGAAGTTCCAGCCCAGAGCTTTGTTGATATCCAGGCCGAACTGGGTCTGTTTGGGCCGTGTCTGGACGGTGAATTTCTTCCCGATTATGCTGACAATCTTCTCAATTCCCCACATTTTGGACAATATGATCTTCTCCTTGGGGTTAATAGTGACGATGGGTCATATTTTGCTATCAACCCAGATGGCATCAACAGCGCCACCTTACGGGCTCAAGTTACTAATTTCTTCAGTACCTCCTGTCGCTGTGGCAACATCGAAACACTGTCAGACGCAGCACTGTTTTTCTACACTAAGGGCGCCCTCGATGATACAAAAGCCAATCAGAAATCCTTAATGGTGTTTGGCGGGGACGCGTTATTCTACGTGCCGACCGTGAATTATCTGCATAGCCACTACAAAGCATCCGAGTCATCCCAGTATGGAACCAAGACGTACTTCTACTACTTTCCTATGGCGCATTTCCGGGATGACTTCATCCCACCAGGTTTCGAGGAGTACATCGACGGAGCCCCACACGCTGCTGATCTACCCTACGTCTTCGGTTTAGTGACGATTCTACCCTTCCAACCAGATGCTGCAAAGAACTTGAGCTTACAGATGATGACATATTGGACTAATTTTGCTAAAACTGGGTAAATATCAATTTATCGACTAAGAAGATCAACGATAAACACCCTATATTCTAATGTATCCCATGCGCACTTCCATTCTCAGTAAATCCTTGGTCAATTTTGCCAGGTTTTCGGCATTAAGTTAAAGATGTACATTTAATTTGAAAATGTTTTGCACATGCACTATTTTTGGCAAGAAACCGACTTCCTACAATTGCTCGTAACTATCTTTTTCTCAACAGAGATCCCAACTCAAATGGCCTCCCAGTCTGGCCAAAGTGGGACCCTAATAACGAGGAGTACATTATTCTTGATGCCACCATCTCCACCGACCAGCACCTGGTGCAGGATCGAATGTCCTTCTTTCGTGACTACATCCCAGAATTGACTGAGGTGACTGACCCCAACACCTGTTCCCTGAATGCTCCAAAGAGGAGCATAGTACCGCAGACGGATGGAGCAGTGCAGGTAGATATCAAAGCTGAAGATGGACATATCTTTGGTACAGTGATCGGTTCCTTAAAGAAGGCAGACGGTGCGATGGGAGGACATGACGTGGGCGAGTTCCTCGGGATCCCGTACGCCAAGCCACCTGTGGGAGCCCTTCGATTCCAGCCTTCACAAGAAATGTCAGCACTTCCTGATGATCCCCTGGAGCTTACGGTCAAACCACCAGCTTGCCCTCAGGTCCTTGGCAATGATCCCTGGATGATGGGAACTGGACTGAATGAAACAAATGAAGACTGCTTAACTGTCAATGTCTATGCTCCAAGCACGCCCTCTAGTGATCCGAATATGCCTGTTATGGTTTACATACACCATGGGTATGGTCTTTACGGCACAGCCTCAGCATACGATGCCACCACTCTTTCCTCCATGCTCGAAGCAGTTGTTGTTGTCGTCAACTACAGACTTGGAGCTCTTGGTTTCCTGAGTACAGAGAACAAGGATGCTCCTGGCAATGCTGGGTTGCATGACATTATCACAGCTCTTCAGTGGATCAACAAGTATATCGGAAGTTTCCAAGGTGACCCAAGACGTGTTACCGTCACCGGCTACGGTATAGGGGCGTCCTTTGTTCATCTTCTCTCTGTCTCTGAGAAAACCAAGGGTCTGTTTGATCGAGTTGTTTTGATGAGCGGATCAGCATTCACACCCATGGTGAATAATCCACAGATGGATCCGCTTGCACAGGCAGCTACCGTAGCTGAAAAGGTCAGTTGCCCAACTGATGGTAGAGCTATGTTAGACTGTCTGCAGGAGATACCAGTAGAAAAGGTGGTTGCCAACACTCCTCGGGATGACTTGTCTTTCTCCATGGCATTTCCACCCGTGGTTGATGGGGACATTCTCACAGACACTCCAACCAATTTGATAAAAGCTGGTAAGGTCAATGATGTCGACTTCATCATCGGAATTACTCAGAGTCAAACAGATGGCATAGTCGCTAGTCTTTTAGGAGATGACTGGGAAAGGTGTCCGAATAAAACTGAGGTCCAAGGGTTGATAGAATTCGTTATTGGGAAGCTATTCCAGAACAAACAGGACTTAATCTCGCTTGCCGCTATGAGCGAGTACCTAGAGGGTCATGAACACAATCCAAGCCCGTGTCTGGACCGGCAACGTCTCAACCGATTTATGCTAGACGTACTCGCAGCCGTGCCTTGCACCCAAGCAGCTAGATACCACTCTAACACCAACAACGATGTGTACATGTACACGTTTGATCAAGAGCCAAAGTATCACTACAATCCTCTACCATCCTGGACTGGCCCTGCCTTGGGTGATGATCTGCAGTATCTCTTTGGGTTCCCCTACTGGCCCATGGCGTCATACCCACTGACAGAAAACCCTGCCTACAGAATGAGCGACAGGAAGACGAGTCTAGAGTGGACAACAATGCTTTCAAACTTCATCAACGATGGGTGAGTGTATATCATTTAGGAACCTAACACCATAAATGGCAGAAGTGACATGATGAGGGAACTATTCCTCATATTCCCGAATATATTTTAACTTGTTATATCTTCTCAAATTAGTGTTAAAATCTTCCACCGTATTGGGAACTTAAACCAGTTTTCCCCTCTTATTTTATAGCTACCCCGGAGAGTCTCTTTCCGGTGTCGAGTGGCCTCGCTATAGCGCCCTCAACGCCAACCACCTGGCATTGGACTCGTGTCCAGAGGTTCAATCCAACCTTGTGGAGCACACATATCGCTTTTGGAACGAGGTGATTCCTTCTTTGGACGTCTCTCCAGACGCACCATCGATGAAGCCAACCCAGCACCCTACACCAGAGCCTTATATTGATGGAGGTTTAGGGTTGAAGTTGTCTCCTGATGAGGCTAACATGCTGATCAAAGCACTCTTTGGGACTAGCATTTGTCTAGTGGTCTTGTGTCTAGCCTCAGCTGTAGTGATCATAATGCAACGATTGAAAACAAAGAAAGCACCAGATCATGCTTATCCTGAATCAGGAGATAACGTGTACGATAATCCAAGCAAGATAGAAATTAAATCTCTTTGAAAGAAAAAAATGACATATTTGCAGTTTTAACAGTTTGCATCATAGATGTAAATAATTATCAATAACCAATAATATTACGTCTTAGCTTTTTGTAAAACATTTTTTTTTAAAATAATTATTTAGGAGTTTTAGAAGTTTATTTTAGCTTTTAGAATACAAAATACAATGTAAAAGGATTGATAATCAACATCTACGCTGCAAAGCACATTATAATAATGTTTTAGTGATTTAAGTAAGCATATGGGCGTCGCCAGGATTTTTTTCCCCCCAAACCCCTATATTTTCCAGCATTTTCCCGATTGATAATTTGTTCGAGGGTGGGCAGGGACATTATTCCCCCCACCCCATTAAATTAACAATTATGGCTTCGGGTCTCTCTTTCTCCCCCCCCCCCCCCCCCCCCCCCTTTTGGGGCTGCTCCGGGGGCAGCGCCCCCCCCCCCCCCCCGCGACGCCCATGCAAGTAAGCCTCGATATTACAGTCACGTCTTTATCTGTATGTTATGTTCACCTACATGTATTTAATTTGCATATCATTTTCAATGGTGGCATGTTTGTGTATTCTTTCATAATATTACTGCGATTCTCTTTTTGCACTACAAAGTATATAATGTTACCTTTTTCATACATATTTCATCTTATAATCGGTAGGATTATTCAAATACATCAGAAATACTGTAAAATTCATCAGTATTGAAGAGTCATGAAGAATAACTTGAATGCATTTCATTTATTTTCCAGTGACACATTGTCGGTTGCTATCAAAGTCTGTTGAGAGACATTAACGTTTTAAAGTATCAATTTCGAGCAGATTTTGAAAAAATTATTTCCCAGTCCTAAATTGTCTATCGATCTTTGAGTTTATAACCAATAACATACAATAATCGTTAGTTGAACACTACGGTTGAACATGTTGTGTGTGTGATAGTTCGCGATCTTGTACCTCTAATGGCTCATTCTTCCAGTGGAAACGTCACAATAGACTGCATAACGTGCGAAGGAGTGCACGTGGTACACAGTATGTTCGTCATCGTGACGCGCGCGTTTTGCACGCGTAACCAAAGTATCATGTCATTGAATCGTCTGCAACACAACATAGACTTGAATTCCTGTCCAGTCATCCATCTTACAGTGATAGATAATCCAGGGGGGTTTGCTATGGTAGAAACTGTATGCTGGAATACCCGACAAAGGATTCATGAGTTTCTAACTACTGTCATTTCAATCATGAACTTGTTGCTACAGTTGTTGTCCTAAATTTCCGGACTTTTTAACCGTGCTTTCGCATATGAATGATGTCTTCTACTGGTGATAATCTGAATTTACACGATGACCAAGATTTCATAGAGAGTTTGCAATCAGCCTCAGGCTGGACTGATAACCCGCCAAAACTCACCAAGTCCCAAGCTCCTAGTTTGTCTACTATCATGGAACATGAAGACAAGGCTACAGCGTGGCGGACAAGAAATATGGATTTGGGTGAATGTGATGATGAAGATTCCGGTAAGAATTCCCTTTTTAAAATTAAAATGGAAACTTTATTTTAACGCAAGATTATTAAATGTATGTAACCATACCATTATAATGCCAACACGTCAGCACTCACAGTAATTAGCAAAAGGGGGGAAATCAGCAGCAACGATAAATCACTATCAAAGCTCGGAATAGTACAATAATTAAATTATATTTGCCCCTTGACGTACTCCAATATTTCTAAATTCAAAGGAACTGAAAACCGCCCGGCATTGAAGTTAAATTTTGCATGTGAAAATGTAATTACGATAAACGTCCATTCAAACGTGATGGGCCTGCGTTCTCACCCAAAATTAACAAAGTTGAATACGTTTAATAAATATTAAACAAAATCCATTTCATAAGAGCTTTATTTGCATTATTGTTTCCCTGTTATGAATTATTACAGAGCCGGAGCTTACTCTTGATATTGAGCTTGAGGAGGGATGGGAGAAGGAACCACGTCCTACCGCAGCTGAGTTGGCCAGTGACTTCGAAGGAGGAGCCGGGGATAACATTGAAGATGACATATCAACCTATTGCCGCAACTGGGTGCTACCTCCATCAACCCGTACCGGTAGTTTGTATCGTCGATCACCAACTACACCCATCATGATGATATCTCAGTCAGTTGGTCCAGGCAAACTAACAATCAACACGTACGGAAATGATTTACCTTTGGTTGAAGACCAGCTTGGTGTCACCTCTCCAGAGTTTATGATGTACACCCCAGCGGCTACCCCTCCCAAGAAGCGGTCCGTCTTGCTTCAGACATCAGCGAATCCCATCCTGGCTGCTAGAGGGAGGAAGCTTTCAGCCCGCCCTAGGGACATCAGCTCCGGACGAGGTCAAGACTCGCGCAGCGATGCTGGAGATGCGAGCATCAGAATGATTCCACGACCGGAAGGTTTCATCATCTCAACTTGGATGGAGAGGAAGGTAGTTTCTTGTCGTGCAAAAAGCATCAATGTCGGCAGCTCTAGGTCCAGTGCTTTTCCTTGGCCGTCTTTTTCCATTCTTGACGAGGCACTCTACTTTGATGATAAAGATGAAATCATCAAATATCCCAGAGACATCAATGTCAGGAAGTCCAGGTCTCATCCATGCCTTCCGAACAGGACTTTTTCTGGATATCAGTCTCGCAATGCGTCGTCAGCAACATATCTGGTAGATAAAAGGAACGTTTTTGAGGTTGAGGCTGAAACATCATCCAAACTTGAATGTCAGTCGGATTCAGAAATCAACGGCATATCACCAGAGTCGCAGGAAATTGAAAGGCAGTCCTTGCATTCTCCTGCAGCAGTCATCGCTAAAAGTGGAACCGCTGTGTACAATGAAATAAGCAACCTATCGGCTTTATGTCTGCAACAACAGGACAGCAACTGTCGGGCAGCGGTGGGTCCTATACTCAAGGAAACTTACACTGGAGCCGATTCATATTCTAACTTCAGCAGGTTTGTGGCTTCAGAGCATACTTCAGAAACAAATCACCTTCTAGTGCATAGCGGTCAAACGGACAGAATCTTCCAAACCAAGACAACTGCAAAAAGTAGTTCTATGCCGAGAGGGAGTGACAGTAACGTTGTGCCATCAGGTTCCATCGGTCTCAGAACTCGGGGACCTTCCGATGCCAAGACGGAGAATCAAACTACATACCATGGGAACTTTTCTAATTCATCATCGTCAGCAGCACCTGAGCAGAGCAGACGGGTGAAAGCACCCACGAAGACTAAGACAAGGGAGTCTCAAATCACGTGCATTACTCGGTCGAAGCGGGCCTCAGCACATTTCAACAACTCCTCCGTCTCTGCCTCATCTGAATCTACTGTAGATGAGACCAGAGTCACCACGAGTCAGCAGCAAGCAGACCAGACTCGTATTCTTATTACGGGACCATTTCGTATCCCTCCTCCTCCGCCCCTGCCTCGCCCACCAGCAGCGATACCATGCTCGAAATTACGCAAAGAAAACAGAGACAATTTAACACGCTTAAAGACTGAAAAGGTGAATATTCTTTTATTTATAGGCATAGAATAATATTCTTGTGGTTATTTGACCATTCCATTTTCATTCTACAAATTATGCATATCATTTTTATCTGCGTTGACTGATATAAATATGCATGTATATCGCAAAATTATGTTCAAACTGTTGTGGTACAAAAAGTCTTTGATTTGTCTCATTGTGTATCTCATGTTATTTCATCTACGAACAGAAAGAAGATGACAATACTGCTAGTTCTAGCTGGCCGATTACTCGGACATCATTCATCCAGCTTGTAGACCAGCCCATCAAGAAGCAACCTTCAATCCGTCAGGCCAGCATTCCTTTATCACCCAACGAGGCTGAACAAGAGCTCATGATTAGTGCCATCCGTCCCATTCCCCTGCCGGCTTCTCGCATCAACAACAACCATCGGGTCGTGCCTCCGATTAACATGACAAACACAGATGACTCGGCGAGTAGGAATGCTCCCGTAGCCGAGACAGAGATATATGTGGGATCAGGAACAAGTAAGGTCCACAGAGTGGAGGTACCTCGATCTCAGAAGCCTGCATCGGAAGTGGATGAACTACCTGGTTGGCAAGAGACGCCCGTACCTAAGGGAGAACCAGGACTGCAACAAGCTCAGACACATACTCAATCCACAGAGCCAAAACCTGAAGAAGGTTCAAGTATATTATCACCTGGACCCAAAACCACACTTCATCCTATTCCTAAGTCACAATGGAGGTGTAGATTTATAGCAAGTACATCCAGTCAATATGGTCCAGCCCCTGACAATGCCCCTAGACTGGTGCTGCCGGTTGAGACATCCCAGCATCGATCCCAACTGACTATGCTGTCATCCAGATCAGTGATGACTGAGAGGTTGGAAACCAGACCACCAGTGCAGTTTGATTTCACAGCAAGCCTTCGTGAGCCACCATCAGTAACTAGGCAGCCGGTGGGACATGTTAACAGACGTCTTAATATTCATCTTGTACCATCATATGAACTAGGAGCCCGTTGGAGGCCAGAGCAGACTGGTGCAATTCCTGAAAATCGATGTGTTTCCAACCCCTTATTAGAAGACAAACTAGGCCTCTCATTGACAACATCTCGCGGTCGAGAGGCCAAAAAATCACGAAGCTACATAAAACCACTGGCCAAATCATATCCAACCCAGGCAAATGCTTACACAAAATCAATGACGTATGCCTCTCATATCCGTGGAAAATTGACAGGAGGGTTCACATCTCACCCAGTGACCTGCAAAACTCAGTGTACTTCCCAACGCCAGACGTTCATGACTGAGGCATCGCTAGCTAGTGAAGAACCTCAAAGAACCTCAAAGAATCGTCAATACAAAACTGGTGGCAGTATTCACAGGAACATGTAATGTGATGTTTGTTAAAAAAAAGTGTAACCGAGAACAGATTTGCTCTGGCGGAATGAATACATTCCAATTTTGAAGTAAAATAACAATTTTAATAAGCGAGGCCAACATCGACGTTAAGACTTCAAATGTTATCTAATGTGTAGAAATGAATAGAAAGATATCTATTGGTCTGTCCTTAATTGTATTTAAACAATTTACCTGTTAAAATTTCGTTCAAGGAATGGATGTTACAATCAAAATTTAAATTCAAACTTACAAAAGAAATTTTGAGGGGTATCAGTAATCAGAAATTAATCCTTGGGTGTATTCTTTGAAAACATGCAATAGCCGTTGAACTGATGCATGTTCTGCCTGACTCGAGAATGGGTCCTTAACAATAAACAATGTTCACAATCAACATAAAACAATGTGATTATTAATACATTTTCTGACGTAACCGAAAAAAGGACCAGTGCAGTGCTAGTGGTACAACAGAAAATCACATGATAATGTGGAAAATGAGGAGACTATACACAATTATTTTTAAGGCTAATAATTATTAAAGGATTCTTTACGTCCGGTATCGGTAATGAAAAGAATCAATATATATTAGGATAGAAAAAAATTTTTTTTAAATAAATGCTTTTAATCATAACACGTATTATAACTGGATGTATTTTATTGGCTGAATGTTTGACTAAGTGGGAGGAGTTAAATAAGGCATCGCCGAACAAACATAGAGGGCGCTAAACATAAACAATGGTGTATATCCTGTCTGATCCCCGCCGTTTTGCAATGTGCCATTATGTACATTGTGAGTATATAGTCTGGTACTCAAAACTCGCGCCCTTCTTACCCACGTGCACTGTTGTACTATACTGCATGCCGTAGTGCATATTGCATGTATTGCATAACAAGTGTATGACATGCATGATGAGTGGAAGTTTTCGTGTCGACAATTCAACTAAGATTATAAAGAATATACTCGACTCGTAAGTGTAGGTCCTAATCCCAGGCATTCGAGGCTGCATACTGAGAATAAAGAAATAAAATCGGTGAGAATTTAGCTGTGTAACTTGTTTTCAAGTATTTGATTGTAACGTACTGGCGTGGTATGCCTATCGGGCATGGTTTCTCCGGCACGGTACATGGGTCTGGTTTTGGAGCACTGACTCAGTCTGTACTCACTGTGGCGCTGTCACGCCCCAACTATCGCATCGGTCCCAACTATAGTTGGGCCTGTCCCAACTACAGTTGGGCCTGTCCCAACTGTAGTTCCACAGTTGGGCTGGCCCAACTATAGTTGGGCCTGTCCCAACTATAGTTGGGACGGTCCCAACTGTAAATTCCACTGTTGGGCTGGCCTATCTATAGTTGGGCCACTCCGATCTTTTTATTTTGCGGTGTCCCAACTATAGTTTACATTGATGTACAACTGTAAAACGTTCCCTACAGCTCTGATACGCGTCTGACTTTACTGGGGACCACTGAAATTAGTTATTGATGGGGCGAATCTATAGTTGGGCCACTCCAATCTTTTTATTTTGCGGTCCCAACTATAGTGTACATTGTTGTACGATTATAAAACATTCCCTACAACTCTAATACACATCTGACTTTACTTGGGACCAATGAAATTATCTATGGGTGGGGACCATCTGTAGTTGGGCCACCGCAATATTTTTATTTGGCGGTCCCAACTATAGTTTACATTGATGTACGACGACTATAAAACATTCCCTACAGCTCTGTTACATACTGTCCGACTTTACTTGGGACCTTTGACATTAGCTATGGGTGGGGCCCATCTATAGTTGGCCGGCCATGGCAATCTTTGAATTTGCAAAATGTTGCTGGACAATCAACCCAGCAGCTGGACAACTCATCCAACTAGGCAGTACCACGTGACCGGCCAGCCTTGCGGCATGCATGCACGACGAATACACGGTGCCAGCGCCGCGGAACATTTAATCCAACAAGATCTATCAAGCATGAAGCATCCGGCGCAACTCCAGTCCTAACTATAGTTGGGCCGACCCAACTGCCGCACTATAGTTGGGACAGTCCCAACTATAGTTGGGACCGATGCGATAGTTGGGGCGTGACAGCGCTGTCAGTGTCACTTGTGTCAGTCCCCCCATGGAGCTATACTCCATGGTCCTCTGGCCCGGCCGGCTGGGCCTGGGGCTTGATTTGTTTTTGCATGGGCAATCATGGGGGAATAACTAAACTAAACTAGGCCCAAATTTAGTTGAAGACCGTTGATTTGATTTTCTCATTTTGGAAAGAATGATGGGAAAAGATATTGCAACCTGACGCCACTTTTTTCTTCATATAATCATTCATAGGCATAGGCCTATATACATGTATGATCATCTCAATGAAATGATGATAAGACATGAATCTGGGAATGAAAAACATTTCCAATTTTGTTAGGAAATACTTTAAAAAAATTCTTGACTCTCCATAGACTTTGTACACAATCGTAGAAGTGGCGACAGGTTGCAACATTTTTTCCGAATGATGTAGTCATGGTAGTAATCCAGATGCCATGCACTTCTTAGGCGTTTGCTATTCAGCCCTATGTTGGCGGTTCCCATTTTTTCAATGTCTTTGTTCAAGGAGCGCTAGTCAGGATCCATAAACACGTATAAAAACAGCAACTCTTAACCTGAAATAGATTCATAATGTTATCCGTTGAAAAAAAAAGAGGCATAAGGCCCCCCAAAAAAGTCTCCGGTTTCTGGTATGGAGCTTGCCCCAAAAGTGGTGCGGCGACGCGGCTTTTTTTTTTTTTTTACCTGGTTTTTATTTTTTTTTGGCTTCAAATGTCGGCTGATGACTGCAAATGGTGCCCGACTAAACTTAGTGCAAATATATGGGAGTCCAGAGAGGCCACATAAATCTTATTCTCGATCATAACCCCATCTAAAAACACGTTAAAATTGTGCAGCAGCAGAATTCCAGTCAAACCAGTGAGTTTGGCGGTTTTGAAACATCATCTTGTATTGAAAAAAAAACTTTTTCACTTTGCCGACGCGCATGGCTACGGCGACGCGCGCGCATACCAGAAACCGGAGACTTTTTTTTTTTGGCCTAACATGTATGGCTTCTGTAAAAAAATAGCCACTGTGTTATTTTATATTTGTCAAAGTTTTCTGTGAAAATATAAAAATGTCAAATATTTGTCTTAAAGAGCTGTGATGTACATCAGTACTCGGTAAACTGCACACCGTTTTATGAAATATGTAAGCTGTTGATCAAACTACAAAATTTATATAACTTTAATTTTATTCTAAATCTAGGGCTGTCCCAAATATACCAAATATTTGAATAGTCGATCATCAACTGAACATGCATGCATCTTGTCCTCGGCTCTGCAGATTTCCTCGTTTTTTACTTCTCATGAATGCCATGACAAATATAAAAACACTGTACAAAGCCTTGTGTGATTTGGAATTGGAGTTTTGAATATTCAAATATTCGGTCAAACACAGTTTTGAGTAATCAAATACTTAATTTTCAAAAACAGACAGCCATATCTAAATCATTGTTTTTTCCCAGCCAATTCACTGCCGCTGGAACAAACTTTTTCCAGGGGGTGTTGGAATTTCTAAAGGACGGACAAAATTAATGCCAAATCGAAGCACAAAGCCCTTACACCGTGGCTTAATTTGGAATATGGATGCTCTGTGGTGCAATCTGAGGCGATTCATTTGACTTTTTTTAGCAAAAGTTTTTTGAGATTATAAAGGCAGTTTATTTCATTATTTTGTTTAGAATATACTGTTGCTCTTACAACATTTAACTGTACTGAAAAGTGGAGAACCCTGTATTTTTATCTCCATTTTTGGTTCTATTTAATTCTGGAAAAAGAATTGTATCATTATGCATGACATCGCATGTAAATATTACTGTTGCAAGGCTGCTTTCTTACATTGAGTAACATCCTTCGTGTATGTTTTGTTTTATTTTCCGAGCCCTTGCGGCGTGGGGCCACAGGGTCAGGGGCCCGCTTTAAGGCCTTGGAAAATGTTGGATTCTGGATGCACTGTGATGAAATATACTGAAGTATGCTGAAACTTATAAAACCCGAAAGGATGTTTTTTTGGTTCAAGTTAAAACAAATGGTTCCACTGGAAGCGGATGAATTCTGTTCATAAAAATATTCACATAGTTCTAACTCACCAAATGATGTAGCTCTCGTTATATTTGCAGTGTTATTTGTTTGTTACAGGGAATGGCAAATATGAAAGACTAAAAGACCAAATGCATCTTTATGCTAGGCAATGATTTATCGGTCTACTGAGTTTTTTATGAGGAAAACCTTGCAGAGGGTAAAACATGAATAGCTTTTTTATTAAAACAAAACAACACTGGAATTGGCGAAAAGCATGACTAGTTTAGCCCGTCCCACTCCTATTAGGTTGGGGATGTGTGTTCACCTTGCTATGTGTTAATGTTAGCAACGTCAATGAAACTTCCAAATGAAAAGAAAAACCTCCAGAGGAAAGGTATGAACATTTGCCCCTATTGAAAGATCGAATGAAAAAAATCCTGGCAAGCATAAACAACTTTGCCACCATTGTCATGGCCGAGGTTATTGCTTTCGGGTCAAAGCTTCCATCATGGGCTTTCATGGCGGAAATATCATAGACATATGTCATGATTTTAGATACCTTGAGAGAAATATTGATTCTGCACTGTCTGAAGATTAAGAAAATACCTCCTCTTGATATTTTACAGTGTTTGTGCTAGACTTTCAAAGCGCCGCGCTTAGCCACGACAAAACTAGAAATGAACAAAACGAAGGAGAAAGTTGTAGAGCAAGCATAATGTTTAGCGTAGCGGTGCAGTTTCATTGGCGTAGAACACTGCTGGCTGGAACACATTTTTGCCCGGGAGTAGGGGGTGCTGAAACATATTCCAGCACCCCAATCCAAAAAGTTGGGGGTGCTGCAGCGCCCACAGCACCCCCCGTTCCCGCGGGCTTGACCCAATTTGGGAGCTTAAAAAGCAAAAGAGGTGTTCATATGGTCCATACACTAGGGTTGGCTAGGCCAAAAAAAATGTAGTTCTGCTTCCGGTTACCTACCTACCATATTTATTTTGACAGCCCATACCCTATTTTTTTTTGGATAAAATGAGGAAAAAAACTGAAAATCATCAATTACTACCTCTTACCCGTGAAAACGTGCAGACACCTCCATATGATCATACACAAACAAAATTGTCAGAAAAAAAATTCCTTACCTACCTACCCTATTTTCAAATGCCATGTAATCGGAAGCAGAAGTATTGTTTTTTTTTTGGGGGGGGGCATATTATAGCAGAATTCTGTGAAAAGGGATGTGCACATGAATAGGGCGAAATAAAAAGATCTTCCAATCGACCGACCCTTCTTTCGAAAGGCATGTAATCGGCAGCAGAGTCAATTTGTTTGGCGTTAATATTTTTATCCCATGCCTGCACGCGCAGATAAGAGTACCCTGTTTGCTGGAAATCAAAGGTTGCATAATAAAAATGAGCAGAAAGTAAATACTGAACCGTTGGCTGAACTTTGGAGTTAATACTAGCGGCCTAGCAGGTACTAATTGTGCATTACAACTTGCCTGTATTTGATATACTTTGCCCAATGTTTCTGTAATTGTACCATCACAAATGAGCGAGTAGTATCTTCTCCAAACAGTGCTGCCAATGTTTATAATTTAATAGCAATGTTTATTGATAAAATTGAAAACTTGATCCATCCAGTTACAGCTGGTTCCTTTAGCATGAATGCGAATTGACCACATGTCTTTGTAATCTTGATAAAACTTACTACATGCAGTGTGCCATATGTTTGTATTGCTATTTGTATGTTTTTATCATTAACTAACATGCACATGTATGTATTTGCCATACTGTATTTTAGATTTTTATGCTGTATGCCGTATTGAAACAACTGGTTTTTTATTTTGAAAATTTTAAGGAGGAAATGCTGAATGGAAATGTAGTTGTGCATGCTGAAGGTAGATTGTGTACTTGTACAGTAGTTTGCACTGTGTACTTGACCTACATGTAGTAGTCTTGTGTAACCCTTGTTAATGTAACCTACAATCCATGAATACAAATACAGATTGAACAATTTTGTTCACATTTTTCAAGGTCTCTGAAGTTCTAGCAAGCTTTATGTTTTAGGAGTACTAGAACTGTACAGTCATGGTCCGTTGATCTACCTAGCTGTGTTTTTTAATATCATACTTGTTTCCTTCTTTACAGCTTTTTCCTTGAATGTTATCTTTCCAGGGTTTCTTTGTGCCGGTGTCTTCCGTTCCTCATCCCAAGATGGTTGTTTACATGCAGATTCTCCTAGCAGCGTGTGTGTTATTGCTTGCTCAAGCAGAGAGGACAACCTTAGAGGATTACATCAATACCTGCATGGATGGCAAATATCAAAAGAGCAAACCAGGACCGGAGGCGTCACTTTTTAACCAGGTCAGTAAACGGGAGTATCCCGGACCCTCACCCTCCTAAATCCTACAAAATCTACCAGGAGGTTTTAAAAGATTTGACAGAAAACAGAGAAAAAGAAAGACTGATTACCGTCACTATCCAACCTGTGTTTATCTTTTTTTACATATCGCTATTTCATATCTAGTGTGCTCCTTGGAAGAACAGGTCGTGCTGTACGCCTGAAGTAACTGAAGACATGCATGTATCACCAACATGGCACAGCTTTGATTGGAATCATTGCCCTACTGCACTATCTGAACCATGTCAGAGATACTTGATGCAGGATCTATGCTTCTATGAGTGTTCACCCAATGTGGGTCCGTGGTTGGTACCTGTAAGTACAGTGCTGATTGAAACTAAGATGTTCATTATATAAATTTGGGGTCCACTTTTTTCCTTTCGCTGTTACATCTGACATCTATGATTTTATAATTCTGATGCACTCCTTAATGCAGTCGGTTTGAAGTCATTCTTAGTGATACTTGAATGGAAAATTATGAAGTACCAAGGTAACAGGGACAGAAAAATGTCACATTTTGGACCCTAAATTTAAAGAATGATCCATGCACATGTGATTTACTCATGAATTATCTATGGAACTAAATCATACATTGCATTTCATAGCAGTGCTAACACCAGAGAATCGCATGGTCTTGCACAATAGAACGTGACCGTTGCCCACCTCATGTCAAGCTCATTGTTGACCTGTTTGCATGTATATTTAAGACTTTAAGGCCAGCTTTAGCCTACTTTTCAAAGTTTACAGTAAATAATAACCATGACTCAAGTGACATGTCTTCCTGTGCTGACTTTTTGTTTTCAGCACAACATCAGCATTAGGAATGAGAGATTCCTGGGTGTACCCCTCTGTAAGACAGAATGCCATGCGTGGTTCAACGCTTGCAGAAGTGACTTCACATGCAAAGATAACTGGGCTAAGGGCTGGGATTGGTCAAGTGGTAAGTCTGTACAGTCTACAAAAAGAAACTTGGTCATATCGTTCTCAAGATGTAGACTATTGTACGTGTCCTTGTCAAAGTTCTAGTTCTTATCTAATCAAAATTCAACAAGGTTGTTTGAAAGTTGCAATAAGAATTCAAAGCAGTTGGACTGTCATCCTTCATATCAATGACGTCCCAAGCACCTGCTACTAATTCAAAGCACATCAAAGAGTCCACTATTTTTTTAGATGCAATTTGGCGTAATATTTTAAAAAATCCTTTCAACTTGAATTGATCAAATAATTAATTTGAAATGATATGATGACTTTAGTGATATCCATTAACTGTTAATACTTGTCTGCACTTGTCGTGTATTATTCAGGAGGCAATGAGTGTCCAGCTGATACCACCTGTCGTACCTTCAGTGAAACCTTCAAGACACCAGAGAACATGTGTGAGAATATTTGGGGAGGTTCCTTCAAAGTAGTTCCTGACAACGAGCCTTGTATGCTTCTGTTTTTTAATGGTGATAACAATCCAAATGACAAGGTAGGTTTGCTGAGAATGGTTCCCGTAACACTTGCTGCCCAACTTCTCCAAAATCAAACACCTTTCCCATTTTTGAGAATTCAAATTGTTGATGCCCCAAATTGTGCACTACAAAGTATGTGCCTATAGTGGCCTGCTAAGTGTTCAATTAAAAAGAAGTCGAAGGTTGAAGATGAAAATGTTCAGGATTTTGTTGTTTACCTTGTTCATATTTTTGAAACAATTGTTTGAAAGACAACACTGTGTTTTGAAAACAACAACGACCTTTGGAGTTATGCCTTGCTGCTTATCTTTGGATTCAATATGAATGACACAGCGCTGTTGACAATGATGCCGATTTACATGATCATTTGTCAATTGATGATGAAAGATATCTTTGGAGTCAGTATTGGGAGAGACTGTTTGTTATGCAACGTATAAAATGATTGTCTGACTGTGCAGGAAAAATTGAAGCAGCCAAACACATTTTCTTGGCACTTGTTTTATTCAGGTTCCAAACGACATTCTTTTGTGCATGGAATGTACATATAGGTTTTTCCACAGTAGTGGGGCACTTTGAGAAATAAAATTATCAAAATTTAGTACAAATTTAATAAGAAGTTCATGAATAGATAGCAACAACCAATAGATCAAGAAAAAGAGTGCGGGAAATCAAGGTTGTCAGATCTGCCTGTACAAATCTCCCATAGTGAAAAGTAACAGGGATGGACACAAGTGTGACAAATGTGAGTCCCCATTACGCTTCTCTATGGGAAATATGTGCAGGCAATATTGGATATGATGCTCTCTTAAAATGTACAGCTGGTCATCTCTATTCTTTGCACATTTCTAAGGTCAGGTAAATGAGTTGAAGTGATCCAAAGGACATAGAAAGTGGATCTGGTCATAAAATACATGTCTGTCTTCCATGTCACGCTTGTGTACCGCTAATAACCATGGAAAGGTTTAGATGTGATGTACACTGTATTATACTTATAGAATTTTACACAGCTATATGCCCAGTAAGGCAGTAACACAAAGCTCGGTGGATTGGTTTGCTTGCGCCAGTGATGTAGTGCCTTGATGCTGGGCCTTGGCCTTAAGGCTGCCTTAAGGCTGGATTTTAGGGCCTTGGCCTTGGCCTCGAGGCTTGAGGGCAAAAGCCTTGGCCTTGGCCTTGAGGGTTCAGGGCCTTGCAATTTTGAGTCAAGGCTCTTCAAGGCCCATAGATTTTTGCATTTTCCAGATAAATCTGTTCGAAATTTTGCTGTTACCATTTTAATCGTATTACCATGGAAGAGGGAAGCACCCTATAGATTTGTGTGTTGGGCACACTTCCACTTTTGTAGCATCACATTTTGTTACCATTGTAGTAGATTTGCTGCAAAAATATTCCGTACACTTGTGGGGCTAATGAGATGATCACTTTAATTGCATATAACTATGGAATAGATTTGATTGGTTGTATATGTCTCCCTGATAAGTGCTAAAGATTTGCATGTATCTGCTTTAGATAATGCTGATATTTCTGACCATGTTGGGCCAGCAAATAAAAATTTCCCAAATCAGTTTCTTTGATCCCCCTTTTGTTACACTTGGGAGAATTGTGTGTCAATATAGAAGTAAATCATTATTTTGTTTAGTTAAACCATATTGAAGACCTGAACTTATACTTTAATAGATACAGTGCAGTCATAAAACGGTGTAGGCCTATGCGAGCATGTTGATTGCATTTAAAGAAATGTTGTTCTTCGTAACGAGCAATTCGTGATGATAAGGGCGGATCCAGGGGGGCCAAAAGGGGCCATGCCCCCCCCCCCCCAAATAAAACGAAACCATTTTTTTTATGTGACGTCGTAATAAAGGCAGGCAATGAGTACACCACCATCTTTTCCTCAAAAAACATCGGTTAATATGGTCAGAAATTGCCTCAAATCGCACCACAGAGCATCTCGAATCCAAAAATTTTTCGGGGCCCTTAAGCGGGCCCCGAAGCCCAAGCAGTAATTTTTTGACCCACTTTTTTGGGGGGGACCAAAATTTCTTTGCCCCCCCCACCCCAAATTGTGTTCTGGATCCGCCCTTGCGTGATGATGTGTCACTCATGTGACTATAATTAGTTCTATATCAGTGGTCATTTCATAAAACAGGGCCTTGGCCTTGGCCTTGGCCTTGAGGGTTAAGCCTTGGCCTTGGCCTCGAGGCTTGAGGGTCAAAGCCTTGGCCTTGGCCTTGGCCTTGAGGGTCAAAGCCTTGGCCTTGGCCTTGGCCTTGAGGGTCAAAGCCTTTGCTCCAACACTGGCTTGCGCCGAGAGGAAGTTAGCAGTACATATTATGTAATCACAACACACAGTTTTGTTAACAAAAGGCACATCATCTATGCACATGTGGATATACCAGGACAAAGCTAAGTCATTTCTGTACATTAATTGCTTATAAAAAAAACCCTTCTTTCTGTCTTTAGATTGCGCGTTTGAAAGCAGAGGAGTTGCTGAATGCTGGATCGATGGCCACGCTGCATGTATGGGCCCTGCTGGGTGTTATTCTTGCTACTATTTGCTTGACAACTCCTTAAGTTAAAAAAAAAGTCTTCGGTTTCTGGTATAGAGCTTGCCCCAAAAGTGGTGAGGCGACGCAGACTTTTATTTTTGGTCCCCCTACTGTTTTTTTTCCCTTCAAATGTCGGCTGATGTTGCAGATGACGCTTCGATCCCCTTAAAGTCTCAAAAATATCCTTCAGGGTGAAGCTTGAGGTGACCTCAGTGAGGCCATAAGGCTTGAGAATTCTGCACCCATTTACGATCTCGACGAACACGAGCATTCTTTGGGAAATTGGATAGTCAAGACAGAAATCAGAGAAAATGGTAACAGGAGACCATACAGCGACATCGACATCGTGCATGTGCTGCCAGGCTGGTCGTTAGTCTGCTCCCTTACATATTGCGCTAATTAAAAGATAACACGACCTTCGCTCCCTCAGTCTGGCTTCCAGACGCACAATTACGTAACTACAACAAACTGTCTGCAAATGGTGCTCGATCGTAATACGTTAAAATTGTGCAGCAGCAAGATTCCAGTCAAACCAGTGAGTTTGGCGGTTTTTGCCGACACGCATGGCTACGACGACGCGTGCGCAGACCAGAAACCGGAGACATTTTTTTGGCTTAAAAAACCTGAATGAACAAAACTATTAGCACCGCTGTAGCCTATTTTTTTCATATTGGCTCAACGGATTTCCCAAGCAGGATCGAGGAACTCAAAGTGATATTCTCAAATTTAATTTAATAATTAAAAGGCTAAGAACAGCATTGGAAACTGTTCAAATCCTCAAACAAAGGTTTCTTGGTGAAAACGTGTTCCTTGTTGCAAAATGTATCATTATATCAAACACACACGGAAGGTACTCTTTGAAACATACTGGTTTTTTTTTTAGATAAATGATGAGAATGATGATGAACAATTTGTTTCGTACATTTTGTTTACTATGTCTGTGAAGCTCCATGCTTTATTTGAAGCAGATTTTTGACCATTTTTTCAGACTTTCAAATTGTATGTGCTTGACAAGAAACGGTTTTTATGACAATGTTTCAATCTCAGATGAAACACTGTGTGAAGCTCTTCTTCTGTAAAGTACATCCCTCTCAACAACTAAATAGCTGCCAATGATTATCATACAGGATATGGTTGCATCTGATACGTTTAAGTTGGTTCATTAAAGTGATGGAAAGACAAACTGCATGAAAAGATAAAATATATAGGAAACCCTAGAGTATTAGTCAAGTTTACAAGATAAACCTTATATAAAGCACAGGCTTAATTTTTGTACAATTGTAAGATGTTTTAAACCACTGATTTGGTTTTTAATTTGCACCATGTAGTGGTGCTTTGTTTACTTATCCCTTCTAGATTATATTTGATTTCTTTAATTTCTTATCGAGTGTTTGTGCAACATTATGGGGATTGTTGTATTCAGTTCGTGCATGGAAATTTTGAAAATTCTGTCACTTGAGATTTGTAAAAATGTAGAAATTATATATGAACCAACTTAGTTTATGTATTTGTGATTTATATATAAAAGTGCCTATTAATGTGAATCATTCACTTGCCTTGTAAATTATTTTCAATTGAACAAAAACAAATATAAAATTTTACATGTCTCGCACATTTCTCATGTCTGCAGGACACTTTTTAAAAATTGTTTTTTTTCGTTTTCAATGCTGCAAGATTTCCAGAAAGTATGCTGGAATCGTCAATGAAAATTACAAAAAAGCTGTGATTACATTTGTGTCTATTTACCTTCAAGAAAATGTGTTAATGTATAATTGAAAAGATTTGTGCATGTCTGCACTTATTCCAATCAGTTTTTGTTCTTTTTGTTGTTTTTTGGTGGTCATTTTATGTTTAAATCACAACCCAAGATCATTTTACGCTAAGGATCATGATTTCTTTTCCTGAAATCAATATCTAAGTAGAGAAAAGTTACTGATCATGAAAACTGTATTGTGTTGCAGAATGACTTGTCATGACTTGTAATAAAATTTGGAATAATAATTTTCATTCAGTGTCTTTCTTATTTCCTCATGCCATGGTTAGTCTTTGTTTACAAATTTGTATTCTTAAACATGTTTGTCATAAGCATAGGACCAGTGACCACCAGGTGGTGAATTATTTAAATTGTTCAAACTTGAGAAGAAACAATTTCAGCAATCCATCTGCTTTTTTTTTTCGAGATAAAACTTCAATCATGAGAGGGCGCTAATTATACAGGTTCAAACTTTTTTATTTGGTTAAAGAGGTAAAGAGAGGGCGCTTTTTATGCACGCGCACGATGTTAATGTTAAGATAAATGTGATTTTCCGTCCCGATAATAAGATTTCATGTCATAATTATTACACATACGAAAGTAACAAAATAGGTTTTTCATAGATTATATACAGTAGTTCTCAAATCAGCAGGACCAACAAGTTGGAAATGAGTAAATTAAGGTTTGCAAAATGGGCGCCAGGGAGAGAACGTGGATAATGAGGATTTTTTTGTAATGTAAGTCAGATTTGGAATAACATGTGCAACTCGACTGAGACTGAACCTCAGATATTAATGAATTTTAACAGTGGATTGCCACGCTTAAATACGTGGTAGAAAAACGTTTGGGAGAACATCGCTTTAGACAATTTTGTAGTGGTGCTACTGGAGTATATCCCACAGTAAAAAAACGTAACTTTTACCGTATGAGGAAACTTCATTATGATAGATTTTATAGTGAGACCATACGGGATAATATTATCCCTGTAATGACATTTCGTGCAGTTCACAGACGCAATCGTAACGCCAGGAAACGCAGAAATGAATACATTTTGAAAATCATCCTTAGTCAATTGAACACTGTAAAAACCTGTTGCACTGAAAACGCTTAAACGGAACATATTTTGGAGTGGGAGGTTGGCAAAAAATTATCCGTATAAGGGAATGTTGCGTAGAAACAACGTGCGCAACTCACTAAGCTTGAAACGCAGATATGAGCATATTTGTACATATTATGTGAGCACAAAGCAAGGCGTCGATGCCAGTCTGCTGGTAACAGCTACATGGACGATTTTGTGACTGGAAGAAATTGGGATTGAAGTATCCCGTATTGATACGATTTGTACAGCAATAACGTCGTAACGTGGACACCAAAAAACCGCAGTTATGAGCACATTTCTGCATTTCAATGATGATTGCCCGTGTAATGAAAAATCAGGTGTGGGAAACAGCTATTCACAAGATTTTCAATACTTGGGCGGACTCACTATGATGGGTTTTTTGTACAGCAATAACGTTCGTATCTTAGGACACGAAAAACCGCAGTTATGAGTAGATTTGTGCATTCGGTATGATTCGATTTGTACAGCAATAACGTCGTAACGTGGATACCAAAAAACCGCAGTTATGAGCACATTTCTGCATTTCAATGATGATTGCCCGTGTAATGAAAAATCAGGTGTGGGAAACAGCTATTCACAAGATTTTCAATACTGGGCGGATTGGGATATTTTTACCGCTCACTATGGGTTTTGTACAGCAATAACGTTCGTATCTTAGGACACGAAAAACCGCAGTTATGAGTAGATTTGTGCATTCAACTTAAGATCGAAACATGTAATGTGCAGTTAGTGAGGGAAACAGCTAAATGCAAGATTTCTCATACTGCGCGGACTGCGATACAGCGTTATCGCGATGACTATGATTTTGTTCACTACCTGCGTATTCCTTCTGATGCAAGAAACGCAGATATCAATAGTTTTGTGCCGTAGGTGATGGTATCCGACTGTGCACATACGATGCAGTGAAAAATATACTCATACGCTCGGTACACTGAGCCGCGTACAAAGTATGGAGCGCTGTGAGAAAGTGGAAACGCAGATATGAGTGATTTTGTACTTTGACACTGAGGGCGCTCAAAATATTTTGCTGCAACAATTTTAGTTGTACAGTTCCAAATTCGTGTTATTGTACCTGCAATTTACCGGTGTTATTGGTACAGGCATGGTAAATAAGTGTATTTATTTTAGACCCTTCTAAAAAAAACTGGGCAGATATCAATTAATAACATCACAATACATTTCCACTTTGAGCATTCTTCCATTATTAGTATTAACCCCGTTTTAGTGCAGTTTGCAGGCCCTTTCTAACTATTGCGACCCCATTTTCTTTAGTATGTTTTCCCAACTTTCAACTTATACAATGTCCACATTGAAAAGCTAATTCACAAGACAACAGCAACATCATGAACACGTGACAATTGTTTTATGTAAACAAACAACAGATACCTTTTATTAAACTCTAAATTCAAGAAATAAGTAAAATTGTTGTTGAAACACTGTCTCCTTTTTTATATTAAAATGCCAATCACTGTAGAGGGCTATTTCTTTTTTTTTCTTTTTTGCTAGAAATGTGACATTTGAACACATTTGCCTAGAACTTATCAAACCTTATTAAATCCCTTCAAGATGACCAAAATATGAAATATTTTTAAAAGAAGAAACTTTCCATCAATCCAAAGCCCCATTTTCTAACCTAAATCATTAAATGCCAATTATTTCATATTTAATACATGCACTTTGTTTGCCTTCAGAGGTCATGAAATATTAGATTTGAATTTGTCTTGATTTTATGTGTAGAGCTTTTTGTTATCACTACTTCTGTAACACATCGAATACGTGTATACATCAGATGACTCTATATATTATGCACTCTGAGAGACAATACGTTGTAAATAAACATGTAATTAATATTTGTTGGCTTTCGCAACCATGTGGTGTTCTGAATTACTTCCGATTCCTCTCCAAGACACAACACTCTCGTCCTGCACTCACAGCCTTGTCCAAGAAGTTATTGGCAAAAAGTAAATAAGTCCACTGGTGGTACATGAACATGCAACATTTCTGCTTTATACACACATCTTTAATTAAAACAAAAGTTCATTGCCATTGCTAAAATCTGGTCTGCTACTGTGGTGGAGTATCTGCCATCGTGTTGAGTGTATCCATAACCTGCCCACTGCTGAAGTTGGCAACTGGTGTGCTGACTTCTCTTCCATACTCTGTGGAAACAAATTAAAGTGAAACACTAAATTTAAAATATGAAATAAATTATTTATTTATTTTCGTTTCTAGTTTGATTCGAAAAATATAAAACCAAAGCTCTGTATCACCGTCTTTCTCTTACCATATCTTGCATAGACCTTGGGTTGTATTCCGCTACATTCTCTGATCAGAAACGGGAATTTCGGATTTGCCTTCTTCATATCCACATAGTGTGTCTCAACCCATTCCCTGCAGAAACAAGTTAAAATGTGAAAATTAACACCAACAATGCTACCACCAGTCATTTTTACAAATGCAGCTTGAATCAATCAATTTTATTAAGCATGTCAAAACATACAAAACCAATCATGATAAAAAAAAAAATGAATTTCACAAATTCACAACAAAACATATGCCCTAGCATCTTACTTTTTACGAGAAATAAAATGGAATAGATCATGATACCTGATGATACTTTTTAAGATAGGTTACTTTGAATTTTGAATACTGAATCATGTTCAGATGTTTGGGGCTTCATCATCAGGCTGTGTTTTTCATTCCATCTTCACCTCGAATACCGCGGAAAATAACCAATTTTCACCACAGGAAAGATGACTTTATCTCACCTCACACCTTGGCTTGAGGGAGAACGTTGACATAAATGAATTCTTAATTCTTTTAAATGTTGGGGCAATCTTCTCGCTGCAGCAGACGCCATTTTTCCAGTGTGCCAGTAGCTCTAAAAATAGTTTACCTTCCCATCATGCACTTCACTTAGCCGCTATTTTCAAGATGGCGGACAACCGTCATCGTGAATGAAGTTAGGGGAATAACTTCCGGGATTTTTCTACGTTTAGTCTGTTGAAATCCTGACAGAATTCAATGTAAGTATTTAGATAGATTGAGGAAGAAAATTTCAATAGACTGTTAGAAAATGAGTAATTTATAACATAAGAAATGAGTGTTGTTTTGATCACGACGATTTGTCCTTCGTTCGTCGACTTCGTTGTCAGTTGCGTTATAAATCACCGCTGTCATTGTCAACATAATTTCCTACTCCCCGTTTATAAAATAAATCATCTGACTTGAAATTTGATAAACTATTGAATTCTTCAATTATCCATTTATATAATAGTGTGAAGAAAACGCACGAAAGATTCAGCATTAAATAACTTAAAGTTGTGTAATTTTCAAACCCATTTTAATGATTTTGCATTGCCATGGTTACCAATGTAAATTATTGTGCTTTTTTTCTATTTTACCTAGAGTTCTGTTCTCAAATTGATTCATCCATGTGACATAAGGCATCAGTTTTTAAATATGTGTATGCTGTGTTTGATTTGACATTTTATTTTTAACTCTATTCATTTGTATAATTATTAATATTCTACAAAACAAAGTGTACATTAAAAAACTACAATTACAATACAAATTGATTGTAATTTTTTAATGTACACTTTGGGAAAGATTTCCATATACGAAGTTCACTAATTTTCCTCTGTATTGACTAACAAGCCCCCAGATAGCAATTTCATGTCATCAAAGTCAATTTGAGCAGTGAGAAAATACAAGCATTTTCTCATAGGGTTTGTACACAGGGTGTTGAGTGAACTTTGAATATGGAAATCTTTCCACACTTTGTTTTGTAGAATATTTCCAAACTTTTTGCATTGGAAAGGGATATGAAGGAATGTCAGACAACTCGACCATTGAGACAACTCGACTTGAGACAGCTCGACCGTTGAGACAACTCGACCGTGGAGACAAGTCGACCGTGGAGACAAGTCAACTTGGGACAACTCGACCTTTGAGTCAACGCAATCATTTTCCAGTACCTACCCGATCTCTTTGTTCGCCAATCCCATGTGCCAATGAATGGGATAGCACGATCATTTGCCTAAACTAAAATAAGCCAACCACGTCCAGCAACCCCAGCCCATCAACCCGGGCCGATCCGTTCGAGCCAAGCAGACTTCCCCAACTAGTACCCCACCACCCGCAGCTGGACATGGCAACAAAAAAACCTCGGCAAAAGGGAAAAAAAAGGTCTCAGCATCTCCCCATCCTGACTTGACGCGCCAAATGCTTTTTCTCTCTCAGCTTGGAAAAGCCCAGCATAAATGGGAGTCCCGGCCGAGCCAAACCCAATTGTATCACATCAAGCAACCCCAACCCAATGATCAAACCCGAACACGACGAAAAATCACCGGTAAGGCCTACTATGAATATTTCCCCCCAAAAATTGCGAATGCGAGTATACTTGTCGCAAAGAACGACTTGTCTTTCCATTTAACGCACATACGATCAAGCTGTACCAACGGTCGAGTTGTCTCAACGGTCAAGCTGTCCCGAGTTGAGTTGTCTCAACGGTCAAGTTGTCTGACTATGAAGGACTGAGTGGACTTCAACACTGTTTTGGGGAAACAATTTTGATTTACATTTTTTACTTTTACGAAGTTTATCTTTGTGTGCATTCCAAATGTTTTAGGTGCAGTCATTTTTTTGGATAGTACTCAAGTGAATCTCATAAGTGATCATCATGAATAAGTACTCTAAGAAGAAGAAGATTGGAGAGGGATCGTTTGGGAAGGCCCTGCTGGTTGTGCACAAGGAGACGGGGAAGGAATATGTCATCAAGGAGATAAATGTCTCAAAGGTAGAAACCCCCTTAAAATGGCAGTCAAAGTTGAAAATGCAAGGTCTTACTACAGGTATTAGTGAAATCAGAATGCATGTCATGTTCAACTCATAAACACTTGAAATTCCAACTACAGACTTTGGGAATAAGTTGCTGAAATGAGTCAGAGTGAAAAACAATGGTTCTTTCTATTTCACTTAGATATGTCAGAATTTCTACATACCTAGATGATGCCCATCACCCTGAAAGCATAAAGTTGGACATTGATATATGCTTCAAACTATATGTTTCTTTCTTTTTCTTTTTATGTAGATGAAGAGGAAAGAAAAAGAGGAATCTAAGAAAGAGGTGAGTTTGCAACAATTGAAATTATATTCATTCGAAGAAATATAATTACTTAATTTGTTTTGTGTACTTATCGGAATGCATACAGACTAAATATTTGTTATACTTTTTTCCTGTCAGGTTGCTGTTTTGAGGAAAATGAAGCATCCCAATATTGTCTCGTATCAGGATTCATTTGAAGGTAAGCAGGCCTTGATGTGCTTGTATATTTGTATATGATACTCAGTCAGTAGTTGTGTATGACTTATTCCACAAATCATCCACTCTCCTCAACTTTCTGAGCATACAATGTATAATCTTTGTATTTTGGTTTATTCCACAGAGCTTGGGAACCTATACATTGTGATGGACTTCTGTGATGGAGGTAAAGAGTTATTGCATGATCAACGTTTTCATCCATTCCCTCTACATCCTTCACCATAGTTACCCTGGACTTATTGAGAAGTCAAGCACAAAATAACCCTAGTTAATTCTTCCATAAGTTCTCTTGTTTATAATCTCAAATGGATATATTGCCATTTTACAGTATGACTTGAAAATTTTCTTGGTGTGTAGTGGAACTTAGCAGTAAGACAAATACATGTATGTCCTGGAAACAAAGTAGCAAGATGTCTTTGTACAATGTATATTATGATCTGCCAATTAAGAGACAGTTGTCACATGTAACTGTTACTTCTTACTCTTGTACAGGAGACTTGTACAAAGCCATCAATGGCAGGAGAGGTGTTCTGTTTCCTGAGGATCAAGTCCTTGATTGGTTTGTGCAGATCTGTCTGGCTATCAAACATGTTCATGATAGGAAGATATTACACCGAGATATCAAGTCACAGGTAGGAGCTGGCTGCATTATATTTATAATTCCACGTGTTACAAACGTTTAGATTCTGTTTTTTGTTGTTGATCATTAATAATTATTGAGATCCTCAATTATAGTGTTATATCATAAGCATACATAATGTGGAGTTAGTTATTTTCAGATAGCCCGGAACCATTTTTGGTTTTTGTTTAAATTGTGGGTAATGTCTCAAATTGTAGTAATGTCATTTTCAATACAGCAGTGTTTGTGTCTAAGACAAAAATATTTTTCTTGTTAATTTGCAGAATATATTTCTCACGAAGAAAGGAATTGTCAAGTTGGGAGATTTTGGCATCGCAAGAGTCTTAAACAGGTGAGTGTCCCTTAGATATGGAGCACATGGTGACCGTCAAACGTGTCAAAGTCAATGTGTGCACGCAATGTTTTATATTCCATCTTGAACAACAATTACGTAGCTTCCAACCTCGTCATTTGGAGAGTTGTGCATGAGTTGTCTATTCAGTTCATCTTGACGAAATACGTCAATTTGTGTTTTCACAGCACGGTCGAGTTGGCCAGAACATGCATTGGAACACCGTATTACCTGTCACCAGAGATCTGTGAAAACAAACCTTACAACAACAAGAGGTACGTTGTTTATAAATTATACAGTCAAGCCCGGCTCATGGCAAGTATTCGCCCTACAAATTCGTAAAAGTTGAACATATTTCAACTCGGGCGAATTTAGTATGAACCGGGCTTCACACTGAAATACAAAATACATTGTTCTCAAATTCTAGACGGACTCTTAATTATTACCAGTAGTTTGGATTTGTTGTCTTTCCTAAGCTTAACAAAGTGAAGTATGCCGTTTGCAAAGTTTTCATAGCACATAATTTTATCTATGTGATGATGTTAATGATGTTATTGTTGTATTATCTTTGCAGTGATATATGGGCGCTGGGTTGCGTACTGTATGAGATTTGTACACTAAAACACGCAGTAAGTATTGTGAAGCTTTGTATTAAAGTTAAATTATTATTAAAGTTAAATCCCAACAATCAGTGTAAAGTTTTCACTGTTTGATATTCATCAATCATTAAGTTATTAATGCATATTAATGAGCCTATTTGGTGGTTGTTCGTTTAGTTTGAAGCTGGTAACATGAAGAACCTAGTTCTTAAGATCATCCGTGGTTCCTACCCTCCTGTATCACCAAGATACAGCTATGACCTGAGAAATCTGATTGCTTTACTCTTCAAGAGAAATGCAAGGTAAGCCACTGCTCTCACTGCTTCAACAAACTTCATTTTAGAAATATTCAATCAAATAACTTGAAATACTATCAAATACTTGTTCCCAAAATCTATAAAACTCAAATGTGTTAATTATCTAGCAAGTATTTCTTCAACATATTATAAAAAGCCTACATTTTTCTTATTTCAGAGATCGACCTTCTGTTAACACAGTTCTGAAGAAGCCTTTCGTACAGAGAAGAATAGAGAAGTTTCTTTCAGATACCGTAAGAACTCTTAAAATGTGAAACATATGTATTGTTTGATTTGCTTATCATGTGATCAGCATTGGTAGATCCGTATAAAAATGCCCAGTTCAATATTACAGCATTTGGCACAAGTACAGGTCATTACATGAATTGGTTGCATGTTGTTAAACCGTTGAAATTTTAAAGCTGAATGTCTAACCTTAGTTTGTTTTTTCTTCCAAAACGATTGACTTTGGTCTGGACCTGATGGCTTTCAGCTTACTTGTACACTGTTTTACATTCAAGTGATTTCTGAAACTCAGTTCCATTTTTAAGAGACGTTGTACAGTTCATGTAAACTATTTAACTATGATTTGTGTGTTGATTGTAGGAGATGGTAGATGAGTTTAGTCATACTGTGCTTCATCGTAATCAGGCAGCAGGACCCTATGGAGCTGCAGGTAGACCAGCATTGGCCGCAGGTCAGTCAGTCCTGAAATTCCTGTTAGATTATAGACTGCTGGAGATATAACAATTATCTTTAAAGGTTTGCATATATGTAAGATTTGCACCTCACCAACATGCATTGTATACTTGGTGTCGTTTTAAATCCTGTCTTTCAACTGTTGTGACTTTGGTGAATTGACGTAAGATTTTTGCTATGAATTCTGTGACTTACTGTGTGATGTTTCAGAGCGACGTCCCCAGCAGCCAGTTCGATTGAGTGATCCTGCTGCTAAGTACGGTCCATCTGTCGGTATGCGTAAACCTCCAGCAGCTGGCAGGTCAGTTCTAACATCTGCTTTAGGGTTTTTTTTGGTGTGTTTTAGTGATTTGTGAACTTGTTCCTATTCCTATTGATACTGGGGTTGTCATTCTTGCTATTTAGCAATTCCTATTGTAAGAAGAGGAACAAATTACAGTTTACTGAAATTGTTGAAATTAAAGATGGACTGATTAATGTTTGCTTTCAGAAAACCTGCTGAGAAAAGAAAAGAGCCATCTCAACCACAAAGGGTAAGTAACACAGATTTTCAGTGTTTTTTATCAAATGCATTTGTTTTGTAAGTATTCAAATAAGACAAAACAAACACAGTTGAGTGTAATATTTAGCTTCTGAGGAGTAGGTAGATGTACTTGAAGAGCCTTTAGTCTTGTTTGATGTAATCAAATTATGCTTCTGTTTCTTTCAGCCTGCTGTGGATCTGGAGAAACTGCGAAGGGAACGAATTGAAAAGGAGAGGGCAAGACAGGCAAGGGTGCGTTGAAACACAAACCAACCTAACTTATTGCAGTAACTTTTGTTAAAAGACAAGAATCTTTTGGTATTGGATTTTAGTGTGGCTTTCCAGTGTGGGCTTTAAACCGAATGCCACATTCACTGCTGAATGTTCGTTTCATTGCAGGAAAAGCAGTCACCCATGAATCAACAGAAACTTGTGGACAAACAGAGGGTATGTCAATCTCTTGTTCCAGGAATAAAAATCACTCCCCAAAGTGCTTAGTTGCTGTGATTATAACATTTGTTTATGGTAAGTCTTAGCAATGTTTGTGTTTGTTAACAGATGCATCACATCAATAAAGCCAGAGAGGCTGGTTGGCGTCATACATTAAGCTCAGGATCTGGTGGATCCAATGGTATTGAGGTAAAAAAAATGCTCCTAAATTCAGGATTTGAATACATTTCTGTTCTGTAAATTTTCTGTTATGAGGGTACTAAATGGCATTTTGCTAGTTTTCAGTTTTGTAATTTTTTTTTTTTTTGATTTTTTTTTACCGAATCTTTGTGCCTGTTCTTGCTTCAGTTTTATTTCATTTTAAGTTTCATTTTTTGTCGTTATTTTCTTTAATTTTGTATTTTGTGTGTGTCTGAATATTTGTTTTTGAATTATTCGTTTGTCACTCAACTCCTTCCTTTTCCTAATACTACTAGAAAATAAATTTGGTCAGAAAAATAAAAGGAGCTGAGGTCTTTTTTCAAACTGTATTCCTGGGAATTTGTAGTCCTGGAAACATTTGGCATTGCATAAAAGAATCATACAATTCTCAGTTTCTTGTGACATCAACATCAACCTTACAAATCATAACAACAAAGTGTTAAAGAGGTTGTGGAATGCTCGAAGACATTTCCGTCATTTTTCGGGTATATGTAGCCTAAGGTGTGATGAAATAAAAACGACTATTGTGTCTGTCATGAAATGAGTACAAAAGGTACTTTTGAGAGCTGTTTTTCAGGTCCTGTTTCGACCCGAACGTGCAATTTGTGTAAAAGTCGTCATTGGGGGCAGCAAACAAAACATAGTAAATCGTGACGTAATAAACAGGACTCCCGATGCAGCGTAGAATAAACGAGTCCTGTTTATTACGTCACGATTTACTGTGTTTTGTTTGCTGCCCCCAACGACGACTTTATTATCTGCCACAAAGAGCATGTACTTGACCTTTTGGAAAACAGAATTATATTAATTAACACTCCTAATGTAGTTTCCTTTCATTTAATTGCATAGCCATCATTGACACCATAGATATTGTGCAGGTGTTTTATGTTGAATGCTTTGATTATGTGCATGCTTTCATTTAGAATGACGGCCAATCAAATGATGAGCCGCCAATCAAAGAACCCAGGATTGATCCTGAGAAGGCCAAACCTGAAATCAAGGTTGGTTCTCCAAACTGGTTATCCAGTTCTATCTGGTTCAAACTAGTTTCAAGCAGTGATGTGCAATCCAGTTAGTTATCAACACTATTTATTATTATGTAAAGCATTTTCAATCTCATTCCATCAATCAGTTTTCTAAAAGTGTTTCATTTATTAGAACAACTAACAATAGTTATCAAATATCAAGTGTTGTTAGATTGACAAAACTTAAAATATTAAAATCAATTCTTTTTATCTTATTTTCTAGCCCTTCAAACCTCTTCAGGAGAGAGGTAACTATGACAACTACCACAAGTACCTTGACAACCTACGTGGCAAAGCTCAGGGTGCTGGTGTGGGGCAGGGCGGGGCAGCAATGTTTAGGAGGGATGAGGGACGGAGGGCGTGGCCTGATGAAGCAGCAATCAGACAGAATATCAGGGATCGGCCGGTATCAGCAAGTGCCGCTGAGGCAGCTAGACGAGGAGAAATGGCAAGGTTAGAAGACAAGAAATCACACATTTATTTTGTATCAAGTATTTTTCTTGTTTGATGTCTCATGCAGCACATTTTCTGGACTAACTTGACATATATAAATCATTCAAGTGTGAGGGAAATGGTATTTTAATCTTGCAGATCATTTTTAACCAGTTCGCACTGGATGACGTGTATACACGCAAAGGTTTTGCGGTATTCGGAACAGATCACGGATAAACACGCAGGGAGTGAGGCCTGTTATGTCTTTCAGCGACCCGCTCGCAGCGAGCGAGGCCAGAAATATGAGTGTGCTGCCCGAGGGTGATGGTAATCCAGCATCTCGTTCCGTTCCTGTCAAAACATTCCCGGCGTGAACTGGTTAAGGGCAGAAAGATTCTTCTAAAATTACATCAACGGACCCTCAAACTTTTACCAAATCAAAAAGTGGTAAAATGAAAATGTCTAACTTTTGATGCTTGCAGAAAAACTCTCGTGTCAAAATAACATTTCTCTATAATTTTGTTTCTCTGTTTTTGGCCATTGAATGTTTAGGAATGCTGGAGCTGAAGCGGCAGGTAGAGCTAAGTTAGTGGAGGAATTCTTGTCTAACAAACGAGCAGCAGCAGCTAATAAAGCAAGAGTTTCCCACCCTCTGGGTGCCCCTGGACCGGTGAGTCAACGGCACAGTTGCTTTCCAATCAGTTGCAAGTCAAATAGTTATTAAAGTCATAAGTAGCAGAGAGTAACATTGACAAAGAACTACAATTGTCACAGTTCATTTGTTTATTTTACTTGGGACTGGATAATTATCATGATGAAAGTGGGCAGACGCATGTTTCAGTTGATGGTCTCAATAATGTTGGTGTTTTTTTGGAATATCTCACAAACTGTGAGGAAGACAACTGAAAATGTTAAGTTAGAATTTGAAGAGGATGATTTGTTTGTGTTTCAGAGACCTGCCTACAACCAGCCAGCCCCGTCTGTTGCTCCGTTTGCCGGTAATGTCAATGGAAGAAACCAACAAGAAGGGGTAAAGCTAAATCTCGTTTCACAAAAAAAATACATTTTCTGTCATAAAAGCCTACAGATACTTTACCCACTTATAAGCAGTTCATCAAACATGTTAGACATGGCTGATAGGCTGCATTCCATGAGGCATGTTTAGGTAATTTTAAAGTTCCAACACATTTTAGAAGCAACGAGTGTAACCACTCACTATGGCAGTATGTCTGTGACGTCTGAGTGGCATCATAACAAATCAATCCGAATGGACAGTAATACCCTGCATTCACATTGAGCATGCGGCTGCAGTGAACACATCTTAAACAGACATATTTGACTTTGATGATAGGAGTATTTGGATCGTCTGAAGGCAATACGAATGCAGAACTTTCAGGAGAGACGGAACATTCAGCAGAAAGTTGCAGGTGGCGAGGGAAAGGCAGTCAAGGTATTTCAATCTTTATCAGTTACTCTTCACATAGCACCCTCTGGTGACAAAGTGTGTACAGTCACTGTGTATAGTACTCTCTGGTGAGTGAGTGTGATACAGTTTTGTCAGTGGGGAGGTGTTTTTGTTAAATCAATGTTTTAATGGACTGTTAAGTAACGATTTTTATTTGTCATTTTTGTGGAATATTTGTAGGCTTCTCTGGAGTCTGAGATTCGCAGGAAAAAGATTGAAGCTCTCAAGGTAATGAAATCATAAACGAGAGAAATCTTGATGCAAATTTTTTTTTTTTTACATTTTGATTGAGGAAAGGAGAGCTCTCTTTTCAATCAGCAGCGCTTTTAAAATGAAAAAGTTTACAATTTATTTGTAAAAATATGTTGTAATGTTTCAATTCAAATATATTTTTGGAGAATTTGGTCATCATGGGTATTACAAGTATGAATATATTAGGTTTGCTCTTCATCAGTTTCGAAGTAATTAAACTTGATTTTGTTTATCGGAAATCACATGTGTATTTCCCTGTCATGTTTGTGATAATAGGCCCAAGCTGATGAGAAGGCAGCTAAACTAAAGGAACAGCTGGAAAGACAACGGCGGGAGGCGTATGAGAAGGAGAAGAAATCATGGGAAGAACATGTGAGTCAGACTACGGAACGCCGAGACAAACACTAACCCTGTCAAGGCAGTCTTGGTCATTGGACAGTGAATACTACATCTGAAAAGTTTGGCTTGAAATGACTTGCATTGTATTACACAGATGATTGCATTCAAACTTCAAACTTTTAAACCTAAAAATCTATATATTTATGTTGTTGTTATTTTATGAACAGATAGCCAAGAAGAAAGCTCAGGAGATGAAAAGGTGAGCAGTCAAGACATTTTTTAAACCTACATTTTGGTCGTGCAGCATGTACATAGAAAAGGCATTATCTCTCATCCAAACAATGCATCCCTTCGAATACAATGAGTTTTTTTTATAGAAATGTGAATGAATAATGTTTGGTCTGGTAGAGAAAGAGACAGTTTAATCCACAGTTGATTAAAACGATAAGGATTCATGTAGCAAATCAGTTTTAAAGTTTGAGGTCGTCATCTTTAACTCATCTTGTATGTCTTTGGTTACCAGGCCAGCAGCAGTACCAGTCAAAGGCCCAGCAGCAGCAGGTAAACAGCCAACCATCTCACTAGTCAGACAAATAGCATGCCACCATTTCCTCTCATTTTTCATTTCTTTGTATCTATCTTTTTCCACACCAGTTTCTCCTTTTTGGTCAGTAATTGCTTTTCACAGAAAGTTGAGTCATCATTTTTAGGCCAACTATTTCTTTATTTTCCTAACTGAACTTTGAGAAGTGTTAAACTTCCATGTTCTCTTCTGTCCACAGTGGTTCCCTTGACAGCAGTGCTTAAGGATGTCGGATATGATCTTATGCCAACGGTAAGACCGACAAATTTTAAAAATTTAAGTAGCTGATAATTTCATGACACATTGCTTCTCAGCAAACTCATTCTCAAAAAACTCGTTGAAACTATATTGATTTCAAATTGTAATTTAGTTAACAGTGTTTGTTCTTTGGCAATACAAATCTTGATTTTCATCTTCTTTGGTTTAGGAGTCACCTGAATTGAAGGATGAGGCTGTATCCAAGTAAGTGTAGACTCGATCATTCTTCATGGATATCTTCATAAACACTGTACAGAAGTTTCCTAAGTTGAGTCAGCTATTGAACACGTAGGCATTGACTGATGACAGAAGGAAGTTAAGGAGCATCTTGCATTGATGTGTTTTAGTTTTGTTTTAGTTTAAAAACAAAATGTAGAATTCTGAATCCAATAGTAACAATTGAGAAATTGGTACACAATACAATAAAAGTACAAAGCAAGGATTTGACAGTTCTGAGAGGTATCCTTGTATTGAAATTGATATGTTATGAGAAGAGAAGCTTGACAATTGAAATGGAGATATTTCAGAGTACTTTCTGGACCTGTATTTGTGACAGGCCTGCTGTACCAGAGAAGGAACAAGGAGGAGATCGTAAGAAATGGGGAGATGGAGGAGTTATTAATCTAGGTAATCTACCGCTACAAGAAACGGCATCAGCCATGGAAGGTAAGTACATGTAGTAGATAGCCAACATATAGGCTGACAGAATGTGATATAAGGCATAGCAAGTGTTCATATCATATGAAACAGCACAAGTGATTCTGACCTGTAAGATACAACCTTTTCACTGATTTAGACTTCAGTACAGAATTTTACTGAGCAAATGATTTTTAGTTATTGAGGAAAATATGTATTGTTCCGGTTTGCGCGTAGGAAAATATGGTAAACAAATTGTTAAATTGTCATAAAATGTCTGATTTGTGATAATAATTTCACCCTCTGCAAGCATCAGAACCACACTGCATTCTGTTGAAGTGACATTTGTGAAACTGTTTCATTTGCAGCCACTGGTGCAGGTGATGTTGTCATGGTCAATACCGCAGCCCCACCCCGTGGGGGAGGAGGGGGTGGGGGCTTAGGTGGAGGAGGCAAGGGAGCATTTGGTCCACCCCCACCCCTACCTCAAGGAAGGAAGAAGTGGGGTGGACCAGCACAGACAGCCTTAAATGTCTTACAACAAGCTGAGATTGTGCAAGGAACCACAACGCTATCAGGAGCTGAACAGACAGGTATGGATAGTCTCCAATTATATTCCATTACAGAGTGAGCTTGAAATTGTCAGTGCTTCCAATGAGAGAAATGGAACAGATTGATTGAGCATTGAGTGGTTCTTATATACCTGTGTCAACACACGTAGATGATTTTTTCTTATGCAAACTTTTATCCACCAAATGTGAACAACAGATTTGCCAGGCTGAATATTCCATTGTATTTATTTTTTGTTCACATTTATTTTTTCTGTAGGCGGCGTTCGGATGGGAGTGACAATAGTCAAAGATGAGGTCAGTCCTCGTAAGCTCCCCATCGCTAAGGGAACCATTACTATAGCAGACGGAGGCAAGAAGGGGAATGATGACATAGATGCAGGTCAGCTTACTCGACATGATACGACAGGTTTAGGGAAACAATCCCAGAACACTGATGACTTCATTTTGATGCCTCTATTGTATATTAAGTTGTATATATTTCAATACAACGAATATATATATTTTTGTTGTGATATCTGTATATCCTAATCATGAAAATTATTGAGATGATTGTTTATTTTACATTCATTTTTTGTTGACCTTACATTTTTCTTCTGACATAACATCATGTTAGACATCTTACATTTCCTGTGATTTAAATCTCCTTTGATTTGTGTGGGTTTTTTTAGTAAAGAAAACTAGTAACTTAAATACAAGCTTGACTACAGGTAGCCTTGAGCTCCTACTTCCAAGATAATCAGCCGTTTCTGTTTTCCTGTGATAGGTTCAATTGAGACTATAGAGACGAAGGACACACAATCTAAGCTGGGCCCAGACCAAGCTGTATCTGATGTGCCTAGTAAACCACGTACTGCATGGGATAAATCACCAAGCTCTGTGCCGAAATCACCAGCTACCACACCAACCACGCCTACTACGCCAAAACAAGGTCAGGCATTTCAAATTTCAATCAGCATTATTGTCAATCATGATGTCATTGGCTTGATATAAAACCTCCAGTTTTTTTGCAATAACTAGTTGACCTGTATTCCAACTGCAATTAGAATAAAATGAAGACGTGGCTGTTAATCGTTCCACGTGGAGCTTGAGATCATTAGCCATCACAGCAGCCTGACAATATTCCATTGTTTTTAATTCACAGATTCTGAACAGACCCTCAAGGCGCCTTCTTCCCCTCTGAAGCCAGCAAGCCCAGGCAGTTCCACAAGTCTAGACAAATTGCCAAGTCCAGACAAAACATCCAGTCCAGAGAAAGGCTCAAGCCCAGAGAAAACATCCAGCCCAACCAATAGTGCCAGTCCAGCCAAGACATCTACTCCAGAGAAAGCTGGCCCTGAGAAGACCCCCAGCCCAGTCAAGATGGCCAGTCCAAGCAAGTTGCCTAGTCCAATCAAAGTATCATCCTCCACGGACAAGATGAAAGATGAGACTGACGCCAAGACGGAAAAGATGACTCCCAAACAGGAGAAATGTAAGTGTCAAATTGCAGCGCTCAGTTGTCACACTACTGCTTACAGCAACATGCTTAATACATTTGAGGGGCTTTTTAAAATCTGCTCTTGCATCTGGAACTCAAAAGAATGAGTCTTGTAAAATATTTTTTTGTTTAAAAAACACAAGCATTCTTTACCGTTGATGATAATGTGAGTATGCTGCTTGGAATGCCTTGTATTAACCCTTCCATTCTCAAAACTTGACTATTTCGGAGTGACTCCAAAAAACAAAAGCATCATCTATTTCCAATCGTCATTTTTGTTTGTAAAATCCCAGTTTTGAAATCGTATCACGCACATCAAACAAGACACTTCGGGGCTTATAAGGGAAAATTTACTTATTATTTTCATACTTTTTCCTCCTCCCTTTCACCCAAAAGATGATGACATGTCACAGGTTACACCAAGTAGCCAAGACACCCCTGAAAGCAAAAATACTACCCCTATGGAGGATTCCTTCACCCCTATCAAACAATCCGTACCCCCTAGTACTGAATTCTGTACCCCTACCACCCAGTCTGTAGGCACAGCTATCAGTTCCCAAACCCAAATTCCCAAAATAAAAGAGTCAGATGGCCAACCTGAAACCCAGATACTTAACCCAAACCAGACACAACAAACACAGTATGTGCAGACAGACATATTTGGTGAACAAACCCCCAAACCTAACCAGTCTGAAAGAAACATTTCAGAAACAAAGCATTCCCCGACTAAACTTAACATTCCTGATTCCAAAGACCTAGATATGACCTCCCTTGTTGAGGATATTGATAGCCCAGATGATATCATTACCCTAGATGAACCCACTAGGGACCCATTACAACCCAAAGATATCCCCAGTAAACCAAAGCTTAGCCCAGAGGCACCCAGTTTCCCTGGTTATGATGCATGGGGCACCTCACAGCCTAAGCAAGATCTCTTTCCTGAAGGTACTTGTTTGAGAAGTTTGCAGTTCCTGACTAGCATTATTTTCCTCCAATATTTTTCCATTCACCCATCCATTTACTCATGTTTTTTTTTCCATATTAGCCATTGCCGTGTTCTTTTTTGGCTGAACAAGTTACATTTTAAATTTTATGTAGAGAGATTTCAACAGTCCCTTTTGCAGTGAATGTGACTCTTCATCGCATGTGTTTGAACGATTAACATGTTTTTATTCTGAAAATAAAACCTACGATTGGTTGGTTTTTTTTCTATTTTTCGATGAAAGATTTTTTAATACATTTATTAGTTTACCTTGTTTGTGAATATTTTCTGTCGAAGAGTTTTTTTGAATTCTGTATTTCTTTTGATTTTTTTTTAACAGTTTGTGTGTTCGTAATTCTAACCTAAAGCACAACAAATTAATTCATGTATCAGTTATAAACTTGCCACACTGGTGAAATACAGTGTATCAACGTCAATGTTGAATTTCTTTGTTTGTTTTTCAGCTCTTGTGAGTCGGGTTGAGTTGGAGAGTGATGATGATGATGAAGATGGGGAACAGGACCAATCCTTGTAAGTCAGTTAACGATGACACCATGCTGAATATTATCTTTGCGTTGCAACAATTCTTAACAAATCTCGAGAGACTTCTATTTACAATGTACTTCGTATTTTTATACCATTTAATAACTTCCCTCAATCATCCATGCTGTTAAAGTCAGGGTGGAGGAAATTTGGCTCGATTCTTGATGAGAGGCATTGGTCAATTTTTATGATGATAACATTAGAGAAATTCTGAATAATTTTTCAGGTACCAGACAGCGAACAGATCAGATGTTCTTGAAGGATTGGAAACGGGCAACTTTGACACTGATGCTAAGGTAAAGGAAGTAATACTTGCACTTATTCACAATTAGGACTTCCTGTGTTCTTCTAGTGGCTTCTTGTGTGTGCAACCACTTCCTTTTCTTTTTTTCCTAAGTTAATTTATTCTGGTCATTCTACTTAGAACAATTTTCTTATTGAGAAACGTTTGACAATTTAAGTGACAACGTTTCTGTGTCCTTGTTTATACATAAACAAACAGTTCCCAACCTGTGTGATAATTGTTTTTAACGCTAGAAGTAACAATTTGATGTTTGTGAACAATGATTCATTTGAATCGTACCTTCCACACACCAGATTCTGAGGACATGTTCTATGCCAGACCTTAGCAAGCTATTTCGCACCACGCTGGCCCTGAATCCTTTCTTTGAGATAGAGAAGCAGACGATGGAGATAGCTGCCAGGACGTTAGAGTTGGAGTATCTACAGGTCCGAGATGTAGAAGATGATGAGGATGATGATGAGGACACGACGGAGGATAGTGAGGATGTCAATGCTGATGATGCAGGGTGAGACTTGCAAGAACGTGTCCAGATTTGAACCAAGTGCCTACTCTGGGGATGCCTAGTATTGGGTTTTCATCCATTGTTGATGTAATTTGTATTTCCTGATAGGCTGACACAAAGTTGGATCATACAAGACTTTAGAGATACATAGAATGATTTGTATTCTTGGAAAACATGTCAACCCACCTGTGCTACATTGTATTGGATTGTATTGACTTCCTGGTGAATTATACAACCATACAGTGCTGCGGTGCTGTGGGCAGTACAGGAGTAACTGACAGGACGGTTTGGGGCAGCACAGTGGGCTACATTTGTACATCAGACATTTGTGCTGAGAATAAAATGATCTCATTTTGGATATCATCAGTGTCTGTTCTTCCTTTGCTTCTTGTAGAGATGAGGCTGACGGTGATGATGACGATGACGAGGAATACAGGAGTCTTGTTGAATCCATGAAAAGCATCTTAGAAGCTAAAGGTAAAGAGAACGAAAACAGCATCTAAAATATAAGAACATGCAGATGTAGATCCTGTTTGTCCCTCATGAAATGTTTTCATTTTGTATCTTGCTATAAATCATGTCACCTTCCATGCTTACAGCTCAACTATTTCCCACAGCAGGACAGTTCTTATCAGAACTAGATGATAAGTTCTTATCAAAAACTAAATCGACAATAGATATTAATTATGCAGGTTTTGTAAGTTCAATAACAGAAACAAATGTATTTTTGGTTGCCTTGTTTTAGTCTTGTGCACCTTTTTGTGAAACATTCCACTATTGCACATCATAGATGCTGAGGATTCAGCTAGGACAGTTGATGAGGAAGGTCAAGGGTCACCAGGAGGGTCAGATGAAAGGTCATCGCAGTCTGCATCACCAATAGGAGCTGAGGGTGGTGAGGATGAGGATGATATGGCTGATGGGAATGAATCAGGAGAGAGTAAACCAATCAATGAAGATTGGGACTCAGGTAGGCATGACATGACTGATGATTGGTGCAGAGAATATTATATGCTTTGCTTTACCCATCAAGTAAGCATTGGTCTTTCTCCAACATCCTGCAGGTGATGGGACAGATGGTGAGGAGGATAGAGACGGTGAGAGTCTCTTCAGCCGTCTTGAAGAATCTAGACTACAACTTGAGAAGGAACTAGGATGTGAGACATTCATCAAGGCTTACAAGTCTATTCAGGTATATTGACATCTTTCTATTCATGAAAACAATAATAGGAACTGTTGCTCGAAGATAATGAAGGAAATTTATATTTAAAGGAGGAAAAACTTCAGATGATAATTCAGGAAAACCCAGGGAATCAGAAAGGGACTAAAACCCAACCCACAAGTCAGCCTGATTTTGATTAAATCACGGAAACTTTTCTAGATGCAATGATATTATTTACGCATTTAGAGACCACTCACATAGTGCTGGATGCCTCAGTTGGAGAGTGCTGGCACTGTATTCCAAAGGTCCTAGGTTCAACTCCTGCTAAGTAGCTCCTTGTAATTAACCTCTGATACTTGTTTGTTCTTCTCTGATGTCTTAACTATGTCTTGACTCTATCTTAGGCCATTCATGAAGATGAGGATGAAGACATTGAACAAGGCACTAAGGTGATCGGTAGCATCCTGGGGAAAGAGCAAGAACATCTCTATACTAAGATACTACAACTAGTCATGGCTGATGGGGCATATACTGAAGGTTAGTCATTTATTGTCATCGTCATTGTTGCACTTTCGTTGAGATTGTCCAACGCTTGCATGGAGATTTACATTGGTCAATCATATCTTAAGCAAAATCTGTCCCTTAATTTAAATTGGTTTGATATACAGAATACCTTGCGCCAAGAAGCTGAGAATTCAGTCATAATTCTCATGTTACTGTTTACTTTTAGTTATTTGAGGTGAAGACATTTAGTTGGTGTCTCTTGGTAAATACAAGTTTGACATTTTCACTTCTTTCTCTCTCTAATTATAAAAATCAATCAATTTCATGGTAAGTTAAACAATTACACAACTATTTTTTTGGTTATTTTCATATTTAAGTGGGCACATAGAATATTAGTAAACTTTAGATTGTAGCACTGTTTGGAAGTATTTCATTTTTACATTTCAAAATCACATCTATTGGCTTAATCTGGTTGAAGTTATGTTATTTTTAATGAAATCTTTCATCTTGAGATTTATAGAGAATGAATAGCACTTCAGATGCACATCTTGTCACATCTTGTGTTCTCTGCATACTTTGCATGACATGAATTAAACACACACTCATAAGTCTGCTAGACTACGCAGCACACTGCCCTCAATTGTTGATGCACAGACCGATTAAGTTCGTTGCTCTTTTCATGCAGGAACGTTTTTTGTTCCTTCTATTTACAACTGTATCTGAATGCTTAGCGCTGAGACTTAGTGCTTTCTGATTAGACAAGTTACCTTTCTGCTGTTAGCTTTTGAAGTCTTAGTTTATCAATCCTATGTTCTCTTCTATCAGTATCTCTGATGGTATGTGTCATGAACAGGATTTTTATTATCTCAAAGTATGATTTGTAGTTAACTATGAAAAGAAACAATTCCTGTGGTTATTTTTAGTCGGCCATTGTTGATTAAATCCAAGTATGAATGATTTGGTGCAATCTTTTGAACCAGATCACTTCATCCAATAATGTATTTGTTCTGTTTATCGTTTTTTTTTCAGACAATGATTGATGATTGGACAGAGAAGTAACATTCCACGGATCATGCAGTCCACGCATTGCCATGGTGACGACATAAAGGTCATATCAGTCAGAAATTTTGGAACTTTCCCGCGTAAGTTTATAAACAGTGACCGTATCTGTGTTTCCAAATGTTGCACTTGTCAAAAATCTATGTCTTTGACAAGAAACAACCTCTCCACTTACATAGTATAAAATTGGAAATCATTTCATAAATTGTTACATGTAGAAAAGTATGCTTTCCTTGAAATAAGAAATCTGTTAGCAAGTAGTCAGACGCACCTTATTTGCAATGTTTGGCCTTTGTTTGAAAACACACTGTTGAATTACAGCATCATGTTTAAGAGATTTTCTTTTAGCTGCTGCAGCTTAAATTCTGGCTCTGAAAGTTGGGAAAGTGAGTTTGCAACAGGCACACTCAAACTTTTTGCCAAGACCAGTTACAGCCCAGTTTGGGTAGTGAGTCAGAATGTGTTGTTCATGGTTAAATCATGTGCATTCCAAGCCCAGTAAACATGTCTGGGCTTTTGTACAACTTGGCCTAGTTTTTGAACGGTAGTGCTGTTAATCAGAGTGTTAGCAAATGTTATGTGGTTCCTTGCCTGCACATTAATGTGCAAATGGTTTCACACAGTGCCGGCAAATCCTATTGTTGTTCTACAATTTGAAAAGTGCTTAGTGCATCAATACTGCGCCATATCGCCTGCAAATATTCCAAGGTGCCTATCTCTGATTGATGTTGCCATAGGTATTATATGCGATTGGGTGTTTATACTTGTCTCAAAAATCTATAGCCTGTATGAGATGGTCTGGTTACCAGACCAGATGAATCTCTGCGTATACTCATAATCCAGTGAACTGCCTGCAGAACACTACAATGTGTCCATGATGAGTCACTTAGTTCTTGCTTTGATTTTTATTTCTATTTTGTTCAAAATAAGGTTTATTTCTTGTTTTGTAGACAAACCTCTCGGCCCAATTCAATGCAGCTGTTTTAGTGTTTGTCCATTTCAAATTTGTCCAATCAGCAACCAGTTTTCTATTTCATTCCCTGCACACAGCCCCTTGACAAAGAGCGAGTAGGCAATTTAAATGTCTGGGTATGCCTTAATTTACTGCTTTCAGTTTGGTGAAATTTGAGACACATCTTTCTAAAAAATTACTCAAAGAATAATAATTGGTTTTAAGTAATTTATGATATGTGTAGGCAGATTCACCTGTTTGACTTTGAAAAACGTAACGTGACAGTGGAACAAAAACCTTCATACATTGAAAAACATTGGAAACTCGATGTCCAACTTGTTCTATGCATGCATCTTTATATGCATAACTTACAGGGTGTCCATTTGTAATGACCAAACCTAAGACAAAGTCATCTGGACCAGTTGAACAATTTCATAGAAATGATGAAATTCTACCTAACTTGTCTCGTGCCCAGTGAAGACATATTCCTGTGCGACATAATTCCAAACCGAATAACGAGTTATTCCAAGTCATGTGCAAGCTTTGCCAAATTCGTGGTCACATATACTGTATCTATGTTTAATACCCATTTTTTCTTTTGTCAGAAATCTACAGTTTATCATTCACATGATTTCCTATATTCCGTACAGTCAATTTTAAGCCTTCAGCATATTTGTATCTGTACATATATACCATTATGCCTTTCTATGTGTGTGAGTGTATTTAAAGCAATGTGTAATAAGTCAAATATGCATGCAAGCGAGTGAGCTATGTTCAGTAGATGCACAGTTTGTACATGAGTTTCATGTACTCTAATGCATACTATCCGAGTGATCCTTACAAACTAAGCCAGTCGGATATTAAGATATTCCAGAAATTAACTTAAGTATTCTGCAGTGATTGATTCAGTGATTAATATTCAAGCATTCCCTAATAAGTTTACAACTATTCAAACATTACACCAAATATATTCCAAACTATTGTAGTTTGTTGCACATGTATGTACATGCACATGTACATGTATTTTGCCAAAATGCTTCATCAATATACACAATCAATGTGATTTAGCGCAGCAGGTAATTAATGCAGCTTGTATTGTAGTCTGTGTAAAGTCTTATTAATTTGTGGATATCATTTTCCTGCGTGATTTTAATTTAATTGTTTCAGTCATGTGATGTATGTGCATATTTTGTGAAAATAAATTAATTTGTCAGTCATTAGTTTATTTTCTTTGGGAATTTTATCCTTTATTGATTTTGGCTATCCTTACACTTTGAAAGGGATCTTTTATTTTATAATGAAAGTGCTGAATGATAAGGGGTTGTTGGTGCCCTGGAATAGATGAGAAATCGGAGAATTAAGAAGGGACCAATGAATCCAGTTTACTGTTTGCCAAAAATATTCTAGTATGATTCGACAACTGGCTGTAGTGACGTCATACACACGTTGATCTGACTGTCCAGAGCGCACGCCGTGAAATAATTTACCAGAGCATGCGCAGTCCGGGTCGTACCCAAATACTAAATATTTCAAATTGTCAAGATACATGTCCTTCAAATATAACTGTAGTTGAGTTGTCCTTCGATCATATTGACTCGTAGTTCTTTGAGCTTCGGCAGTGTTTGTAGAAATTGCTGACATGTATCGCATATCTTTGAATGATTTTGATCATGAGGATCATGAGGTATTTCTTGACATAGTACAGGGGTGTGACGTAATCATAATGTGTCCATCAGTGATGTAGCATCTAGCATCTAGCGGTGGCCCATTGGCATCACTTTGTAGACATGTTAGCGACCGATAATGACGATGTAAGAGGGGGTTAGAAAGGCCAGTGTACGTGCGCATGTTTCAAGGATTGTTTGGACGTTTCTGAGCTGAATTGAAGTATATCTATTTTCACAGTGTTTTATGGCCGCTGGAACAATCGACGTTTACTGGTTTTCATCGTTTTACCGAGTAATATCTATGAACCAGGTAACAGTTCGTCAAAAGTGCAGTATATCATTAGTCCTGTTTGTTGACGGCAAAATTAACCAATGGTTAAAGATTAACCATTGAAACGTACGAGTTTGCGTTGCTGTACTATCAGGAAACGAGCAATTTGTTGGGTGTACTTCAGGTGCGCGAAAGCTCTGCTTGTATTTCTCATCACACAAAATGAGAGTAGAACAACTTGCTAAGAAAATTGGCCGAGTACGGCCTGAGGATTGTCATGCGGATGTGATACCGCTTCCCGGTGAGGTTCTAAATCAAACCTCAGGCACTGAGGCACCGCGTGAGGTTTTCAGTGAGGTAACAAACGGCGAGGCCACCAAGACAAGACAACAGACTTGGGAGGTTGGCTACAAGATGAGCACAGATGAGAAGAGACGAGGTTCTCAAGGAGCTAGCTTGAGGTTGAAGACAGCCTTGAAGGATGAAACAAGTGTGGTTGGGATCAAGAATGTGGTGGATGATAAGGTCCAAACAGGAAGAAAGTAAGTTCGCTTTTTGTATCTAATTATTTTGTCAAACATTTTTTTTTTTAATGAATTTGATAACAGGAGCTGAAGGATTGATTTTCGTAGAACAAATTCCAATGCCAAAAGATTAAAAGATTTTATATGGATGCGAGATTATTTGTTCCTATGTGCGAGTGACTTATTCTTTTCTCTCGGAAAAGATCTGATAGTAAAAAGGCACGTTCACAGATCAATCAAAGTGTCAATTCGGAAACCACTCATCGATATTAATTTAGCTTTGCACTGGCCGCCGGATTGCCCAAATTAACACACTCAGAGTCAACGCTTTTCACAAAGCTAAGTACATGTGTATTTGTTTTTATTGCATTGTTTAATCTTAATTCAAGAGGTTTCATGCGCGCACGAATTTATTAGAGGAAAACCGGTATGATTTACTTGCGTTGATATAAGATATCAATCTTATTTGCTGGCAGTCATGTGGCAATACCCTCATAATGGCTTGGAGAATGACGAAAAGTGCAAAACCCTGCAATGTTTCTTTTGTGGAGGTAGTACAGCTGTCCTACCTGGAACAGGACCATCATGCTCTGATTGTACTTTTCTTGCGGTTCGATAGCCTGAAAACTGTCAAATAAAATTTAATGACACCTGTGCTGTAGCTTCAGAAATTTGTGTGTTTGCGCTCTATAAAGTGTAGCGGGTACTGACCCTGGGTAAAGGACAGTGCATGATGTAGAAGATTATTCCTCAGACCTAATTTGCATAAAATCTTAGCTCTTTGAAAAAGTACCATGAACTGCATAACTGCATGGTTGAATAACCAGCTGTATCTGAATAACAGTTCCACAATTTTTAGGATTTTGCAACCCCGATGTCACTTGATCACACTAGCTTCTTTCGTTAAAAATTGCATGAATGAAACAGATAATTAAATTTTATATACCTTTTGTTGTTTTTGTAAGTTTCTTTGTAATCAATCATGGTAATTTGCTTCTTCGAACAATTATAAAGAAATATAGAAGAAAATAAACTCGATCATTAACAGCAGTTGTTCATCGTTCGGTTTAGGAATATTCCACGTCTTACGTGAATCATATTTATTCTGTGTGATCTTTGCAGAATGTATTGACTCGTTGGTCTGTTTGTTTTAGTTTGAAGAGTCAATTCGCTCGGTTCCTATTGATTCTGATGATCGATTACCCTGAGAAACGAGCTTGCCTCAGCAGTCGTCTCGTTGCCAAGGGTCGCATGTTTCTTTTACCCGTGCTGAGCAAAAACCCTTTTATTGGACAACCTGTAGGATCTCATCTACGCATGCGTATGTTATTAGAGGGTAATCTCATCTCAGGGTAGTCCTGTCACACGGAAGTCTGTTTTCCCTTGCAAAAACAAGTAAATGTTTAATAGCATGTCGATACTTAAGGAACTTAACGAAATTATACAAAAGAAAACCTAATGAATAAATCTATGAATTCAAAGAAAAAAGACGGATGCATTGTTCTTAGTTTGATTTGACTTTTTTATCCTAGATTTTAATCGATAAAGCAGGACTGTGGTTGCAAAGTGTTGGTGCAGTATCACCATAAAACAAACGAGGAGAATGCAGCAATTACAATGCCATTCCGTTTTGAGAATTTGGGGATATTTTGTTTCCGGCCAGATTTGTATTATAAATTACAACCCGGTATGGAATGGAAAAGAATTGTTGTTGGACTCCTATAATACGATTCCTTTGAATTCCCCCTTCCCTCCAAACATTCCCAGGGTGATGTGGTTATGCCTTTTGCTAGCTGGCTTGGGTATGGTGACATATCAAATTGCAAAGAGCATCACTTATTTCCAATCCTGGCCCGTCATGGTGAATGTCGAGGTGGTCTACCCAGACGATCTAATCGAATTCCCATCCGTAACCATCTGCAATTTCAATATGTTCAAGTAAGTAGATTTATATTAACAGGTATATCTGGATGTTATAGGTCGCCCATGCGAGCTTTCTTTTTGAAGCGGTATCTGAAATTAATTTATCATAGCCAATATACTTTATACCTGAATACAAATTCCGGTTAGAATTTGTTGTTATTCAGACAAAAAGGTCTTAATAAAACGTTTTTGAAACACTAAATTGGCATGTTGGTCATGTATGGTGTTTGATTTTTGAGGATTTAAATTTCCTTTTTTGTTGGACTGTTCAGGAAGAGTGCGGTAGAGATGTACGGTCCAGAGTTCGTGGAGTTCATCAACTTGGCATATCCAGTAGGAATGATGAACTCTAACCAGACACAGCCTGATTTCATGAAATTCAACGACTTTGATTTGAATCAGTTCTATATGGATACTGGACACCTCAAGGAAGATATGATACTGGAGTAAGTTGTTCTATATGGCAGATTTTGAAATAATTGATTAATAATCTTTTTTGCTCAGCGGGAAGTGATGAGCAGAATCAGTTATGAAATTGAGGATAACATTGAGACAAATATCATGTACCACTTTGTTGATGTTTTTTAAAATTTATTTTGTTTTATTTTGTTATAATGTACTTTATTTCTGTTTTATTTTTGGTGTAAAGATGTAGCTGGCAAGGACAGCCGTGTGGTCACGATGATTTCATTTCAATACTGACTGACTTTGGTATGTGCCACACTTTTAATTCTCGTACCAAAGGTATGGCGGTCAGACGCATTAAACATAGAGGTAAGTCCATAAAGTCCACCAAAATGATCCATTGCAGAACAAAGTAGCATCAAATGCCAACTAAGTTGTTTTGTTTCCTATTTTTTGATCACCAATCATCAGTTAATAATGAATCTTAATCTTATCACATCTACAAAACTAAGCAAGCCTATCACTAAGTACAACTGCACTTGCGTTTGACAGGTTCACGGTTCGGACTCCGCCTGCGACTGAACGTAGAGACGGACCAGTATATGCCGGGACCACGTGATTCAGTTGGAGTGAAGGTATCGCTCCATCATCAGGATGATATACCTAAAGGAATGGCGAAGGATTTGGGATTCGCCCTGTCACCAGGCACATACAACCTCGCTGAAGTATCTATGAGTAAGGTATTGCTCATCATAACCGATTCTATAAGTGTCTGATTGATGCAAGATGCATGATTATGAACGTGACGAAACTGATAACATCGTTTACTGTTGTTATAATAATGACTGTAGCCATCCATCTTTGTAACATTTGTGTTCTCTTCAGATTAAGAACCAGCCGCATCCTTACGGTAAGTGTGGCAGTAAGCAACTCAAACACGTTGAGATGTACTCCGTCATGGCGTGTATATTGGATTGCCAAGCTGATTACGTCATCAAGATGTGTCGCTGCAAAGACGCCTTCATGCCGGGTATGTTACACCTAACCCTAAATCTCGTATAGAGTCGCTGCCATCTCGTGCAATCTCGTGGAATGCGCTGGCATCTCGTGGAATCCGCTGACATCCCGCGCAATTTCGCGGAATCCGCTGGTATCTCGTGCAAATCACACTGCAACACGGTAAAATGCCACTTGTTGCTTCCCTGGTCTCTGACACAATTTAACACACAATAGTTACAGCTTTACCTTTTGGGTTTAAGGAGTTCCTTTTTTCCTTTGTCTTTTTTTTCTAACAAACTAAAACTTATTTTTGATATTACTTACTTGACTAAATTAATTAAACATATTATATTTTGACTTTACATCTTTTAGCATCTGACATATATTGACTTTGATGTTTATACGTTTTCCTCGTTTCTTTAATTACTACTTTGTTTTTTAATTAATTCTTTGTTAAATAACAGGGTTTTTTTCTCTTCAACTAGCTATGAACTTTGTTAACATTATGTGTTGGTCCATGTACTAAATAACATAGTTCAATATTAATGTCCTTATTTTACTTCAATTAAATCCTAATATGTTAACTTGTTTCACTTAGTATTTTCAGCTAGATTGTCTAGTCATTTCCTTCTTCTCTACTTGTTACCTTTGTTTCTCCGTAAGGATATCGCAACCCCAACGGCATGATGCCTTTTTTGACAAGTGTGCATGGAAGGAGGGGTGGAGGCCTCGAGGAGGTGACGCAGTTTTTGTTCTGGCAAAATGGCTGCTCTCTTACTACTACTGTCTAATTTGTTCATGCTGTATCTCTCCACTCCATGCATAACTGTATTTTGAGCGTTAAGTCTGGTCATTAATGGTTTAATTGCTGTGGTCTGTCACGTTGCACAGCAAACCCTTCTTGACAGGCTGCGCTGTGCTAAGTAGTGTGACCCAGTCATGGATCCATTCAATAACTGTTACTTAATTTTTCTATCATTTGCGATGTTAATTACACTTAAGCATCACCACCACATAGAAACAGTTTATTATTCGGCATCGCTGAACTGTGTTTATTTAGCAGTTAGTTGATTTTTCCATCCGATGCTGATAATTGTTTCAGAGAGGATCTGGTATTTTTTTCTCCGCCTCTAATCGTTGGAACTTCCGTCTTCATTCATATAGTTGCTTGGCAACATGTAATGTACTATTTCGGCCAAACTTAAACCATCACTAACACCATGGTCGGCCTTCAGATTAATGAATCATTTGCATTAACACAAACCCTTATATATTTTTTTCACATGCAAATTAATTGTACCCCACAAACTCGACATTACTCAAAACCGATAATAATATCTGCCTTAAATCATTAATGTATTTAATGAAAACAATTAATTTCTGAAAAATACCTATTTCATGACTTTCAGGAGATGTTCTGGTTTGTTCGCCACATCAATTACAAACCTGCCTGAATCCACAGATGGGTAAGTTTCTCACATCATAGAGACAGACAGACTGTACAGTGACATAAATGACAAGGATTTTCTTGCCGAACATTTTAAAGCGCCCTCAAGCACCAAGCTCGGAACTCACAGTGAACTTTTATTATTCTATTTCTTATGCAAGAAATGTTCATCAGCTCGTTTGAGAGTAACTGCGCATGCCCAGTGCCATGCGAGCGAACCATGTACTCCACGATGCTGTCATCCGGGATCTTTCCTGCTAGACACGTTGCCATGGCAATGGATAAAGAGTTTAACATGTCTATGGACTACTCGAGGTTAGGGCTCAAACACCGAAATCCATCCATTAACATCCGTTATGTGCTTAAATTAAGATTGCAAAGATTTTGATTATTTTGGTTAAATAAATTGGTTTCTTTGCATTTGCGTGCAATATATAATGAATTTAAGAAACCCATTTGATTCCAGAAATATCTCAGTATTAAGTTGAAACAGAATAAAACACTAAAAACTTAACATACCGACAAAACTAAATCTATAAACATTAACGATTGCAGTGAAATAATAAGTTCTTACACAGATCTTCTCATTAACGTTTAACAAACATTTCAACTTTTTCGCCTGGAGATGATTAATGTATGAAAAATATAAGTTGATATACATGATTACAGTCACGTTGTTATTTGTTCGTCTTTCAGAAATAACTTACTAGAGTTGATGGTATATTTTGAGGAACTGAAGTACACACAGATTACTCAACAGCCCGCTTACACCTTGGAAGGTCTACTCAGTAAGTAATTATATATCTGTTTATAATTTTTTTTTTTTTGGAAACATAAATTGCTTGGTTTTGGTGTTCTTCTCTTTTGTTTCTTTTTAATCGATGAAACTTAAGTTGGTTGTTCTTTCGTTAGGTGACATCGGGGGTTCCATGGGTTTGTTCATGGGGGTCAGTATCCTCACAATCTTTGAGCTCATGGATGTGTTTCGCAAGGCATTCTACTAGCTACAGAGGGCGCTTTCCGTAATTGCATAATCCTACTCTAGCGGGCGCTTTCCTAGTTACCACATGCGGAGCCGAAAGGAAATTTTTGACCGCCAAGCCGAGTAATTTAGTGATAAGTAAAGCGACTAAGAAATACTTATCAAGCCAAATGGTTACATATCCCATCTCGTAAAAGGATAGCATAAAAAAGGTACGTTTTCCTTTGTAATGTTTTAACTATGAAATAATGCGGAAATTTGGACCTGTTTTGTTAAATTAAACTAATTGGGCTTGCATAACATTGGCTATAGGGGATAGGCCTATACTACAAAGTTCGTCCGGCAACACAACTGCCTTCACACCGCTTAAAATGTTAACATATCATTCACTAACCGTTAGTTCAATCATTAGGCATATCTGATCAAATTACATTTGTTGTTGGAGTCGACACAAAGACGTTCATCGCTGTAGAGCGACTATAGTTTGTTGTGCTGAATCAAATGTCTATGGTTATCCATTGTAAAATAAATGTACCTTTCGTTACAACAGGTGTTGGTTCATAAAAGTAAAAGTTAAATATGTAAGTATTCAAATTTCATTATTTGAGTAACCCAAATGTTATATTTTAATATTGTTTTCATCTAACTGTGATTGTATTCAAGCATTTAGTAAAAATACACGTACTAGTATAACTTTTGTATGATTTAAAAAAAAAAATTTTAGAACTAAGTTTGTACGACCTCCTTGCATAACATAGGGTATATTATTTTATGTCTTGATAGATTAATAACAACAATAGTACCTTTAATTATATAAAATGAAGAAAAATTAACGATACAAATACCTGTTTAACTTATTTTACCAAGAGAAAATGATAATTTATTTGAAAAGCGAAGCTACAATCTCATGCACTCTATAGAAATCAATGGTACATCAGCCTGCATAAACTGACAAGAAGGCATGTTTTTGCCCTTCCTATTATTTTGTTTTTGTTTAGTTTCTTAATTACTTTCTTCATTTCTTTCCTTTTGTCTGATTTCTGGCCTCTTGAATCACTTTGCCAAGTCCCTTGATTGCCTGTGAAAATATTCATAAACCAGGTTACTGTTATTTTCACTGATAACGACAAAGAAAGTACAGGAAACAAACTTCAGTATAATATTATTCTTTTTACCTTTTCCATGGACTCCTCATCTGCCATGGTTATGGAAACACGTAGGGTAGCCACGCCCTCTGACTGGGATTCTCTTGAGTAGAATCCTGATGCAGGGGCCATGGTGACTTTGTGTAACTTGATCAGTCTGTCGTTGAGTTCATATGACGTTAGCCCTGTGTCGTAGACTCTAAACAAGATGTACATGCCACCAGGAGGGACGTTCCACTTAGCCAAGCCTGAGGATATTGACGTAATGGTGGACCGGAGAATTAGAGGGAGATAAGGAATACTAAAATTCATCCCAATTTTGAGCATGCGTTTAACAGTTGTCTCATGGTGACCATGCACTCGAATTCAGTATTTGATACTTCTAAAAACTTGCATTAATTGGTGATTAAAATTCTGCAGGGAGTTGAAAGCCACAAATATAAATCGCAAGAAAAAAAATTGCAAGGCTTTAATCATTATAGAAGTACCTATCAACCACTTGTCGGCCATCGCCAACGCATGCAGTCTTTTCCGGCGGTTAAATTCGACGGTTTTCTGCACGTGGTCTTCAAAACCAGCCGCACCCCAGTGTTTCAGCAGCTTGTATATGATCATCTAGCATGGGGCGATACAATGGAGATGAAAAGACGACTGGCGGTAACGATTAGGAAGTGGAAAACGACAAAGTAATTAGTGGCAATGACGATTTTGGCGGTGACGATGACAATGGTGCATGTGTGACCAATGAGGATGGTGATATCGAAATTTGAAATTGTCATACAGATGACAGGAAATGACAGGAAAAGAGCACCTCACCTGGGACATGACGCAAGTGTGGAAGGTGCCCTGCATGTAAACATACTCAATCTTCTTTACAATAGCATCGGGTCCAGTGATATATCCACATCGCAAACTACAACAGCAAAAAGGGCATGTCAATTCATAGCGAAAACATTAACAGGTTTGTGTCGTAGTAATAATGAGCATTTAATTCAAATGAAGAACAATGCTGACTTCTAAGCAGATTATGTTTGGGTAATGTAACAGTGCCACATTTTTATAACATTTTGTTAGAATTAGAAGTGATCAATTAACAATGAGGTGAACAAGGAATGCTAACCAAATAAATGTCATTTCAGTGATTGGTATTGTCATTCGTTGTCAATAACGTGTGTGGTTGTGTGCAGGTATGTTCTCAGCAACTGGCCTGGCACGGCCGTGGGGAGTGACAGCGTATCGGAGCGGGGCTCGGCCGGATTTGACGGTGAGGATAATGCGAAAATGTATGCACTTCTCGACTTGGGTGGGTGGCTGGTAAAGTGAGTACTAGTTGCTTCCTATATATGTTTTCCAGGAAATTACGTTGTCTTTACCCCGGTGAGACGATTTTAGAGAAGGAATCAAATCGCAGGACTCTTCCGTCTACGTCTAGAGACAGGTAGCTTGGCACCCTGGGCTACAGAAATCGAAATAATAATGGTTACGTAGGTGCTGAATTTGGGGGGGGGGAATGGTAAATTTTGGTAGATAAAAAGAGAAAGAATACCAAAACAAATCCCAAAATTTATATTCGACTTTGAAACCTCAATGTGCATTTCACTAAAGTAGATGAACAGAAAATATTGATAGCGCAATAAATTTCATTTCCGAATGCACACATTGAAGACAAGTCCAATTCTCACCATGACTTCTTGGAGATAATAGTACGGATCATCTTCCACGATAAGAAGATCGTACTCATGGGCAATAGCATAGATTTCTTTGCGTCTCTCTGCTGAGGTGGTGACACCGGCTGGATTGTTACATGTTGGGTTGAGCCATAGGATACGCGGGATACCTGACCTGATAGAATAACATCAAAATCAATGATCGTGAAAAGTTTAACAATTTAATAAAAAATGTAGGCCTACAGTTTACCTTTTAATTTTTTTTTAATTTTTGTAAAGTTCTAGATCCTGACTGTATATACTTACTCAGGATTCTTGGCATCTTGCGGTGTCCATCTTGAAAGATTCTCTCTCAACGATTTAGGATTTGTTCCATCCGCATCGATATCCACGCATAACACCTCGCTGACTGCACTGATCTATGCCAATAAAATACCTTTCCTTAAAATTCCCGATCCTCAAGGATTAACCATAAAACGTTCACAGCGGTTTACTGGCTCGTATTGACAATAATGACAACAATAATAGTTGAAATTATTACTAAGTAGACAATGAAGCCGATTTGCGTACCAGTGGTGCTGAAACAATGGCGAAAGATGGTACGTTGACAAGAATCGGGGCCTTGCCGTTGGAACACATCAGACCAAACTGAAAGGAATAAGACAGTAAACCTGGAGATCAAAGTTGTAAGTCATCCTTTGGCCTCATTTGGGCCATAAGATCACAAAGTCTCTTTTGTCACATTTTGGCAATTTCCCCATAAATACCGTAAGCAGAGCCATCTGTACTCCAGGAGTCATAAGTAAACGCATCTTGCTTGGGCCCTCCCCCAGAGCTGCCGTGGGAGGGCGGTGTTCCTCACACTGCATCTTGCACAGCAGATCAAGAAGTTTGCTGAACCTGCATTCACAATCAAAGAATGACACTTTACTGCAAGCTTACAGCATAATTGAACCGACGGGGTGGGCCATCCTCAGTATTTCTTTCCATAAAGTAGTCGTGCATTTTCTGTACATGTATTTCTTTACATAATAAGCAACAAAAGTACTCAAAATCTAAAGATGGGTGCTTAACAACTAATCTGATGACATTTTAGCTCCGTGAATGCTGTAAATTTTGAGAACACAATATGTTATCTCCATGATGGTTCATGCATAATGAGAGACTCATCATTTCAGTCGTTTTCACCTCTCCCCTGATCACCGTGATATATTTTGACATACCCTTTTGTTTTACCCATTGTTTTACCCATGACATACCCTTTTGTTTTACCATACTGCAATGCTTTAGCCATCTCTTCTTCTGTAATCTGCATCCGAGTTCCATCCCTACAATGCACAATCATCAGACATATTGCAGACATAATTATTATGCCTTTCGTACGTGGAATTAATATTCAACCAAATTAGTTAATTCCCATTGAATGTACATGTAATTGTATACAACGCCTGAAAAACTCAAGCCGTCCTTGAATTATTCGCCTAACAATCCCACGACCCAGCCGCATCGCAAAAACAAAAGTTCCATTCCGCATGCAGTACATGCAAATAGAAGTTTCATGTGGTGACAGATGGCATGCTCAATTCCACGTGTGACTTCATAAATTATACTTATACCAGTGCACTCATAAAAAATGTATTAGGCCTAGTTGTATAATATTCTTTATATAAGCGCATATAATTATTACAATCTTATTAAATTTCACCTCTATCACCGCTATACTATAAAGCCTCGTAATTACAACACCGTGTACTGCATGTGTATTCATGTAAACGAAATGCCTTTAATACAAAATTAATGACTGCAGGTGAATGTAATGCATTATTCCCAACAAATATTTAACCCCCCGCCCGAACAAAATTAGAATAACTAGTCAAACATAAGCTAAGCGAAATCGATAAAACCGTCCTATACTAGTAAAAAAAGACGTTCTATTGTGTCCATTATGCGAAGAGCGCGAGCCATATTATTGTTGATTTGGTTCAGAAACGCTCAGAAACAAATTGAGTCAAAGAATTAAGACTTCTTTAGTCGCACATGAACATGATAGTGATGCTTTAATCCTTTTTGTTTAATTAAAAAATCCTTTATTGAAAATATTTCCACACAGATGACATATTCAATGTAAAAGGACGTTCGTAATCAAACGGAAGTTTTAGCCTTGCAAATTTAAATCCATGATGAGCTAATATTCGGAAACATCGGCCCAGATGGAAAAGCCAGGTCAATTGGTTATCCATGCTGTTCATAAGTACAAGTACTCATGTGGCTTTTTGACATTTTCTACATAGCTCCTTAATTCGACCTGATCTTGTATGTCTACTCACTTGAGAGTGAACGTAGCATTACTAAATGGAAATATGGCAGGGTTGGGCATTCCTAATGAAGAACTTCGGTCCACATCGAGAGGTGTCGAACCGACTGTATGAAAAAGGGATTTACAATATTCTGGGTCATTTTTATTGCCGATATTTTACTATTGTGGAATACGTCCAAACAAAGTGTACCTAAAAGATTTGCCTATACATGTATATATGACGCGGCGGCTATGTTGGAATTAATGCAAATATTAGGCACCCGCCCATGTGGTGTCATCCCGTCTTTTCCATCTGCCAAGTTTAAGATGCTTTGAACCAGCCAGTCACTGAACTTGGATCCAAGCAACCTGCGCGTTACTAGGCATATGGTGCATTTTTATAAAAGGATCCAGGCAGAAAATAAACATTTCAGTTTTTGGACGAAATGGCCCTAATTTTGAAAAGTTTTCAATATTAATTAAAAGAAATCGCACTATATACTCACATATTTGTTGAATGACAGGCGGCTCCATCTCCTGCACTAATGCATTTAAAAAACGCGAGTAATCCATGGTGCATAAATACAAATATTCAATTTAAATTGAAAATATTTCACAACATATGAAGACGCTTGAAGAAGCCTAGGGAATAGGCCAGTAGTCAGTTCTATTATAAGACCTGGAGCAAGCATAAACAGCAACGTACATGCAGTACAATTAACAGTGAACAGGAAAGACGTGACTAGTTCATACTGTATTACATGAACGTGGGCTGTGCAGCCAAAAAAACGTGAACAAAAATTAGGTTATTGATAATAATATGGGTCACCAGCTGCCTTATTTATGCATGATTGCCATCCACGCCTGCATGCATTAATGATGAACGATTTGCAGGGCAGTATTCCCCGGATCAGTGACTATGCTCATAAAACTGGCCCCTTGGATGAAAATTCCGCGGCTGCAAATGCTTCTCCAATACTATTAGCTCATCGATCAATTTGTTTCTATTGTCCAATAATTTCAACTTTTTTTCTCGGGTGATTTTTGACGAATTAGGCGAGCGGCTTACTTCAATTCTGCGCAGTTGACGTCTGTGTAATATTTCTCCCTTGTTGAATATAATTATGTTTGCAAACTAAAATTATAGACGTTTGTCAACATTTGTTGAGAAGTTATAAAAAAAAATCAACTATTAGGGGAGGAACATGGCAACAGGAAAAGTCAACAACAGTTTTGTGAAATTCAACCATTCCACTGTGAAGAGAAATCGGTTTATAAAATACGTAAGCTATACCACCATTTATTGTATCTCAACAAGTGACAGTAATTAACACATTAACAGAGTAATGAAAATGAGAAAATCCACCGACGTTATAGTGATTGAATTACTTCTTCACAAAAATCAAATTATTGGCTGCCAGACAATAATTCGGCTCTCGCGGGGCGGGTTCAAAAACTGTGCGCAAAATGATTTTTTTTTAGAGGGTTTCAGACGCCCAATATCGGAATAATTTGATTTTTTTTTTATTAAAACAAACCATACACAATAAAATTCGTTTTTAAAAATCCATTTTTGAAGAGCACGGGTATAATCTTTAAAGTATGATTTTTTAGTATTTGAACTACAAAAAGTAAACAAAAAATTATCATTTATTGAACCTCAACAAAGGACTCGGCAAATTATCATACCACAGCCAATGAGCAATTTATTCATTAAAAGTATAGAAGCAAAAGTAAATAAATTGTCAAAATCATCAACAAGGCTATGAACTTGTAGACATGATTACCTAATCCAAGTACAAATCACACCAAGTCAAAACAACAAATACAAATTATTTCAATATCTTTTTATCCCAAAGCTCATTCATAATCAAAATAAAACATAAGCAAATGAAGCTTGAATGGTAAACTTGGCAAAGCCATTAATTAGTGTTAATTTATAATTCCCAAACACTACCTAGAACTAAAGATAAAGCTGGAAATTCTAATATCAAATACATTCAGACAGCTGTCGTTCTTGTCAAAGCACAGAGCGATTAAAAAAGACAAAAATAGTTGGGTTTTTTTCATTAGTAAAATATATATCTGCAAACCCTAACGGTTTTATAATCCATTGTTTGAAGAAGTTGTCATAACAACCAAGTCCATGACTTCGTTTATATGGATTATTTTAAAAACAGTTGTCTAAAACAGAAACGTGTTGGTTACAAATTGATAACCATTGGAAAAACAAAGAAAGAAAGGGATCTTTCTGCAATCTAATTAAATGTAATTGAAAATATATGATATATATGACATAAACAGACGAAATTAATGAAATGCTTAAAAAAAATCCTTTTTTATACTTTTTTGGCAGGAATTTAATTGGTTTCATTTTGAGACCACAAATCTGTGGAGACTCTAAATCTATCTATTCATCTATACTTTATAAACATTATTTATATGATAGAATGTATTTGGAGAATGATATATAGAATGTAATAAGTTTGAAAATGACATACTGCGCAGGTCTCTGCTTGGTAAAAACGTTAGACTGTATTCATAACTCATTATATTGCAAACAATGTGATTATTAGGACAATACCCAATATTGGGTTCTGTAATTCATCGTTGTGACCAAAACAAAGATGTAGTACGCTGGTCTCCAAAAAGAAAATACACAAAGCCAACAATAGTAATCAAAATTAAGAAAACAAAGGGACTTGTGTATGTATTGACTTGATGAATTCAAGATTTAATGACGGCTGTCTGTATTTTAACTTGGTCATTCTTCTTGACATATGCAGTCTGTGCTTCTTTAATCACCTGGGCCAGCCCCTTCATTACCTGAAACAAATATATCAGCAAATTAGCAAAATCTTAGTTTCATTCTGCAGTCGCTAAGAGTCTTTAGAAAACAAAATTCAATCTCAAGCCTGACCATGTGAGACATCAAGAATGTTTGATCAAAATAATTTTTCCAAATCTTTTTTTTACCATCGCCATCTCATCAGCCTCTGCCATTACTATGGAGACACGTAAGACAGCCACATCATTCATCTTGGCATCTTTGGGGTAGAATCCGGTGGCAGGAATCACAGTGACTTTGTGTGTCTCCATCAGCTTCTTATTGAGTTCTACTGAAGTGAGTCCAGTATCGTAGACTTTAAGAAAGATGTACATGCCACCTGGGGGTATATTCCACTCGGCAAAGCCTGAAAAACAGGGATGAAATCTACTTCAGTGCTCTGTGATGTCCAAACACAACCATGCAGTCTTAAAACTGAAGGGTTTTATTAGGTCAGAAATCAAGTGTGACGAAAGCGTTCAAAATACGGTAGAAATGAATGCTCAAATATCAATTTCCAATTCCATACGTTATTATTGAGTTCCCAGTACACTCGGCATTTCTAATCACAATCCACACTGGTGAAGTAATCGATGATACATTACAACAAATGATGAATTACCCTTCAACCAGTGATCAGCCATGGCCAAGGCATGAAGTCTTTTCTCGCGATTAAATGCAACGATTCTTTGCACATGATCTTCAAATCCAGCTGGTCCCCACTTCTTCAGGAGTTTATGAATGATCATCTAGGAGCAATAGAAGAAAATTACTCAAAATGTCACTGATGATTTCTTTCACGCAGTTGACGTTGATGAAATTGTTCAGGATGTCTCAGTGACACTTTGCCTCCAACCCTAGAGAGCCAGGTTCACATCCCAACTGGTTTGCAGTTGATCCACTCACCTGTGACAGCACAGAAACATGTTGACTGCTCTGCATGAACACATACTCCATCCCCTTCACAATTTCTGCAGGTCCAGTAACATATGCACATCTTAAACTGTCAACAAAGCAAGAGAATATCAAGTAAAAAAACAAGCCTTCATATAGCTTACAAGAAATTACAAGAAACTTGGTCTTATAGGCATTAACAAACATTTTGTTAATAAAAATATTATTAATCCTTGCCAAACACACTGTCTGAACTAGACTGTAGCCAAGAACAAGATTTGGCACACTTAAAATTCCAAATGCTCAAATATAATTTGGGGACAAAAAAGAAAAGTCGGGCATGACAAATATTCAGTTGTCATTGTTCATCTCTCGTTACTTGTGACTGCATTTAAAACTGATGTTGGATGGGATTGCGATTTGACTTGTGATTTGACTTGTGATTTGACTTGTGATTTGACTTGTGATGGACTTGTGATGGACTTGTGATTTGACTTGTGATTTGACTTGAGATGGACTTGTGATTTGACTTGTGATGGACTTGTGATTTGACTTGTGATTTGACTTGAGATGGACTTGTGATTTGACTTGAGATGGACTTGTGATTTGACTTGTGATGGACTTGTGATTTGACTTGTGATGGACTTGTGATTTGACTTGTGATTTGACTTGACTTGAACTCTGCAACATTCCCAATCTTACCCAGGAGAAATGACCTTTGAAAAGGAGTCAAATCTCAAAACTCTGCCATCCACATCAATGGAGAGGTAACTTGGGATCCGAGGCTGTCAATCAAATCAATCAGTTCAAGTCATCATGTTAATATTCTGTCCTTGATATGATTATCAGATTTCTTAATTTAACTGCAGTCTATATTAAAACAACGCAGGAATTCTAAGTTGAAGCTCTTAGTAATCATGCAGTAAATTTCCTAAATTAGAAGCATACCAGAGATAAAGCACTCAGCAGGATATTTTCCACATGCCCCAGACATCAGAAGAAGAAACAGTTATTACAATAATCACCCGGTTTTCTTGTAGGTAATAGTAAGGATCATCCTCCACAATGAAAAGGTTGTACTCCTGAGCAATAGCATAGATTTCTTTGCGTCTCTCTGCTGAGGTGGTGACACCGGCTGGATTGTTACATGTTGGGTTGAGCCATAGGATACGCGGGATACCTGACCTATATTGGAGAACATATTTGCCAAAACAATATAAAAATTTACAACAGTAATACAGTAAGTTTGATCTAAATAATATATCTGATTCCTCTTCTAATAAACTTTTCTGGAGTGGCATGGATGAAATTTTCTGACAATTCTTATCCAATTTTCCACCTAACATGCTAATTAATTTAAAAGTTGAGTGAGTTTGTTTGTGCTTACTGGGGATTATTGGCATCTTGAGGCGTCCATTTTGAGAGGACACTACGGAGTGATGATGGTACAGTCCCATCAGCATCAACTTCCACACATAATGCATTGTGGATAAAGTCAACCTGTGTACAAAATCAGGGTGAAAGGAGCCTCTGATTAAACTGCATTTCTTCAAAAGCACAATGTGCATTTACTAAAAAATCACATCAAACTGAGCATAATAATTTTGGCTTACATACCAGAGGTGCAGACATGACAGCAAAGCAAGGTGTACTGAAGATAATAGGAATTCCATCACTGACACACACCATGGCAAACTGTAAGACATGTCAGAAAAAGAAAGTAGGGAAAGTTGGACCATTTGGGAATACGGTGGGGAAAGCCTTATTCTCTTAGTATGAAGATGCACTGTTCTTACAGGAAATCATCATGTGTGTTCTGTGGGAACATGTGCCTGCTACTTGAATCTACCTATTCCATCGGGGAACATTTTGGCAATGCTGCATGTTCTCAACTCGAAACGTGCCATGTTTGAAAGTTCAAAGTTTGTAGATACTTATTCAACTACCACAAACAAGTAAATTGACAGGATAATTGCATTTTTTTTTAAATCAGTGGCGAGGTTGACGTCAACAACTGACTACTGAGAGTATTGCATAAGTTAGTGGGCAAGGTACTAGGAATGAATGCTATCATGTGACCTATCGTACTGACTGTAAATAATGCCATCTGTGCTCCTGGAGACATTAAGATGCTCATCTTGCTTGGCCCCGCCTCCACAGAGGCAGTGGGAGGATGGTGTTCTTCACACTGCATCTTGTAGAGTAGATCAAGAAAATCATCTTGCCTGACAATAATAAAAAATGGAGTAAGAATGATTTTCAAGATTTTGTTCCGTTAGAAAATGGTCAATCCATTGAGTAAATTAACTAAAATTCAATCACTGTAAATGAGGACAGTACATAGTGGTTTGCCTTGGAGCTTTGAAATTTAGCATGTTAGCAGTAATACTGCTAAATCTGGAGATTGCTAGATTGAATATAATTAATTGACAAAGATTCTAGGATTGAACCAATCAGGCCATCTAGCTATTTTGATTTGCATATTTCACGTCAATCCAATTCAGTCAGTAAGCAATCTGTAGCAGTTTTAGTCAGTTTCATAAAGCTTTCTGACACAATTAATTATTTGGTAAAGAAATGGGCGAGGGAAGGTTTTTGCTTACTGAGCAGCTCAGTGATATTGAGAAAAAATTAAAACAATGAAGCAAATGACTCACCCTTTGCTTTTTCCATACTGAAGCGCTACATTCATTTCTTCTTCTGTAAACCTAATCTGTGTGCCATCCCTGAAATGTGGAATTTTATTGTTTGAAAATCACTGCGACTCTACTTTAATGAAATTTAGCACAGTACTCAGGCAGCTAAGTACTTGACTCGACATGCCGCAATTGTACTCGATCATCAAGGTACTCGTACTCGAATAGCAATACTCAAAAAAACAAATTAGTAAGTTACAAGTGATTCAAAAATGACCCAATGCTGCTCGCCACCGTAAGTATTTACACTGACACAGTGTGGGGACTTTTCATCAACTAAAGTCAAAGCCATGTATGGGATCTAGCATTTTGCAGAACTAGCCAAAAAAAGCTTTTTGCAGATTACATAAATACAATATAGTCTATGAAGTAGATTCAGAAACTTGGGGTTGATTTTCCTCTGAAGATTTTTTACATACAATGTATAGGGCCTACAAAATACAACGTACATACTCACTTGAGGTCAAAGGTCGCTGACCCAATTGGGAATGCAGTGGGATTGGGAAATCCTGCAGATGCACTTTTGTTTACGCCAGAGGGAGTTGCTGAAACTAATTAAAATATAAACAAAAATACAAAATAACAGGTTTGAAAAAGAAAGGCTTGATCCTTCTTGAACAATGAAGTACATGTATTGAATGAAGCAATAGGATTACAATGGATTAGGAATCATAGGATTAGGAATCATGCAAGATAAAATTAGAGTCTGAACAATAAATTAGTCCTACTAGGCCTAAGGCCGGCTAAGCAGGAAGAAAATCAATCAGTTTCGAAAGGACAGCTCACTTTGATTACATATCACTCCACTCAGAGTGGATGCAACTAACAGTAACATTACAAAAATAATAATACATATATAAACGTTTTGACTAACCTATCTGTCGGATGACAGGAGGTTGCAGATGTAGCCCATAGTAATTCAGGAATCGTTTGTAGTCCATTTTCTGATGATCCTGGAGGTAGCAAGTTTTGAAGGCCTAGGCCCTAGTTCTTTTATCGGACAAGCAAAAAGTAGGCCTAAGTGAGTCTACAATTAATTGCAGGGAAATAGGCTTACAGTTACAAATGTACAAAGCTCACTGACTTCAGTCGCTTGATAAAATACGCAGGTACCGGTCATACACATATGTAACTAACTAGTACAGGTACGGTATTCGAGGTTAGTTTTCATTGTATTCATTGAGTGAAGGTCAACTCCCGGCCCGGCCCGGCCCCTCCAACTTAACATTGTCCAAACAAAGTATTTTGCATTGGCAGCACTCCGTCTAATGAGGGCGCACTCACTAAGTTGGCTCACATGATAAGGGGAACCTTCGCAACATGGACCAGGAAAAAAGAACTCGAACACAGGGAGAAGATGACAAAGAAAGCGAAGAAAAGGCAAAGATGCCGTCTATGAATATATTCCAAGCTGTTAAGGCCAAGTAAGCTATATTTAGAGTCATTCTATCAATGAAAGAATCTGTTAAAATATGCGGTAGCCTAAAATTGTTTAAAATGTTTAATCTATTTCGTGATAAATTTGTTAACCGTGTGGGCGATCGTGTATCTACGGGCCCGGTTCCTTAAAGAGAACAAAATTCACTTTTAAATGATTTGACCTACCTACTGACATGACTGATGCATAATTCATCCCGTGTGGTGTAGTGGTAAAAAAAAGTCTTGTCTCCTACTCAACTTCCTCAAGCAAGTGTCCGCGGTTCGAATCTTGATGAAGTAGCCTAAGACAGTGACTGATTAATAAATAGGAATGAAGGAAAGGAGAGGGATGGAGGGTGAGAGTGGAGGAGGGAAAGTGGAGGGAATAACCATAAAGGATGCAACTTTTGGCGACTGAAAATTAATTGCAAAAAGTGGTGGCAGTACGGAATGTTTTCCACATTGGTTAAAAAGTTTACCTTGAGTGATGGAGATACTACAAAACAATTTTCCAAATTTAAGCTCTTTTTACTTTGACTTTACGACGTCAAAAGTACCAATGCCACTTTTCTTAGTTTCAGATCGGTTCAATCAGTTCTGAATCAATCAACTTCGCGCGAGAAAAAAAAAAATCACGCGAGAAAATAAATTTTTCAGCCAGAACCACCCTGAATCAAGCACATTTTCTGACAAAGTATTATTTAATTTTCCAAAAATAGTTCATTCAAGAGAATTCAAGCAAATTGTACAAAGAGAATTAATGTAAATGATTTTGAAACTTTTGTCTGCAGCGCAACGACACGAACTCACGCACGACCGAAAACCTTTGACCCATCACAGAACACGTCACACAAAATCGATTAACGCGCGTGTACTTGGGTGGCAAGTACACACGCTATCCGGAACTAGGCAAAAGCATACGGTCATTCATTGTAAGTCTACAACTTACTTTGATTCAACAAACATTCGATGGAGGAGTTTATACAACTGTTGTGTATGAACAAACTATTCAAAATCACACAGTACGAGTGATGTACCGAGGAGAAAATTTATCGTCGATTTGCAGCTCCAGTGATTTTCTACAAACAGTCCAAACATGTCAAAGTGTGAGTCAGAAATCTAGCCAAAATTCATTTTCTGAAGATTTTATCCAAAAGATTTTTGTGTATCAAGAACTTACGTTTTTCTTTTCAAAGTGCACTTCGTCAGAAAAAAATTATTGGAGACCAATCCAAAAGAGGTAGGTTTTTATTTGAAGTTATCCGGAATTAGGAAAAATCAGGAACTAGGAAAACGACTGTACTATCAGAAAGTGATAATATGTCCTAAAAAGTCACATTTTGCAGGGAAAATATTAGGGTTTTTTTCTGAGAAAACACTTAGAGAAACTGCTCAAATTACAAAAAAGCTCTTGAGAGAAGTCTGCTTTAGGTTGAAAAGTTCAATTTTTAGTAATAGAAAACAACCTTGACTCTAATTTGATTGAAACTAAACAGGGGCCCTATACTACACGATCGCCACTGTGTCTATATCGCCCATGGTATCGGCAGTCCAAGAAACTTGGACCCTACTTACTTCTAGAATTAGTTAGTAAGTAGAACCAGACTAGGTGGATTGGTTGGCCATGTTCTACACAGCGTACGCAAATGTTCTCGACCATTTGGTATGATGGGGGGATTGTATGCTTTTCATCGCACAAAAACACACATGAAGAAGTGTGATGGAAAAAAGGAGCTCAACACAACAAATGCGAGCAATGTTTGATTTTCTGAAAGGTCACGCACGGAACGCTTGTATTCTGAGTCCTGTATGCGAGAAATGTTAGGATTACACGGGTACCTGGAGTGCTACTACTATTTGAACAGCACATGAGATTTCATGAGTAGAGAAACATGCATAAATTTGTTGTTGTTCATTTTGTTTTCCAGCTACCTGATTCGAGTGCAGGAACTTGTAGAGAGTGAAGGGCCGGGCATTCTGGTGGAGTTTGATGATAAGGGACATTCCCCTGTGCATTGGGCAGCCTTAGGTGGCAGCACTAATATCATACGTCTCATGGTGCAGTGTAAGGTCCCATTAGGTAAGATGAACATTTCAAGCTCTTTCTTCAAATACAGAGCATTTCAAAACTTGTCTCAACAGCTCTGTTCAATTTTGACGTTCCTTTATGACTTTAATTTTTAGTCATACCACATGAATGATATTCATAAGATGAAGTTGCGTCGGGGTGGTATGCCCTTGTTTTCCTTTTCAACCCAATATTGTTGACTTGGCCAATTTTATGTGATTTTTTTTCAGATTGACTCATAAATGTTTAATATGTGTTCATATAGATCAACAGAGCAAGACAGAGCTAGGTCCCAGGCCGATCCATTGGGCGTGTGTGAACGGTCACGTTGCAGTGGTTGATATACTCCTGCAAGCTAGCGTCTCTATTGACACAGTTGACAATAAGGTACAGACAGATTCACTCTGTTGAATGCACCGTAATCAATATTTTCTTCGTGTGACTCAAGGGGGCAGGCATTTTTATCCTACAATGATCTTTTCATGGGATCAAAATGTTTCATTGTTGATTCCAGTCACTTAAGCAAAACCCTTACAGAGTTTTCTTTTTTTATTTCATTTTAATAGAAGTATTTCTGTTATAAAAAGAGGAATAGTGGGTATATTTTATTACTAATTTGAAGTGAAATCTTTTTATACATATATCCATTAAAAAAAATTCTGTACATATTCACACAATTACAATGTAGAGGTTAAACATTGTGTTGTAAAAATTAGAGGGCTAAGATGCTGATCATTCTCAAAGTTAAAATAGGGTATAAAAGCTGAACATGTTTACTTGTTGTTTGAATTGTTTCTAGGGTTGTACACCACTCATCATAGCCTGTCAGTACGGTCAGACAGTGCTAGCTGGATACCTGATGGGTAAGGGTGCCAGGCTACAGCTGACAGACAGAGAAGGAGACAATGCATTACACTGGGCAGCATTCAAAGGTAAATGGCTTGCAGAAAACTCAAGTAGAGTCTTTTGAGATGCTACAGGGTGAGTCAAAAAAAGCGCAACCCAAACCCCCAAAATTATATTTCATATTTAAACAAATATGTAGCACCAAACATAATAATGAATGGAAAACCAAATTCATAAGCTACTTTTAGATGAAAAAATACTGAAATTGCTCAATCCGTTCAAAGAATATTTTGCCATTTAAACACAATTACCCTAAAACCTCTTTTGTCCAAAAATGCGATTTCAAGAATCGTCGTCACAACTGTCTTCAAACATCACCAGCTATAAAACCTCAGTTTAAAGTTAAAAATATTCAACAAAGTCCTTTTGAAGGCCTGTCTTTTAAAAAAACGTGGATTTTATAAATCATGTTGTTTGCCTAAACAGGGTTGATAATAAAGATTATGTGTACTACAGCTGTTGACAGTTGTTGAAACAAGTATTCTGTGTCATTTTCTTTGTTGTTCCAAACAATCAGAATGCACACTAAACTGCTTTTTTTTGACGAAATAGGTTTTAGGGTCATTGCATTCAAATGGTGATATTGTTTGAACGGATTGAACAATTTCAGTAATTTTTTCATCTAAAAGTAGCTTATGAAATTGGCTTTCCAGTCATTATTCTGTTTGTTGCTACACATTTTTTTAAATGTGAAATTTATTATGGGGGGTTTGGGTTCGGCTTTTTTTGACTCGCCCTGTATTGTTAGCGTCATTTTGAGTATGCGCACATAGGCTTAAACATGAAGCAAAATATTCAAAAGAACCAGTGTGTTTGCCACCAATCATCTCAAAAGTCTCCCATTGCAACAATAACAGCAAAAAGTGACAAAGTCACAACATTACAATATTTCTTTATCAGAAAAAAGCAACAAGTACATCTTGTTTTCTGCAGGGAAATGTGACCTGACGAGACTGCTGATCTACTCCGGTTTCAACCCACGACAGAAGGATAACTTTGGACAGGTATGACTAGGACAGACCTGAGAATATTACCCTAGTTGTGGCTGTGTAAACCAACCACACAAGGAAGACAGGTTTACATTTGGTCTGCCTGCAAGAGCATGATCATTTCTGAACAAGAAAACATCCATCCAGTATTTTACTTGATCTTGATCTTAACTAATAATAATTTTGCATGTGACATTTTGGAAAATGCACAATAATCCAGGGTTCTTATGATGCGCTAAAGCACATGATTTTTTTTTTTCGCAAGCAGACTTGTTCTTTACAGAATCCACAACTTGACTAATTCACAAGCATTTCAACTTGATCACATTTGACAATCATTGCATATCAGAAAAAATGCCCAAATGTCCAATGACGTTACAGATACATCAGCAAGGGTATGTTTACACAGACCCCACACTGATATTATTTCTTTGCCCATCTGAATCACTGATTTCTTGTGACTTTGTTCTTATCCCAGACGCCACTTCATCTAGCCTGCATCAATGGTGATCTGAATACAGTCAAGATGCTATGTGAACAAGATGGAGTTGAGATGGAATTAGAGGATAATAACCACAAGACACCTTTGATGCTAGCGACGGGACGTAACCACAGCCCAATCATCACCTACCTGAATAAAAAGCTGAATAAGAGGAGAAGCTTCCTGCCTCAGATTGACTTAAAGTGAGTCATCAGTTCTTGGTTTCTGTGGTGTTCCACACTCTAGATCTTTGTAGTAATAGTACATATTGTAGTATAAATGTGTACACTGGAATATGACATATGCAAAGAAAAACCTTTTCTATTATGGCAGTTTGTTGGGGGGGGGGGAAGTTGTTATTTTCTTTTCCATTTCCATGATGGGCAATCAAACTTACAAAGAACTTGGATGCATGTAACTAACTGTTCTACATTGTTCACAGGGTTCTATTTTAAAGTAATTGGCGATGTTGAAGAATGCTGAGATGTAGTTTCCTTTTTTAAATCCTGACTATAAGCACCACACATAATTTACAACCTTGATAAAAGACGCTACATTGTCCATCATCATACTTCTTGCAGGGTCCTGTTCAAAACCATCTTTTTGCTTTATTTCTGTGCAGTTTCATCGTGTTTGGTCCTCCAGGGAATACTCGCGTCCCATTCATCTTCCTTGTTTGTCAGTTCATCTTCTTTGCATATCCCATGTATGTCTTCAAGGTGAGCATTGAACCTCAGTCAGTTGTTAACGGTAACAATCAATCTGTATACTTCAATGTATAAGCGTCAGAGAGGGAGATGGCTGTACTGACGCAGGAGCATGGTTCTGTCAGTGAGAGGATGTCTGTGACAGTTTAAATAGCGATCATACTTTAATGATTGTTGTGTGTGAAATATGAGACCAAAACAAATGAGTTTGAATTTCCTAACTACTTTTTATAGATAAAGCTTTCTGTAAATATCCTCCAAGTATGATTTCTGTTTATTTTTATTTTGCAGTTGTTGCCTTTGTACAGTTTATTTGATTTACCGGAGATACACACCCCATTTCTTGCATTGAATGCTTTCATGTGGTTCATGCTGTATCGAGCCTATAACACTGATCCTGGGTACATACCTAAGAACTCACCGGACTATGACCGTGCAATCAGACAGGTAAGGAGACACTCAGTGCATTACAGTTGCAATCAAGTAGAAAACTAGAATTATCACATGAGTATTTGAAGGCACAGCTTACACTGATATGCAAGAAATGTTCATATATTTGCCCTCTTTCATTCAACATATCAAATCTCTTGAGTAATTTGAGAAAAGCATCCAAATCATTTTTCAAAATGTAATCAGCTCACATTTCCGTTGTCTTTATATGTTTTGATTGATTATTATTTTAATTGATTTACTTTACCTCATCACTAGTTCATATAGGATTAGTCAGCATAGTGATTTATTAATAAGAACCTGTTTAAGTGCCAATTGTTATTACAAAGAATCGGCATCTAGTCTGAGTCTATTCAATTAATATTGAGTCTGTTCCTGATTGATATTGCTAATTTCTTGCAGGTTGCCCACTTTGATGAATGGAAGCAAGGAAAGAACCCACTCAGCCGACTGTGCCATACTTGCCGTATCGTCAAACCATTTCGCACCAAACACTGTAGAACCTGTAATAAATGTGTGCGACACTTTGACCATCACTGTCCATACATTTACAACTGTGTAGGCTTCAGGAACAGGTGTGTGTTAACAAGAAACTGATTTTGTTTGAAAATTTTAAAATTGAATTATGTAAACATTACATTGTAACTGTTTTCTGGAGAAAGCAGAATTTTGAAACATCTAATAAAATGGTTGTATTCTTTAACATACGAATGCATTTTTTTTTAGACATTTACTTGTAAAGTTGACTGCATTAACCTCCTGCTGACAAATCTGTGGAAATCCACAAGGAATTGGGAAGATTTTGCAGGATTTAGAATGGTGCAGCTAAGACGCTATTGCATGTGGCCCGATACCCCTTTGAAACTTCAGTAGGAATTCTTGCAAAAGTCCTGGGGAGTTTGAGTAAAAGGAACTTCAGTCTTTCATAAAACATTATTTATGGTTTGATGTTTTATTCTGGCCATTGCAGGGTATACTTCACTGGGTTCACTACGTCTTTGATGCTGATGGCACTCTTCACTTTCTATTACTGCTACCTGGTGATTCGGCTTGAGGGTTGGAGAGTCTTGTATATCTTTGGTCTGCTTGATGTCCTGTTTTTCGACTTTGTGGCTACTGGGCTTTCCTTAACAGCGGTGAGTTCCCAACCTCTGATCAAATCAAGTCAGTTGATCTAATCCTTGTGGAACTTTGATGCATTTGAATAACCTTGCCCGCCCTGAATCCTTCAAAATCTTTGCCAAAGTGGAGGAATTTGGAGGATTGAGGTTACATGGCAAAAGTGCATTTCGGATTTCGTAGGATGCACTTTGTCAAGGTTTTGGGCCAGACTTTGTGTTGTTTTTGCTCAGCCATGCATAAATATAGGCCTGGATTATGCTTGAAATCCTCCGTACTGCTCCAGGATGTCACTGGCCAAGCTTCAACATATTGACAGTCAGTGCGTCAGGATTTTGCAGGAATCAGGCAGTGGTCACCCCTCCACAGACCATATTCAAAAAATAATTGAGGAATTTGCAGGATTGAGGCAAAATGCTATTTTTTCCATGAGGCCACTTGGAGGATTTTGCAGGATTGAGGCTACATCCTAGCAAAAGGGTTGATTAAGGTGATAGCAAAATATTCCCAGAGGTTAAATCTTTTAGTTTATTTTCGGCTAAATAGTTCTTGTGTGTTACGCTTTGGGAGTGCTCTACACTGAGGATTGTAGCTTTGTCTGGGTGTAACTGTTTTTAAATCTGTGCCCAAATCTTGAGCACTAGGCGATAGTTTGTGAGCAGTGAAACAGATTGTCACAATTTGTAGCTATTGTTTAATCATTTTGCCTACACACGCATAAAGCTTGTTGGAATAATCTTCAGTACTGTCATGTAAAGTGAATTAACCCAGTATGTCTTCGTAAAGTAAGCCTGTTAATGTCTCGTTCTCAGTACATGTACCTTGGGTTTCCCAGTCTTCATGTGTGTAATTCATGGCGTGGAAATACATGTCTTAATTATCGTATTATGCATAGTTGGTATGCATACACAGGTATTCTAGTATCTAGCATGTTTAAGTTGATGTTCCACTTCTATCAGTATGGACACATGTTGAATGTGTGTCCATGTAAATGTTGGATATGATTTCAATCAATTATTACTGTAACTATTCCACTCATCTACAGTAGTAGTGGGACAAGAGATACAAGATCTGCATAATTGTTTGTTTACCTCATGTAGTACTTCGTAAGGAACTATTTTGAAAACCCTATTGCATCATTTCCAACATTGTAATTTTAATATATGAACATTTTATTCCTCTTAAGACCCATGGTAGCATCATGAAACATACCTTTAATGTCACAAAGTTCCTAGCTAATAGAAAACAGAGACTTACATTGCATTTCATGGCTGTGCTTAAACGCACTATTTCAAGAACTTCAAGAACACAAGTTTGCAAGTGAAAATCACTCAGCCGTAGCGCATGAGGTTTTGTTATCAAAAGCAAACTGAACGTCAGAAACAACAGGTAAATTGGTTATCAAATTTCATGTGTTGAGTTTGCCCCAGATTTGCATATTCAATTTGTTGGTTCGGTTTGAATTGATTTTATTTGTGCTGTTTCAGGCAAGTACAATTGAGCACTAGTTCTTTTGCATGGTTTAATAAAAATGAAAATGTTGTGTGTACATTTCTTCATTGAAGTTGTTTTTTGCACTTGGAAGTTGGTTTTATTGCACTTAATTAGATTGCACTGTTCTTTTGAAGTTTCCAAAATAATTTGGGAGAGTCATGGATATTATAAACATGAATGAATGATAGATTCCTTCTTCTTTCTTTCAGTGGTACATGGCAGTTAAAAATCTCAACACCAATGAACGAGTGAATCACAAACGCTATGAATACTTGAAAGATGCCAATGGCCACTTCTTCAACCCTTACAACCGGGGCATCCTACACAACGTCAAAGAGTTCTTCCATTTAAGAGCGCCCCCTAGTGACGAGGAGATTGAGCAAGCGTCAGTGTATACTGTATAGCAGCTGTAATGACATGTAAGCTAGGAGTGCATATTTGAATCCCACCCCACAGTACATAATGAATTGTTGTCAGTCATTGTGGACTGGATCTACTCAGTTTGATTCGCAAAACTCATCAGTGAGAACTCTGTTTCCACAAACTAACAGGTGTAAGAACCATTGTTGCTACCAATGTGACCAGTGCAAGTATCCAAACTACGCAGCTATTGGAGACTTGGTGTTGTGGTTGGCAGCAAGGATGGTTCAAGTAAATCAAGATCTCAAAGTTAAGTAGCAACAGGGGCGGATCTAGCTTTCAAGAAACTGGGGGGGGGGGGGTTGAGTCTAAGGCTTGCTAAAGGCAGACCCTGCCAGGGGGGAATGCCCCCCAAAATTTTTGAAATCTAAGATGCTTTCTCCATGCGTTGTAGAGTATTAGAGTACAATTAGAGTATAAATTTAGGAACTTTAGCATTCCGTTTATGTTTTGGCCCATTTGGCTAGTGTAATATTAGTCAGCGGGTGGGGTGGGGGGGGGGGGTTGCAACCCATCTAGATCCGCTAAAGAGCAAGATATTGACAGCTGATAGTAAACCAATAGCCTCTTATATATTTCAATAATAAGGCCCAAAAAAAAAAGTCTCCAGTTTCTGGTATGGAGCTTGTCCAAAAAGTGGTGCGGCGAAGCGGCTTTTTTTTTTTTTTTGCCTGACTTTTTTGCTTCAAATGTCGGCTGATGACTGCAAATGGTGCCCGACTAAACTTAGTGCAAATATATGGGAGTCCAGAGAGGCCACATAAAGCTTATTCTCGATCATAACCCCATCTAAAAACACGTTAAAATTGTGCAGCAGCAGGATTCTAGTCAAACCAGTGAGTTTGGTGGTTTTGAGACATCATCTTTCAATGAAAAAAAACTTTTTCATTTTGCCGACGCGCATGGCTACGGCGAAGCGCGCGCATACCAGAAACCGGAGACTTTTTGGGGGGGCCTAAGCTCTGCCCTTCACAAATGTAATGATATAAACACTTCATATGCTCGGTGCTTCCAAAAGCTTGTAAGGAAAAATGCTCACAAAGTTGTTGAAGGACTCAACCATTGAGCTAATGGGAACTCAACCTCACTTCCATTTGAGTCAATTATTGCCATACTTACTGTTTATTTGAATGAAGAAGCTCAGTGATGGACAACTTTCAACGGCCTCTTCATTTGAATGCACAGATGATCAAATCATTACAGCAATCAAGCTGTCTCATCAGTCACATTGGCGTTAGTCAAGTTGGCCAACATTTGAGTTGTCTTAGCTATCAACACATCATCCTCTCAATCAATTTCCCTTTATTTTCATTTCTAGTCATTTTTTTTTCAAATCTTTTGGTGAATTGATCCATGGTGACAGTGATGCACCACATTTGTAAATAGGTCAATCATATTTGCAGAGCACTGGGGGCTGTATTGGTATGTTAAAAAAAATTGTCAATTTTAAGAGTTCTCAATCTAAATGAAAATATCCATTTTTCAGGCTACATCATGTCCTTGCTGTTTCAATTACTTTTCTTTCATCTTATTTATTTCATTTCATTCATTCCTGTTTCTGGTTATTACAGTGATTTCCAAAAGTGCTCTCCTAATAACAAAGTACTGCCCATGTGACTCTATTATTACCCCTGGTCATCGGGCACATAAATCAGAAAAACTGATTTGCTTACTTGATGAAATTGTCATTCAACTCTAGGCTGTCACTGGAAGTTAGTGTATGGGGTTTACCCAGTGATCGGCTTGGTCTCAGGTTTTAGGCTTGAAGACCTGTTTACATCACTGAATTTCTGCTTTTATGAACATGAAATTATATAAGATTAGATCAAAGCTTGGCATGTTTCCTGTGATCATAGCATCAGTTGTCCATTTGAATCAGGAAACACACTGAAGAGGCTTCTCTCTACCCACCCACCACTTACATTAGTCAATTATATTATGTTTATGACCCAATCTGACAAAATGAGGCTCATATATTCAGGTGCTCAAGCAGGTTTTGGGGTTTATTTTGCCACAATGTGTGACTTGTATTACCATAACGTCCTTTGTCATAAGAATGTAAAAGCTAAGTCTTTAGGCAAATTTGTTACTGGTAATTTTTTCTCAGAGATAAATGAATTGGCGAAACATAATAAGTAGTTGAGTATACGTCTTTAAAGGTAGAGTAAACAAAATGTCATTTGTGCATTTTTTCATTTTTGAAGCAACAAAAGTACTCAAGATCTTAAGACTTGTGCTTTACAACAAACCTGATCAAATTTTAGCTCTGTGAATGCTGTGTATTTGGAGAAAACAGACCAAACATAAACACAATATTCTGGATCACGGTTTGAATTCCAAAGTTGCCAAGTCATATTTCGAATTGCGCCCTCTCAAGACACAAATTTGAAATCATCATGTTGGACATTATTCTCAATTTGGCTTGCTTGCACTCATTCACCGATTTTCCCAGTTAGACACCAACTACAAATTAGAACGCAAGGGGCAATATTCATGGAAATTTCCAAAAATGTGTCACTTGACACATCTTTGGAAATGACCTTTATTGTTTTCTTCAAAATTACAGCATGCTACAAGGAATAATTTCACAGGGAGTTTAGTGCCATTAATATCTTTAAACCAAGTCAGGTTTTTTTCACAATATTTTGGTCAGCTACTTTTGTACTGCTGAGAATGGTCTACTCTACCTTTAAAATGGTATTTGGTCATTTGATACTTTTTAAGACCAACTATTGTACGAAGTTATTACAAGCTGCTGGCATATAGATATATCAGTATTTAAGTGGTTTGGATATAGATTTCTATTCCCCTCCATGTCTAAACATTTTCACTCTTTCCTAGAGATGTGCTTTACCAAATGTCAGAATATTCCATCATCCACTGAATATCCAAAAAGAATGTTACCAAATAGAATATTCGAAAACTGTATGTAGGCCTAGACTGTCTCGAGAAGGTGACACAAAATGTCTGTTCTCCAACTTTATATTGAAAGTTGAGTGGTTCTATTCATTGTCAAATGTCACATTTTTGCAAACAACCACTTGACACGCATGATTTGAGAGCTTCCGCAAGAAAACTTTCATCTATTAAATCTGTCAAATATCAGTAAATCATCTACCCTGAACAATTATATCAAAACATACATGATATTCATAATGCTGTTTACCTCAAAGTCCAAGTTTCAGTAATCGAATACTACATTAATTGAAAATGCATAGCACTGTACTTTCCCTTATCTAAGCTCGACATGTGCACATAAGTACGTGTTTTTAATCAGCTCTATGTGGCAGTTAAATTCGCCTTGCCTTTCATCTCTGGTAAACCAGGGGTTCGAATCCCAATAGGTGCAAGAGATTGGTTGTCGGCCTATCTGGGTTTCGTCCCCTCCCCGGCGTTTCTCCAAAAAAATACTTTTCATCCGTCAAAGGTTTTCTTTCAAATTGTAAACTGACATATACCTTGCAGTGCCAATGTCTCATTGCTAATAATAATCTGTTGTTATTGCATAATGTTTATTTATTTAGTTTACAACATGCAAGTCTTTTTTTAGTAAGGCTTAATATATTATACAATTGCCGTTGCTTGTACAGTTAATTTAATTCATAGTTTCCGATGAGTTTGTTTGGGTTATCTATGTTACCCAAATAGTTGATTGATGTGAATTTCGACTATGAATACAGCAGAATTATGGAGGCTGTTTGTATACCATGGATATAATTTGTGAAATAAACCATTGCACATATAATTTGCCCTGAATTCAGGAAGATTTTCATACTGTTGTTTTCTGTTCAACTTCAAATAGATAAGTTTATTATGGAGATATTATTTATTTGTTAGGACAACGAACGTTTGTTTAAAAAACAAAATGTCCATAAAGATCCACACACACAAATCTGAACAGTAATATGTTCATCAAAAAAATTGAAGGCCCCCTTTTTGATCCTGGTATGCCCTCTTTCAAAGGCAAAAATTTATATTTGGCAGTAGCCGTGGTGAAGATTTCGCCTAAGAAATGACTTTCTTGAATTCAAAACCTCATTCAAAGCTAATTGTCGTGACTCATAGCACCAAATAACAAAACAATTAGACTTTCACTTACTGCTTGATTGGCTTACCAAGAAACGCGGGTAATGGATAATCGTGTGTACTTTATATTAAATGGAACGTGTCATGACGCGTTGCCATAGCGCTTGACCTGCATTATAGCCAGTGTGTATTTATTGGTTTCGTCTACTTTTGCTAGTCACTCAGCCGTCGCATGATTGAAAAGGTGTTGTGTATCTTTTGTGATATGAGTGACCTTAGTTTTCAACAAGCAATGTGAACTCGGATTGTTGTTTCATAAAACTGTCCTGAGTAGCAGTAGATATTAGTAGTGCCAATAGTTTGCAACTGAGCGACCATGGGGAAATCCTCGGTCCGTGTTCAGGCGCTTTCGAACGGCGGCGCAGACGACCCAACGCGCTCATTTGGGGAGTCAGTCTTCGCAATAACAGACAATTCATCATCGACGAGTGGACTAAACGATGGGACTGAACGAAGGGAGATTGCTGATGACCCCGTCTGTCAGGAAGTAAAGGAAAAGAGAAAATTGTTGTTTCGAGAGTTTGCTTCAGATACATCTTTGCATGGAATAAAATACGTCACGAATCCCAAACATCACAAATTCAGGAGGTGAGTACTTGACGATGCGTCTTCATCGATTACATGTGGCGCCCTCTAATGTTTGGGTTCATATAGTGGCAGTCGGAAACTGGAAATCAAGCAACTATAATACTTTAATATTATGTGCTCTGTGAAGTGTTAGGCCTAATGGATTTTTGATTGCAACTGTCATACGTTTAACCTTCGTTAGTTTCATATATGTGTTACTGTTTTGGAGCAGGAGATTATGTCAATCATTCTGACGAAAATAAAGCTTAGATTTTCCCCTTTGATGTCGCAGATTGACGTTTTAAGCCTTTTATTGGTCCGGATTACTATGTTCTTGTTGCTGTGTAATACTATGAAGGATTAATATAATATTCACTTACTTATAATTTGCTTGTTTGCCTGCCAGTCCCTGAGAATCGAAAGGTCATTTTCCCCCTTTTCTCAATTTCGTATACTTGAGGATTAAGTCCATCATTTCGCGCGCTTGACATATCACTTCTTACATGTACCTCTGTTTGGTCGTAATATTTTTTGATAAGCTCAAAGTAGACCGCTGAAAAACAGAAATAACACGAAGCATGACCTTCAGCTTTAATTGCAAATAACTCATTACTGAAAATGTCTATTTTCATTGCATTGTATGATAAGTTGGGTATATTTGCAGGCAGCTATAAGTTGTTTTTTAATTATTGCCCCTTTCTTTTGACTCAAATAATTTGATCTGAAATCAAGTGATCAATAAAATGTGGCACAATCAACTTGAAGCTTTGTGGTACGTTAATAGTAATTTGTTAAGAAATATTAAAAAATGATAATTCCGTGTCTTCCTAAAACAAATTCCCAGAGGTTATAGAGGAGTAATTAACAATAATAAAACAGAAAAGAAACAGTAGACTTCAAAATTTTACCATGAGTTCCAGCGGAAGGCTCGTGGAAAATGATTATTTCTAAATTCGATATTTCTTTTCAGCTGAGAAAACCGGTTTTCACTCGTTCTAACTGATTGTCTTGTGGTGAGCATGTAAGAACTACTATTATTATGCCTGTGTCATTATTGCTGGTTTTTGGAGTTGAATCCCCAATAGAGTTTAATATTATGGAATATGGATATTTTTAATTTGCATGCTTTCAAATATTGATCCATCCATAGATTTGTATGGCTGATTCTCGTCCTAGTCGCTTTTATTGGATTCATTGTCACCACCGTTGACCACCTACAGAAATTCCTGAAGTATGACACTTCTACCTCCTTAACCTACATAACTCAGCCCAACCAGACACTACCAGCTATTACGATCTGTAACTACAACGCCTTCAAGAAATCAGCAGTTATCAATTCTGGCTGGGAATCTATTATACCTGTCCTTCTGCCTTACGTCACCAAGGCTTCCATACCCCAGTCACAAGTCGATGTGGACGTCTATGAGAATATAACCTTACCTGATTGGGATGTGAATGAGACTAATGAAAGATGGGGACATCGAATCGAAGATATGCTGCTTGAATGTCAATGGAAGCAAGGATACAACTGTGGTCCTCAAGATTTCAAGGTGACGTGACGATTGAGCAAATATGATTCTATTTTACTGATCGTTTTTTGTAATCACTTTTATAGTTCTGAAATAATTTTGGCCTAACTTGGACCAACTGCGTCGCTGAAATTTCATTTCTAAAGACAACAGGCCACGTAATTAAAAAAAAATATTGATTGTTTGCACGCTTTAAAATTTCCCCGAAGTTAATGTTTGAAGTGGAACAGCTCATCCGTCAATTCTTAGCACGAATCCGCAGTTCCTCGTCCCTTCTCCTAATCTGAACGGATGATGGGGCAAAAAAAAAAAAAAAGTAGCTGCATTTATTCATGAAAAGTGTGCACCACGTTATCGACAAATCTCGTCGGAGGTTAATTTTTCTTGAAATGATATGATAATCGGACCCGAATTTTTGTTTGTCTAAAACAAACTGAAACTGTTTTGATGCTTTCTACCCATTTTGTTGGCCGTTTAGATGGTTTGGACAGACCTGGGGCCGTGCTACACTTTCAACGGTGGAAACGTGAGTCAAGCAGGCGCAGATGCGTCGCCTTATGTGGTCAATGGAACCACCTCCGAGGAAGGACTGCGGATAAGATTGAATCTAGAACAATATGACTATTTGGCAACACCGTACGATACAGCGGGATTCAAGGTAAACATATCACTTGAAACAGTTTGAATTTCAAAACTTGTCATGATGTTACAACATGTATTCACAACGAGCATGACTTGGCCTCTGTACATCATAATACACGGTAGGCCCCCCCCCCCAAAAAAAATTCTTGGTCTCTGGTCAGACCAAAGCTCCGGAATTGATGCGGCTTGGATTGTAGAGACAAGGTGGGGTACTAGTTTGCTTTTTTTGGTCTCCTCATGTACATTGGTGTCCTCCATAATTTGCCAGGGTGCCCTCGATCATTTGCCTTGGTGCAATTTCCCATTCCTTGGTGCTCTTTGGTAAAAAAAGAAAATTGAGGAGGTACGGCAATAGAGGCGCTGTTAATTGGAGCTACCGCGGAACATTTTGGGGGGGAAAAGGTTGACGCGCATGATTAAAATCGACGCGCGCGCTGACCGTACCAGAGACCAACTATTATTTTTTTTTGGCCTTACCTCACTCTGTGTGGTAAGATGTACAACGTTATGCTGTCAGTGAGCAGAGCACTTATGAACCATTACCTTTTTGCGCCCACGCAAATAATACACTGCGTAAATCCTCTTACGCAAAGACACCTTGATGGGTTTATACACATTCAAATTATAAACTCATAATTTGGCGCGTGTATTTAGCGTACATACGCGGGCTGATCTTATCCCGCAGCATAAACGTCAACATTTCTGTCTAAGAATGCCTGGTGTGCAAAGTGAAAACCTTGTGTTTAGATATTTTGGGGATTAAAAAAACCTGAAAACTTTCAAATTGACACATTGTTTCAATTAAAATAACAGCGCAAATTGTATTTGTTTAGGTAATATTTGACAACTTTGCCAATTATCTTTGTAAAATTTGCACAACGCACATAACTGATTCCATACACAAAATGTACATTCCATAATCTGATTTCAATGTTAAAATCAGTTTCCTTTTAAACAGTCTACACTTTTTTCCCCCAGATATTGATCCATAATCGATATGACGTCGCTACATTTGTCAACCCCGGTATTATACAAGCGGCTCCTGGCTTCAATACTTTTATTCCGCTCACTAAAACAATAGTAGGTACTCGTTTTATCCTTCTGATCGTTAATATGCTTTTATGCAGTCATGAGAACCAAAGCAAATCACAATTTCAATACTCGTGGCAGAAAAATCGTCTGTGTTAGGTGTACAATGTATATGTGTGGGTTTGGCAGTGCAGTCACTAGTGTGGACCTGTCATCACAAGATGTCCATATAGTGCATTAGTGAAGACGTTGTGTGGACTTGCCCACGTCCACAAAGGTTTCCCCCACTCTGAAAAGAAGAGTTTTAGAAGCATTTTTGGATTAGGTTTATACGTCGCAAAATGGGGAAAGAGGACCAATCAAGTTAATCATCAAAAATTGTGTTGAAAGAGTGCTCACAGGCTAGTGCGAGTAATACTTATTTGCAACATGTTCAACGTTGATAATATTTTGCTGATGATCGCGGAAATTACTCACAATCTTACATATGAAAGTCAGCTTTGAAGGCACTCAGGAGAGATAGAGTAATCGTATTAGTCAAGATGCTTTCTATTTCAGATTAAAGGCAAGAAATCTCCATACGTGACCAACTGTACAGACGGGGGTCTGAAATACTTCGCTACCTACACGCCTAATACGTGCTTGATCGAATGTCTGACGGACGCTGCCTTTGAGGAATGTGGATGCTTCTTACCTTGGACGTCTGGTAAGTCTTCTGGTTGCGCCCTCAGCGGCGACAGTGCGAAATATCGCTATCTGTGAAGGACACTTCTGTGGTTTGTGCACATATTTGTTGCATTATAACGCACACGACCAGGAAAAGAAGCGTCTTGCCTGGTTCCCCCCAAAACAAAGATTATAATGAGTGACCGGGAACCAGACTCCCATTCTTCCAAACATTTTCAATGTCCCTAACTCTTAAACTGATTTCATGTTGCTTGATCCTGAAGGGCTACAGATCTTGCAGCCGAAGTACGGAGATGATCAAGAAACGCCCCTTGTTTTGTATAATTCATTATGACCTTTGCCCTCTTATAGGTGGTGATGGAGAAGTTTGTGATTTTGAGACGGCTGCATCATGTTCGTTCAATGCTTTAGGTGAGATAAAACATGTTTCAACACCCAAATAATAATTGTCCAAACCGCACCTAAAGAATATACATCACACAAGTCAACTTTGCTTAAATCTCACATCATACATCACTGCTAAGACATTGTAATCGATGATTGGAGCCTTATTTTGATTGGATGATTGGATTGGTTAATTGTTTCTGTTTCAGTGGGTGTGGACTGTCCGTGTAATATGCCTTGCCTTGAGGAACAATATAAAACTCGCGTGAGCATGACGGCTACACCTGCACAGTATGCTATACCAACATTATGTGACAAATACAACATGACACAAGAAGAAATCAGGTCAGTTTGTTGCAGTCCAGTTTCTTTCATTTTAAATCTTTCATTCACTTTCCTCGCCAAACAGAATGTTGAGTTGACTGGAAAAATGGAAATTTGGTAAGCATCTGAGCTGTATCGGTCTTGTCTAGACCGTGCCAAACTAGTAACTGTATAAAACGTTTGAAAAAAATAGAACAAAAGAGTCCGTTAATATTTTTTCTTTAGATTCACTGATAAAAAGAAACATTACAGCGCCCTCTTGCAGTTGAGAAACCAACAATTCCCGTTTCATTTCAGAAACAACATCGTGGATTTGTACATTTACTTTGAGGACATGAGAGTCACTGTCATCGAACATAAAGGAGCCTATGAATTCTACGATTTAACAAGTAAGAATCGAAACTAATGAGTCAATTTTAAAATTCATTTTTATGTCGGGGGCATAGGCCTACATAATTAATTTATCTTCGCCCCACGTGAATAAATAAACCTTTAAAACAGGAATTAACAATTCGATACTAGACAATACTTGCATAATGCTCAATGCTGTGTTCTTTTTCTCTCTAGGTGATGTTGGAGGCGAGATTGGTCTGTTACTTGGAGCAAGTGTCCTAACACTCTTCGAATTCTTGGATTATCTTGCTGTGTACCACATGATGGGCCTAGCTCTCCTCAAAAAGTGTTACCACAGACACTTTGGCAAGCGGAGATAGTGTTCTCATTTGAAGTGGACTTAATGATATTGTATTTGTGGCAATTAAAACCCTGTATTGTTACTGGTAATAGTAGTTCATTTTACTTTTGCGGTCCCTGACCCACATAACTGTAATTTGTCTTGTCATGTATTCGGATTTTCGTCCCAGGTCCCCGCTAGCGTCTTACTGTACTTGTTGTTTGTTGTTTTATGCTCGTTTTACTCAATTTTGTTTTGTTTTTGTGATGGTCGAATAAATAATAATAATAATAATTTGACGTTTTTGTTTTGAAATGAAATCTTTTGATGTCAAACATCGTGACAAATTCGTGACGAAAATTCATTTTAATATAACGTGTATTCAGTGGTGTAGCCAGGAATTTTTCAGTGGGGGGCGCTGTGGGTCCTGGAACATTTCATGGGGGGGGGGGGGCGTCATGTCGATCAATGATAATTTTTTAGAAGCTCAAAATCTCAGTGGGGGGGGGGGGGGGGGGCGACTGGGGGGCGACACTGCGTGTATTTCTTGAGTTGTTGGCCCCAAATCGAGTTTGGTGGTGGAGATCAACCACTATAATAGAGGGCGCGCCACATATAAATAGTGGTCTTAACAACGCATCAACACGGATGCTGCACAAGTGAAGAAAAAGAACAACCTCGTTTCCGATGAACTACTCAAGAAATACAAAATGGATTAAATTGAAATTTCGTGCAATTAGTTTTCACGATGTGTAGCATGAGTCGTTTGAATGGCGTGAGAAACCGTGGAGCTATAAATAATAATATGATCGTAACAATCTAGTGTTTTAAACTTTAAAAATCCATGTTGACTTCCATTAGGATTGTATTTGTTGCAAATAAAATCCTGTATTGTTACAGTCATAATAGCTTGATTAATTGACGTTTTTTATGAAATGAAATCTTTTGATGCCAAACATCATGACAAATGAGTGTACAAAAATTCATTTTAATGTAACGTGTATTTCTTGAGTTGTTGGCCCGAAATCGGGTTTGGTGGTGGAGATCGAGACCACTATAATAGAGGGCGCGCCACATATAAATAGTGGTCTTAACAACGCATCAACACGGATGCTGCACAAGTGAAGAAAAAGAACAACCTCGTTTCCGATGAACTACTCAAGAAATACAAAATGGATTAAATTGAAATTTCGTGCAATTGGTTTTCACGATGTGTAGCATAAGTAGTTTGAATGGCATGAGAAACCGTGGAGCTATAAATACAATATGATCGTAACAATCTAGTGTTTTAAACGTTACAAATCCATGTTGACTTACATTAGGATCGATATGCCATATACTTTGATGTGACACAATAACCTATCAATTTTACTTTTGTGCGAATGCTTTAGATTCCTTTTATTTTCTTCAGGGTTAAGTCTGAGAGTGATATGTTCAGTAAAAAGCCAATGCTTGTTGAAAAATTACATGATTATGCGAGTTGCCCGTTTAATAAAACAAATGCCTTTTATTTTCCCCACAAAAACTCAGAAAACGTTATAATTGCGACCCGTTTTGAAAAGCGTTTTTCTTGAAAGTTGCAATTAATCAAGCATGTATGTGGTTGACTGAATGATGTACTAGAAATTAAACTTTACTTTGGGCGTCGAGAAAATCATGCGCCCGTTAGAGTTTCTGAAACACGGTATTCGTACGAGTTTATCACAAGCTGGATAAAAGAAATTATTAATCCACAAAAAAAGTGTGTAATATGGTTATGAACCAAATTGATCAGGTTATAACTTAAACAGAGATCGGCGTATACAGCTTGCAAATAATATGCGTTTGTCTGTGGATGATCGTGGACCGCACTTGGCAATAAAAGAAAATGCAAATTACAATCAACCATTACTTTACAACTATTGGTACTTTACAAGACGCTTTTTTTGTGGTTCGGGCGGTGGGTGTGATCGACGAGAATTATGTTATTTACAGTGTGACAGTGGTCGATAGTCGATGGGAGTATTTCTACAACGGGTCGTACTATACCCCTCACCTGAAGCTCCCCGCCTTGCTGGGAGGAGCGGCTAGGCCCGGGAGGATCCAGCTTATGGATCAAGGGGATCAAGGGGGGGGGGGATAGCAGGCATGTGCTACTTTTTTCTGTATTATTATTATTATTTTTGGGGTGGGGGGGGTGGGGTGGGGTGGTTCGTTTGTTTAATGTGTCTTAGTTTATTATATTGTATTTATGGTGGGTCACATTTGTTTTAATCCACTGGTAGATTGATCCGCCAATCTAAAGTTTCCGAGTCCGCAGAGAAAGACCAATAAAACCCTGGCACTGGTAACCTGTTTTAATAGCAATTTCGCGCGTGGCACGTGGCACCAGCGAACACAGGCTGCGGCCTGCGCGCGCATATTCAAAATGGCTGTCGATTGGAAAATTCACGTGTTCACAATCACATAATTTTGGTTTCTGTTTTGGGGTAATTTGTGATGCATTTGACGATTCCTGGGCATGGAAATATATGGAACGTACGAGCAAGATCACCCCAACGAGGTAAGTAGACACAGGAGTTTAGTATTATTATGTTGTAATATTTTAAAAACCTAATGCATGGACCGGCATGGTGAAAACCAGCATGTTGCCCAGTTTCCGGACGACATTCCCAAGCGTTTGCCTGGTCATGCTGGCATGGCTGGTGTGGGCCGTGGGCATGGTTCCCTCACCTAGGCTGACGGGCCGTATATAATATGGTATTGGTGTACCGGTCACGAATTTTTTTCTCCCAAATGACATTTGCATATGGGTGTACGCTATGGCGTTTTGGAGTGGACTGTAGGCCCTACTTTTCTTAAACCATGAGGAAGAAAATATAAACGCAGTGGCTATTGTTACGGCAGCCGTAACGCATTTCCCATTTTCTATCGTTACGGTAGACTGCAACCTGGCAACTTTTATAAAAAAACATGACAAGAAAATATAAAATTAGAAGGAAAAAAGTGAATTTGAACTTTATGAAATTCGGACTTTATTTCCCTTTTAAAAAAAATCCTCCAAAGCCTCAGGTTAGAAAAGGAAAAAAATTCGAGTGCAAAACTGAGATTCGAACCCGCAACCTCGCGGTGCAAAATCCTTACCTCTATCAGCTGAGCTGGCGCACTGCTCGATAAAACGTGTGGAAACAAATAATTATATACCTGCGTGCGTATCAAAAAAATATCGTAGAGGGCGCTAAACAACGAGTGCCGTAACGATAGCCACTTCGAAATATAAAATTAGAAATAAACCCATGCATGACATGCATGACATGATAAGGAAATGAATTCGAAATTAATGAAATTCGAATTTTGGTTTTAAAACAAATATTCTGAAGCCTCAGGTAAGAAAAGAACACAATAGCCTACGCACGATTTGCAGAGTAACTGCATGGGTTACTGACTTGACATTCTCTCAGATATGTTGCATATGCATCGGGTCACATCACTTGAAATTTTCTTCCAAAAGTCAATGGATTACCCCAAAAATATTGAACAGAAAATGAAGATGATGAAATCAGCTTTACTTTGATGGGTGTTTTGAACACCGGGGAAAGTTGTGAATGTTTTGTTCCTGATTTTGAAAAGTGGGGGTGTTTTATCACTGAGGTATCAAAACACAAAAGGAGGCCTAGCCCAACTAGTGTGGCCGTCGGTATGCTGCGCTGAACCTAAGGCCACACACCGTGGTCCGCGCACTACTGAGGACGTTTTCATAAAATTTGCAGGGAATTTCTTGCATATGGTTGTATTCTACGATGTCCCATCTATCACTTCTGGGATGCTTAGGTGTAATGATGTTCAATTTTCCGAGATATTCTTGAATCTTTCTGGAGCCCACATGCACTCGTGAAACGTCCGGTGATGGCAGCCATTTTGAATGTGACAAGAGATGACCTCAAGCTGTGACGTCGCGTTTATGCAAATTGCTTGTCGAGCGAGGGCGCGAGTTGCAAATGCGACGGCTGTTTCCTGTACCATGCATTTATCGTCTGGGGGCCACGTGCACTGATCTCTATTCAGGATCTACGGCACAGGAAACAGCTGTCGCATTTGCAACTCGCGCCCTCGCTCGACAAGCAATTTGCATAAACGCGACATCACAGCTTGAGGTCATTTCTTGTCACATTCAAAATGGCTGCCATCACCGGACGTTTCACGAGTGCATATGGGCTCCAGAAAGATTCAAGAATATCTCGGAAAATTGAACATCATTACACCTAAGCATCCCAGAAGTGATAGATGGGACATCGTAGAATACAACTATATGTAAGAAATTCCCTGCAAATTTTATGAAAACGTCCTCAGTAGTGCGCGGACCACGGTGTGTGGCCTTAGATTCAGCGCAGCATACCGACGGCCACACTAGTGGGGCTAAAGGAGGCCTAACTACCAAATTTGTTGCATGTATAAAATATATCTTATAATTGTCAACTTATAATTCAGCCCTATTTTAAAGAGTACAGCGCCCTCTGTTGATATGGATTGCCGCCGGCAAACCTTTAGTAATCGTTAGTTTGCCGTCATTACCTCCGGCAAAATATCCACTATCTAATTTAAATGTGATGCTGTGGTCAGTGGACACAATTTTAAAACTGTGTTCAAAATTCAGTTGCTGAAAAAGAACATGACTGATTGTTTTACTCTTAATTTAAAGAAAGCTCATTAAATTAACTGGGCTTTCAAATCCTAGATCTGGAAAGGGCAGAACAGAACGTCTTTAAAATGATCTGTTTGATCTGTTTCATGCTTTTTGGGTCGGGCTGGGGGGGGGGGGTGTTTGCATATGCCTGTTTTGTATAGACTTTTTAGCACATGTACTTGTAGCCCCATAAATGTGGCCTGTTTACTGGACTGCCTCCGTAAACATAGGCCACACATCCACATGTACAAAAACGTGTCGCACTTTGCCAAATTTTGATTTTCGCATTTAGGCTTAGTTTGTAGGTTTTTTTGCTTTAGAAGCATACTCACCCTCTTTATAGGCTAATCAGAAAGTGCTGCCTTTTTCAGATGTATATTTTTTTTGAAATTTCCAGATTCATTTTTACACGTTTGCATATCAAAATTTCAACATGAAATTTCACAAAAATTAGACATCTGAAAAAGGCAGCACTTTCTGACTAGCCTATAAAGAGGGTGAGTATGCTTCTAAAGCAAAAAAATCCTACAAACTAAGCCTAAATGTGAAAATTAAAATTTGGCAACGTTTTTGTACATGTGGATGTGTGGCCTATGTTTACGGAGGCAGTCCAGTAAATAGGCCACATTTATGGGGCTAATGTACTTGTTGATATTCCCAGAAATATGTACATGTATTAAAACGGAATGTGTAATGGCCAAAGATTAATTCATTTTTTTTATCCTTGGTTACTTTTACTCCACATTAATTTGCTGCTGTTGTTGTTGCTGTAGAGAAATGGCACCTACCTGTATGTCACATTAGGCTGTGCCCTTTGCGCCATTAGCTAGTGCGTGGATATACATCTGCTAGAAAATTAATCGATACTGGTAGGCCTATAGCTTAGGAGTGGTGCTGGGCGGAATCGACGGAATTGGCAAAAAGAATCGATACTAGCAAAGGAAAGCTGCAAATGACCAAAATTGAATCACATAAATTAATATTTAGTATGTGGTGTCGTAGGCTAGTGCAGTGTTCAATTATATTGAACTGCTGAATTTATTACGCATGGCTCATCAATTAAACTATAGGTTTACGACAAAAAACAAAGATCACACTCCCTAAGTTTGAGATTCTTCTAATTCGCAACATAAAAATGCATTATTCAATACTGTACATACAAAAGTTTTATCTAGCCCACATGTCGGGAATGTTTGCGTGAGTTACCTGTACATGTACATGCTGGATGATCATACTACATGTAGCACCTGTAGGCTAAACTCTACCAGATTAGAATTAGGCACCACTAAAGCACAATATTTTTGAATGTGCTACATGTACCTTACATGTACATGTACATGTACATTGTAGTAACACAGTTTACATAAAACATTGTACATCTTCCATTGCAGCATACACTGTAACACTCAGTTCTTGCTTCTCTATGAAACCTTACATTTCTATATCCTTTAAGTTTGGTTTTCACATGTTAAAAATAGCATGACTTTGGTTAATAGATTATCAACAGCTTAGTTTATGATGCAGTGGCAGGTACATACCGTAGTATGCACAACTGTAACCAGACTACATGATTTTATGGTACCGTACTCTATTCATGTATAAGTTTGATATCGGTATTATTTCAAAAATGACACATTTTCTAGTTTGATAGCAACTCTTAATAATTAAAAATAATTATAATAAATTTTTAACAAAATGCGCCTTTTGTATACTAGTGGTCAATAGTCCATAACAGTGACTACGATTAACTACGGTTTAAAAAGACTCAAAGGATTAATATGTCATGTCACCGTGCCAGTACCCAAACCACAGTATAGGAATAGGTCTGTGTCGCCAGCAGGGAGAATATAATACTTAAGCCTAACCCTGCTGACATCGGTGATGTCTCGATCTTTCCCAGAGACAGACGCCTCTAACCCTACCTAATTATTAGTAATTAAGCATCTAACTACCTTACACAGTTAAGAACTAAGAACGCATTAAAAACATTAAAACCCTCCTATGAAAATGTACATTCTGAGCCTTGTTATGACTTGGGTCAATATTGGTGGAGTGACCCATTGGTTTGTTCAGAGTATGCCAGGGGGAGAGGAAGGAAGTTGTGACCATTTGTGACATTTTCAGCAGCAGGAGGGTTAAATTAACAACAAAAATGAATCACATGTTAGTTTACAAATGGTACATTCATTAACACGTAGCAGAAAATTAATGATGAATTTCGACAATTCAAAGATTTTAAGAACATTAATATGTCTCTATACATGTACATGTAATGTATGAAACAACCTGTGACACCAATCCGATAGTAAGGCACGTAATGTCTGACGAAGATCCCTGTTCCTTAAGTAATAAATAATGACATTAAGCCAAGTATTTGACAAGACACAGGTGTTAACAAAGTAGGTTAGTAAATAGATGGTGTAGGTGGAAGAAGTTGCTGCAAGTGAGATGACATACAGGATTACAGATGGAATCCAGGTGATGATTAAAGTCCCTGTTATGATGATGATGGTGGTGGTTGATCTGGTGTTTATTCTCTGTCCACCTTGACCATTGCCTGCTTGGTTTTCAGCAGCAATGCGTCTGGCTTGATTGCGAGCTATGAGGGAAATACGTACATACAGAATACATATTGTAATTAGTGCAAGAAAGATTGAAGTAAGAGCAATGTATGCTCTCCAGTTGTTTAATCTCCATGAGCAAAGATGATGAGACCCATCTTGTTGGATCCTTCTTTGATCATAACTCCCATAAATCAGAATACCGAGTATCACAGTTATTGTCCATGTAGCAGAGACGAGAATCTTTGATCTGAGAACTGTCATAAGTGTAGGGTAGCGTAGAGGACGACAAATTGCAATATAACGATCCACAGTTAGAAGTACAAGTGAAAGAAAACTCATGACTTGAAATGTATATCCAATGACACCTGACGCTGAACAGAGAAATTCCCCCAACAGCCAATTACCAGCAAACAATCCTGGCACTCTAATAAACCAGAGTATTCCTGAACATATGTCAGACACTGTCAGAGAAGCCATGAAAATCTTGGTGGTTGTCTGAATAGTAGTGACTCGATACAAGACGCACAACATCAGTGGATTCAGCAAAAAATTCAGCAGTACTACTATGGTCAAAAAAATACCAACAAAAATCTCCAAAGATTTTTCTGAGTTTGACGTAATATCTCCCTCCATTGCAGTATTTGCAGTGGTGTCTGCACTTACGCTGCTTACCATTGTTGATTTGAGTTGTCAACAAAACTAAAAGTCAGTTTCAAGTCAGTTGTTTTCCTGTTTTTCTTGTGTAGGAGGATTTACACGTATGAAACAGTAAATGTAATCGACAAGAGACAGATGAAGAAACTCAGATGGAATAACTTGTATTCAACTGTAGCAGTAACGGTTTTGAGGACAGTACTGAAGAACTGTAAATAGCACTTCTTTTCAGCTCCTAGTCAATCTTGTAACCCATGGCATGAGATCCAAATTGCATTTTCGAAGTTGATAAAATATGTACAGCCTGAATTAGTCACTCAAACCACTGCAAATCAAAGGTAATGTGAGCTGTGGAAATACGGTGCCTCATTATATTCTTGTTCTACACATTGTATAAGGCCTATATGACAGTGTGGCTGTTGGTATAATTAAAATCTCATCACATACAGGAAGAGGCTGTCAAATTGTCATTCATTCTTCTTTGGTAAACAGCTAACAATTAAGCGAGTACTTGATAAAGCCCAAAAAAAGGTTCTGCTTCTGGTTTTGTTTTTTTGTTTTTTTGAGGACTTACATGTAGCTTTTACTGACATTGTTCCCATCATCTTCAGGAAGTACCTGTCACTCAGTTGTGATTTCACAGACGTTTAGTGAGTCTTTATTACTGTTCAGATAATCTACTGATTTCTTTTGTAGCAGTGTGGCTGATACATTGCACATATGTCAGGATACAATGTCCATAGACTACTTAAACTTTCGATGTGTACCTTCATGTAGCGTTTTTCTAGTTAACACCATCAAACAGGCAATCAGTGTCACTGTCAATTAAGATATTTGTAACGTCTCTCTAGTAGAAGTTAATTGCACCTGCTGGAGAAAACAAAGTCTGAGGATGTGCATATGGGGATGGGAGTGTCCTGGACTCCACATGAGGGATAAATGTGTCCTCCCCAAACGCTGCAACTGACTAATTAATCACCCATGAACATTTCAACTGTTAAAATATTTCTTACATTTTCTAATAATCTTGTCAATTTCCATTTGTGTTGTCATTTGCAGGTTGTATGATTGCCTTCACCGTTCGTCTTCCTACGCTCAAGATGTCCATCATTCCTGCTTTCTTCACCAGCTCAGTGCTCAGTCATCTCATCTCATACCTGTCACTCCAACAAACAAAATGTAAGCAGACTTGTATTATGTCTCTCTACCATACAGGTGGGACATGTCTCATGTTAGAATCAACCTACCGTACAGGCATGACAGCCTTTTGACAGGAAGATTTTGCTTTTTTCCTCCATTGGCAAAAATGTTCTTAGTAAACCCAAGGGACAATTATTTGTCCACACGGCATTACCAGATACATGTACAGACGCGCTGGTAATGTACATTTGTACATGTATGCAGGGATGGTATCATGGTGTGCTCACAGACTCTGAGGCAGTTTTGTCTTAAAGAGTTTTGACCTGATGGTTATTGCTACGCGTACGCAATGTACACTGATCAGGCTTGTCATTTTGACAAATGTTGCAAATTGCTGCGTTTAGCAGAGAATGGTGTCCTTTAATTTAAGGATTAAACATTTTTGACAAGGTGTTTTATAGTGGTAGGCAGTGTTCTAGCTAGGCATCAAATAGTGCAAGCACCCACTACGCTTTCTGAAATAAGCCCTACGCTTAAATCGCACCGCTACGCTACCGCTACGCTACCGCTACGCTACCGCTACGCTATACATTTTTGTTGCGATAAAAAAAATCTGCTCCCAATTTTGTTTGTTGTATACAAGCGCAGCGACTTTGAGCATTGCGCACTGGCCGTACGACACAGCGATACATGTATAAACAAAGATCCAACCGCATGTACCCCGTACGATATCCTACCGTGGTGCTAGCTGCTATGCGCCATTCATTATGAACATAATACGTACACGTATTCGCTATGAAAGCTATAAGCATGTGCTGTTTTGTGCTGCGTAGATACAGCGCTCTGTACGGACGTACCTGTCACCAACATTTTGCGGTATCTGGTGTGCTTTCCTAAGGTCAATATTTACAAGCAGTGCAACTGTTTCAAAATTACAAATAATACTTTTTGTCAAGTCTGAAACATTTCACTATTTGAAAATAAGTTCTTCAACGTCGGAACATAATTTTCGAAAAAGATTTATTCGAGAAACAATGTCCAAAGAAAGGTTAAAGCACCCCTACGATATCGACGGATCCGTCCATGAAGATGGCTGCACGTGAAGAATTTTTCTCGAAGAATGTCGCTGTCCAAAATTTTGGATTTTCAGACCACTACTCGTTGCTGATACATGTAACAGTTTGATAAGTTTTGTAGTAAAAAGGGATCTGTTTGTTCTTTGAACAAAACCAATCAGCAAGTATTGCAAAAAAGCAAGTTTTTTAGCGATCCACGAATGCGTTGCTTTCTCAAATGCTGAGGGGAAATTTGGTCGCGTAGTTAACCGGCGTGGGCCGGCCCCCAAGCCGGGCCGGGGCCGCGGCCGGGATAGGAAGCAATTCCTGGTGATTATTTCTCATCGTCATTATCTACAATTATGTTTTTTAACATAACAAAAATGAGATTTCTCCTTCACATTGTTGAAATTGCAATCGCCGATGACTTTTTCTGTCTGAGACCTCCATGGTTGTACAATTTCTCTTCCTGCAGCTGGTTGTATTTACAAATTTAAAATTGAACTAGGCCTACTGCTACGGCAACGCTACAAGGCTTCTTGAAATTGAAACTGGGCTGTCAGCAGTGTTGTAGGTCTCGAGACCGGTCTCGGTCTCGAGACTGGTCTCGAGACCACTTTTTGCTGGTCTCGGTCTCGGAAGCTGTGGTCTCGGTCTTGGTCTCGGTCTCGGTCCCCTTTGGTCTTGATATTTTGGCTGGTCTCGGGTCGAGACCAGCAATATGTGGCTTTTACAGCTCGATCGATTACTTTGTGTTCACTTCGTTCAGTACCGTTGTTAGTTAAAACATTTGCTAGCCCGTAGATCAAGCTTGTTATATATCGTGGTCGGTTTGCCGGACTCGAATGCACGTTGGAAAGTCCCCAAAGTACATGTAAAGCTGCAGCAGTACCAGTCACTGAACGATTTGGAGCAAGTTCGGCATTTATCTGTTGAGTCGGGCACATAAAGCAAAGTATGAACTTGTAACAATTTATGCAAGGGTCAACCATTGTCGGGGATTGTGTAGTTTAGCCCACCCCTGTGGGCGTAATCACTTGCATTTTGTATTCTGATAATAAATGAGGTGCTTCAAATTAGTTATATTTTCGACCCCACACAATGTTCTCTTTAATTTGGGACAGTATTTTGAAGAAAAAGTAAATTTTTCTACCTGATTTTCCAGCATTGAACTCACACACTCTTACCAGTTACCATTCACTGTTGCCATGAGAGTGTATGATGAGACCCCATTTTCTGGCTGCTCATTTTGAAGTACCCCATTATTCCTCAAAAATTAAAATCCCGTTCAGAAAAAAAAATTAAAAATCCATATCTGGCACATTCTGGCTACCACCTCGCAACTTGTGGTTCTACATGTACAAGTCTACATGTACAAGTCCACATTCTATGACAGAAATTAAAAAATTAATTCCATTTTTTAAAATCAAGTACACAAGTCTTGTTAGAAGTTAAGTCCTATATTTATTTTAGGAAAAAAGAGGCACAATGTAAAATTAAAATTGCATCTTTAAATATCCGTTAGAAGTCATAGCTGAAACCAAGGGGTGACTGTGGAGTTTAGGATCCGAGTTCCTACATTTTGTATAACAGATGAAACATCTACATTTAACTTTTTACTTTTGTCATGATTGGGTGCAGACAACATGTCAAAGCCCATATTTCTTAAGTGTAACTACTTTTTACTCAAGTACATGTAAGGTGTCATGTATCGATCAATTTGTCAACACTGCCACTGGTCAAAATTTTGGTCTGTATTCTTTGTGAATAGAAGGGTTACATTTTCCAACTACGTATAATAACGTGTCTTGTTTTTTTATTTTGACTATTGTTATTTATTATCAGCGGTCTCGGTCTCGATCCGCCTTGAAGGGGCTGGTCTCGGTCTCGGTCTCGGTCTCGAATCTTCAGGTCTCGGTCTTGGTCTCGGTCTCGGACTATCCGGTCTCGACTACAACACTGGCTGTCAGTGTCTCATGAGAATGAGATGATTCTTATTCCTCCATGTAAAACCTTGTAAATGCATGCCTAATTACTCCCTGATTTAGTTTTAGATTGATTAAATTACACTGACTTCAAACTTGAATGCAATGAATCGTTTCATGAATATGAAATGTTCATGCGATTTGTTCTCGCACTTAATAAATCTCATTTTTTTTAATGAAACATTGAGGAACATCTAAAAATGGTTAAACATCAGAAAGCATTGATCTCGGAACAATTTATACATTGTAAACGCTCTAAAATTTGAAAACAGAAAAAACTTTACAGGAGCAAGAGTATCATTGAAACAATTAAAACACATTTTCTTAAAATTTTTAACACTTCTGCTGAAAAAAAAATCAGGGAATCGCCTCAGATTGCACCACAGAGCATCTAGAGTCCAAAATTTTCCGGGGCCCTTAAGCGGGCCCGGGACCCCACGCCGTAAGCGCTTCGCGTTCGCATTAGTTGTCGGACCGAAATTACCCCTACGCTATAATTTCACCCTGGCTAGAACCCTGGTGCTGGGAGAAATCAGAGATTTCAAAATCTGGTTTTCTTCATTTTTTTTCAAACTATGAGAATTTCAGGGATTTCAGGACGCAGTGACCCTTTAAAAAAAGGCCACAGGTGCACAAAGCATGACCTAAAAAAATCCTGCAATCATTTCAAGACAAACTCTCTCCAAATTTCTCCTGAGAATTACAGGATGAGTCATGAGCATGCATTTGAAATTGGTTAAAAACTAATATAGGCCTACGTGTTTTAATATCTTGTTTTGAACTTACTTCATTACAGATCAATTATCCTCAAGACAATCACCAGTCACCAACCCACCTGCAGCTGTTAGATGTATCCACCCAGGCACCCAATCTTCACAACTGTCCATCAACTGTCGAGTATCATGGCAGTCACAGGAACCAAAGACACAGGGTAAGTACATGTACTTGCTTGCTGGTGAATGGTGATAGTTTTTATGTGATGTAAGAATTTGGTAACTTTGTATAAAACTAGTCTGACAACACATCATTTGAGCAAAAATGGGTAGAAAATGTAACAGACTTCTGTTCTAGGATAGACTGTGGTAGATTTCATTAGATGTACACAAACCAATTGCATATATCCTTCTATTGTTTGTTTGTCTGATTTGACACACAGATTCTGTGACTCAGCACCACTCATGCAAATCAGCAGTGGTTAGCTCCCCACCAGCCCATCCATTTACTTTGAGGACGCTCTTATCTCTACATGTATGGTCAAGAGAAATCCTACTTCTTCACACGTTGCCGGACATCACTGCAGCAGGCTGCTCACTGAACAGCAAACTATTCAACAGTTGATCTGATGAGCTACATGGACACAGTCTGCGACGAACAGGAGATATGTCTCGTTTGGATGTCATGGGGTACCATTGATCAATACCACACACATGTTCCCTTCTACTGTACATCCCTATTGCCTGTATGGAATTCAGCAGCTACACCGCAAGACCTGAACTCACTCGAATTGACTTCCTCCAAAACTCAGTTGCCTTTAGACTCTCAATCTCACAGTGCCATGAGTTGCTGCTTCTCATTTTTTGCCAAACAAGTGGAAGGTCTGCAGGAACTGCTTGAAGAGCTGTGTTTTTCTCCAACTGGACAAAGAGTGACTCCAAGGATGCCCAACTCTTGAGCTGCATGCTTTCGCCAGTCACACCAAGGGCTTCCAGGACTGTTGAGAAATGATATGGGAATGATACGTGTCATACACCAGAGGTCTTTTTTTACCAGTCTCTGCCAGACTCAATTGATTGCGATCTGGCAGAAACTTGTAAAGACCTCTTTGGAAATGAAAGCCTCTTTTGAAATGGAACTCTCGTGAAATGGAACTCTCTTGAGCTTAAACTATATTGGCATGGAACTTTTTTGAAATGGAACTCTTTTAACACGAAACTCTGTTGAAATGGAATTTTATTGAATCAGAACTCTTTTGAGATGGAACTCTGTTGAAACAGAACTCTTTTGACACGGAACTCTTTTGACACGGAACTCTTCTGCCATTGAACTCTTTTGCAATGGAACTCTTTTGGAATGGAAGTCTTGACACAGAAATCTTTTGAAATGGAACTTTTTGAAACCGAACTCTTTTGAAACGGAACTCTTTTGAAACAAGACTCTTTTGACACGGAACTCTTCTGCCATTGAACTCTTTTGCAATGGAACTCTTTTGGAATGGAAGTCTTGACACAGAACTCTTTTGAAACGGAACTCTTTTGAAACGGAAGTTCTTATATTTAAGAAGTAGAGGTCTCTCTTTCCTTTAGTTCACTACAGGTCTTCAGAAATCACCTCTGTGGCCTTTATGCTGATTGGGTTGCCTCGGGTAACCACAGTTTGAAAGATGTCAAAAATATTGAAAAGCTGATGCAAAATTTGTCGTTCACAATGTTTGATGATGAATTAGCACAAAAGTCATCATGTAAAAAAAAAAAATGGACATGATCCTCTAAAACATTGTCTGCAAAGAAAATTGTTGCACAATAGCCCTCAAACCATAATATTCTTTTGGTGAATCTATGATTGATGGCACTCATAGCTGAGATCAAATCAAACCACAGTTCATGAAGATGGAGGAGAGGCCTCTACAAATGCCACGTAACCAGCCTCTCACGGCAGTCAGTTGTTCAGGCACGGTTCATAAAAGTGATAAGGCAATGGTTTCATTGACCAAATTCAGTTCTATTCATTAGCTTGAAACGGTCACTTACTGCAAAAAAGAGGGGAAAGCGCTGCATTTCAATTTTGTAAAGTTGCATTCTTTTTCGGTGCTTTCTTGAAAGAATCAAACAATTTCTTGGACAAGATTCGCTAAAACCAAGGACTGCTCAAAATGCAGAAATCCTGTCGTAGACAAATGTTTATGGTACAATGTTTATAACAGAGAGAGCTGGTTACGTTCGATTAATTGATATTTTAATCTGAAACATTTCTTTATGACATTGCCTGATTGGTAATAGCTGGGTGCAAGATTGTTTTCTCTCTAACAACATTCTTTAAAAACAAACTATGTTTACAAATAATTTGAACCCACTTCTTTGAACCAAACTTTTGATATTTGCTTTATTGAACCCAAAATGTCTCATTTAGACTAAAATTTGGTTCAAATTTAAATCAAAAACTGTTTTAGATTTTCAAAAGCCCAAATTTCCTTGCAGTAAAACTATGAGCTGGAAATACTCTGTCAAAAATCCAATGTTGCCCACAAATATACAAAATTAACTTTTTTGTTTCTGTATCTTCAAATTTGTCTTCAGAAATGAGTTTTCGAAATCCTTGATGCATTTTCCAGTACATCATAACTTAGCTACCACTATCAGCAGCCATGCCAATCTTGTACCCAGCTTTTGTTTATCAAGTATAGTCAGCACTGGTCCAATGTATTAAGACAAAGTTTGGCTGCGAATGAAAAATATTGGCGTTAATTGCACATTTTCCAAAAAGTTGCAAACTGCGTATTTTCAATTTCAAAGCACAAACACTCAGAAAATCACAAAAATAACTGTTATTTGAAAGTTTCCTTTTCACGAAGCTGTTTTTCCACCAAGTGCGCATGTTGACAACCTCAAGAAAGCAGTTTTTACTTGTTCATTTGTCAAGCAATACAAAAACAAATGCTAAACCACTGTTCATTACTTACTGAGTGCCAATGATCAAAACAATATCCTCGCTCTAAAAAACAAACAGAAAAAAATGATGCTTCCAGTGCTGGCTGTACATACATGTACATTCCATAGTCTTTTATGATAATTTGTTGAGTAACCAACCAATATACTTGACGTTTAACCAACAGGCAATGTTCTGATATACTCGAGCCCAACGCATGCAAGTCCCCCCGGGGCGTGCACGTGTGGTGTTCCCCGCCCGCAGATGCCGGCTCGTCTGGTGAGTTGCCCCTGTCTGCATTGACGAGTGGTTGGTTGTTCAAGGTGTGTGCTAGCTTCCTGATCTTGTGGTCTGGATAATCGTGGATGACTTGGTCGACTTCAACATGGTAAGGACCCTTTTGAACTTTGACAATTAGTTTGCCTTTCTGCAAAGGAGATGTCTTTTTGGCTGTTTCTTTACCGAGTGTTGCTGTGGAAATTATGTACCATCTATAACTCTGGAGATTGCAAATCTAGAGATCAATCGAGCATCTTCTCTTGATGTCCCGCTTGCATTTCAATAGTTCCATGGCATCATGTTGATCCAAATGATCTGCTAACAAATGGGTACTGTTGCTGGTATATCTGATGTTCTTCAATGCGGTTTGATTTTCGGACAGGTGTTTCAGCCGCTATTTATGTGAATAACTTCCATGGTATAACTCTGAAATCTCATTGCCTTTTATTGTGTCATCATGTACAATCAGTTCTCTCATAGAGTGTGTTCAAATCTTAGACATGCACGGATAAAAATAAGGAAATATCAAAAGTAAATCGTTAAAATTAACTGAATCAAACGTCAAATCTGTTCTAAATTCAGCATCTAATGTATCACTTTAAAAAATGAGTTTGCAAATAATATTTGTGTTTTTGGCAGCATACGAATCTTAACTTGATAAACATAAGCAAGTGATATACAAAATTTCCAAATTTAAAAAATGGCAGCTTCTCTGCCTGAAATATTCAAAAGGCGAAATTTTGGTGTCGTAAAAAAAGAGAAAAAAACGAAGAAGAAAATCATCCTCACTTCAAAGCAACTTTAAAAGAGACTTTTAAAAATTCAACGCTCTTTTAAAAACACAGAGGAAACAAATTCTCATTAAATTAAAAAAGCAAAGAATGGGCTATTGCCATCATATTTATCATCAAAACTGCTGTACGAAAGAAAAACTGAGAGAAAATTTTAAGAAACTTTGAAAAAAAAGGAGAGAAGGCCAAACTCTTCCAATTGTAGGGGAGAAGTCCTGGTGTGCAGAGGGGGAGAACCATGCTGCTTCTTGGCCAGATGGAAGATGTGGTGGACAAAAAGGCCCCCTGCATCCTAACAAATAGAAGCTGTGGTGTCAGACACAGGGAGCCAGTCCTGCCAGATGGATCCATGGTAAGTTTAATTGAAGTTTGTAGAATGAATTCATGCACTGTGTACATCCTCATTGCTTGCTAAACCCAACGGTAACATGTGTATCTCATGGCTAGGAGTAAACGCTATCTGTCTGCATTACAGGAAAACAGTATTGTGCATTATAGTCTTCAGTCTGTGGCAATACCAATTAGCCTCAATCTGGCGCTTGAAAAAATAAGAGAAACGAAATGTCAGCTTTTTGTCATCTGTAGTCAAAGTTGGACGAAGGCATTGACATGACAATTCTAGGAACTGATCAGTCTTCATAAACTTTTGATATTGCCGAAGAGATGTCAATACTCTTCTTATGAGTGCCCATTGAGTCCTACAATCATACAGAGATGCAACCAGTGTACTGGTGCGCAAACATCTCAACCAATCTCAGTAAACTTTCTGGACTCGACACTCACTGCAAGCACTCAAAGTGCTGCTACTCAACTCATGGTCAAATGTTGTGACCTCTGCACTCCAATCCTATGATTGGATAAAACCTTGGGCTTGAGCAATCACTGCAGCCCCCCATAGATTCATCACCTACCTGATAGGTAGTTGCATGGGGAAATCCCCTACCAGGTCTGTTTAAGCGGACCTTTTTGTGATCACGACTTTGTGATCTGAGCTGCTCACTTGTCTGCAGTGATCGAGAGCCATATCAAAGTGTGCTCTTGAGCAATTGGAAATTAACGTGCACTTTCAAAAAAGCCTTGGAAATCTAGGCTTGCAATAAAAGCAGTTCTATCTTTGTTATTGACACAGATTAAGCTGAAAAGCCTTGAAGCAAAAGCTCTTTTCAGATGCACGACTCCTTTCAGCGCAAAACTGAAATTGTTTTATTCTCATTCTCTGTCAGTATGCATTTTTTTAAGTGAGAAATGAGACGTTAAAACAAAGGCCATGCCATTGTGTCCACCTGTTAGTATTCGTTATTCAATTGATTGTAAAAACTAAGAAGAAGACATTTAACTTTGAATGTCTTTGACGAGTCCTGGAAGATCTTCACCTTAGCTTTGACTTTAAATCAAAACTTTGAAATACTCAGTTGTATTTTGTCTTATTAGCCAGTTTGCACCTTTGCACGCTACCTCAGAAAAGAAAATTCAGTGTTGTACACTTCCATTCAGAAGAAAGTTATCCTATGCTCTAAGTGTATCGGTACTAGAACATGAACCTGAAAAACTTTCCCTGTAAGTCGTTTGTGTTCAACATCTCATCAGAGAGCAGTAATTGAATACAAGGCTGATATCTGACAATTGTAAATCTTCCTGCAAAGAAGTCAAACATTGAGTAGATTTTACAGAACCTACCATAAAATTGGTCTGCTCCGAGTTAGACCAAATTGGTGCCACTCGCCAAGAAACAAACACTCAAAATTGTGAATCTTTGAAAAGGTTGCTGAAACCAATCTGACATTGAAATTAATTTATCTTGTCTCACTAGCAGAGGACTAAAATTTATTTCTCACTATCTCATGACTTTGCAAAAATAAAAAGTGCAAAGTGACATCGCACTTTACATCAAACTGACACACTTGAATCTAATTTCAACTTGACCAAAACTGAAATTCTAGAAATATGGTCTTTGGGGCATAACGGTAGTGTGTCATTTGTCAAATAAGGTGAAGATCTTTCAGGACACATGTTGGTATTGCCACAGACTGAAGACTAGCTATGCTCCATGCTTTAACCCTTTAGTGACCATACCTCTCTCGGTGTGCAACGCTACTTCTCCACGTGCATTTTCCAGACTGAAGAAGACTAGGCTGGTATTGTGTATTGGGACTTATTTGAATGCTAAACCAACTAAAATCCTGTTGAAAATGCAGTTCTTATTCAAGGAAAATATGTGAAGTGTAATTTTTTTTCGAATACTAAAATAGCTAATCAGCAATTAAAAAAAAATCAGAAAATGCTGGTCGTCCTTTGTCACTGGCAATTCAGTTCTCCGGTGGCTAAGGTCACTAAAGGGTTAAAAAGAAAAGTCAAAGGTTTTTTGAGTCATTGTTCAGGTCAAGTTTAGATTCCGTTTAGTACTAAGAAAGCTGCACGAACATACAAATGTAGGGCAGGTTTCTAAGCAAATATGCAATCTCTTCAGTTTCTTCAGTCTCTTTAAAATTGATAAAACAACTCTTAGTATTTTCATTTGTTATTATCAACAAGCTAAAAGGTAATATTAACAATTCTGTTCAAGGCATACTTCAACAAACCTCTTTAATTCAATATTGCAGCAAATAAAGACGTCACAGAGTTTGAATGCATTATTTTTTAACATTGAGCAGAGCATGTAGTATCTGAATATTTGTCCCTGTCATATGTAATGATTCATTGCATTTCATGTAAATATCGCTAAAGACCATCTCTGAGAACATTAATGAGTACAATGCAGTGAACAGCGAATAAAACATGATGTGATAAATAAATTATACAAAATTGTACGTAGGGTCAAAATCTGGAAAATAAAATAAATTTAACCAAATTACAAATGTAGGTACATAAACCTAATTACTAAAAAATAAAAACGTTGAACACTTCACATAATGTTCAGTAGACGCCTTTGACATGACTGAATTAAGGAGTAAATAAACACTTAAATAAACAACTCAGGACAGCTCAGTATGATAAAATGAAATTGGAAAACTTGCACATTTTCTTAGCCAGAAAATAATATTAAGGTTCAAGTCAGTTGAATAATTTATAGAAATATAGTCAGCCCACTAGGGAAAAAACAAGCTGTTTTTTTTGTCTTTATAGGGTTTGTTCTATAAACTTAATGTACAAGTGAGTCAAACTAATTTAACTTGATAGCCAACTGGGACAGGAATATTTCCTTTTTTCCATGGAATATTTTTGCAAGCATGCATTTTAACAGTGTTCCTTACTTTATACCCATTAACCTTTACTGGGGTATACTCAGAGAGATCTAAAATAACTAGGACTTATTAATTTTGTTGACGTCAATTGGGTTGAATCTCAGTTCATGTAGGTACACCAGGCTCTGTGTAACTGTAAGAGGATACATTATATAACATTGTCCCAAGAAAGAAACATGTAGGTTTAGCATGTTTAGCCTGTAAAATTAGTTCTTTTTTGTCATTCCTCTTTTAAGTGTTTCAAAAGTGAAAGGTCAGTCTTGTCTTATAGGTTGTAAGGGGCGGGTCCCAGGATAAATCTTAAAATGAATGGCAGTTTTGCTGATTGAATGGTTTCTGACAAAATGCATACTTTGAAAGAGCCTTATTTTGAAATTCTGCTCTTTTATTTGACTAACTTAAACTTGCAATTCACTTAACCAAAAACGACCGTGTCAATCCTTCTGATACGCAGTCATCTTGATTCTAAATTATGGCAGTGTTCCATTTTCGAATCCTGCAGGAGCACTCAATATTGTTTGCGAGACAAAATGGTTGGTCTAGTTCACTTGCTAAACAAAGTGCAGATAAAGTGAGTGTAATTTTCAATCCAATCCGTTTTGGTCAGTCGAGAAACCTAGGAAGTCTTTTGCCCAGTTTTGCGTTCTGCATGCCTAAATATCACTGAAATTCCTTCTGAGTCAGTAGCAAGTGTCTTGTTGCAGAATCAATCTCAGAAACTGCCATTAATTTGTCCTGGGACCTGCCTAGGTTTGCATGTGAGCATAAATGTGCAATATCTGTTGTAATGTAGACATGTAGCAATACAGGGCGAGTCAAAAAGAAAGTGACCAAATAAGAAAAAAGGCTTTTAAAACACGTTGCTTGCTCCATTTCATAAAAATGACATAGGAATAGAGCACATGTCATTGACTAGTAAGTGTGAAAATTTCTCGCAATTTTGCGTACTCTATTCCAAAGTTACGTCTATTTTAATAAAAAGATCACACAATTCAGCTGTCCACCACTGATCATTTACCGTTCTACGAACTGATGAATACTCATGAAATACATGGACGTTTTCCCACCTTGATGAATGAACGAAAATTTGAAAAAAAAACCTGACGAAACTCGTTATCACTATTTCAGGAAAATAAAAGAGTTGACTTTACTTGTTCCTCAGATTCAAAACACAACATCTGACAGAAAAAAAAGATAATGTTTCAGTCTTCACCCAAATGATCAAAATCTCATTTGTATTTCAATGCCTGTGTGTAATCTGTAATTATCACTCCACTCAATAGCTTCCAATGGCATTCCATAAACCGCTATAAATTAATATAAATAGGTTCCTCAGGAAGCCTGAATCAATTTCAGTGATTAAGACATTTTTCATTGATGTTTAAAATTTGACCGCTTTTTAAGAAAAAAAAATCATTAATCCAGGTCACTTTCTTTTTGACTCGCCCTGTATGTTTACTCCAAATGCCATGATACACATGTGGGTTTAGCAAGCAAAACAGATGAGGATGTATGTTGTCATTGTACAGTGCATGAATTAATGAAAGCTTCAATTAAACTTGACCATGGATGGCCATGGCGGGACAAGGCTGTCCCTGTGTCATGATGATGCCACAGCTTCTGAGGATGCTGAGGGGCAGATTGCCACCACATCAACAGTGGCGTAGCTAGAATGAAGGAGGGGCCACAAGAAAACGGGAGGGGGCAAATTGAAGCCTTTGATACGTCCATGTGGGCCCTACATCAAATTTAAATTGATGGTTTAACTTTACCATTTGCCGCACAGGTTGGCGGCTACTTTTGATACATGTACATATATGGGCCCATCTGGGTTGGCCAAAATATGGGCCGAGCATGGGATTTTGATAGATCCCATTTCGTCCAATTGGACAGACAGCCCCCTCCACATGTTAGAAGGCCCCGCCCATCCCCATGAGCTACGCCACTGCACATTAACCAGGAAATAGCATGGTTCTTCAGAAGGGCACATCAGGTTGAAAATGGGGAGTAAAACAAAAACAGAAATACTCCTCGAAGAAAGAAAAACCCCAAAATGTTCTTTGACAAAAGTCTAATGTGTGACATTATAGGCTAGCATTCATTCAGTGCACAAAATGTGTGTTGATTTGGTTTGCCTAATGTCAGTTTGAAAAAAAAATGATTCGTGAAGAGTTTGGCCAGATGTTCGTAGAAAAGAAAAGAGATCACTCAGTATTGAAATACTGTGTGTAATCAAGCGATATCCAAAAGAAAAACTGCGAATGTGTTTCAGTCCAACCAATTTCTCTCTCATAAAACTCCCAATCAAAATGTGTGGGTTGTTTTAGATTGTAACATGTACATCATGTACATCGAGTGCACAAATTGAATAATGTACATGTACATGTACATGTACATTGAGTGCAAAATGCAACAGCTGTTTTGAAGATATTTATGATGGCACGAAGAAAATATTGCGATCACTTTCCTCCACTGAACGAACTGTTTCGGTGTATTTGCCCATATATATCAAGACTATTTGAGACATGTCACATGTTGACTCTTTACTGTACAAAATGTACGTAAGTAAACTTTGTCCAAAAAAAGGAGACAAAAATAAGCGCAACATTTACTAAAAGAATAACAACAATTCTATCTTTCTGAGTACAAGGTAGAAATACGAAAACAGTTGCTTTGAAATTGGACTTGTCCAACCAAAATGTTGGTTGAAGTTTTGGCAGAAAATCTCACTTCATAAAACCTGTAAATCCTACCAAGAAAACTTTGGTAAATTCGAATGTGCAAATTGAATTATTGCATTAAATTTAAGTCCAAATAATAGCCTAAATTTACTCGGCACAAGTGTATTTTGTCTGCAAAATCTGACGTTCTTATAACTAGTAACGGTGCTGCCAGAAAACATAAACAAATTGACGCTTTTATGTGGTCGTATATATCTGATGGAATATGCAATGTACATGTACAGCATGTACATGTACATAGCATGTACATGTACATAGCATGTACATGTACATAGCATGTACATGTACATAGCATGTACATGTACATAGCATGTACATGTACAGCATGTACATGTACATGGCATGTACATGTACATGGCATGTACATGTACATGGCATGTACATGTACATGGCATGTACATGTACATGGCATGTACATGTACATGGCATGTACATGTACATGGCATGTACATGTACATAGCATGTACATGTACAGCGTGTACATGTACTACCCAAGTACAAAGAAGCTCTCCAAAATTGGCAAGGCTTTTGAGCTTGAAGATCAAATTTGACGATAATACTGTTACCTTCTCTTACAAGGTTACGTCTGCCTCCTGTAAAACATTTGCTGAATTGGTTATTTGGTCCTTGCCAATTCAAGTTAAACGTGCATGTCCGTCAAAACCAAAACTGTACTTACAATTACTTGTGAAAATCTTACGAATAATACGTATTTTGAAATGACACACTCATGAGATGAACTGATCACTGTACATGTTGATGTGATTAAATGGCAGGGAGATTTCAGAGTTATATTGTGGAAGTTATTTACGTAAATGGTAGCGGAGATAAATGTCCTAAAATCTTATTGCATTGGAAATACGGAGAAAGCTGGCAAATTGTAGCCTGTTTGTATTGCATTTCATTTAAACGGATCAGAAACATGATGCAACAGCGAACGATGGAAATGTTGAGTGAGACAATCATGGGTAGATGTGAGAGAGATCTCTACTTGGGCAATTTTCGGAGTGATAGTTGGTATATTATTTCCGTGGCAATACTTAGTAATTGAAACAGTTAATAAGGCATCGACTTTGTCAGAAAAGTAAATTGATTGTTGAAGTTCATAAGGATCCTTATCATGTTGGAGTTAACCAAGTCATTTGCGATTATTTGGACTTGCAAGTTTGGGGAGTTAGTGCGCACTAAGATCAACTGATCATGAGTTGATGTAGATAGAGGGCGACTCGCTGGACTTGTCGGTGTCTGTGGGTGGGGAACACCATGCGTGCACGCCTCGGGGGGACTTGTATGCGTTGGGCTTTTTTTTTGGCCGGCCCAAGTTCAAGTTCAAAGCCAAGTTCAATTTCAAGGTCAAGTTCAAGGTCAAGTTCAAGGTCAAGTTCAAGTCGAAATGCCAAATAAATAGAGTAAAAATAAATAGAGTAAAAATACAAATTTGCATGTCTCTCTTGTATTTTATTGCAATAGTACCAAGTTTTTAATTCGAAAGTAATACACAAGAGGGCGCCCTTTATATTTCAACAATATTTTTTAAAATATTTTTTAAAGTTTTTTTTAAACAGCATAAAGGGCGCCCTCTTGAGACAGTGCAATTTGAACAAAAAACATTTAGTTATACTGAATGGCGCCCTCTTGTGCCTTGCTTAATTTCAATTAAAAATTTGATTATATCAAGTTGAACTCCAAAATCTTAGTGTGTCCCATGGGGGCGCCCTTAATAGGCTTTAAAAAAGTAAGTAAAATGCGTAACCTTAAAAAAATAAACCTCATGCAAGAGGGCGCCATTCGTTAGTTCAAAGTTAAGTCGACCCCCTCACCAAAGTACAAAGGACATATCTGCTGTCTACTTAGATAAATTTGCAGCAAGTCTTAGATGATTTTTTTTTGTCTTCTCACAAACATTAAAAAAAATTATCTTGAGAAAAAGATTTTAAAGTGCATCTTCAATTATTTAAATTTTTAAAATAGACACACCGTTGGTTATTTTTCTTTTCACTTACAAAAATATTGAAATCCCAACAGCATAAAACTGGTCAAATTGAACTATCCTGAAGTAAATTATGTCAAGTTAACTTTTCTGGTACACAGTATAACAAACTTGTTTTGAATCACAGAATAAAAAATGTGAATTTATCCAACAGGATATGATAGCAATGTTCTGTGCTGCAAACTTGTAAAAACAGACAGCAGATATGTCCAAAAGAAACACACCATCACACCAAAGAAACTTCACTTTAATGTAAGGAACAAATGAATCTACAATGGCACATTATAATAAATTGTCTTACGTAAATAACCATGCAAAATACATTAAAGTTTTGACTAAAGGTATCTATATAATAAATAAAAATGGTACATTCTTCACCTCAAAAAAATTGGTCGTTTTTTCCTCTCATCGTCAGAGACAGATTCGTTAACATTCTATGTAATCGATACAATATTTGATTATTTCAAAGTAACCAATATTCAAACTAACGTATCTCTGCCATCCAAAATTGTCAAAACGTCAGCAGTATGAAGGATTCAATGGCAGACATCAAACAGAACATCATTTCAGAATTCAAATATTAAAGTTTTATAATTATATGTCTATTTACAATTTAACAGTTATAAATACTGGTATATTGATCAATGTATACTGATCAATCATTATAATGTGCCATTGTAGATCCATACAATTATAATCTTGCTTGCATCATCATCTTAACTCTTTTTTTTTTACAGTTCTAGACAACAGTCCAGGCACATGTCAACAAACTTTCTTGGAAAAAAAACAGAATTTGTTTTGGCAAAGTTAACTGTATGCAACTTTTTGGTTACTTGCTTAATTTTGTGAAAATCAGAAGTGTCTCTTTTTAAGGATTTTAGTTTTAATACATTTTAGGCCTTCATTTTTAGTTAGAAACACTCAGAATTCAAATGAAAAGTCTAGACAGTATCAGAGTTAATGCATGTCATATTCACATCAAGACAACAAACTCTGAAATAAGGTTTTCTTTTTCACAAGTTCAAACTTCAGGTCTAAAAAAAAAGTTTAAACTAAGGAGTTGTTGATTGTGGTGGTTGCAATTTGCCTATTCTTGTTCATTTTGAAACATTTCAGACTTTTGTGACATGTGCCTGAACAACTAATTCAAACTCATCAATCATACTGGCAAATCCTTGGCAATGAAAGTACTGCCTCACAAAATATGAGATAATAGAAGGATTGCATGGTGAAGAACCTCCAAAACTCATTAGATTTCTTATACATGGTTCTATTACAAACTTTTATTTATTTTTGTCTGGTATTTCTCTTTGAGGCTTAACTTTTTAGACTCGGAATATTATAACGCACGATTGGATTAGGACCTCTCATTGCCAAGGATTTGCTCAAAGTTTGCTCCAACAGCAGCCACTTGATCCAGTCCAGCCAATTCCTGTCAGCAGTCTTCCAAATGAGACGCAAGGAAACCTCCACCAGGACTCAGTATCTCAGTCATGTGATCAGTCACCTGATGAGGGAAAACAAATTATGAGCCATCAGAGTGTCCTGAACATTGAAATTTGGTTAGATCAAGTTACAATATTTGCACGTCAAACGGCTGGTTTCAACACTGTCTAATCGTGCCAAAGGTTTTTAATAACTTCATTGCACGAAAAATATTACAAAAAATAAGCAAGTCTGCAGAAAATTGTTTAAGGAACTGGTATGCAGTAGTCATGATAATATTAGGCTTAAGATTTTGAGTTTACGGGTGATGTCGAGGGAATAGTGACATTCCTTTTTTGTTTAGTAAAGAGCCACAATTATTCTGAATTGAAATGCAGTTTTGAAAGTTCATTCTAATTAGCTGACGAGAGAAATGTGACTTTCAATCAAAAAGTTACAAAGTTAAGGATCAAAACCAGCCGTTTGAAGACGCCTTCTCTAATGTCACTTGCAATTGGACTTAAGACATTATAGACACAAAAAGTACACACACATATAGCTCATTTTGGTTGCAATCTACCACAGTACAGACTGTTATTTTCGAACAGGGAAACTGAATGCAGGATTTACAACTTGGAATGAAAAAAAAATCGCTTGTTGGTAAAAAAATACTAATCAATTAACTGACAGAGTGATACAAAATACATTGAAAAGCCAACATTCAATGTCTAAAATACTTTTTTCTCAATTAGTTCAGGAAACCTTGCTGATTTAGCCGTAGTGTGCCAGGCTTGGATCTCAGGAATAACTTGAACAAGGGGAAAGGGGAGGGCAAAGGACAGGACATGATGGGTCTTTGATGATGGTAGTTACAATCAAGCAAGTCTTTAGAAAGACACAGTTGGGACAGGACATGATGGTTCTTTGATGATGATAGTTAAGATCAAGCAAGTCTTTAGAAAGACACAGTTGGGACAGGACATGATGGTTCTTTGATGATGATAGTTAAGATCAAGCAAGTCTTTAGACAGACACAGTTGGGACAGGACATGATGGTTCTTTGATGATAGTAGTTACAATCAAGCAAGTCTTTAGACAGACACAGTTGGGACAGGACATGATGGGTCTTTGATGATGGTAGTTACAATCAAGCAAGTCTTTAGACAGACACAGTTGGGACAGGACACGATGAGTCTTTGATGATGGTAGTTACAATCAAGCAAGTCTTTAGACAGACACAGTTGGGACAGGACATGATGGTTCTTTGATGATAGTAGTTACAATCAAGCAAGTCTTTAGACAGACACAGTTGGGACAGGACACGATGAGTCTTTGATGATGGTAGTTACAATCAAGCAAGTCTTTAGACAGACACAGTTGGGACAGGACATGATGGGTCTTTGATGATGGTAGTTAAGATCAAGCAAGTCTTTAGACAGACACAGTTGGGACAAGACATGATGGGTCTTTGATGATGATAGTTACAATCAAGCAAGTCTTTAGACAGACATAGTTGGGACAAGACATGATGGGTCTTTGATGATGGTAGTTACAATCAAGCAAGTCTTTAGACAGACACAGTTGGGACAGGACACGATGAGTCTTTGATGATGGTAGTTACAGTCAAGCAAGTCTTTAGACAGACACAGTTGGAGGTATTTTGTCATCAACCATATGCAAAGATATTCCTGATTTGGCAAAGAAGCCATGTGGATTTACCAGTACCATTGAAGACTGATACTAGATGTGCATCATTAAGTTGACGGATTTAAGGACTGCATCAAAATTATATTCTAAGTGATGACTATCCATAATTTTTTTTACCGAAACCACCCCCCCCCCAAAAAAAAACCAATAAGTTTTTTTGTCACAAAATCTTAAACTTAACGCTAATGCTTTATATTCTTTCAACAAATACTTTCAAAATCCAGACATCAATGTTTATCACGCAAACACATAAAAAAATTTAAAAACCTGAAGCCCCTGTCACACCTTTGCGTATAATTCCTTATGAGTTCCTTATCCCAAATTTTCAATACGCAGCCGTACGCTCAAATAACATCGAAATGTTTTGATCACTTTGACTTATGTGCGACGCACATCTAGCGTACAAGTAACGAATTCAGCGCATCCAATCCATTGCGTATGAGATGCGTATGAGTTGCGTACATGCAGTGCACAACATTATTTTTCGGGCTGCGAATAGGTCAGTATGCAGTGGGCATGCCGAGCGTACTCAGGACGCACCCAACTTATGCCGACCGCATGCTTGACACACTTCTGAGCGTATTCCCGCCGCATTTCCGCCACTCGCCATTCAGCGTGCGTTGCATCTGCGCTTCAACTACGCTATGTATACATCCAATACAGGCGGCTCATATGCTGACGGGGTGCGTCACGAACACATAGCGTACTCGTAACGCACTCACCCGATGCACTGCGTATTTATAACTTATGACCTGCGTAACAGCGTACGCAGCGTACTTTTGTGCATGCCCAAAACTATCCTGCGTACTGGGCCGTACCATGCGTATATCTGTGTACATAAAACCTACACAAAACAATAGACATGCATGTGAGGTGCGTATTGTGTGTACCACTGCGTATGAAAAAACCAGCAATGTGCAACTCATAAGGAATTAGGATATGCAGAAGTGTGACAGGGCCCTGAAGTACAGTCCATTAATGTTTTTCAAATTCAGAAATTCCACAAGTAGTAATTCAAGCAGAAGTTCAGCCTAAGTTCCCCCACTGAACCTCAGGATGCTAAGAATATGGAAAGAATTAATAAAAAGTTTATTTCCAAAACACGATAAATGTCCATTTCAAAAAGTGACAAATCTGCAAGCTTACGAAACTTCAATTTAACATTATTTTTTTCAAATGAGTGTGTTCTAAATTGTGGTTGACCATATAACAGCCATCCAACCTGACTTTGGGCAGCCAGGAGAGGGCAGCATTCCAAAAAGGAACGAAATATCGAATATCGCATTTTGGAAACAAACACATGACAAATGTTCTTGTTAATGTAAAGTGTTTTAGCTGATGGCATGATGCTTTTGTAAGACCCTGACCATGCTGTCCCATCAATTCCAAACATGTACATAAAAACAACACCTCCAGCTTGCCTAATTTTTGAAGTATAAAGCAAGCTGAATTAGCTTCTGACTCTGTATTTACAATAAAATACTTGATTGGCAGTCAATAATGTTTAACAACAACCTGAGAGCAACCGGTATCTAGGTACATGTAGTCTGTTTTATCATTGAGTGGAAATACTCGAGTGTTACACAATTTCATTTTGTATAATACTTATAATAACACTCTAAAAACATCAACTTTTAATGTTTTCGTTCACCCACCGTAGGGGATAGAACATACAGGTACATGAACCCTAGCATAAAAAAATAGTATTTATATTCAATCAAAGACCAGCGCATCTTTAAGAGGACCAAATAGCCCCATAAAAATGGTCAACGTTCAACTTTCTGACCACCCAAACACAAACCCCAAATTGTAATGTTGCAATTATAGCAGCATTTTAATTTCAATACTGGCCCTATCACTATGCCAACTGGGCTCCCAAACCGCAGTATGGGGTTACGCCATCTCCAGTTACCAAGGTAATAATTACCTAGGCAACACCCTGATGTGAGGTTTTTCCAAGGATCAGGCGCCTCCTATAATGAAATACTCCAAACTACCAAGAACCATCATTCACCACTGTTAAAACACTAGAAACACAACAAGTACCATGAACCAGCTTCAGAATATCCTTCTGGAATATATTTGCAGATTTTTCCTTTATGTTCCAAAATGCCTGCATGATCAATGACACTGATTGGCAGTCTCTCCTCAATGGTCGACACAGAGTACACATTGTACTTATCTGCTGCTAATGACCCCTATGTTTTTAACAACTTCTGGAATCCAGAAAGTCAAATTCTCCAGAGATGAACCTTTCTTGTAACTGATCAGCTTTGACAATTCTGCAGCACCAGAAATCAATTGTATCTTCAATGACAAACTCTTCTGGTAATCATCAAGACCAGTAACAATGATTACAAACAGCAATCCTTCTTCTCCACAATCAATACATTTTATCTGCTATTGGTCAGTCCACTGTTGACTTCTACGGTAGCTGTTGTGACATTCTGCTACTTTTCATCATTAGTAATGATTCAGTACGAATGATTATTATTTCATATTGTCGATGGTACAAATATTTTCATCATCAATGTCTATGAGCTGTGATACATTGTGTATTTCAAAATGATGACGTAATTTGTCCATTAATTAACTCGAGGAACTAAACCCTCGTTTTGTTGATCAGTCACAATCACATTTCAATCCTGTTCCTCTGCATGGCATTTATACAGGCTAGTCACAAACAATCAGTTCACTATCTCAGTACAGGCACTGTGACAGTCATATTCCATCAACAGACAAAATCAGGTAAATGAATAGGCACAGCTGGCTGATCAATCTCCTGCAGTCAAAGCATAGCTGTATCAGGTTTCATAACAATCACAACCTGTCAATCCTGCTTTGTAGCAGGGAGCACTCAACTGCTAAAACCAGTCACTTGATTTATTTTGACTGCTGGACTGGCTTTGTTGAGATTGCCAGCCACAGAGGGAAGGTCAACAACTCATCAGATTCCTCCAGCAATTACACATCTGCCGCTACAAACATCAACCATCAACGTCTCATCAATGCTGATGTAGCAAACAGTGTTCCACTGCCATGAACTATATTAGCTTCTTTCTTATGGCACTGGTTTCCATGATCAGTGAATATTCAAAAGTGTGATTCCAAAGCAATGCTCTCCACAAACCATCACCCTCGTCACTGGTCAATTTATGATCAGTTCATTTCAAATTCAATTATCATCCTCTTTATCAGTTACCATGGAGCACTGCTTTTCTACAACTGATCAATTTTCTAATCATTGCTCAACAATGATCTTAATCTGTAATTATTCAATAATTAATTTTTTTGCAACGGTGACTGCTCACTAAAAGCCATGACTCCCTAGCATAATTTACTAGGAAATATACACATCCTGGAAAATTCCAAATCCATGTTGGAAACTGCATACACATATTTCTGACTTTGATTTTAGAGGTGTGCCGACCAATGTAAAAGACTGTCAGTTTAGGGGTACTGTACCCATCCTGACAGATTCCAACTAAACATGTTGTTGGGGTTTAATGGGTTGAGTCTTGTTAAGGTTAACTCACCAATCACATATTAAATTAGGGCAAAAATGTTGTCAGTGAAACATTCTCAGTGACAACTCTTTACTCTCTTCTTTAATTAAAATGGCAAATGTTGAGTTAAAATGAACTGTCTGTGCTCTCAATAAAATTCTTCTTTTTTCCTGACAAATTGTGATCTTTTAGGGTTTTAAATGGAAAACAGTTTCCCTCACTTTGGTCTCTGCAACCCAATGAAAAGAAAATTGTTATATAGGATTTCAGGTTGCTTTCGCACACAAATTAAGACATGTATGTAATTGCCCTGCAATTACATTATGTACATCATCAATGATAGTAAGGAGGAGGTGGGGCAAGATCCAGTTTGTGTGTGTAATGTGAGCACTAAATTATTTTGGAATGCAAATGAGTAAACAAATTGTGAATTAATTATTCCATACCTAAACACGTGCCTATATTTTGATCAATATCTCATCCAGAACTAAATAACCTTAATATTGCTAGAAAACAGTAGCAATTTCCAATAAAATCTATTTTGGGCTGACTGTGTAGAGCCCGGTTCATACTTCACGCAAAAGCATACTGCGACGCGAAATTCATGTCGTCAACAATGGTGAACGCGCTTTGAATGTATTGTTGACGACACGAATTTCGCTTCGCTTTTGCTTTTGCTTTCGCGAGAAGTATGAACCACGCTTAGCACAGACAGTTCATCTTCAATTAAAAAAATTCCAACATAAGAACACTCTAGATTAAAACAGTATTTGATGATGGACCAAATTGAGTGAATAAAGTCTTCTGCAAAACCAACTGAAAAACAAAATCCCAAAATGAAACCTTCAGAGACATATTGAGGGGAATGACAATAAGTTCAAACAATCTGAAGGTTTGAAACAAACCTTTGAATTGAAAAAAACAAAATCAAGTTCTTTCCAAAATGGAAAATACACATCCTGCACAGATATTCTTCAGAGTGCATGTTAACAAACACTTGAATGCAATTGTTTTCACTCTTGCTGGAATAAGCCAATTCGACATCTCGTATGAGCAATGAATGAACACTGCAATGTTTGGATAAACAAATCCATGTGATGCTGTAAGCTTGCTATCTATTGGTCAAGGACCCCATGATGTGTTTGTTCATCCAAAAATTGTATTGTTCATAAGAGTTTGTACATGCCCCAGCGAAATATCGAATTGGATTATTGTTTGTGGCAATGCCACCATATTTAGGAATGATTTTTGGCCATTGCTATTTGTAATACTCCTGGCATTGTTAGGTTTAGAGACAATAGAGAGCTTATTTGAACTAATTGTCTAATTACGCTTCATGATGATTGATGTCTGGAGATTGAGAACTTTTTTGCACAAAAAAAAATTAAGTTGCATTCCCCATGCTCTTCAATAAATTTTATTTATTTTCCTATTTTTTTTTAATTTTTAAACTTTATTCCAACGAGAACAGAATTACATGTATTGACCGGCCACAAGGTAATTCAAAATTTGTACTTGTTAAACAAATCTACAAAAAGGAATCTACCGGTATTTGGAAGATAAAATTCAAAATAGCAAGGGGGATGCAACTGCAATGTTGGATCAAAATTTAAAATGAGAAAAATAGAAAGCATTCTCTCAATTTAACACAGCAAAGAAAAAAAAATAGAAGTTCCACTTAATTCCATGAATGATAACAATTGATGGAACCAATAGGGGCTAGTATGTGTATGAAGCTGTGCCAACTGACAAGGAAACACTTCTTCAAGCTGAGTTATCACAAAGTATCACCAAACTAAACTAAATATTGATGCAAGTCCAATCAGTAACTAACTACAAGTCACGACAGCAGCAGTCTTCAAAGCTTTGATTAATCCACATGTTTGTGTGATTTATGCGTATGTCAATAAAGCTTGCTTAATTTAATCAGTACGACAACATGTACATGTAGATTCATTTACTTTTGCCTCAAATTTCACAAACGTTGCAGGACACAACTTTTAAATGAGAACTTCTGACATGGTTGATCAATCTGTATCTCCCTAAATTGACCTACATGTATAATTAGACAACCCTATTGAATAGTGTGCGTTAAGTTTCGTTTGTCTCAGATTTTGCTCGTTCCGCATCCATTTGTTTGAAAATATTTCACAAGCTGCGTTGCCGACACGATTCTACCACAATAGGTTAATTGCCTGTCAATTTTCAAAAACAATTTTTCTTTATCATATAAAGAGTTAGGATCGCAAAAGAAGACTTTTGTTGAAAATGGCATGTTGAATTGAAATATTATTTTCCGGGGGGGGGGGGGGGGGGGGGGGCAAAGTCTAGGAATATAAGGTGTGCCCCTATTAACTTTAGATTTTAAAACAATGCCTCCATCTTTATATAGAAACTTATGGTTCTTTTACTCTGCTTTAGATGGACATACAAGTTACTGAAATGAATTGAAACAAGATCAGACAAGAATGGAGGCAAAAAGAGATGAATAAAGAATAGATACTGAGGGCAGAGTACCAAAGAAATGGTTGCCCAAAAGGAAGGGAGGGGTTGACTCTCAGAGATGGCTAGCAAGCAGCTTACATGACCAGGTCTGCCACAATATGAACGACCACTGACATTCAGTAATAAAAATTGTGTGCACAAGACCGACAAACTACGCGAACGCCCCTAGCATCTTTAAAATTTAAGTAGTCTTCAAAAAATTATGACCTATTAATGATTGCATTTAAATGGCTTCCAATACCTTCTGAGAGCACCCCAAAGACATCCTTTGGTTTGAAAAATAAATAAGTGCAAAGTTTTGCACAGAACACAGGTGTTTGTAGTTGTGTGATAAAAGTTGAGCTTTTGGTTGTGTTGCAATTAGATGTAAGATGAAAAAGAACTACATGTTGGCAGAGGAGATACAGGCAGAGGAATTGCACTGTAAGACACTAAGATTCAGCTTCACATAGCTTGATTTTGGTTTCAGTTTTGATGTTTCTTTTGGCTTAAATGCAGAGCTGTGGTTGTTGCATTGCAATAGCAAACTGATGGTTAAGTTGGCAAGAAAAACAGGTGTAAACATAGAGAATGAGGAATTTAGGAAATTTGGGGGTATTTAGAAAGGAAGCCAAAATTTAGCCATAGATTGAAAGGAAAAGCAACTGAACACATATTGAACTTATTGTCAGCTACATGTTATCCTGATCCAGACTGGCACCTACAATTCACTAACATAACAGCATGGCTTTCTCAAATTTATCATCAATCTCAATCATTTGCAGAAACAAGAAACATTTTCACTTCATTATCTGTCAGCAAATTATTATCAATATTAAAGTTAATAGTTAAGACAGTTTTGTTTCCTTGACTAAAATCTTCAACCTTCAGGTAGCTCAGAGATTTAAAGTGTCTTAACTTTTCCATCAATGATTTAGAATGTTTAGACAGAATGTTGCAACGTGATGCCACTTTTTCCTCATATCACTAATGGTCATTCATTGCAAACATGTTGAAAAGACATGAATCTGGGACTGCGAAACATTTCCAATTTTGTTAGGAAATACTTGGTCTGGCTAACTACATTCCTCCTGAATGTTGAAATGTTGTTCTCAACATCAAAGGCCGAACCGTTGGGATAAAACGGCATTATGCAGCAACAGAAACTACATTTTTGCATGCTCAGAAAAAAAATCTATTCACATATTTCAGTTCTCAGAACCAGATTTTATCAGGTTCATAAAGTCATAATTTTTTTAAGACAAAATAAAATCAATATGAAAATGAAACAAATGAAAATTAATCTTTTCTAGCAACCAAAGATATAGAGTATGTGTGTACAATTTGCTATGGAAAATTTTAAAACTATTAAAGCAACAGTTAAAAAAGGCATAAAGGATCATTTGCTATTCATGCATTTTCTTTGTTTCCAACAATAACATCAACACAATCAAAAGAAGAGTGTTCAAAAACCTAATCAGTTGAACTTTCAGCTCTGTGATTATTTCACATTTCAAGAAAACAGTGAAGCAGGACCTTTTGATCACTACACACTATTTTGTCAATAGCAATCTTTATTCCCCAAAAAACAGTCAAATGGCTGATTGTTGGAAAGCACCTTCATTTCTGGATTTCATTTGAAATGACAGCATGCCAGATAGAATTTACGGGTCGTTTACATGTAGTACCAGTACTATCCTTAATCCAAGTAAGCAATTTAAACATAATGTGTTAGGTTGATTGAGGGTCAAATGCAAAATGATCCTGTATGTCTTTAAATAAAAAAAGTTTCAATTCATAACTGTATGTTTCACTTCAATCTCTCCTATGAAAACCTGCTCCATCATATTAAGAACATGTGCACCGGACTGCAAGAGCTTTGCGACAATTCCATCTGCTTGCAAACCACTATGAAAGTCACTGGACACTTACATGTACTGCAAATAATTAGGTTTCTCTTTGACAGTTCACACAAATGAAATTTCTTGATTTGATGTATATCAAATCACACAGCAATCTTTCAAGAAGAGAAACTTTCAATTCCTGTCTTTCAGAAATGACTGTCATGACCATTGCTTAGAAATTATTCTCATTTCTCTTTTTTCTTCAAATTACAATGTATTGTCCGTGATGCTGTCAGGTAAAAATATCAAATTTCTTTCAATCACAACGTTGAGGACAAAACTCCAATTCACAAGAATCAAGTGAGAGAATTATGGTCATTTACAAAGGAGGTTGTTTGGTGCACATTGTGATGAGTTTTGATGGAGCAGGTTGTATTCTTGGTTTGACTCACCCTTAAGATCATCCCAGTCGCCATGGTGATGGTCATCCAGCCTGTCCTGCCTAGTCTAGGCACTGGTCTGGTCCAATCCAGCCTCAGCATGGTTTGCAAAGATCAGTCTCTTCTGAGGACAGATTTCAAAACCAACAGTCAAACCTCAATTCTCTAATTTCACTTTCGATTCCATTTCCCAGTCAGCAATAAAAAGAAAAGTCAGAAATTTAAATAGAAATTGTGATTATTTTGTCCTTAATTAGATCAACAGGAAAAGTTCAACAGGGATTGGAGACTCCAATTTAACAGAATTTCATATCAAAATTCCATTTGTGGACAATATAGTAACACATTTTATAATAAAAAGGAAGACAATGCTTCTTTGTTCCAATTGGTTTTTTTATTTTTTGTTTTATTGATAAAAGTTTACTCCAAAGAATTCATGAGACACTTACCAATTTGGAGCACTCGATCATCCTGAGAGAAGCCAGAAAAGATGTGATGATGACCTCAGGATGGTGCCTCATCCCTCACAGACAGGTGCGGTCATGGCGGATGATTTTTAAAAGAGCCGTCTCATTCTCACCAGGTTCGATCATCAACTTCAAGCACTACGCTGGTCCTGGTCCGCAATGAATCCTTGATGAGTCATTGTTCGTGATGAGGCCTCTGTTCTTGGAGTCAAAATCCTTAGGAAAGATGATTGTTTTGCAGCTTTTTGCAGTGCAACACAATGCCACTCGCCAGGCTGGTGGAAAACTCAATAACACTCACGTGGCACGTGTACCGTACTGGATCAGCGCGTGTAAGGGGGTATTTGTTCACTATTGTGTGATTCATACAGGGCGAGTCAGAAAGAAAGTTTCTTTTGACTAGGAAATTGCATAACGCAACATGACATTATCATCATGATCTCAATTATAAAACGTAATGAAGATTAATGAATGATCCAGTGTACTAGTGTCCCCTATTTGACAGCTTTAGTTCAGGAAATTTCCCTTTAACAGGAAAGCTTCCCTTAACAGGATCACCACCGGGAAGGTAGCTGTCATGATCCCATGTTAGTGAGAGAGGAAGAGCAGAAATTAGACGGTGCGTGCGAGAGATGGAGAGGGAGGAAAAGAGAGGAAGGAGAAACGGGGAAGAGGAAAGGTAGATAGAAATGAAACGGTGCGTGCGAGTGACAGAAGAAAAGAGTAGGTGAGAGGATGGAGGAAGGATAGAAATGAACTAGTGCGTGCAAATGATGTTAGACAAGGGATGGAGGATGGGGAAGAGGGGATGGAGGATGGGGAAGAGGGTATGGAAGGTGGGGAAGAGGGTATGGAGGGTGGGGAAGAGGGGATGGAGGGTGGAGGTATGGGGAGGGAATGTACGGTGATGAGCCAGTCACGAATCACCAAGGGGAGTAAGGGAAAGTCTTGTCTCAACTGTGGCTGCAGTGCAATGACTAGCTCCAGCGTTTCACAGGTGAGAGGCAATTCAGCAAACTGCAGGTCCATATACTCAAGCAATTGGGTACTACCTAAAAGTCACTGTAAGCTTATCAGATAGTCAGTTGGCTTGTGGTATAAATCAAGAGTACACAGTTGAATAGCCATTTTCCCCTACCTTTTTGTGGGTGGGGTTTTCTACTGGAAATGGCAAAATAAACACAAAAGTAAGTTTATCAAGACTTCTTGGGGTAAGCTAAAAAAAAAAGAGTTCAAATTACATGAAAACCACAGCATTTGGGCAAACTCCCTCTTTTAGGGGCGGGACACTAGTCATAATTAGAGGGTGGGGAAATTAAATCATTTTTTTGTTACTAAATATTTGTTTCTGATTTTGGCCTTAGTAGTAAGCAGTAAATAAAAAAGCATGTATTTCAAATCGCATTTCAATTTGATGTAAGAGTAAGTGCAGTTTTTTCAGTTAAAAAATGGTACAATGGTTTATAAAAAATTTAGTTTGGATAACAAGCACTTTTGTCCTTGTAATCCACTTTGCATCAATTACAGTAGATGCCAAAGTTTGACTGTCTATTTTTTGTAAATCAAATCCAGCACAAAAATGGGACACTTGAGGATGGATTGAAGAAAACGTTTGGAGGATTTAAAGGAAGGAATAAAGAATTTGAATTGGTAAATTTCACGTCATTGAAATTCTAAGTGACTTTCAGTTGTCAAATAGAGGTGTAGCAAATTGAGATACGCCTACAGGTATACAGTTCTCGTATATACTTCTATTTTTGTCATCAATTACGCCTATAGTGTTTAATCATGACTGGTAAAACAAACAAGACAAACAAATGTTGTCATCACCGTACAGAAGAATTGAGAAAAAAAGCCACGCATTCAAAACTGTGCATTTCCAATAACAGGAGCAAAGCAATTGCCCAAATAAATGATAGTACATTTTCCCAAATTAATCTACTGAATTTACCTGAATTATAGCTTGACTGCACAATTCGAACTATTTTTCAGTCCAGTTATTGTTGATTTTGAGTGCACACTAAGTCTTAAACTTTCAAGTATTCACAGTAAGTATTCACATGGTAAATTCACACAAGTTGAACTCCTAACACTAGTAACAGCTCAGGAATATTGCAACCAAATGGTCTTTTGACATCAACTTTGTTCCACATTTCATTCATGGCAACGCAACGCAGCCAAACCCAGCCAAACCCAATATCATTCAGTCCAACATTTGGAACTCCTGAAAAGAAAGAGGAAAGATTGCCATATCTGGCCATCTATGAGACTGGTCTGAAAACTTCCAAGTGTTTTCTCAGTAAAGACTTTTTAGGACATATCACTTTCTGATGGCTGATAGGTCATTGAAATTAGTGATGGTCAGTTATGGGAATCTTTCCAAAAGATTTCAGTGAGAAAAAGTACATACTGTTTTGTGGTTGAAATGCACAAGATCCGCCAACTGTTTCCAGGACTCCTTGGGCAGATGAAGAGCAGACATCGGCACCTCCCGGCTGGGCCCGGGATGATCTGAACCCAGGGATGAATGTGCGGACAGACAGCTGCACTCAGACACCCAACCTGATATCAAGATCAGAAAAATCAAACATTTAAATACCTGTAAGTACTGAATGGTATAGGCTGTTATATACTTTTACATTTTTTTTGGCTAAAGAAGGATTTTTTGGGGTCACATTGGTTAGATTTTACATTCCTAAGCCAGAAATCCATTGGTAAACTATGTTTCCATCTACCGGTGTGACGGCCATTTTTTCTTTAAAAATGCCCATCATTTTGGACCTAATTGTATCAGAGTCGTAGTTACTCGGACTAACTCCACTGCGTGCACATAGACTAGGTGCACGGCGCCTAGCCCCATTAATGTGGCTTTAACTCGTACTGGACTACCTCCGTATTGACAGCCACAAACTGCCCACATGACATGGACGTGGATCGTCCCGTTGCTAGGGAAGCTGAAAATCAACATGAAAGGGTAGTTTTGTTCACGGTCACGTTATACTCACACAATGCCATCCACAACTGCTTAATAGCAACAATACGTTACATTCTGTACCTTCAGAGGTCTAGTGTAGTTACAATGTAATTTCTGGTTGAGTTTGGACAACTTTCGGCTGCCATTGTTCACTGGATTTACTGGACTACCTCCACAAATGAACCCGAAAATGTAGAATTTTTTTATTTTCACATTTAGACTTTGTAATTTATAAACGCTTTAGAGAAGCACACTCACCCTCTTTAATTTATAGCGATAGAAAAATAGTTCCCCTTTTTCATACGTTTACATGTATTTTTCATGTAATTTCGTGTTCTAATTTAGATATGCTACGTCTGAAAAAGGGTGAAATACTTTTCTATCACTTTAAAGAGGGTGAGTGTGCTTCTAAAGCGTAAACAAACTACAATACAAACGAGGGAAAGAATGTTGCAACCAGCTGACACTATTTCTACCGTTGTGTACAAAGTCTATGGAGAGTCCAGAAAAGTATTTCGTAACAAAATTGGAAATGTTTCTCAGTCCCAGATTCATGTCTTATCGTCATTTTTGCAATGAATGACCTTCAATGAGATGATATATGAAGAAAAAAGCAGTGTCAGGTTGCAAAAATTTTTCCCAAACGAATTAAGTCTAATAAATGTGAAAATAAAAACTTGACAAATTAATTAGATCATATTTTGGACGGTATGTTCCAACTTAAGTGTGGTCCAGTAAATTGGCCACATTTACGGGGCTGGAAAGTGTCATGCTGCAAATGGCGGCCTCATTAGCTTGCATCATATTTGGAAAATTGCATCTGGGAAAAATCCCCATATCTGGCCATCAGTGTCATTCTGTGCACAAAACCCAGGAGACTGGTCTGAAAATGTAAGTGTTTCTCAGTAAATACAATATTTTCCCTGCTAAATGTGACTTTTTAGGATAAATTATCACTTTCTGTTGGCTGATAGGTCGCTGAAGGGAAAAATGAGTGATTGCCAGATGGGAATCTTTCCTGCATCGGTACGGCTGTTGCCTGTCATTCAGATTGTTCTGAAGTTAATACATGCATGCCGGCTAGGTGGCGCGGAAACAGGTCAACTCGTACGCGAACCAACTCGTACGCGAGTCAACTCGTACGCGAGACAACTCGTACGCGAACCAACTCGTACGCGAGCCAACTCGTACGCGTGCCAACTCGTACGCGAGCCAACTCGTACGCGAGCCAACTCGTACGCGAACCAACTCGTACGCGGGCCGTTTTACGAGGATTGGGTTGGCATGGTTGGGAAGAATTTGGGAATAGTGTGACGGGTAGTCCGTAGTTCAATGTGTGACCGTTGTGTGTGATTGGGAGTGAACCCGTGAATGATGATAATAAAGTAACTGATTTTTGTAGTTAGACGAGTGTTGTATCGTTTTGTGCATACCTGTAGCCTTGTCACGTCAAGTTTAATTCCATATATTAATGCAACGATGTACCAGTTGCATTTTTCGTGTTTTTTTAATCAATGTACCTGTCAGTCAATTAATTGTCACCATTGTCAAACTGACCCAATTGCAACGCTCTGGACTACCATGGATCCGTTCTCGCGGTTCGGTGTCCTAAAAGAACCGGCGGGTTTAGAAGATCAAAAGAGATCGATCAGACTTGTCAACTGCCTGTCACTCAACTTTCATTGTGGTTCACAACCATTGATCAATTAAAAAGCAGACACGCGGGGACATCCGTAGGCCTAGCAATTTCTATTTACAACTGAAATGCTTGGTATAACCATGGAGGTATAACACATAACACATCAGGGTTCGAAATTAGCGGTATATATAGCCCGCTAACCAAATGCTTGTCAAAACAGCGGCGGCCGGGGCTAGACAAACTATTCCTTAACCAGGCCGCTGGCGAGTGAAAAATTATTGGGATACGGCAAAGATCAATGAACAGAAAGAAAAAAAATTCATAAAATTCAAAAAGGAAACCTTTTAATTTGTGTCTAATTATCAACTGTTTTAAAGGATTAAATTATCTGATCTGTTAATCAAAAACACCAACAAAATTCCCTCAGAATTGGGCTTGAAAATACGCCAACTTCCCAATCAATCAAGCGAACTTGTAAAAAAACAAACAAACGCAGAATTCTTCTCTAAAAATTCGCGAATGTAAGTAGCACTGGCGGATTCAAAAATCAACTACATTTAATTTGAAAATCTCAACCTTTCAGAAAAGGTAAAATTATGCCGACTAGTACCGAACCTAATTTCATCTGTCCATGTGAGCTAAACCAATCGTCTAAACTCACGCGTACGAGCTAGTTGGTCCGCGTACGAGTTGGTCCGCGTACGAGTTGGTCCGCGTACGAGTTGGTCCGCGTACGAGTTGGTCCGCGTACGAGTCGGTTCGTGTACGAATTGACCCGCGTACGAGTTGGTCGCGTACGAGTTGGTTCGCGTACGAGTTGACCTGTATTCGGTGGCGCCCTAGCCCCATAAATGTGGCCTATTTACTGGACTGCCTCCGTAAACATAGGCCACACATCCACATGTACAAAAATCGTGTCGACTTTGCCAAATTTTGATTTTCACATTTAGGCTTAGTTTGTAGGGCTTTTTCTGCTTTAGAAGCATACTCACCCTCTTTATAGGCTAATCAGAAAGTGCTGCCTTTTTCAGATGTATATTTTTCGTGAAATTTCCAGATTCATTTTTACACGTTTGCGTATCAAAATTTCAACATGAAATTTCACAAAAATTAGACAGTATCTGAAAAAGGCAGCACTTTCTGATTAGCCTATAAAGAGGGCGAGTATGCTTCTAAAGCAAAAAAACCCTACAAACTAAGCCTAAATGTGAAAATCAAAATTTGGCAAAGTCGACACGATTTTTGTACATGTGGATGTGTGGCCTATGTTTACGGAGGCAGTCCAGTAAATAGGCCACATTTATGGGGCTAGATGGCGCCCTAGCCCAGGTTGGACGAAGTCTTCATTGCAATACGACTAACGTCCAGGACAAGACTTTTTTACATGAAACCATCCCAACATTTTTACCAGAGTTTTGTTATGTTTTACCTCGTTATAGAAGCTTATTTCACGCCTACATACTCTATGTATCCTTATCTATTGACAACTGGGTTCAGGAATTCCATATGCGATGCTGACTGACGTTAATCAGGAAAATAAACTCAAAAGCAACGTTAAACTTGTACGTGTTTGTAGTCTCTTTTCATCAGTTTATTCCCAGAGTCGTACGTCATGCATAATGCAATGTACATGTACATGTACAAAATGTACGTGCGTACGATCCGAAAGCGCGCACGCACGCTAGCGCCCTCATTTGTTTAGTTTTGGTTGGAACCGTGACGTCACTCCAGCCAACCGATGTCACGAAAACGCTCAACCAATGACCAAAGCCGAAACGTATTTCTGGTAACTGGCGCGAAAACACGCTCGGTCATTGGATTAGCGACCGCGCCTTCAAGTAAGTGCGCGTGCGTATGAGGATGGTTACTAAGCAAATCGCGCGTGCGCACTGCATATTCATGCAGCATAGTCTGTCCCTCGGACCAGATGTGATATGAGCGTCGAGAATAATTGTCCGGTCTTGGGAACCAGACTACACGCTGCACAGACGTTCATGGTATGATATGTACGACTAGAATAGACTCGGCGGTGAGAAACTGATGAAAAGAGACTAAACACGTACAAGTTTAACGATGCTTTCGAGTTTATTTTCCTGATTGACGTCAGTCAGCATCGCATATGGAATTCCTGAACCCAGCGTACTAACAGATAAGGACACATAGAATACTACGACGTAAATTTAGCTTCTCCAACAAGGTAAAAATATGGAAATTATTGGTAAGAAATTCGTTCGGTTCGTTTTCGTTCGGTTGTGAGCACATGTGTACTCAGGACTCCCTCCGTAACGTAGGGAGGAAAGGGAGTCCACCAGGGCTAGGTGGCGCCCTAGCTGCATTGTGAATCGCCCGAATTTGCGCATCATATAATTATTGGCAAAATTAGTCAAACGGTTTCAAAATAAGGTTTACTTCTACACTCACCTTGTTGGCGGACCATTTATTCATCAAATTATTGTTATTTCAAGACTCATAAAAGTCATTTACGGCGTAAAAATCTTCTCCCAAATTCGAAGACCAAACGTGTCAAACATACCGCTGGCAAAAAAATTCAACATGGCCGGCCGAATGAAAAGTCGGCCGGTACCCGTGCCTGGCGGATGCACATAATAGCGAGAACTTGATGTGTACCAGGGAAACACGTGAAATTGAGAAATTCAAATCTTTCGGCGCGGCGCGCGCAGCGGTGATAGCCTCGATTAAAGCCTTGAAAGGGCTCGCTGCTTTGCCATGCTAATTGCGCTTACGTAGTAAGTCCACATTGATCGTTCCAAAACGACTGGAATAAAGAAAACATATGCCAAACTATGCAGATTTACTTCAAATATCTTTTACCATTTAAATTTTCCGAGCGAGCGCACGGTGGCCATGAGGTATTTTTCAAACCTTGGTTCTGTTTCCGGTTTCGGTTTCAGTTGCTTTTAATAATTGTTTCATGATTTTAACTCCATGGTAAAATTGTGAAGCAAATAAATATCCTTTTTTAATTCAAACAGAAAGACCTGACATGATCCGAAAGCAGGCGATAAGCCGAAGCTTATCCACTATGTTAATCCGACAAGGTAGTAAGGATAGAAATAATCATAGTACAGTTATTTATCTGTAAACTAATATTCGACTGTTTTGTTTCCTCATTTTTGTTTGTTTAATATTTTGTGAATGTTCTTGTTTGTATGTGTTTTTTTTACTGCCGAATAAATAATAATAATGATAATAATAATTTAGTTTTAGTGCGCTTTGATATCTTTCTCCCCCCCCCCCCCCCCCCCCCCCGCCGGTCACGCCTCTCCCGCCTTAGCATGTGGTATTTTATTTGATAAGGGAATAAATGTACGAGCTCATTTTTACTAAGTATCAAAAAAAGTCACATTCAAAAAACAAATAATAAGAAACCTTTCCAAACTAAACAAACATTCACCGTAAGTAAGCCTCGGCGCCGATAATAGCTTACAATGAAAATTCCTTATAAACGAAAGAGGGCGCCTTTGTATTTTTTTTGGACAATCCAAAATCCATGGGGCCAAAGGATGTAAATATTGTCTTTTACCCAACCGTCTTTTCGTGCCCATCAAACAAACTAGCCTGTGGTCACTGACTACAGTCACGTAGGCTATACTTTATCAGTGTTTAAATGCCGATCGCAGTGCCAATCGTTTGGACAAGTCGCAGAATTTCTATAATTTGTTGGATTAGATCGCTTTTAACAGTTCATCATGGCTTTGAACAAACTTAGTATTGATGGAATTGATTTTGGAGGAAAACGGGTCATAATGAGGTGAGTTAGTTTGGCCATTGCGCGACATCGACGTCTCGATTAGCCCCACTAGTGTGGCCGTCGGTATGCTGCGCTGAACCTCTGGCCACACACCGTGGTACCGCGCGCTACTGAGGACGAAGTTTTTCATAAAATTCAGGGCAGTTTCTTACATTTTCAGTTTCTTACTTTCTTATGGTTGTATTCTATGATGTCTCCTATCACTTCTGGGATGCTTAGCATGTGCTTAGGTCTAATGATGTTCCATTTTCCGAGATATTCTTCAATCTTTCTGGAGTCCATATGCACACGTGAAACGTCTGGTGATGGCAGCCATTTTGAATGGGACAAGAGATGACCTCAAGCTGTGACGTCGCGTGTATGCAAATTGCTTGTCGAGCGCGCGCGCGAGGGCGCGAGTTGCAAATGCGACGGCTGTTTCCTGTACCATGCATTTATCGTCAGGGGGCCACGTGCACCGATCTCTATTCAGGATCTACGGCACAGGAAACAGCCGTCGCATTTGCAACTCGCGCCCTCGCGCGCTCGACAAGCAATTTGCATACACGCGACGTCACAGCTTGAGGTCATCTCTTGTCCCATTCAGAATGGCTGCCATCACCAGACGTTTCACGAGTGCATATGGACTCCAGAAAGATTGAAGAATATCTCGGAAAATGGAACATCATTAGACCTAAGCACATGCTAAGCATCCCAGAAGTGATAGGAGACATCATAGAATACAACCATAAGAAAGTAAGAAACTGAAAATGTAAGAAACTGCCCTGAATTTTATGAAAAACTTCGTCCTCAGTAGCGCGCGGTACCACGGTGTGTGGCCAGAGGTTCAGCGCAGCATACCGACGGCCACACTAGTGGGGCTACGTCTCGATTAGCAGCCGCGCCGTTTGTAAATTCAGAAACACTATTTTTTTTAAGGAGTGCAAAAACTCTTTTAATACTTTCACTTTTTCTGTCATGGCCCATAGACTTCATGCAGAAGGTCCGTGTGGTGGCCCAGTATGGATTTCTTTCCCCTACACAACCGAAGAAGTGACACTAGGACACAACACTTCATTCTTTCCTTTTTGTTTATTTTCAAAATGCAATCTTCGTCCTGTTGCGTTTTGTCATCTTCATCATCGCTTTACCCCAACAATTTCTCTCAAAATAAAAAAAAAACCTGCCCTCTATCTACCGCATACCTGTTGGTTTTTCACATCGCTAGCTAGTTTGGTACATATGTGAGTACCTTAACCTGGATTAGTCATGTTTATTGCATACCTTTCAATGATTTTATTTCAAACTTGTATGTTTCAGGGTGGACTTCAATGTTCCTCTTAAAGATGGTCAAATAACAAACAATCAGAGGTAAGAAATATTGAAGAAATCTCGACTTGTAAGTCTGGACTTGTTGTAAGTCTGGACTTGTAAGTCTCGACTTGTAAGTCTCAACTTGTCAGTGAATTAGAATGCAGTTGGACTCAGAGGGACTATATAAATCATAGTTTTCCCTCCACGTTTCCACATGTACCAGAATTGTCCAACACTTGTAAACAAACACAGAAAACATAAAAGTTGTCATAAATCCGTTATTTTGTTTTATTTTCAATCAGGATAGTTGCAGCCTTACCTAGCATCAAGCATGTGCTGGATAACGGGGCCAAATCTCTGGTTTTGATGAGCCATCTTGGTCGGCCTGATGGAAGTAGAAAAGAGGCATTCACCCTCAAACCAGTAGCTGAAGAACTGAAGAAGCTTCTGAGCAAGTGAGTGTTGGTAGATATCAAGAGCAAGCTCTGTTGATTTCAATTAAAAGAATGGCAATGAAATGTACCATACCCAAAACAAAACCCTTGTTTTACTTTCTTTGTATGAAGGGATATTCAGTTCCTGTCTGACTGTGTTGGTTCTGAAGTGGAAGCAGCTTGTGCTGATCCTGCCGTGGGATCTGTTATCCTCCTGGAAAATCTGCGATTTCATGCGGAAGAGGAAGGAAGTGGCAAGGATGCAACAGGGAAAAAGGTTGGTTAGCACTTCCTGGGTGATGTTAATCCTAGTGCATTCCATTATCATGACTGTTGCATCTTTTCATTTTGAGAAGAGAATACAGAGCTTTTGCATATAAATATTTTAAATTTCACGATTGTGCTACGTGCTAACAGAAAGTTAACAAAATGTGTGATGTTTTAAGCAGTATTCAGAAAGATCTAACAGATTTGTCTTTTTATTTTTTTTCTGTTGATTTAAGGTGAAGGCGAAAGAAGAGGATGTTGCAGCATTTCGTGCTTCTCTGTCCAAACTTGGTGATGTTTACATCAATGATGCATTTGGGACTGCTCACAGGGCACACAGGTGAGTACAAGATGTAATTTGTCCATGCAAACAGGACTTATCTGAATCACTTACATAGAGGTGCTATGTACAGGAAGGTATTGGACAATTACAGCTGTATGGAGCATGCTGGCAAAAGACGACAGCTCTGGATGTGTGTTCCCGACATGGCAATGATGACAATCTTATCCCTTGTCTCATTGTTTCTTGACAGCTCTATGGTAGGTGTTGCTCTTCCTCAAAAGGCTGCTGGGTTTCTCATGAAGAAGGAACTTGCATACTTTGCTAAGGCTTTGGATAATCCAGAGAGGCCCTTCCTAGCCATTCTTGGAGGGTAAGTAAGGGGGTGTCTGGCAACAAGAATGTCTGTATTTTCAGTGTGTTCATATTAAATCAAACAGGTTCACTTTTTTTCTACAAACTAAGCATCAGTCAAATTTTTGCCAATTGTGACCAATTGATACCAAATTCTAAAGTATTTTATGAAGATATAGTACTAACGATGAAATATCAGCTTGAACAAGAACATTGCTGCTTAATTTGAACCTTCAGCCTCTGTACCACTGTGCTAATACACTGTTTGTCAATTGAGCTATCCTGAAATATGTACATGTACAAGATTAAATGGTATGGATTTCTTCTTGTTTGTAGAGCCAAGGTGAAAGACAAGATCAAGTTAATCTCTAACATGTTGGATAAAGTGAATGAGATGATCATTGTTGGTGGGATGGCTTTCACTTTCCTCAAAGTACTCAATGGCATGGAGGTAAGTTCCACGAATCTGCAAGTTAAAAAAAAAAGTTTTCCAGTTTCTGCCATCAATCCAACATGTTTTTGTTTATGACCTATTGAAGTTTGTGCTCAGCTACCAACAGTGATGGAGAGAATGCAAGGACAGATACTTTAGTAGGAGTACAATTGTCACTGTGCATCCACGTGCACACATTCAGCTAGCACAACGCTTCGTGCACTGATAAGTTTGTTCATAAATTGTTGGTACCTGTTGACTTTTGATATTGAAGATTGGTGGTTCCTTGTTTGATGAGGATGGGTCTAAGATTGTGGGGGAGCTGATGCAGAAGGCAGAGAAGAATGGAGTAACAATGCACCTGCCTACTGACTTCATCACAGCGGACAAGTTTGCAGAAGATGCCCAGGTTGGATCAGCTACTGTGCAATCTGGAATCCCAAATGGATGGATGGTACTTTATACTTTCATTTACTTTATCTCAATCACAACTGAATATCTGCTTACACAAATATCCTGCCACATAGTGAAAATGTGTGTATACATAGGCAACCCCTCGATCTGTTGTGGTCCTATATGTTAATGAGTAATTATAAAACCTACAGGCCAGCCCCCTACAAGACTAGTTTCTGCCGCTTGATTTCAGGACGTGGGAACCAGTCTGTCTTTTATTAGTTAGGGTGCATAATCACTCATTTGGATTCTTGTCCAGTTTTGCGAAAAATTATCAAACAACTCGTCCCGTCAAGCAAGCCTTATGTTCACTCCTTCGCTATTGTGATTAATTTAATGTTTGAACTCAGTGATAGTAAATGGATGTTTGCTCGTAATTTACTCTGAGCTCTGTGCACAGGTACCCCCTCAACAGTTACAAAAGGGAGAGTTGGAGGAGACCACTGGTAGGACATTAGAACGTAATGCTCATACTTCAAGCCATGAGTGTGAGACCAAGCGGTGTGTTCATCCCACTGGAGCTCCATGAGTGTTCATACCGTGTGAGACTTGGTTGAAGTGTGCAAGGCAGAATGAACAACCAATATTCTCATTGTGATTGTCATTTTAATATTTTTCTCAGGGACTTGACTGTGGCGCTACCAGTGTAGCCAGCTTCCAAGCTGTAGTCAATAAAGCTAAAGTCATTGTGTGGAACGGGTAAGTTCTGAACAAAAGGATTAATACTAATAATACTCTTTTTAGCTATACTCATAGTTCACCTTCTGTCGACAAATTGCGACAGTATTTCTTTTTATTAGTTTTCCAAAGAAACTTCTTTGAAGATGAATTAATAGGTCATTATTTTAACTTGAACTAGTGTCACACAACTACAAGCACGTTTTATTAAGACAGCAATTTCAAAGCATTGGGTAATCAAAACATTTTTTTTTTTCTGTGAAACTTAACTGTTTCATAAAAATGGTGATAATTGAAAGAATTAGGCAAAGGACACACGTAATATACGAGTGATAATTATTGGCTGTATTTCCTCCACAGACCTGTAGGAGTTTTTGAATTTGACAACTTTGCCTCTGGTACTAAAGCTGTGATGGACTCAGTAGTGCTGGCCACAGAAAAGGGAGCTACAACTATCATAGGTACAAATCCATTCTCAAATGTTTATAAATTTCTTCAAGGTATACTCAATTAAGAAGATTAAGAGGGTTTTCAAATGAGCTCACTGATAAAAATCCATTGTACTTTACCTACAGCATGCATCCACGGTTCCCCACATATATGCATGCGTCAAAGAGAGAATAATGCAAGTTTCTATGTGCCTTCATCACCTTGTAATGTGTCTTCACCCTGATAAGCCATTATTTTGTGTTTGTGTAGGCGGTGGTGATACAGCAACTTGTGCAGCTAAATGGGGCACAGAGGACAAAGTTAGCCATGTCAGTACTGGGGGTGGAGCTAGTCTGGAACTATTGGAGGGTGAGTGAGTAGGATAGACCCCTAGAATGCACCTCAAACATGGCTGCTATGCAAAGAGTCTATAGTGATGGAGTTTTTGTTAAGTAATATACCACTGTTTATAGTGTCTGGCTGAAGTAGGATGTTAAAAGTAGGGTAGATCATTTGTCATATGCGCATTTTGTTTGTTTGAAGCAGCAAGAGTGCTCAAAATCTAAAGACAGGTGCTTAACAACTAACCTGATGAAGTCTTAGCGCAGAGAATGCTGTATACTCCAGAAAAAAACTTTATATTCTAGGATCCCAATTTCAATTCAAAAGTTGCAGAGTCATGTTTTGAATTGCGCCTAAAATCAGCATCCGGGACATGTTCTCATTCAGCCGATTGCAGCTACGTGATGCCACGCACAGAACAGGTGAATAATAGCAATCGCGCCGCGTGTGCATCGTGTCAACGCTTGCACGCACCCGTTCACAGATTCTCCGAATTACAAACCAACTACTAACAGAAATTTCCAAAAATGTGTCACTTGACGCATCTTTGGAAATTACCTTCTTTTATCGTTTCATCAAAATGACAGCATGCCAGAAGGAATAATTTCACAGGGAGTATAAGTGTCATTACTCTCTGTGAACCAAGTATGCTTTTCAACAATAATTTTGTCAAGTTACTTTTTGGATAGCTGCAAATGATCTACTCTACCTTTAAGTGTGGTTAAGGATTGGTTATTGGCAAGGAGTAATGGCGGCGTAAGGAAAGCGGATTGTTGCTGCATTCTGACTTCAAAGTCAGTGTAATATGCTGAAGGATTTTTATCTCCACAGTACCCTGTAGGCTAGTCTCAAATGTGAATTCTGTTAAGTTCAACTATTTTTGGCCTATAACTGAAAATATCATTGACCCTACATATGAATGTTTTACTGAGTTCATTTATGATAAATTGTTTTGTTGACCTATTTTGCAGGTAAGACACTCCCAGGAGTTGCAGCTTTGAGTGATGCATGACTGGAAGGACCGATGTCTAATCTCTGATAACGAGGACATTGAGATCTTAGTGTGGATGTATCCCTGCATGAACTGCATGTAGTTGACTGTGATTAGATAGGATAAGGTTTCCCTGGCCAAATATGGTACTGATGTCAACCTTTAAAAAAAATCCAAATTCTGGATCGTTTAACAGAGTGTAGTCTAGAGCTGAGCACATGACTGATATTGTATGCTTTTTGTCCAGTAAAAAGAGAAAAGAGGTTTGCAGGATTGGAAAATAGGACTCATCACAAAATTAAAACTGCCAAGATGGATATAAAATGTACATCATAAAAAAATATCCTGGAGAGCCTACTTCATCCATGCGTGTTAATAATTGTCACGTACAGTACATCTTTATCTGGGCCTTGCATTACAGGAACAGGATTTGTTATTTCCTTGTTAGTCTTTCTACCTATTTGAACTTTAAACCCAAATGTACGGTCTTGAAGTGGAATAACAGTGTTAAATGTATTGGCATGACATGATATCAACTGATCAATTTCATCATCAGAGTTTAGCAGTTGAAAACCTTAGCATGTATCGACCCATTTATTGCATGGAATTAACAATTGTGAAATGCATAGGAAAGGTTTTGAAAGAATGTTCATCATCTCAACAATTTGTATTGCCATCTTGTTATAAATTAATTATGCAAACTTTTGAACACCAACACAAATATTTGCTTTTTTAATATATTGAGTGGGCTGTAATCACTCTTTAGAATTAACCTTGCAAAAAGGTTAAAAAATGCAATCAAGCAAAACTCATACCAAAAATCGTAAATGGTAAAAGGAAATGATACAAAATCACTGAAAACAGTACTAGGCTTTAGCACATGACAAAATAACTAAAAGAAATGAACAGAAAACAATATAAACAAAGCACATGTAATGTTTCATAGTTTTTTATTTTATTTATATCCAAAGGTAAACTCATGCATATGCATACAAAACAAAAATAATTAAACGATATTAAATAAAAAACTATGACGAATAATTGATTTATAAGTACTAGGATTTTGTCGATGATGATTGCTTTTTAAGTAATTGTTTTTGATTTAAGTGTATCTCAAAGATACAGATTGTTCAATAAAACCTGCACAACTTTGAAATATTGTTTGTTGTTTCTACACTCAATTGTAAAAAGATGTGTCTTTAATAACGAAGAACCTTTTTTGTCCCAGTTACAGTAGCCTTGGTCAAGGCGCTAGTTGTTATTCACCCCGGCCGTAACGCGGTATTATATCCTCGCTAGCGCTATGCATGCGGTGCATTAAAAATACAGCGCGAACAGCGACCTCACGCGGCCACCATTTCTATGCAAATCAGTTGGACCCAATCTAGCGCCTTGGTTCAATCGTCGGCAAAAGCTTATGTTTTTCTTGATTTGCGCTGGATTTCTAGCGCACGACCTCGTATGCGAATACAGATAAGTGTAGGCGGGGCTAATATGTGGAGTGTCCAATCACACCTTTGTAAATCCGGACGTCATCAAATTATTTGCAGCTATTCGCCTTTTGCAGACGTGACAGGAACCACAGTTTTTGTGCATTGGTGCCGTGTGCAGAGACGCACAACGTGTACGTGTATGAATTATGTACGGTGCCACGTTCACTATGCAAGTTTCCACGCAACGATCGACCAATAAGAAAACGACATTTAAGGTCAGCTAAGGCTATTAACATAATGAGCACCACCCCCAAAACCTCACATGGACGATTGAACCAAGGCGCTAGATTGGGTCCAACTGATTTGCATAAAAATAGTGGCCGCGTGAGGTCGCTGTTCGCGCTGTATTTTTAATGCACTGCATGCATAGACATATGACTGCATGCATAGCGCTAGTGAAGATATCGCTTACCGGCGCGCTACAGCTGGATGAATAACAACTAGCGCCTTGACCAAGGCTACAGTTACAGTCACAAAAATTATTCACAAAATCAGTAAAGCGACAAAAATCCAACTTAACAAACGGCACATCATGGCACAAAGTCCACATGTATCCATTTGTACATTGTCGACATTCCCAAATGTTATTCATTTTGCAGTAGACGACATGCAGAATTTTAGTTGGACATTTTATGTTATCAATAAAGGTTTTTATAGATTAGGCTTTCTAATGCATAACTAGTGTGAATATTTCATGGTACAAAAGGGGGGGGGGGTGGGTTGGTGATTAATTGCTGGCAATATTTTCAGGAAGTCATCCATGACGCCATGCAAGTATTAAGTCATAGAAGGTGACACTTGTGTATTGTTGCGCTGGAGTCAACAAGATATGGATATTTGCAGACATCACGCAGAGTATGGCTATGTTTGGTTCCATGGTCTTGGGAGCTGGAAGGGGCTCAGATGGGGTCAGGTGATCATATACAACATCTTACAACCATTAGGTTTGTAGCATGTTACTGTCTCCAGAAAATAAAACTTGATGCGGCGTTTGTGTTTTATTTGAAGGTGAATGTAGCACACAAAGATTTCATCTACACAAGTTGAATGCATCACTTGTTGATTTGTTATCCATTGAAAATGGTGAAGTCAGAGCCAATTATATGACAATTACGTCATTAGTTCCAGCTTATACTGTAGTTTGTTCATCTTTACTGGCCGGCATGACACCATGAAGCAAAACATGTTCAGCTTGATACACTATCAGCGATTGTAATAATCTGAGAAGATTTTGAAGCATGTCCAGGAGATCAACTACCTGCCACAGATTTGAAGTTGCAAGTCCGAGTTTTGCGAAGTTCACAGTCCGTTCAAAGAACATTTCAAAGCATTTGTAACATTCCCACCTCAACAATTACACATTTTGAAGCACATCCAGAAGACAACCTACTTGCCACAGATTTGAAGTTCCAACTTCGAGTGCAACTTTGTGAAGTTAACAGTCAGTTCGATGAACAGTTCAAAGCATTTATAACATCACATCTCAGCTCAAGAAATTAATTATATCCAACTCAACTTGTAATAGTTCTGAGTGTAACAAGAGTGACTGTTACCTTGTCATTTTGTCAGTGAGTATGTCCCTTGTAATGACAGGATCTGCTCTGCCCTGTGTCATCTTCTGTACTTCTCCCATTAGACGGTTAATCACCCTGGTATTTCCAGATTTATAGGAATCCACCTGCAACAGTGACGTGTATAGCAAATGAGTAAGTGTTAAATTTTCTAGCTCTGTTACTGCAGAATTGCAAGAGAAGTTCTTGATAGAATTAATCTTTATATTTACATAACAAAATATTCACCAAATGCATCAGTTATCTGTAAAACAGTATTACCCTCAAGAAGGAATAAATCACAGAACAAATATCTCATATCATCACAGAACGATTTTAAAAGAATTCTTTATACTAATCTTGCTATGGACATAACTTAGTCCCCAGGGGCCGATTTCAAAAAACTCGTCTTATCTTGCGACTCATCTTAGGACTTAAGATGAGTCCCCGCTTTAAGATCGATCCTAGCTAAGATGCATCCTAAGACCTATTTCACTACACGCATCTTAAGCAAGACGCTTCATAGTAACCAATTTGATGGCTGTTTTATGTTTGTTTTTATCGCTTGGATAAAACAGCCATTGAAAAGAAATGCGCAAAACCAATTTCCCGCGCGCATGCATAGAACACAAACTTTCGCCTGATTTGTTTTTTCAACTCAGTGAATTTCACATTCAAAGTCACGATACGAAAAGAGAGTCATTAATACCCATATGACTACACGACTAGCTACCCAGTTCACTGTATTCAAGAAAGAACCTAAACTATTTTTATTAAAAAAAGTTGACAATATAAAGGCATTAGCGTAAAGGCCTCATTAAATTTTGTAACTAAGTTTTTTTTTAACCTACCCACGTGATGGAAATTTTTTCAAATCTGTTTTTACAACGTAGTTTTCTTCCTCGGAACTATAGCTCTAGGTTAACGCTCATCTTTAACAAGAAGACATTGCAATGATGATATACAATATAAAACATGTTTTCATGATATAAGACGACCCTCAGACCGATCGTAACTCAAGACGAGTTCAGCCGTGTTTCAAAGGAAGTAAGGACGTGTTGAATGTGTCTTAAGTTTGGTGAAATCGATCCTAGGACGAGTCACAAGTAAGGACAAGTCACTCTTCCTAAGACGCATCTTAGCGTTTTGTGAGATCCGCACCTGTGCTACTTTCAGCAAACACTTTATAACAAAGATGACTGCCCATTATTACTCACCAAAGCCTGGTCCTTTTTCAAGACTTGCTCACACAGTTGGTTCAATTCCTGTCGATCAGTAATCTGGGCCCAGCCTTTCTCATTTATGATCTATCAGAGAAAATATGGTACATCATCCAACATTATACTTTCAAGTTCTAAGCCACACTGGCTGATCACTGAAGACAAAAGCACCAGCTATGTCACGGGATATATTTCAAACCTCCCACTCAACTTAACAGCACTTTGTAAATTCTGAAGTTGAAGCAATGTACTATTTTCCAGAATAGCCAATCGTGTTGAAATTACTGTTGATAGTACAAACAGTGAAATACATATTGAAGAGTTTGCACGTAGAATAAACTTGTGTGTAACACCTGCTATTGTTAAAGCCATGTGGCTGCTACGTTTTAAGGTACCCACTTATTACACTGGAAAAATGATGGACTTTCCTACAGGTGCACTGAATGGAATAATCAGATTCTATATGAGAAGATTAAAAGAAAAACGGTAAAATCTTCACACCTACCTGGGTGATTGGTCTGGAGTCACCCTGAAATATTTCAGCCATGAGTTTCTTGCCGATGTTAGCTGAGATGGCCCCCTTAGTCATGAGATCATGAAGCTCACCCAGCTTAGTGGGATCCATAGGGCTGAAAACATGAAAAAAAAATAGTAATCGATGAAGCATTTAGAATCATAAAAAAAATGTATGTTTAGTCTTTTTGTTGTTGGGAAAAATTACTCTCCTTTCTTCTATACACGAACTCCTAGTTCATCTTCAAGCCAATGAAATATTGAAGCTTTACAGTACAGCCTCAAGTGTAGTCACAATTGATCAACGCTACACATTTCAACCATACATAAAGGGTAAGAAGTTATCTTTTTATTTCTTGTTTTTAACAGTTTTAGAATGGAAGCGTTAAATATATAGTCCATCATTTGTAATTTGTGCATTTTGTTCAATTGGAAGCAACAGAAGTGCTCAAAATCTAATGAAGGTTACTGAACAACTAACCTGATGAAGTTTCAGCTCAGCTTCAGCTGTATATTCCGAGAAAAACAGCATTCTAGGATCTCAATTTCAAATCAAAAGTTGCAGAATCATGTTTTGAATTGTTTTGAATTGCAGCTATACGCGATGTCGCACACTGATCCGATGAATTATAGCAACCGCGCGTGCCTGTGCGTCGTGCCAATGCTTGCGCGCGCTGCGCCGAATAACAAAACGAACTACTAATTTAAATTTTCCAACGGTGCGTCTTAAGATGCACCGTTGGAAAGGCCTTCTTTCGTTGATTACTTCAAAATGATAGCTTGCCAGAAGGATTAATTTTACAGGGAGTTTAGTCCCCGTACTATCTTTCAACCAAGTATGTTTTTCAACAATAATACGCCAGTTACTTTTTCAGATGGCTGCAAATGATGGACTATAGCTTTAAAGAGACTTCTACTCTGACCTCAGAGTTGAAAAATTCAAATTTGGTTTTGGATGCCCAAACTAACATCCCTGTTCTCCCTCTGATGACTTTGGACAGATAAACAAATGTGGGAATTTTGAGGAGGCCTCCTTGTGCAATGACCATATGTCAAACCCCTGCTACATGTGTCTCTGGCTTCAGGCATGTAGTTTAGCAATGGAGATAAAGACTGAGATGGAGTAAATATGCTTTGCAAAACAGCCCTTGTTGTGTATTTACTTTTATGTAACACTCAAGTAAATCCTTGTCATTTGATTGGAGGATTGTAGGTCACGCGGCATTCATTAATCGAACCATTGCACGGCCTATGTCATAACCGTGCATTTTTGGTTCCATGCACCGTGCATTTTTGGTTCCACTATTCAGTGTATTTTCGTCCCATCCCTTTTGATCCATTGCACAATGCACGCACGCTAAAGACGCGCAGCAGTCTGGCACTATACGATCTTTGCACTATTTAGACCATAGCATGCATTATAGCAGTACAAAACTTGCCTTTGAAGTGGATGCAGTTGCCTTGATGATTTTTGGCATTGTTTTAAGAACTTACAATGTTAATTTTCATTATTGTCAATGAGATGACTTTTAAACCTTTGTTAGCCTGGAGCAAGCTGAAAAAGTACTGGATATGATACAATTTTGTGAGTTTTGTTCTTAAAGCTTTATCCTCCAATCGAATGACAAAGATCTACTTGGATGTTATATAAAACAAATAATGAATGTTTTGCATTCGTGCAATGGTGAGAATATTTTCTTTCGTTAACAGATTGAGTGTTCCATTCAACTTTGCTTCGCCTCGTTGAATGAACATTCCATCTTTCAAATCATGAAAATATTCTCACCATTGCACTCATAAACATTCATTATCTGTAAACCACACCTCTTAAACACAGGAAGATCATGGTCATTCAAACTCTTCAGGAGCTCCGTCTCAAGCCAGTTGACTACCTTCTTGGGATCTCTCTCACGATCCTCACTGATCACAGCCTCAAAGAAATTAACCAAACCATCCTCATTCTGAAAGAAAATATCATTTACATTACAATGCTAAATGTTGATGTTATACAATTACGGCGCAGATATCCAATATCATTCACTCGTAAAAACAGTGCATATTTAGTTGGTGGCCATTCATATTATTCACCAATCACTAACACTGTGCACATGTCATCCTTGACCTGAGTTTTGTATGTGTTAACTCAGTGGTTTTATTGGCTTGCACAGTGCAATTGACTCAATGCCTATAGTGTACTGATACATGAGCTGTGAATGGCACTCAGGAAAGTTGTGATATTTTCATGGTTCTCCCAAAAAGTGTCTGTCTAAATATTTTTGAAATAACAACAAAACAACAAAGTAAACTCTGAAATTTTCATTGTCAATACTCCTAAACCTTGGCCTCAACCCCTATGAGTGTTATTTCATTTCCTTCATACCTCACTGCACAATGGTCAATTGATCACAATCACCATTTTGGACACTGTGACCAAGTAGGGATGGTATATTTTCCCTGTCTTTGCCTCTGTTTTAATGCCAACATCATGTGTAACCCGTTTCTTTCAATGCAGACTTCAGCCTGCATTCCATGTCACGTACTGCCTAAATGATGTGTTGCAAAGGTCTTCAACTAAAAGTCGCATGAGCTGACATCATGGGATCTCGGTGACCGATTTCTGGGGTGTAATGATTATTACGATTGTGGAAAAGCTCTGTGAGACAATCCCTGACAATGACACTGCAGTGTAATAATAATATTGAAATAATAATAACTGGATTCATAGAGCACCAAATTGCCAAAGGATACAAGATGCTAAACAAAGAATGAAAGTGGGAAAGAAGACAAGAAAAGAGGACAGCCACCTCTATGATTTGGGGAAAAGATGGATCTTGAGAGCTTGTTTCAAGGACAAAACACTGCCAGAATTTCTGATGGGGATGAGTAGGCTATTCCATAAGCAGGGGGCAGCAATGGAGAACGCCCTGTCATCAGCCTGTTTATGTGACTTGTGGATGACAATTAGGGACTCTCTCGCAGAAGAACGAAGGAAGTAAGGACGGGTCTGGATTGTGAGAAGAGAGGAGAGATTATCTGGTGCAGAGTGTGAACCAGTGTGCGGAACTGAGTGCGTTGGGCGACAGGGAGCCAGTGTAATTGTTTGAGCATAGGAGAGGTATGGGTGTATTTGGGTGTCTGAAAGATAAGCCTTGCACATCTGTTTTGAAGTCTCTTATAAACGACTACACATGTAAAGATATTAAAGGAGGGAGATAAGTATGGGGCTGTTCATATAAACAGCCTCACACAGACACAGACAATATAGGACAGTATACAAAAAGAATAGGAGTATACACAAAAACAAACGGACAAAGAAAACAGGACAATTAAAAAAAAAAATAAGAGACAGGACACTGAAGACTGAGACAGTTAAAATGAAGATAAGTTGAATAATGGAGATGAGGCATTATATAAAAACCATGTGACTAAAGAAAGAGTGTGGCTATCGAGAAAGGCTACGGAAGGAAAGCTGTGTTACACATTATGATAAGAGGGTTTTGTACGAGGATTTAAAACGACCCACAGACGTCATTGTTCTAATTTCAATGTCAATGGTGTTCTACAACCAGGGACCATAGAAACGGACAGTAGAACTAGAGTAGAGGGTGTGGGTAAATGGGACAAATAAATTGTGGTGGGACCTAGTTGAATATTCCTGTGTTTTGGACTGATGAGAAGGAAGAAGGGAAACTGTTGGACAGAAGATTGTGTGTGAATTTGTACATGAAGATCTCAGCGTGACATTGATTTTACATCAAGAGTGAGGGTATGTTGTGAGAGTATGTAGGTCCTTTTGAGGGATGTGTAAAAAGTGCAGCTTGTTATTGGATGTGTGCGACCAGACAATATTACAATAGTTTTTGTAAGGGAGAATAAGTGAGGTATAAAGCAGAACCAGGTATTTAGGAGGAAGAAAGAAAGTTAATAGACAGAACACCGGCATTGTGTGAAACTACTTTTGTGATAGAGGAGATATGCTCAACCCAGGAAAGTTTATGGTCGATGATGACACCTAGGAATTTGGTCAATTCAACCCTTGTAATGCATGTATCATCAATTTGAACTGGAGGCAGATCAATATGTTGATGATAAAAAACTTTGCTAAAGAAAATCAAGTAAATTTGTAAGTTTTAATCAGGTTCAGAAAAAGTTAATTGGCCTTAAACCAAGAGGAAAACTTGACAAGTTCTAAGTTTAGAGTGTCAACCAAAGAACTGAGAGTTGTCAGTATATGAGAAGAGAAACAAAGGTCATTTATGTATTATTGCTGAACATTTATTTCAACGTTGTTAGGCCTATGTCACTAGAAATATTAAATCGTTATGTTAACATTTAAGCATGCAAAATATAATACGAAGTAATTTTACACAACACCGTTATTTACATAATGAAAATATATACATAATCCACATAACAACACGGGGATAGGGTGAAGCGATCGCTTTTGTTCCCTGACCCGTTGGACACTTACAGACTGACGGACAATTAAGTACGAACTAAGGACAATGACAGACAAACAGACAAACAGGAGTATCATTAAGCTATTGTTGTATGTTTACAAAGTATCAACAGACTAGGAATAAAATGTAAGAAGTTGTGTTTTTAATTTTTTGGTAAATGTAGCTAGAGTTAAAGACGTTTTAAGAGGGATACTTAGACTAGATACTCCAGATACTCGTGCCACGTTGAACTATTCCATTTTTGAACACTGTCGTTCTACTGAAGCCAACATGAAGATTTTTCTTCGCGATGAACATTTGAAGTTAAAGTAAAACATGAGCTAAAACACAAAGGGAGCAAATTATTCATATATTTGTACATGAATTTACATGTAGATCAAGAAAAGAAGAGGATGGACCTTGGGGGAACCCATGCTGGATACTAAGGTGAGTAGATTCAACATTCTTAATGGAAGAATACTGATGTCTATTGGAGAGATAGTCATGAGAATTGAATGATTGATATTTTCAAAAGCTTTTGACACATGGATACAAACACTAATGGCAGAGATTTTGTTGTGGAAAGCACTCTTAATTCTGTCGATGAATCGAATGAGAGCCATGTCTGTTGAGCGTTTGTTTGGGTCGGAAGCCAAAGAAGAGTTTTTAGGGCTTGAGTAGAAAATTGTACAAAGTGTCACTAGCGAAAAGAGTGAAGTTCAGAATATGAGAAGAGAAACAAAAGTCATTTATGTAGATCAAGAAAAGAAGAGGATGGACCCCTGGGGGACCTATGCTGGATACTAAGGTGAGTAGATTCAACATTCTTAATGGAAGTATACTGATGTCTACTGGCGAGATAGTCAGAAAACTACTGAGAAGAATTGAATGATTGATATTTTCAAAGGCTTTTGATATATGAATACAAACACTAATGGCAGAGATTTTGTTGTGGAAAGCACTCTTAATTCTGTTGAATGAGAGCCATGTCTGTTGAGTGTTTGTTTGGGTCAGAAGCCACAGGAAAGTTGTTAGGGCTTGAGTAGAAAATTGTACTAAGTGTCATTAGCAAAAAGGGTGAAGTTCAGTATGAGAAGAGAAACAAAAGTCATTTATGTAGATAAAGAAGAGGATGGACCTTGGGGGAACCCATGCAGGATACTAAGGTGAGTAGATTCAACATTCTTAATGGAAGTACACTGATGTCTATTAGTCAGAAAACCAGTTAGGAGGAGCTCCCCTAATACCATAGTGGTCTAGTGTAGTGAGAAGAATGGAATGATTGATACTATCGAAAGCTTTCTATATATCAATATAAACACTAATGGCAGAGATTTTGTTGTTGAAAGCACTGTTAATTCTGTTGAGGAATTGAATGAGAGCCATGTCTGTTGAGTGCTTTGGTCGGAAACCATATTGTTGATGAAACATAATCTGAAATTGAGAAACAAATTTGATAAAGACGCTTATAGACAAGCCTCTCAAGAGTTTAAGAATAGCAAGGTGAAATAGAAAATACAATAGGTCTGTAGTTATTAAACCTTCTCTTATCACTGCTTTTGAAAAATAGGGAAGAATTTGGATAATTTCTTATATGTTGGTTGAAATGAGGAAGAAAGAGGAGCCGGAGCTGATGAGCACAGTAATCTTTCTTTGCAGATTAGATATCAGCTGTTAGGCGATTATGATAAACCTTATAAGAGCGCTTGTTTCCTTCAGTGAGATTGCGCAAGAACCTCCTACAGTGTAGGTGATCTGTTTTTGAAGATGCAAGAATCGATTATGGACTGATTGATCCAAGGTTGGTTTTTCTTGGATTTTCAAACAGTTTGGTGATTAGAGGAAAGTGATTGATAGTTATAAAACGAAGAGAAAGCTGATAGAAAAACGTTGTAGGCAAAGTCAGCGTCTTCTTTTCCATAAACTTCACTCCAATCAATGCCGACAAGATCTGAGCTAAAAAAATGAAGAGAATTGTTATTGATGTCCCTGGTATAGAAGGTCGGATGAAAATGAACTGGGTTCTGGAATTACGAAGCGGTATATTAGAAAAGTGGATAGTGGTCAGTAATGTCAGAATACAAAATTTCTGCTGAGGTATCAAGATTGGAATTAGTTAAGATGTTGTCGCTTAGTGTGGCGTTTTATTGGGTGATGCAGGTTGGGTTGTTGATTAACCCTAACCCCTTGAGCACTTTTACTAGAAAGTATCCCGAATCCGCCCAAATCCACCTATTGTGTCAACCAACGAACAGTTGTTAGGGCTTGAGAAGAAAATTGTACAAAGTGTCATTAGCGAAAAGAGTGAAGTTCAGAATATGAGAAGAGAAACAAAAGTCATTTATGTAGATCAAGAAAAGAAGAGGATGGACCCCTGGGGAACCCATGCAGGATACTAAGGTGAGTAGATTCAACATTCTTAATGGAAGTATACTGATGTCTACTGGAGAGATAGTCAGAAAAATACTGAGAAGAATTGAATGATTGATATCTTCAAAAGCTTTTGATATATGAATACAAACACTAATGGCAGAGATTTTGTTGTGGAAAGCACTCTTAATTCTGTCGACGAATTGAATGAGAGCCATGTCTGTTGAGTGTTTGTTTGGGTCAGAAGCCACAGAAGAGTTGTTAGGGCTCGAGTAGAAAACTGTACTAAGTGTCATTAGGAAAAATGAGTGAATTAAGTTCAGTATGAGAAGAGAAACAAAGGTCATTTATGTAGATCAAGGGACCTACTGTTGTTGAATAGTCATGTGTGTTTTGGACTGATGAGAAGAAAGAAGAGAAAATATGATGGGGAGAAGATTGTGTGTGATTTGTAGATAAAGATCCCAGTGTGAAATTTAAGTACATTTCTAAGTTTTAATCAGGTTCAGAAAAAGTTTATTGGCCTTAAACCGAGACAAAACCTTGACAAGTTCTGAGTTTAGCGTGTCGACCAAAGAAGAGTTGTTCGGGCTTGAAGAGAAAATTGTACTAAGTGTCATTAGCGAAAAGAGTGAAGTTCAGAATATGAGAAGAGAAACAAAAGTCATTTATGTAGATCAAGAAAAGAAGAGGATGGACCCCTGGGGGACCCATGCAGGATACTAAGGTGAGTAGATTCAACATTCTTAATAGAAGTATACTGATGTCTATTGGAGAGATAGTCAGAAAACCAGTTAAGAGGAGTTCTCCTAATACCATAGTGGTCTAGTGAAGTGAGAAGAATGGAATGATTGATACTATCGAAAGCTTTCTATATATCAATAAATACACTAATGGCAGAGATTTTGTTGTTGAAAACACTGTTAATTCTGTCGAGGAATTGAATGAGAGCCATGTCTGTTGAGTGCTTTGGTCGGAAACCATATTGTTGATGAAACATAATCTGAAATTGAGAAACAAATTTGATAAAGACGCTTATAGACAAGCCTCTCAAGAGTTTAAGAATAGCAAGGTGAAATAGAAAATACAATAGGTCTGTAGTTATTAAATGCCGACAAGATCTGAGCTAAAACAAAAAGGAAGAGAATTGTTATTGATGTCCCTGGTTGTTATTGATGTCCCAACCCCTTGAGCACTTTTACTAGAAAGTATCCTGAATCCTCCAAAATCCACCTATTGTGTCAACCAAAGAACAGTTGTTAGGGCTTGAGTAGAAAATTGTACAAAGTGTCACTAGCGAAAAGAGTGAAGTTCAGAATATGAGAAGAGAAACAAAAGTCATTTATGTAGATCAAGAAAAGAAGAGGATGGACCCCTGGGGAACCCATGCTGGATACTAAGGTGAGTAGATTCAACATTCTTAATGGAAGTATACTGATGTCTATTGGAGAGATAGTCAGAAAACTAGTGAGAAGCATTGAATGATTGATTGTATCGAAAGCTTACAATATATCAATAAATACACTAATGGCAGAGATTTTGTTGTTGAAAGCACTGTTAATTCTGTCGAGGAATTGAATGAGAGCCATGTCTGTTGAGTGCTTGGGTCGGAAACTATATTGTTGAACGAACAGAATCTAAAATTGAGAAATGAATTTGAGAAAGACGATAATAGACGCACCTCTTAAGAATTTTAGAAAAGTACGGTAAAGTAGAAAATACAATAGGTGTTTTCTCCGTCAGTGAAATCATCTGGTAAAGACCTGTTTCTCTTCTTGCTGAGAATGGCATTTTTTTCTTGCCAAAGTCCTTGCAGTTTATTTCTTTGTCGCAGTAGCTGACGAGCATAGTAATCTTTCTTGAGATCAGATTTCAGCTGTTAATGGATTATGATAAACCTTATAATTCCGATTGTTTCCATCAGTGGAGTTGCACAAGAATCTTCTAGTAATCTGTTTTTGAAGATGCAAGAATCGATTATGGACTGATTGATCCAAGGTTGGTTTTTCTTGGATTTTCCAACAGTTTTGGTGATTAGAGGAGAGTGATAGTTATAAAGGGAAATTAAATGACACTCATAAGGGGTTTCGGCTAAGCATTAGGAATACCTGCACAATTTTAAAAAAAAATCAAAATTTACTTTGTGGATTTGTTGTTATTTCAAAAATGTTTAGATGGACACTTTTATTGGGACATACTGTAGAAAATACAAGCCAATAATTACCCAGACATCGACTTACCAAGCAAATGCTTTGGAACTGAAGAAAAATTGCAGGGTCAGTCCCCTTAAGCCTATAACAAGCAACCTTCATAAAGGGGCTACATTCAATGATTGACAAATGACAATACATACAACAAGCTTGACTGCACTGTCCAGCCGTATCCCATAATCCTTGACTAGTCTCTGTCTCTTGGCCTCAGGCAACTCAGGCAAACGCCCTCTGACCTCATCAATATTCACGACACTTCTAGCATCGGACGCAGTGTGAATGGTTGCGTTGTCATAGAGGATGAGTGGTGGAAGGTTTGGTTCTGGCATGAAGCGATAATCTTGCTTGCCTTCCTTGTCACGCATGGGGACCGTCTCTCTGAAAAAAAGACAGAATAGTGCCGTGCAGTTTCAAATAATCTAGTACTCGATTAGTAGAATTTACATTTGATCAAATATTCAAATATCAAGTACGCTTCATGTATATTTTCCAGGTAAATGTAGCTGACTATTTGATACTTGACAGATTTTAAACGTTTCAAATTAGGCCTTACAGGAGCTCTCAAATAATGAGTGTGAAGTTGCTGTTCACAAATATCTGGCATTTGACAGAGATATACAACCACTCATCTTAATATGAGTAAAGTTACGTCACGGATGTTTTTTGTTACATCACATATGTTTTTCTTGAGCCTGCTCACATTTTTCAAATATGCAATTTAATAAAATGCTTATCAGATATTCGGTGGATGATCAAATATTTGGATGTTTGGAATGATCTGCAGAGCCCTGAGAAGCAAAAGAGTGGTGTCTGTATTAACAGAATGTACAATTATTGAAACTTAGGGTCACTCATGGGCTACAACAGCAAGTTTAATGAAGGATGGATGCATGCATTAAGGATGCAAAGAATTCTGCAATACTGAATTGTAGGCAATAGACACTTGTCTTGCACTCATGGCGTGATTAGAGTTTGCTGGGATATCTCTGCTTTGACTTTTATGACAAACTTTTCTTCTATCCTAGAAACAACAATGTTGCCATACAAAAGAAATCTTGTCAACAGACTGATTATTTGCAGCAGTGGTGAGCACACGGACTTACCCAAGTTTTAGATCATAAGAGCGTGTTTCGGCACTGACTTCCATTCCATTCTCAAGAAGCTCGGTCTGTCTGGCAATTTCAAAATCTAAAACAAAGAATATATTTCTGTATCAGTTCAGTCCTGTTGAATGTTAAAGCATTCCACTTTCGCATGGTTGGTTATAACAAATCAAGTTCAAGTGTGAGTACATTCCTTGCTTTCCACCTCAGGTCACCCTGGTTCCAATCCCACCTGGTGATCACGTGGGTTGCCATGGCTTTTCCTTTCAATTAATTCTCCAGGGATTTTCTCCCATACCTCAAACCGACAATTACTTCATGATTGTTTTCTCAAAGGATGCATGTCGTGGACCAATGCAAAGTACTTGGCCGGGTCCTTGGCTGACAGCAATACCAGCAATACAGAAAGTAAAAGAAACTACACACTCATTCCTAAAATGGGTCACACTTTAAACATTGAGTTAAATAGGGTACATGCACATGTAAGTCTTCCAAAGTTCTACTTTATTAACCCTATGCTTACCACCTCTATCAAAATCCATCCCCCATTTTAGGGGATTGTGGCAGATAAGCCATGGTGTAGCAAGTCCATCACAATCCACCAGCACCAGTGGTGGATTTCAACGGATTTGGTCCTGAAGCATTATGTGAAGCAGTGTGAGTGATGGATTTTGACGGACATAGTCTTCTATTTAGTAAAACGAAGTAGGGAGTAGGGTTAAAATATACTTCATTATGTAAGTTTTAGTACGACTCTGCTAGGATAAAAACATTAAACATTCTTAATGATTCATTACTTGTTTATTTAAATATTATTTGAGGGGTGTGTTGAAGGGAAACAGTAAATTAGTAAAAGAAAAGAATAAATTAACATTGTAGTTTGCCAAACTTTACATAAATTATTCGATCAGTCTGCCTTGATAATAATCATATTGATTGAGTACATACCGATGGCATTTTTAACAAAGCGAATGCTGTTAATGTTCTTGATTTCTGCCCGGACGCCTGGTGGGTCACCTGGCCGATTCACTGAGACGTTAGCATCAACACGAAGGGAACCCTCTGGTGAGATTAAAAGAAACAAAAGTATTCAGATTGGGAAATTCTTATCATTAACTTGATAAAAGTCACTAAACTGAGGGCATTTACTGACACAAATACAGCTCTTTTCATTACCATCATGTTTATTATCACCACCACTGCCATTGCTATCACCATTATGAACTAAATCACCATGATAGCGTCCTGTTAGAAATGACAGATGGGCCTAATGGGTAGGGACAATAGTGAATAATTGTAAAACCAACGTACGATCCATGCGTCCATCACAGGTTCCAATGCACTGCAGAATGAGTTGCAATTCCCTGACCATTGCTGCAGCCTCGAGGGCGCTAGATAGGTCTGGTTCAGTCACTATCTCCATTAAACCAACACCTAAAGGAAAACAAGAAAATAACAAAAAGACTCACCACATGGAAATGTACTTATGGAAGCAAGGGATCTACTCAAAGGCTTGGTTTGATGTTGGACATGCAAGAGTGTCTTCATCTGGAGATATTAATAACCAAATTGAAAACTCTTGGTGATATTAAAAAGGAATCGCTGATTTTGATTTTTTTTTGTCCTTTACAATTGAGAAAATTCTCTATCCATAATGAGAAATGATTACAAGCTTCGGGTATTCTGTGATGGGCAAGGGGTAGAAAGATGTGTTGGGCATATGATGGGCGGGGTTTGAGGCATGGGAGGAGGAGGATGTAGTACCTGCTCGATTGAGATCCACCAGTGTCTCATGATTGACATCGTCATGGAGACTCTTCCCAGAATCCTGCTCCAGTTGGATCTGCTTGATTCTGACTCGGTGCCTCGTTGGATCATGCCTCCGCTTCTCATCAAATAATGTAAAGGTCAGCTGACCATCTGTTGCTATGGGAACCCGCTGCTGGGTGATCTGATATCCAGACTAATAGCGAAAAACACAAAATGTCAGAAAGAAATGTATCATCAAGAATAAGAAAGTTCTTGAAAGAGGAAAATGTTTTTACAATGCACTCCATAATGGAATTAATTACCACAAAAATGAAGCTTAATTTCTATGCACCAGTTTTCATAAATTGAAGCTAAAACAGTTTTCCAAAATACCAAAAGACTGTGTAGGATAGAGGAAGCCAAGCCACTTTACGGGGTTTTGATACCACTTGAAATTCTAATTACAAGGGAAGATGCCATTGCTTCTTTGCACAATTGAGGATTTGAAAAGTTAGAAGTTGCCTATGCAAAAACTCATGATGTGAAGGTTTCAAAGTAAGTACTCGGAATATATCTAAGTCTTCACTACTTCTCCAGATTGACAGCGCTTTGGCCAGTTCAGGAGTTCACACAGGCCAGCAACTGCTCTTACATTAGACCTATGTTCGCATATGTTTCTGTGCAAAAGACTATTCAAGCAAGCTCTGTGGTCGAGTGGTAAGACGTCTTCGCTAGTGAGCAGGAGGTCGTTGGTTCGAGTCCCACCCAAGTCCCACCCAAGTAGTTTTCTCACAATTACTCTGGACAACACTTAGTATGTGTTTATAAAAGTACGTCAGTGAAGGGTAAAACCCAATATTGAATTCACATCACCATCGACTCAAAATTCCATCCAATGAATAATATTCTATTGGGAAAAATGCACAAAGTTGAATTTTGGCATATGAAGGAAGGATAGTTCTAAGCAAACAAACAAAGAGAATTATTTATTGATTTTCTGTGGTGATTTAATTGTGTTAACTGAAACTATGGTACAAGTAATCTTCACAACTTTGCAAACCTACCGGTAAGTCTGCATAGAAGTAGTGTTTGCGGTCAAACAGCGAGCGTTTATTGATGTGACATGACAGAGCTATTGCTGTTATCACTCCAGCCTCCACACAACGTTTATTCAGAACCTTGAAGTTCAAAGAAAAGAAAAATGTCAAAAAAATCTTCAGAAATAGTTTCTGAAGATCCATGACACATACATGTATACACAATGTCGGGTTCTCATTTGGCAGTTAATAGATTAGTATAATTTGTGACAATTTCATATAACCTTTGTTGCAAGAATACATAGTTTAGAGATTTCACTCATTGTGCCACAATTGAACAACCTGTGTGTGTAAACTGGAACAATTTCAAGTCTAGGACACATCAAGTCCTGGATTACTCCATGATCTTGTGTGTGTTTCAGTTGGAAATTGATGATAGGATTTGAAATGCAGCAATACAAGTACAAGCCAAACATGAAATGCCTCTTTTGGGTGAAACGTACTCCCCTGCATCAGGCTCCTGATGGTATTTCAAGTTATCAAATTTACAACTCACTGGAAGTGTGCCTGGCAGAGCAGCATCAAAGTGTGACACCAGAGAGTTAGGCGGAGCCATGAATTGTACTTTAGATGCAGAGAAGAGTTTGGATTTGGACGCAATCTGTGCATGAAGCTCCAGACCTATCACACTCTCCCATGCACTGGAATCCTTAGACAACCTGAAGGTAAAATAATAAATACATTATAGGAAATAGTACTTGGACAATATGGTTCTCAAGTATTAAATACAGAAGAGGATGGGGAAGTTCACAAAATATCTTTATAAGCACTTTCACGGTATTCAGGTGCCATCTTGTTCACGGCCAAAAAGAACATGCATTGCTAGATGTGAATGTTGGGCGCGATCAGTCGATCTTCGCCATCGGTCGCTCACATTGCGCTATCGTTGGATCATGATGCTATTAGTCGATCCTGCTGCCAACAGTCGAACTCCTTTTCTTTCTAATTCACAACTCTGGAGGATTTTTTTTTAAAAGGTAAGTAAAGTTCAAGATATCCTACAGAATCGACCGTCCAGTATCGCAGCTATGATGCGAGTGGTAAACCTCAACAGTCTTCAGGTAATCCGCTTCCGCGTGACGTCATGCGCCATCAGCCGAATTTTTTGGGGGGACCTGCCAACTCTGCTGGTTCATGTGAAAAATGTCCTCCAGCCCTAAATGACAACCCAATGATAAAATTTAGGGCTGGGTAACTCCAGCTAGGCCTACTCCAATTCAAATTTTCAACTTTTGTCTAAGTTCTAACGACGTAAGTCACGTAATAATATTAGGAGTATGAATAAAATTCACAATCTAAAATTGACAGTTTTATTTTTTCTGTTTGTTTTCCTCTATTTTTTATTTTGTTTAGGGCTTGCTGGGAGTGGGGAGGGGGGGAGGGTGGGGTTAGCCCCGCCCCTCCAAAATAACATGAACAACTCAACAAGTTCGTTTTGCATGTTTTGGATTAAATTTAAATCCTGGCCTAAATGTGTTATTTCAACCTTACCTTGGCCTTAACATTGTGCTTGTCGTTTTACATCTGGAAGCTCTGGTGAATAGAATGCGCAACGACCTATTTGTCAGCCGATTAGAGGCTCCTTTCGATGACAGTCGGAGACCGAGACCGAGCGTTTTTATTTCCAACGTGGGCGCCGCCATTTTTTAAATAGTCTGGTGGCAATGGCTTGTACAGTGTAATATGGCGTAGAGTTCTGGAATGCGATCAAGTTTTTGTTAGTTGCAAAGCGCCCTCTGTTGAAAACAATTTGTACATGTATACCAAAGATCCTATAGCGCCGCTTGCGGCGCTATATGATGTATACTCTTGAGACGCGACTGTCGGCTATCAGGCGCGGATCCAGGGGCTGAAACACCACCTGCTCTGGCACAAAAAATATATCATAACAAAGATGACATTCTGCCTGTCCGCAACAATCAGATATAAAACAATCTAACGGGCCCGACCCCCCTGCAAAAATTCCTGGATCCGCCCCCCTGCGTATCTTCAGAATTCAATTCAAAACCGACCGTGCAAAAACGATCGCATGACCAGTGTCTCCCCAAAAAATAACTGATGGACTAATTAAATCTAACAACTTATTTCTTTGCACTACCATTATTTCAATTAACGTCTTAGATATCGTAGGGTTCGGATTTGAACCTTTTTTTTCAGACGCAATGATTTAGTTTGAATAAGGGCATTAGATAATCGAAAATGCGCATTCTTGAATTAATTTAAACATAAACAAAATTACGACTTCAATTATCTCCCTTGAAAAAGAACATGATGGTGAAGGCAGACGATATTTAAGTAAATTTTGCAAAACTCCAAAATTGCAGACTTTTGGATTGAGAAAAGTATAATTCTTCATTGGTCTATAACCAAAAGAGTATCCCCATTTAAATCACACACTGAACTCCATCAAAGTGAACAGACCAATACAGCTAAGTTGGGCGATTTAATTTTATATTTCATAGTCTACTCCAACTGACTTCTACATTTTTTATGACATATAATGACATTCATGACTGTTTATGACATTTTATTTGTTTTTAATTTACAAACTCGAAGGCAACGATCACTGATCGTGAAGACAATGTCCATCTAGTATGAGTTGTAACTTAACCGTCGAATTGGCTACTATTTTCTAAGATATACATGTTGTTTTGCCAAAATAAAAGTGTAATAACAATTCGTATATACTGAATATTATATTAATTCACTCATTCAACAAGGCAATCATTTTTCTTGAGCACTTATCATAACTGTTCATGATTCACTGCATGTTCAAGACTGCATATACAACTTACTGACGTCCCCAACAAACCAGGAGTAATTAAATTCCGCGTTTCAATTCAATGTCACATCTGTATCAGACATGCACTGCTAATTACAGCATGCCGGTTAGGCGTGCATTAAACAAACAAAAACAATACAAAACAAACACACGTCGATTAATCAAAGACAATTGCAAATTAAATTTCATTAAAATAACTTCTTTGTCTTGTACACAAAATTATCACGTTTCTTAATTTAAAATGAAACGTTTGTACTTTGAATGCTCCTAACCATTTGTCAACTTTCGCTACGGGTACGAAACCTCAAACACCGGTATGTATTGGGTTTTAAGCTGAGAAGATAAAAATCAACAAAGAAAATCATAGAACCTCCGGCACAGAAACTATCATGCAGGAAATGCTGAAACCTTGTCAAATTCCTGAAAAGCCGAACAATCTAGTAGTTTTTTTCTCAGCAGTGAAAAAATACTTGTACAGATTCAGACGATTAATGCCAGGTAACTGATGTTGGAGCTTGTTCTTATACATTGCTTAATCTGCAGGCTGTTAGCCTATACTACTCTGCATGTCTTGATTATACGCCATACAGTATATTCAACCTGACATCTTGTTCCTAAGTGACTTAGTGCCCTGTTTGAAGAGACAAACACGACGATCTTGGGATAAAGTCTGTCATTCAATCAAATAGGATCACTCGCTAGTGAGTATCTCTTCGTGTTAATGTTTTACACTGAAACATCTAGATATAGATGCTTTAAGTTTGGTAGTTTTTGCACGGCCTTATAGAGTGCTTCAATTCCATCCTTTCCTAAAGTTGCATCGTTCCCCTCTAACATCAATTCCTGCAACTGTGGACAACTTGGAAGGACCTCCGCAAGATAGATTGCATCAGAATCAGTCAAATCCATGGCGTTCATGTTTAAGATCTTCAAAGCAGGCATATGCTTCAAGAGTCTTATGAACTGTGGAGTGAGCTTGCCGAGATAGTTTCTATGAACATCTAAGGTCTTTAGCGAGCACTCTCCAGGAGGCCGACTGTAGGTTGGTGTGGGAAGATCTTCACCTGATTCATCTCCTGATTGTGGTTTGTTTCTGTGGGGAATGGTTGCAACACATCCCTTCATATCAAGCTCTTCAAGAGACGATGAATTACACGACCACCACACAACTGACAGTAGAGCATCTGGAGTTATAGAAGTAGCATAGTGATGGTATGAACGTGAAAGTGAAAGGACTCGTAGATTTGGCAAGGTTGACAGGACATCCCTCGCTAGAAGGACTACTTGGTCTGACAGCAAGTCCGTATCGTTCAGGTTCAACACCTCTAGGTGATTGAGTATTGGTAGCTGCTCAACGAGGCTAGGAAAGACGTCTCTAATTCTGTTTCCTGATAAATCCAGCTCTTGGAGTCGAGGAGCTTTTGGGATAACGCAAACGACCTGTTGGAGATCTTCTTGCTGAAGACCGTCTTCACTAAGCTTCAATACCTCCAGATTCGGGTATTTCCGATCAAGGTGTATTGTTTGAGAACCTGTGTGTTTCGAGTAACTGACCTCCAATACCCGTAAAGACTGTGTCTCAAGGCCTGCGAAGACTGCGCTCCAAAAGTGATCATTGTTCTCGAGGTGAACAAGACTTCGAGTGCTCAGACCGAGTTGACAAAGTCTGTCTTGCTGTTCAAGGAACTGTTTCAAACAACTCGGATCAACCTTAAACCCCTGTAATGCAAAACACTCCAGTTTCATGACAGCGGTTTGTGCAAGGCATCTGAACATGACAGACAAATCCATATTGACTGGGAAAGGACGGCAATACAAAGAAAGAGTTTTCAGAGACTGCATCGAACCAAGGGCATCGCCAAGGGAAACCTGCCAACTAGAATCAACACCTTTGTTTTTCTTAAAAGAGGCTGCATCAAACTCTAAATCGACATCTGTCGCAATCACTGCATGCTTCAAAATCCTAGTGACTACAGCTGAGCCATCTTTGTCGATGCTCTCCACATTAATCTTTGTCAACCCTGTAAGAAACGACGGGTTTGAAACGGAGGCACACTCGATCAAAAACCCAAACGCCAACCCGACGTCTTTGGAGCATTTCAAGTCGAATGATAAACCTCTCTTGAAGACTGGCATCATGAGGCTGTGTAATTCTTTGCCATGCGCCTCCAAGTGCATCAAAAAGCAGAGGTTAATTTGTGGACAAAATTTAATATCGTCATGCAGCCTCATCGCAATATCGAAATCCAAAATGCCGACCTTCTTGAAATCATGAAATCTCCAACTTTTTGAGTTGTCCCAGTTGAAAGAAGAAACAACGTGGCTGAGTAGAAGTCTTGCTGCTTCTGTATTTGCGCCACAACAAAACCGAAATACGTACTCCAGGGTGGAAGCTAACCAGTCGTCTGGAATCAGACTGAGGTAATGGTTAAACAAATCCACATTAGACTCGGCAAGCGTGGCCCAATAAAACCCAGCAATCGCCTCTTGGAAGGTTTTGTGGATGAAAGTAACACACTGCACCGAACGCAACTTACTTCTCACTCGCTCCTGTGACAGTATCCCTATCTTACATGCTTGATCAACCACCGCAGGATTTCCAAAATCCGAGACATCAAACACCAATTTCTGTCCAGGGAGCATCAGACCATCTAGAGCTGCTTTGCCTAATTCTTTTACAGTATCTTTCAACTCATTCCAAAACAAGTCTTCATCGCCAGAAATGCCGAGATTATCAGTTGTCTGGAAGTGACGTTTCAGGATGAAGAACATAGCATCTGTAAACAGTTCTGTTAATGTCTCGTGAAGCTTATGTCCCTCTGACCAGACAAGACACATCAACAGCAGCATCATCGGTATTTTTGCCAAATTACGGAGGCTCTCAGATACGACCAAATACCGATACAAATCGGTGGCAATCTGAGGGTCCTCTCCTTGGAAAAACTTCTCAATGTATTCCTTCACTCCTTCCTCTGAGAAACCACAGGCCTCGATGCGAGTGAAGCAAGGATTGAGCTTGCACAACTTGTCCACCATGTGGGGACGTGTTGTGACAATGACGGTACATCCACGAAGAACCTTGTTGCTGATGATGTCAATGATGTCACCTTCAGTTGGTAGCTGAGACCCCTCTTTATCAAACTCATCAGCGCCATCCAAAACGACAAGAACCTCTTCAGCATGTGACCTCAAGTGATCTTTCAGGGCTACGGGATTCACGTTCGTATCTTTTGCAAGAATCTGATCAAATACTGCTTCAGTCAGATCTGGGGCCCTCTTCAATTCACGCATGCTCAGGGCGACCAAAAGACTGAATTTGGACAAAGTTGATCCTGGAGTTTGAAGAGCCCAGTCGGTTGCAATCTTTGACACGATGGTGGTCTTGCCGCTACCAGCAATGCCAGAAAGCAGGATAAATCGGACTGGCTGGCCATCATGGAATTCCAATCTCAGCATGTCTTCGTAAGAGCCAATGTAACGTTTTACCACTCTACCAGCCTTGCTGTCTTTCTCGTTGTATTTGAGTTTTACGTACATGTCGTTAATCTTGCTGACCTCTGATGCAAGCCAAGGGAGCAATGGAACCACACCCATTGCATCTTTGTAGTATCTGATGAACTCGTTTCGGTAAACTTCAAAGTTCCAATCCGACGGAGGTCCCATGGAATCTAGAATAATTAAAAGGTTAGGACTTGTTAAGAAGAACTGCGGTGTCGACTTTTGAACAAATTTTGTCAATAGTTCGCAGTTATGCATTTTTGAACGTTTTCTATACGTACCAGATATAGATTGTGCTAGATCTGATCTTCCAATCTTGACGAAGCTTTCCTGTAGGAAAGAAAGAGCACCGCCATCTCCACTGCGATTTGAATGATCCCACCGCTGCCACCAAATCATCAGCATCTGGAATATCTGCTCCTCTGAGCCCAGGTAGTCAGCTTTAATCCGGTCGACCTCATCACTTCTGACTCCCAAATAGGTGGCTAAAGCTGTCCATTCCTTGCCAAGATTTGAGGCCAAATGCCTCAATTTGACCTCACTCAATGTTGACTGCATTGTGAGAATCACGGTAACGGAAAGCCGAATTTCACGCTTATGGTGAGGATCGGAACCGGTGTGTAGGCGTTGTAATGACAAACACTTTGTACTTCGTCTTGGCCTTCCTGTTGGGAACAACCCAAGTTTTAAATTTTCAAATTCGATGATTTATTAAATTTATCGTCTTGGTGGAGATTAATTTCCTTTGAAGAGAGTACAATTACATTCATCAAAAACACGTGTTAACTTTAAACTACATCTTGCTATATTGAAACAATTCATATATCGATGATCACGCTTACGATACATGTATTGTAATCTAGCATGATGACACCTACAGGAAAACGTCTTCAATCTGATTTCAATATGCACGAGCACAACAGCCTAATTCCTCCAGCATTCCTACCCGATTTGAAAATCCGTCCGGAAATATTTTGGCATCCGTCTGAGGGGGATCAGATACACTCATGTACATGGTTATGGGTTAATTACGATCCATTCTAGTCTACAATTTGTAGTTTGGCTGGAAAAACAGCGGAAGATGCCCGGGACTCGCATGATAAAATTATCTTACCTTTTATACCTGGACTTTGTAAACACAAACCAAACATTTTATGAGAGATTAGGCCTACCCATGTGATCAAGTTTATCCGATTAGACCGATATCGTTCCCGATTGAATCGTGCAAATGCAGACACGTCACAAACGATAATCAATGCAATGGTTCGAATGCCCAAGAATGGGATATCAACTTCATTTTGTCCACCAGGGATATGGTAGATGGGGCAAATAGCGGCATATATACATGGACGGGAAAACGTGCAGAAAACTGTATCTTTTAAAATTCAAAATCATATGATTTTGTTTGGTTGATTGTCATTAACAGCTGTGCCGGCCATGGGCCCTCTCAAGTTTCAAGAAGTTGAAGTTAATAACACTTTTAAGCCAATTTTGAAAAGCTTACCCCGCTGTTGAGGAAGTTTTGTCCATGCAGGAAGAAGTAGGCTAGGGGCCTACGAGTCAACGTCCCCTTTCAAGACTGTCGGCCGTCTACGTATCCTACCGACACTGCTTAAACCGTGGTGTAGAACTGCAGCTCATAATGCACAGCCGTTTGAGGAAGTAGATGTAAAATAAAAAATTGCCACCGGACGTATGCATGCAAAGGTTCATGCAATTTGTCACACTGACCCTTGGCTTTATCTTGCACAAACATACATGTAGTACTATCGTAGGCCTACGTGTACATACATTGTAAATGCAGAGACAATGGAGGGGCGGGACTGTCATCGACTCTACCAAACGATCGATTGAGTGGAAGTAGAATTTTTTTAGGGGGGGGGGGTGGTCATTTTTGTATGATAAACACATTGAATGTTTTTGAAAATGTTGTGACTTGTAAAAAAAAATTAATTCAGCCTTTGACCGAGTAAGCCCGTCAGGAAACAAAATCTATTCAGAAACACTGAGGACATCGCACTCGTTGTATAGTTCCACTCCATGTGCCCGGAAGTCACGCCATATTGACACACGCCTACAATCGACCTTCATGTCATCCCGTTCAAAAATATGCAAAAAAATACAATAAAAAAATAACTGAAACACCTTAACCACTAAGGTACTTATAATCTATCGTAAAAGTAAAATTCAAAATAAATACTGCAAAGGAAAGAAAATATAGATGCAGATGCAACTGAACAATATTTATTTTGATCGCAGTATGCTTTACAATGGTCGTACTATTTAAATCTTGTTTTTTATAACCCATTAATTTAACAACAGTTTGCAAAAGCTGCATTAATGCAAACACTCAGTCACAGCTTAATTAATTGGTAAATATTTACCCCGGCCTTAGCCATTTAAGGAGTTTTGGTAAGTGAGGATCCGGAAGGGAGGGGCGGGGGTGCGCAAACAGAGCGTTTCCCTAATCTTGCTTTGCAATTAAAGGCTAGTAGGCTACTTAATTTGCAGACAGAAGTTACAAAAACTAAAAAATTACTCCCCAAGAACAATATCAAAATACCAGACAAATACCGGGTTAGTTATTTAAAAAAAAGAACCACTTATAGCCAAGATTATTGGTTGTGAATGTGAGGAGAAGCCACATTTTTTTGATGATCTTCAACTCCCCGTATACACATTAAAGCTAATACTCTGCTCATCAGTAAGGTCCCGCATATAAGGACACACGCATCATGATCAAGGCAAAAACATTACAAAAGAACTGAACTGAAAGTTCTCTAAAAGGTCATTAACATAACCACGCCATGTAATCAATTTTGAACTTTTATACTGTCAAGATGTTGATAATTGTCGAAACAATTGAGATAAACAAGCCGATGCCTTTGCCAGATCCAGAGGAACTTAATTAAACGGGGCTGTTCTCCGGTGTAAAATACTAGCAAAATGGATGACTGATATGAGTACAAAACATGGCAGACGTCCATTCACTGAATATTGGCCTACACCGGACAACTAACAACTCGATAAGGTTTTCGTTAATTGTCATTTTACAAGATCGACTTTAGTGACAGTAATTTAGTTCATGAAAACATCTGGTGATGAAACTGATATTAAACATCAACATTACTGTTGAAATGTTGTAGAAAGTGGAGAATATGTACACATGTATACAGAATAAATTTGAATTGCTGACAATATGCATTTGCAATGATCTTTTGCAGAGTTCCTCTCGTATTTTCCTTTATTTTGTCTTTGCACTGTATTCTTGAACGGTTTGTTTAACTTTCTTAATGTGTGGCAGCTCAAAGATGCACACCGAGCCGTAGGGGAATCGATGTTTGAGACATTCTTGCATGAAATCAGTACCGTCGCTGTATGTGTATGATGGCAATTCAAGATGTTCCAGGTGTGGTAGATCAGGAAGTATTTTCAGAAGGGCTTCCATTCCAACGTCTCCAAACGTCTCAGCTCTGTACAGGTATAACTCTCGGAGCTGTTGACAGCAACGAAGAGCATCAGCAAGGCAGACCATTTCAGAATCAGACAGCGGCATATGCATCATATCCAATGACTTCAAAGAAGGCAATTGTTTGATAAGCCTTGTGATCTTGGAGGTGCATTTGCCGAGACTGTTGCTTCGAAGGGTGAGAATCTCAACGGAGCCTTCATGCGTCGTATCTGTGGGATCTACAGGAGGATCTTCCAAGTCACCTGCTGTCGTGTGTAGTAGGTCTGCCTCTGATTCCTTGGTCACGCAGCTGTGAATGCTAAGCTCTTTCAGAGATGACGACTCACATGACCGTTGCATGACAGAAAGTAAAGCCGGTGCATTCAGAGAATCATTCTTGGAGATGGACAGAATGCGCAGACTTACCAAATGTGGTAGGATAACTCTGGCAAAATACCCAACATCGTCTGGTAGCAATCCTACGTCCTTCAGTATCAAAACCTCCAAATTCAGCAATGATATGAATTGCTCTGCAAGCCGTGGGAAAGCAACTCCGATTTGGTTTTCCGATAAATCAACCACTTTAAGTTGAGGGGCTTGGGAAATAATGACACCGACCCTGTGAAAATCTTCTTCTTGAAGATCAACTCCAAAAAGCTCCAAGACTTCGAGATTTGGACATGACCAACGAAAGCAGCTTACAAGGAATCGAGTTTTGTAGTATTTCACACTCAGTTGTTTTAACAACTTCATCTGCTGTTCTCCTGACGCAATATCATCATTCTCGTCATCGCCCTCACTTGAATCTTCGACATCGTGACAACTGTCACGGACGATAAGGTTTTCATTGCTAAGAGAAATGTGACAAAGCTTGTCTTGCCTCTCAATGAATCTCCTCAAATGCCTGGAATCAACGACAATACCCCGTAAGACAAAGCGCTGGATGTAACTCACCGGAGGTAATAGAGCCATGTGATTAAACGTGGCGGATAAGTTGGCCTTGCCAATCAGTGACATGTTCCTAAGTGATGGCAACTGACAAAGCGCATCACCCAAGGCGGTTTGTAAGCCTGCATCTACGACTGTGCCATCTATGGTTTGACTGAAATCTAACGTGATATCTGTCACATTCTGTGCGTGCCTTAGTATGTCAACAACCAATGGGATGTTCTTCTGAACCCTTAGGATAGTGACGTCTTTCAACTCACTCATCAGAGACGACTGACTTGCAGAGGGCTGACAGGCACACTTTATCAGAAACTCGAAAGCCAACCTGATGTCCCCTCCCCAATTTAAGTCGAAATAGAGGCCGTTCTTGAACACAGGGGTCATGATATTGTGTAACTCATTACACTGTGCCTCGAGGTGCATTCGAAGACATAAACTGCCCAAATCTTCCATATTACCACATCCGACAAGATGGGTAAGAAGTGGTCTAGCAGCATTGACATCCGACCCACAACAGAATCGCAACAAGTACCCCAGAGCGAGAGCGTTTTTTTTATTCACTTGATTCAGATACCAGTTGAAAGCGTCTGGATCAGACTCGGCTAGACTAGCCCAATAAAACCCAGCGATCGCCTCTTGGAATGTCTTATGAAAGAAAGTCACATGTTGCATTACACGGAGCTTACTTCGGACCCTCTCTTGAAGCAAAACTCCTATTTTGCAAGCCCTTACAACCTTTTTGGAATCTCCAAACTCAGAGGCCTCAAAAACCAGTTTCAGCCCTGGAAGCATCAGCCCGTCAAGTGCCACTTTTCCCAGATCTTGCACCAGCTCATGTAGCTCTTGTGAATGCAATTCGTCATCATCTTGGTAAAGCTGACCGAACTTCTGTAGGTATCGTCTCAGCATGAAGTAAACGGCCTCTTTGAACAGCTCTGTCAACGTATCTGGTAGCACATGCTCGCCTGACCAGATTAGACATATTAACAGCAGCATAATCGGTGTTCTTGCCAAATTCGTGAGGCTCTTAGAGTTCATCAAGTACCTACAGAGCATGGCAGAGACCTCCGGGTCCTCGCCCTTGAAAAACTTCTGAATGTATTCCTGTACCCCTCCGTCTGAGAAGCCACTGGTCTCGATGCGAGTGAAGCAAGGATTGAGCTTGTACAACTTGTCCACCATGTGGGGACGTGTTGTGACAATGACGGTACATCCACGAAGAACCTTGTTGCTGATGATGTCAATGATGTCACCTTCAGTTGGTAGCTGAGACCCCTCTTTATCAAACTCATCAGCGCCATCCAAAACGACAAGAACCTCTTCAGCATGTGACCTCAAGTGATCTTTCAGGGCTACGGGATTCACTTTCGTATCTTTTGCAAGAATCTGATCAAATACTGCTTCAGTCAGATCTGGGGCCCTCTTCAATTCACGCATGCTCAGGGCGACCAGAAAACTGAATTTGGAGAGTTGCGATCCCGGCGTTTGAAGAGCCCAGTCGGTTGCAATCTTTGACACGATGGTGGTCTTGCCGCTACCAGCAATGCCAGAAAGCAGGATAAATCGGACTGGCTGGCCATCATGGAATTCCAATCTCAGCATGTCTTCGTAAGAGCCAATGTGACGTTTTACCACTCTTCCAGCCTTGTTGTCTTTCTCGTTGTATTTGAGTTTTACGTACATGTCGTTAATCTTGCTGACCTCTGATGCGAGCCAAGGGAGCAATGGAACCACACCCATTGCATCTTTGTAGTATCTGATGAACTCGTCACGGCAAACTTCAAAGTTGAAATCGTCCACATTAGTTTCAGGGCCTGGATGTTTTACGAAAACGAAAAAAAAATACAATCATTTTGGTTTTTACTCCATTTTCACAAGTGTACCTCATAATCGCAAGTTTCCACAATAATTGCTTATGGAATCTAATTTAACTTAATTGCTATTAATTATTTCTCCTTTTTTATGTCATATAATTCTGAATTTCAAATCGAAAAGTCATGTAACCTCTTAATGACTGCGCTACATCAGTTCTTCCACTTTTCACAAGAGATTCGCAAAGAGCATCTACAGCGCCAGTCTCCCCACCCTCATTCCGATGATCCCACCGCTGCCACCAAATCATCAGCATGTGGAATATCTGCTCCTCTGAGCCCAGATAGTCATCTTTAATCCGGTCGACCTCATCACTTCTGACTCCCAAATAGGTGGCTAAAGCTGTCCATTCCTTGCCAAGATTTGAGGCCAAATGCCTCAATTTGACCTCACTCAATGTTGACTGCATGGTGAGAATCTTTGGAGTAACGGAAAACCAAATTTCTCGCTGGTTATGCTATGGTGAGGACCGGTGTGTAGGCGTTGTAATGACAAACAATTTGTACTTCGTCTTGGCCTTCCTGTTGGGAACAACCCAAGTTTACAAATATTCAAAATGAGATGCTTTAATTCATAGTGCTGTGGAGGGGGAACATTTGTTTCCTTTGAAGAGATTATACATTTACATACATCAAAAACACGTGTTAGCCTTAAATTACACCTAGCTGTTTTGAAATAATTCATTTATTGGTGATCACGCTTACGATGCTTGCATTGTAATCTAGCAGGACATGGTGAGTACCCATAGGAAAGCGTTTCCAATCTGATTTCAATATGCACGATCACAATACAGAAATGTTGAGAAATGTTGGCTTCTGTGTGGATGGCAGCTAAATCTCTCATCAGTTTTGTTTCGGTTTGATTTTTTCAACTGTTGGAAACAAAACACGTTAACCTTTATGACACGAAGTAATCACTTTTCCAACAAGTCATGAGATTTCTTTGCATTCGCAGTTAAAAAAAACCCACAAAAAAGCCATGCCAAGAACGTCCAAGAAAAGTGACCAGCATAAAGTAACATGGTAAGTTTACCCACTCACTATATCAGGGAGGCTCCTATGTGTGTTAAAAAAAAACATGATCGCCACTGAATAAGGGATGGGTTTGCAGTGTCTCAAAAATATTCATAATTCATAAACAAAAAGGTCATGAAAGAAAAAAAAGTCACTTAAAATTTTGAAGGGTTCTCAAGCCTGAAAGCTGGCCCGTGTGTCACATTTAATAGTCGACATGTGATTTGTTTTCATAACGGATATGAACATAGAACAGGCAATAACTAGCTTTCATCAGCTCTTACCGTACTGCAAGGCAATGATAATCCATGATCTGGAACATCAACTGCATGCTGAGCCAGGCAAGCTGACATCAATATGCGGGTATGGTGAATTTACAGGCCTATCAGCTATTTTGTCACACGGTACAAAGTTCACGCTTTCATAATTATGCCCAAAGCAACTGAATACCAAACCGACCAACTTTTTTTTTTCGGTTGAAGAATGGCGCATTGAGCCTGAGTTCAGTACAACAGTACAAAAGGTTCGGGTCAGTGCTCTCATTTTCGTCGTTAGTAATGCTTGTACCATGGAGCTATAGCTCCATGCTTGTACCAAGTCACCCGGATGTGTAGGCTTATTATGTGCGATGCGGCATGTACATGTGGCAAAGGGGCCTAAAGCAGGGAAATATATGACAGTGCACGGTCTAATAATTACGGAAGCGTTAAAGGGACATAATAAAAACAAATAAAAAGTCATAATTATGACTTATTATTAAGTCATAATCATGACTTATTATTAAGTCATAATTATTACTTATATCTCATAATTATGATTTATTATTAAATCATTATTATGACTTATATCTCATAATTACGACTTAGTATTAAGTCGTAATTACGACTTAATAATAAGTCATAATTATGACTTAATAATAAGTCATAATTATGAGATATAAGTCATAATTATGATTCAACATTTACTAAGTCGTAATTATGAGATATAAATCATAATTATGACTTGATACTAAGACATTATTATTACATATAAGTCATAACAATGACTTAATAATAAGTCATAATTATGAGATATAAGTCATAACTATGACTTAGTTCTTTTTTTTAATTTGTATTATGTCCCTTTAACGCTTCCATAAATAATCCACAACACGAGGAAATGAAACAGAATTCCAATATTTCAAACCCTGCGCACGTGTTAAACGAAACTAAAACCCAATATCTTGAGGCTTCCGCATGAAATGAAACTAAACCGACTACACACAAAACAGGACATGTGCCTATATCCATAACATATGTAAGTACCCAAAATCATCATCGACAAGAGACTGAAACTAGTTTGAAGTCAATGACTTTAATTGTACAAATTTACCAACATCCATTTAAGATAATGAGGCCCAGTAAGGGGACTGAGATGGTGGTGGTGGGAGGGGGGGGGAGGAGCCAGTTAATGGGTACATGTACCTATTTGGGCGGATAATTGGGGGAGTGATCCTGTACTTTATGGTATGTATACCCTTCACACTTTAGCTTGGGGAAGACAAATCCCCGACACAGGAATAACCCCACAGAAAGAAAAGAAAAATCATGAACAAATTCGAGATTAAATAACAATGATCTGATTGTTCATTAAGAAGTCTAAGTTGGAAGTGATAACCATATAAAAGCAATTTTTTTGTGACTTTTACGAGAAGATCCGGTGAAAAGCGTCACGATTGACGAACGCCCTCATCAAACGATTATTTTTCAAGGGTTGGGGTTACAATGAAATTTCATCAAAGGTTTTGTTTACACGGCTCTGACGCACTACCGTTGTTGTCATGGCATTTCGAATTGTACCAGTTTTGGAAAATCCGACATTGGTATTCTGAAAACAAGGAAACAGAACGAATGGCACAAAATTCTACTAACTTCACCTATACATCATATACATGTATGTGTTAACAGATATTCGCTAATTATAAGTTAAGTTATAAACTTAATGAGTACAGTGTACCAGTTTTGGAAAATCCGACATTGGTATTCTGAAGACAAGGAAACAATACGAATGACACAAAATTCTACTTACAAAACTTTACCTATACATCATATACATGTATGTGTTAACAGATATTCGCTAATTGTAAGTTATGTTATAAACTTAATGAGTACAGTGTACCAGTTTTGGAAAATCCGACATTGGTATTCTGAAAACAAGGAAACAGAACGAATGGTACAAAATTCTACTTACAAAACTTTACCTATACATCATATACATGTATGTTAACAGATATTCGCTAGTTGTTTATGTCATGCGTATACTTGAGTGGAATATTAAAGCAGCACCGGTGTTAATTTTTGAACAGAACCGGGTAACCCTATTTCAATATTACGCAATACATCACCAGCAGTGGTCAAAATTAAGTCACAAAGTAAGTCTTAATTCTTTAATAACCTCTTAAGATATTCGTCCAATTTGACAAGTTATTAAAAGGGAAGATACATTTGCAAACATCAGAAAACGAAATGATAATATTATCACGAAATACCTTACTGGATTGTTAGGGAATGCAGTCTACAGCATCCTGTAAAATCGTGGCTCCTGGTGTGCTGACATTTTCAAGAAAAGTGTATTTTTCCAACACTGGTCGGCCGACCAGCGTTGGAGAAAACTTTTTTTTCGCAAAAACTGTTCCTAATTTGTCCTATTTAGATATTCCGCATTTTCTTTGCAATTGATTACACACCTGCATGTGAAGGGGTACAAGCCTGCGAGAATGATTCTCTGACCTTACAATTCCCCAAAGTCTCTAAATTGCTCCGTTTCATCTTAAGTGGCGTCAGGGAACCAGGCAACTAGAACATGATTGAATTTTTTGGTTTTTCCAGCATCTACAAGCCCAAAACGAGAAACAAGTCAGTTTAACAATATTTTCTACAACATACTAATCATCCAAATCCATTTATTCCTAAAAATTGCAACAAAAGCAAATGTTGTACATTCCCTTTGAGAAGTTATAAACTTAATGAGTACAGTGACCCAGACTAAGGCCTATTACTTGATGTTGATGAATGAAGATAACCGGTTGGAAACGATTTAAGTAATTAATTCTTTATCAAAGAGAGTGAAACTTCCGCATTGTTAATGATTACACCCGTCATTAATTGTTGCTAGAAAGCTCAAACTACATCTCTATTTTGACTCTTTTCTCTCGAATCGCCTGACGACTTCAACTACAGCCTCAATTTGTGGCCGATTGAATTCGTGAAAGTATCTGATGATTCTATATCGATGGCCATGTTGAAGGCATTTGCGAACCATCTCAGGAGGATTTCCATCATTATCTGGCAGAGACAGAAACTCAAGACACGGCAGCTTCGGGATCACCCTCAGAAGGACTCCAATCCCAATGTTTCCTATCTTGTTGTTATCTCCGAGATGTAACCTTTGTAGAACACGACATTCTTGGAGAACCTCACTTAGAAGTACTGCATCTGAGTAGACGAGGCCCATGCTACTCATTTCTAAATTCCTCAAGAAGGGCATCTGCTTAAGAAGCTCAATTAAACCCGAAGTGCTCTTACCAAGACAGTTACTGCTCAAATCCAGGTTTTCGATGGAGCTTTGATGTGTTTCTCGGATTCGATCTTCAACAGTCTCAAGAACGTCTGCTGAACCATCTGGTGATTCTGACTCCTCCTCCTGTGATGGGGGCGTGTCATGGGACGTCCAATCTACGTCGGGGATTTCCCACACGCATTGCTTCATGTCAAGCTCTCTTAGGGACGGACATCTACAAGACCACTGTACAACTGTAATTAAGGCATCCGAGGTGATTTTCTTCTTGGAGTATTCATAACAACTCAGGTTCAAAACCCGAAGATTAATCATGCGGGGAAGGTGTCTAGCAAGATGGACAGACTGCTCTGAAAACATGCCAGTGTCTGTAAGTTTCAACACCTGAAGATGTTCTAGGTGAGGAAGTTTCTCTACAAGGCTTGGGAAACCGTGTCCGATCTTGTTTCTGGATAAATCAAGCTCCTGTATCTTTGGAGCTTTCGTAAGAAGACTACACACAGAGTGGATCTCCTCTGCATGAAGATCATCATCAATCAGCCTCAAAATTTCGAGGTTTGGGTATGACCGATCCAGGCAATATTCATGAGAATCTGACAATATGCACTGCTTCACACCCATCTCTTGAAGTGACGCAGTTTGAATGCCTTCCAAAGCTTCACCCCAAACCTGTCTGCTATCTTTCTCGTACTGAGAACGGAGAGAAATTCGTCGAAGCTCTCCTTGCATTTCCAGGAATTTCTTCAGGTACCGTGAGTAAACGGCAACCGAGGTTAGGGTCAAGTTCTGTACAGTAGACATTTTAGACTCGGACAGTCTTTCAAAGATGGCAGATACGTCATAATCCTCGATTAGAGAAGGGCCAGAAATGGAGAGGTTTTCAAGTTGCATCTTACCAAGCGTCTTGCCAAGGCTCAACTGCCATCGATTGTCTGCTTGTTTATTCCAACATTCACCAAACTCTAGAGTGAGATCTCGGACATTCATCACGCCATGCTTCAAAATCGTCGTCACTATCTGTGCACATTTTTGACTGACTGTGCTCAAGGATACTTGCTGCAATTCCTTCAGGAACGACACACTGACTGAAGATGCACAGTCAACCAGAAATCCAAAGGCCGTTCTCTCGTCTCCTGGACAGTCAAAGTCAAATACAAGTCTGTGTCTATCCATAGGTTTGCGGATGTTGTGAAGTTCCCGAGACTGCGCTTCTACATGCATCAACAGCCAGAGTCGCTGAATCATCCTGTCTTTATTCTCCTGAAGTGAGACCGGTTTCCAAACGATGCTTTTCGGTAAGTTCTTGCTTTCCCTCGTAATCGATGACTCTAGATTTCTCTTGCTGAAAACATCGACAATGTGAATCAGAAGAGTCTTGGCTGCTCCAACGTTCGCTCCGCAACAAAATCTCAAAACATACTCTAGACTGAAGGCGTTCTCCTCATCTATTTGACGACGATACTGGTTGAAGGAGTAGTTGTCGGATTCGAACAGACTAGCCCAGTAAAACCCAGCAATTGCCTCTTGGAAGGTTTTATGAAGGAAAGTAACACGTTGAACCGAATGCAACTTACTCCGCACCCTTTCCTTTGAGAGAATTCCAAGACTGCACGCTTTGTCAACCATCTTGGAATTTCCGAAATCCGAAGCCTTCAACACCAACTTCTGACCAGGAAGCAATAGACCATCCAGCGCTGCCTTGCCTAATGCCTGCACAAATCCCATCAACTCATTCTCAATTGCCTCTTCTTCTTGGCAAAACTTGCTGGATTTCACAAAGTGATGCCGTTTCAACATGAATAGCATTGCTTCCTTAAAAACTTCTAGTAGTGTATCGGGAAGCTTATGTGCATCTGACCAGACAAGGCAAATGAGCAGTAACATCATTGGTATTCTCGCCAGATCTTTAAGGCTATTTGATTCCATCAAATTATGACAGAGCTCATTCGAAACGGACGCTACTTCGCCCGTGAAAAACTTCTGAACATATTCATGAACTCCACTATCCGAGAAACCCGTGGTCTCGATACAAGTGAAAGATGGATTGAGCTTGCACAACTTGTCCACCATGTGGGGACGTGTGGTGACAATGACGGTACATCCACGAAGAACCTTGTTGCTGATGATGTCAATGATGTCACCTTCAGATGGTAGCTGAGACCCCTCTTTATCAAATTCATCAGCGCCATCCAAAACCACAAGGACCTCTTCAGCATGTGACCTCAAGTGATCTTTCAGGGCTACGGGATTTACTTTCGTATCTTTTGCAAGAATCTGATCAAATACTGCATCAGTCAGATCTGGGGCCCTCTTCAATTCACGCATGCTCAGGGCTACCAGAAAACTGAATTTGGAGAGTGCCGATCCTGGAGTTTGAAGAGCCCAGTCGGTTGCAATCTTTGACACGATGGTGGTCTTGCCGCTACCAGCAATGCCAGAAAGCAGGATAAATCGGACTGGCTGGCCGTCTTGGAACTCCAATCTCAGCATATCCTCATATGAGCCAATGTCACGCTGTGCCACCCTTCCAGCCTTGTTCTCTTTTTCAGTGATTTTGAGTTTTACGTAGATGTCATTAATCTTGCTGACCTCTGATGCAAGCCATGGGAGCAATGGAACCACACCCATTGCATCTTTGTAGTATCTGATGAACTCGTCACGGCAAACGTCAAAGTTCCAATCTGTCAGAGGTTCCACGATATCTACAATTAAGAAAGGAATTGTTTTCAGTGTACAAACTAACAAGTACAATGTATTTATATTATTAATATACTCAAATATTACCCGCTTGCAATTTTTTTTACTTGGAATACAATAAAATTTACAAAGTTTTGTTCATGCCGTTTTCAATGCCTTCTTACCCGATACAGATTCTGCTAGGTCCAATCTTCCACTCTTGCGAAGGCTTTCTTGTAGAAAACAAAGAGCACTGCTATCTCCACTGTCATTGGAATGATCCCGCCGCTGCCACCAAGTCATAAGCATCTGAAATATCTGCTCCTCAGTGCCCCGGTGGTCAGCTTCAATACGATCAAGCTCATCGCTCCTGACTCCCAAATAGGTTGCCAAAGCCTTCCATTCCTTACCAATATTGGAAGCCAAGTTCCTCAGAGTCTTCTCACTTATTGTTGACTGCATTATGGGAACTCTAGAGTTCTTGATTCAAGTAGCTATATCTCTGATCTTTGATGCTGTACTGATTGGTTTTACTGTTTGGATCAAAGCAGACATTATGACGGTAATGAGTTTTCATTTTTAGGCAGTTTTATTGGAAAGGTTAAAAAGAAAAAAATAAAGCTTCATAAACAATTCTTTTTAAAGTTAAAACTTTTCAATCTTCAATACCAAACTATGTGATATCTTTGATTATGTCAACGTCATTACACATAAGTGAAATATTTGCAAATCAAAACAATTTACATAATATTACAGAATCAACCGATATTTTTCGACCCTCTTTTATGGATTTCCTGGTCATTAACAGCAAATAAGCACTTTGGAGTTACAGCATGGCTTTGGGGGTAAAGGAGTCCTTTTAATTGTTTTATAATTATTAAACATAACTTTTTTATTTTATATAAGTGAATTAAACTTATTACATATTTGATTCAGCTTTATAATCCATAGAATAGTTACTTCATTTAATTTAATACAATGTTATGTATACTTTGTATGTATGCTTGTATGCTTGGTCAAGTCTCTTTTGTTTACCCTCATAGTGAGAAAATATTAGGTGACACAAAACGGTTTAAATCAAGTAATTATTATCTTTAATTTTTGTTTAGTATTTTAGTTCACCTTGATCTATAATTCACTTTAATCTCATACTTAATCCATCTAACTTGAATAAATCAATTCAATCTTTCTGATCTTTCACCTCTATACTTTGCTTATTGTTATAAATCGACGTCATTTATTATTATTTTTTTTTTTAAATCTTATCACAATTAAGGACTCCTAGACCTCGGGCGATGCTGACTGTAACAACTGTTGTGAGTGGACGGGTAGGACGGAGGCGAAAATTTTGTTTCTGTCACAAAATGGCTGCTGTCCTGTCATGCAGGCACTACGTTTTAATGATCCATTGCGCTACTCCATGCATCTATTGGGTGTACACGTACATTTATGTACGCGCTTTTGTGCTTTATCTATTGTACTTTTGATTTGCATTTTCATGGTATAACCTTGTACCGTGGGATTCGATCGACTCTTTGCTTTGTCCAACTGTAATTCTTTTATATGGGGAACAGTTCTCCTGTTGAGTTGTGCTGCACTACTGAATGACCAGTCATCCATATCATTAAGATTTACATACTTTTTTCTGTATAGCTTCATGATTCTTCATGGTTTGGTTCATTACAAATTATTGCTGTGTAAGGAAACTTGCCTAAATGTGTTCCGTTTATGTCACCGATTCTGTTTTAGTTTAGTTTAGGTTACTTCCGAATAACCTGATTGTTCGATCATGTGATTCTTTTCCATCTGAATTTCATTCCAGATATTTTCGCATCATAAAAATCGTCAGCGATTGAAACAACACTTGAAAATGGTATCACTATCCTAGGATCTTACCATGTCTTCAGTTGACTTCCTCAATAATCTTCGTTGGGGGAATGGGAGGACACACACTGCATACTCCAAGGTTCTGGTGTCTACGGGCTCATACATAGTGCCCGGAATACCGAAGCGTGCGGAGCACCACTAGAAGTAACGCAAAGAAGACTTGGGGCTATACTTCCCGTTTCACAGAAATTCAACAATGGCACCCCGATCAATTTCCTGTGCGAAATATTGCCAAATGTCACCGTGCCTATGTGTGTACGTGCGGCCGCGGCGCGCGCCACATAACGCCACATTCAGGTTGAACATGTTCAAAGGCTGAAGCTATAATTTGGTTAAGGCTAATCCGGTTCGTAAGTGTGACGTCATCTCAACTTACTGTACATGGTGTAGCATGGCACCAATGGAACCGGAAGTTAACGCAACTTGAGTGTTTATCCAATGGGCGCTCGTAATCAGTGGTGCGTGCGCGTGTATGACGAAGTCACTTACGAACCGGATACACACTTGTAAACGAAGTCAAGAACATCATTTGCTTTTTCTCAATGGGGACGGGGAATACCATGCAATAATTGCGACGTGCTATAAAGCCACAGTTCAGATTACGGGTAAATATATTGGGACTTGGCCAAGCGGATGTACAATGTCAAAAAAACACCACTGATTACAAAGAATACTGTTTAGTTAATATTATTGCAGCGATCCTCTGGAGTATACCAATTCATCATTGCGTAATATAAGTGGCTATTTTGGAGATCTGTCTTTAAAAGAATTTTCCCTCAAATCGCACTGTAAAACCACCCACTCGGTTCTATACACAACACGGAAAAACATTCACTTAATCATTAGTTTCACCTAGTTTCATTCGTCTGCGTCATGGGGCTTGCCAGCTGTGGGTCAATGGTGAAAATGAGAGGGATACTAATTACGGGAACGACAGTAAGAGTCCGGCTGGGAGAGGGAAACAGTGTTTTCAAGACAGAATGAAAGGACAAACTTACTCGAAACTTATGCCACCTTACTTTATTCGCACAGTGAAATCATTGTTTTCTTTATCACTCAAATCATTAATTATAACCTTCAAATTTGTGTTTCTGCCATAATTCAGGTCACCACCCATCATCCACTGAAAAAGAAAGAATTGCCCAAATCCCAGCAACAGATTTATATTTCAGAATAAATTTTTCCATTGTTTTTTTGGTTTCATTTCCATTGTTTTATTCTGAAGGAGGGGAATCGAGGAAATTATAGGTTATTCAAAAATTCAGCTGCACTCCTGTTTCACTGGGATGAAAAAAATCTGAGCATATTACTCCAGTGCTGAAAAGTTGATATCGGCTTCCAGTAAATAAGCGTTTGGAATATAAAATGTTGTGTCTTGTTATCAAGATTCTAAAGGGAATAGCTCCAGGTTATCTATTGGAACTACTAAGTGTTAAATCAAGTGCACACACTCTGTACTGCGCTCGACAATCTCTGGTGTGGTGTTTACAGCAGCCACTTGGCAAAAAACTGCATACTATGGCGATCGGTCATTCACAATATATGCCCCCGTCTGTGGAATAGGCTACCGGCAGTAATTCGATCTGCTGATACCTTTGAAAATGTTAAAACCATATATTTTTAAGCACTATTTCTTTATAACTTAATTGCTAGTTTTTAATTACTTGTTTTTGTTGTATAACTGTTTTTATCCGTATTTCTTAACAACCTGTGGATTTTTAAGGTAAAACATGCAGTGGAAATTCAGCTCATCTTGTTTTCATGCACATTACTATGTGTTGCAACAATACATACAAGATCTTAATACATGTACTTGTTTTCATTGGAAGTGACAAGAAAGTGGTAATTTTTCAATTACATGTATTAGCAAATCCTTTCATCAATACATGTAAGAGGGCGCTATTTTGCTTTTGTCACACAAGGTACTCCTTGTCAAAATTTCATATAAACAGTACAAACTTTAGTCCTTCAAAATTACCCACAAAAACAGTTTTGAAGAAATATTGGCCATTACTATTGTCCTAACAAGCTGTTTAACATGATAAACACGTAAAAAGTGGACTTTGCTCTAAGAAAAATGAAGAAAAATTTGATTATATTTGTACACAAAGCTATACAGACACTACTGTTCTGCCTTGAATGACAACAAGCTGTGGCTCATAAATAATGGATTTTTTTTATTAGCATAAAACTAAACTGTTGAAATTTCTCCCTTTTACTGCTACAAAGGAGGTGGAAAGTCACAGTAGCATGGCAAGAAAGCTGCTTTAAATGTATTTAAGTCATACAAATCATACTGCATGTTTCCTTTTATTGTGCAGCGCTTTGTGATGTCTTTGAGACATGGAAAGCGTTTTTTTTTTCAATAATTAATATTATTATTATTGAAGCCCGCCGCACACGATAAGAAAGCTATCTGCTATATCAAACAGTCATCCGTGGCCATTTGCTCAGCACGTAGCGCACCGTGTGCGGTCAATTTTTGCTGCGTTTTCTGCCTAGCTCGCGAGGCCGTGAGGCAATGTCTGAAAACGCAGCAAAAATTGACCGCACAGGGTGAGATACGTGCTGAGCAAAATCGCCACGCCCCAGCAGATAATAATTTATCACAAATACCACTTTGTATCGTGCTCTTGTACAAAATCAGACGTAGACCAGCACTTATTTCTGCCAATGTGGCTGCTTCAATCTTTTCCATATAATCTTCTTTCCAGTTTGCAGTTTTAATTCATAGAGATTTTTTGTTCCAGTCACCCTGTGCTGTTTGGTTTGTTCAAAGCACTCATAGGTCAATCTATTCAATAGTGTTCGGTTTTAAGTTTTAGGTCTGGCTCGGTCGGATGTTGTTGTTGTTTCTGTAGTGTTCACTTGGAGATGCTTCTGTTCATTACTGTATGTGCATGGAATACATAGTCGAGGGCAGTCGGATAATGTGCTACTCCATGCATGCATATGGCCTCTCTCGGCCAAACCTTTTCACGACTTCAACTACAGCTTCAATTTGTGGCCGATTAAAATGGTGAAAATATCTGATGATGCTATACCGATGACCATGTTTGAGGCATGCTTGAACCATCTTGGAAGGCTGCCCGTCATTATCTGGCAATGACAGATACATCAGGTTCGGTAGCTCCGGGACCACGCTCAGAAGAGCTTCCAGCCCACTATTCCCAATCGTGTTGTTGTCTCCTAGATGCAAGTTTTGAAGCTGTCGACAGCTTCGGAGAACCTCACTTAGAAGTACTGCATCTGCATAGGCGAGACTCATGCTACTCATATCCAAGTTCTGCAAGCATGGCATCTGCTTAAAAAGCCCAATGAAATGTGGTGTGAAACTGCCAAGGCAGTTGCTGCTCAAATCTAAGTTCTCGATGGAGCTTTGATGGGTTTCTTGGGTTGGATCTTTAACTGTCTGAAGACCTTCGTGTAAACTCTCCGATATTTCAGATTCTGTCAGAAAACAGTCATCCAAATACTCCGAAAACTCTGATTCGTCTGAGTCATAGTTTTTCAGTACGCATTGCTTGATGTCCAGTTCTCTTAGAGATGGGCATCTGCAAGACAACTGTAACACTGTCAGTAAGGCCTCTGGAGTTATTTTCTTCGGTGAATATTCGTAACGGCTCAGGGACAAGACTCGCAGCTTAACCAAGCTGGGAAGGTGTCTAGCGAGATATACGGCTTGCTCTGAAATCAAACCAGTGTCAGTGAGTTTCAACACCTGGAGACGATCAAGTTGTGGAAACGTGGCAACAAGACTTGAGAAACAGTGTCCGATGTTGTTCCTTGAAAGATCGAGCTCTTGTAGCTTTGGAGCTTTCGGGAAAAGACTGCTCACGTGATGGACATCTTCGGAATGAAGATCATCATCAATCAGCCTCAAAATTTCCAGGTTTGGGTACGACCGATCAAGACAATATTCATGAGAATCTGACAATGAGCACTGCCTGATATCTAACTCTTCCAGTGACTGTGTTTGGAGACCTTCCAAAGCTTCACCCAAAACCTGTCTGCTATCTTTATCATGTTGAGAACGGATAGAAACTCGTCGAAGCCCGCTCTGGTTGTTGAGAGATTTCTTCAGATATCTTGGATTGACAGCAACCGATGCTAGATTTAAGGTCTGAAGAGAAGTAGACATTTCGCACTCGGACAGCCTCTCAAAGATGGCAGATACGTCATAATCATCGATTAGAGAAGGGCCAGAAATGGAGAGGTTTTCAAGCTGCATCTTACCAAGCGCCTTGCCAAGGCTCAACTGCCATCGATTGTCTGCTTGTTTATTCCAACATTCACCAAACTCTAGAGTGAGATCTCGGACTTTCATCACGCCATGCTTCAAAATCGTCGTCACTATCTGTGCACATTTTTGACTGACTGTGCTCAAGGATACTTGCTGTAATTCCTTCAGGAACGACACACTGACTGAAGATGCACAGTCAACCAGAAATCCAAAGGCCGTTCTCTCGTCTCCTGGACAGTCAAAGTCAAATACAAGTCTGTGTCTATCCATAGGTTTGTGGATGCTGTGAAGTTCCCGAGACTGCGCTTCCACATGCATCAACAGCCAGAGTCGCTGAATCATCCTGTCTTCATTCTCCTGAAGTGAGACCGGTTTCCAAACGATGCTTTTCGGTAAGTTCTTGCTTTCCCTCGTAATCGATGACTCTAGATTTCTCTTGCTGAAAACATCGACAATGTGAATCAGAAGAGTCTTGGCTGCTCCAACGTTCGCTCCGCAACAAAATCTCAAAACATACTCTAGACTGAAGGCGTTCTCCTCATCTATTTGACGGCGATACTGGTTGAAGGAGCAGTTGTCGGATTCGAACAGACTAGCCCAGTAAAACCCAGCAATTGCCTCTTGGAAGGTTTTATGAAAGAAAGTAACACATTGAACCGAATGCAACTTACTCCGCACCCTTTCCTTTGAGAGAATTCCAAGACTGCACGCTTTGTCAACCATCTTGGAATTTCCGAAATCCGAAGCCTCGAACACCAACTTCTGACCAGGAAGCAATAGACCATCCAGCGCTGCCTTGCCTAATGCCTGCACAAATCCCATCAACTCATTCTCAATTGCCTCTTCTTCTTGGCAAAGCTTGCTGGATTTCTCAAAGTGATGCCGTTTCAACATGAATAGCATTGCTTCCTTAAAAAGTTCTGTTAATGTATCAGGAAGCTTATGTGCATCTGACCAGACAAGGCAAATGAGCAGTAACATCATTGGTATTCTCGCCAGATCTTTAAGGCTCTTTGATTCCATCAAATTATGACAGAGCATAATCGAAACGGACGCTTCTTCGCCCGTGAAAAACTTCTGAACATATTCATGAACTCCACTTTCTGAGAAACCCGTAGTCTCGATGCGAGTGAAAGACGGATTGAGCTTGCACAACTTTTCTACCATGTGGGGACGTGTGGTGACAATGACGGTACATCCACGAAGAACCTTGTTGCTGATGATGTCAATGATGTCACCTTCAGATGGCAGCTGGGACCCTTCTCTATCAAACTCATCAGCGCCATCCAAAACGACAAGGACCTCTTTAGCATGTGACTTCAGATGATTTGCCAGAGAGTTACGACTCACCATTGTATCTTTGGCCAGGATTTGATCAAATACTGCATCAGTCAGATCTGGGGCTCTCTTCAATTCACGCATGCTCAGGGCGACCAAAAGACTGAATTTGGAGAGTAACGATCCTGGAGTTTGTAGTGCCCAGTCGGTGGCAATTTTTGACACGATGGTGGTCTTGCCGCTACCAGCAATGCCATAAAGCAGGATAAATCGGACTGGCTGGCCGTCAACAAACTCTAGTCTCAGCATGTCCTCGTAAGAGCCAATGTGACACTGTACAATCCGTCCCGCCTTGTTCTCTTTTTCAATGAGTGACAGTTTGACATAAATACCGTTGATCTTTCTAACCTCTGATAAGAGGCAAGGTAGCAAGGGAACCACACCCAGCGTGTCTTTATAGTATCCGATGATCTCGGCACGACAAACTTCAAAGCCTACATCTTCCTTCACGAGACCTAACAATTTCAATAAAATGTAAAAAAAAAAAAAATAAACAAAAAAATAAACAAATAACCAAACAAATAATTTCTTCTGAAAACTTTTCCATCCTTAATATCAAAGGAATATTCATGTAAGGTTTCGTTTTATATGCTGGCAAAACATATATTTTCACTTCATGCAGACAGCTCACTTACCTTCAAATGTGTTACAAAGATCCTGTCTTCCACTCTTCTTCAAGGCGATAGACAGAGCAGATGCGGCGTCATCCTTATCGCCGTTCTTATCCCACCGCTGCCACCAAATCATCAGCATCTGGAATATCTGCTCCTCCGTGCCCATGTGGTCAGCTTGAATCCGGTTGACCTCATCACTTCTGACTCCCAAGTAGGTGGCCAAAGCCTTCCACTCCTCTCCGAGACATGATGCCATGCATCTTAGCTTTATCTCGGTAATAGTACCTTCCATTGTGAATCATCGCCAGGGATCCTAAATGAAGACAACTCGATGTGTCACCAACAGATAACCAGAGGATGACTGCTCTTTTCCTGTACAATAAAACATACATATCGCGTGTTCTTTAATTGACGTTACTTTGTTCCTGTCTCAATTGAGGATCGAACTTGTCCTCTACAAGAAAAAACTATATTCACTCATTCTTTCAGCAAAACCTGTTTTGACGAAGAATCGTCATGTTAATTGCCAAGGAATAAATGTGCGCAATTGTTTCACTTCCACTGTGTTTATCAAAAAAAAAAGGAGAAATCTAAATTTTACACAAACCTTTACACAAAATCTCGTGAAAACCTAATTCGAATACTCCTAAGTAGGCGGCCAGTGGAAAATTAGAATTTAAAACATTGAAATCATCCATGTTAACATTTTTTTTAATGCTAATAATATAGCTTTCAAGCTTTCTCCTGAATTTTTAGTTTCAGTTTGGTGCTTCTCAACATAGTTATGACTAAATTAATATTTGTAAAAAAAAATCTTGATGGAAAAAAAGCCAGAACTATGTGAGCATACTGCGTCTCTTGAATGTCTGAACATTAATAATTCACTGCTTTGTAATACATAAGAACAAGCCTCACACAACACGGTCTTATACGAAACTGCTGTGAAAAAAACGAAAACAAAGAAATCTTACCTGTTCAGTATTGTCAGATGAAGCACTTTCATTTCCGGAATTCTGGCTTTGATTCAGTATCAGGATTGTTGTACATGGTCGAACAGACGACGATAAGGAAATAATATAGAACGTTAAGTTCAATGCCACTACATTACATAGTCGCACATAGCTCGAGCACATGATGGAGTGTCGCTGTAATGTTGACATTAAGACAAACATTTCAAACCAACTCCTGCCTTCTTATTTTATAGTAGGTCATCAACGCGTGCCCGCACGTACACAGAAATGAGGTAGACCTTATAAGGACATGGCTGACGAGCATAACAGCTAGCTTACTCTTGGGAATCTCAAGGGGAATTCACGACTACTTGGAATTGGCCAACACATAAATAAGTGAAAGTAAGCCGGGGAAATCCAAACCTGAATGAACCTCAGATGACATATATCACAGTACATCCGTAAACCAGGGATCAGCTCAAAATACCTAAATAGCAAGACAATTGTTGGGCTTGGTGGTTGCGCCGACATAAAAAAGTATCCAACTGTTCCGAAAAGATGGGGGGGGGGGGTTCAAAGTGAACACCAATTCTACACCTTCCTATCTCCACTCCAATGAAAGGAACGATATCAAAAGAATAAACTTCTAGGATCTATATTACGTCGATCGAAAATACTTTTTTAGGAGCAGTTGAAGGTTTTTTTCAATTAATTTTTTTTTAAATATCTTCCGTGGAGTATACCATGCATAATACATGTCACCAAAAACTTTCTCCAATACCTATACACGCAACCCCCCCCCCCCCCTTAGTCTTCCTTCCATTTAAAAAAATACTCCTTTAAAAAAAAAACCTAGTTAAAAAAAAACACTTATACATAATATTTTATCCCCCCACATACACACACACAATCCAGCACATGCAGCTGCAGCGTAATCATTCCGGAACCTGTCTCGGATTTCTGGAATTACCAAAATTAAAATGTAGCTCTATGGGAATTCCCAATGCCACATACTCAATGATGAGTGAATGCCGCATGAGGTCGCTGTTCGAGGCTCAATGACAATGAGTGAAAGAGCCAGAGGTGGTTGGACGGCTATGAACTGTACTCGAGAGAAACGATAGTGAAAAAAACCCGATATAATGGTGCACAAAGCAAAAGCGAGTAGGCCTATATCAGAAATTGAGAAGATGTCATTCACAATGACGACCATTATGATGTGAACAACACGAAATGGGAATCCCATTAGACACTGGTAACTTTATATCTAAGCTCAGCAGTGATTTTAATAATTTTCGGGGTAAAATTTCAACGCGCTCATCATTGACGGTCTCTTCAACGGTGTTGGGTTATCGTTTCACCTGGATTAATCCATTATCCAAACATTCCCAAGCCAAACAAGACTGTTTCTACGGGCGAGTCAGATAAAGTACACACACCCTATAAAACAGGTCATTGTGCTCAGTCAAAATGTGTAGCTAGTGACACACAAGTGTTTTTACCACGAGTTCACATGATGATAAGATTCATTCTGTCACTTTTTGGTACATTTTTGTGTCCTCTTTGTGTTCAACACTCAAAAACTATCGGATACGTCGCTCAGTACCGAACTGAATCAATGTGATAAACAACAACCGATGTAAAAGCGATGGTTCGGCCTATATGATCATCTTGACCATAATTATCATGATAAGTCGACCGTGCTTTGTCGCAATATTGCACCAAAAGAAGTGAAATTGACACTCGCTTAAAAGAAAAACCATGAAAGAGAGGAATTATACGATGAAGTCCGAAGATGTTGTCTCACACTACGAATTGAAGTAAGGTATTCAACCGCCAAGCTGCAGAGATTTCGTTTCCCGTGTTTTTTAAACGGTTGGAACTTTGGATCTTTGCGACAGAGACCCCCGTCGATTGAATTTTGTGTGGAACTAAGATAGATTGCAATGGAATTTATAGCCAGAACAGAAGCGATTAAGTCATCCAAATAAGTGAGAATTTCGCCAGTATCGGTAAGTGTTTTGTCTCCCTTCTAATATCAGTTTAAAGTGAATTAAAATTCTATTAATGATTATATAGCAATGACAAGTATGCCGAGAACTTAGCTTACATGTACACATTTTAATCACTGCGTTCCATATTTATATTTTAACATTATGACTAAAATCATATATAGAGAAAGAACTAAATCATCGTTGTGCTAACATAAAGTATAGCAATTAGCTTGCTCAAAAGAAAACAATAAGAGAACAAAATAAGAGACCCTTAATCCTCCAAGTTCGCACAAATTTCATCACATAAAATCTTAGTACAGTGTACATGCATAATTATACCCAACAGACTTAGGCCTATCTGGGGTTCTACTCATCACTGCGTGGCAAAACAGTCGGACGTGTATTTAAAATGGTTTTCTGAACTGGAAGAAAAACAGATCTGCAGACTTAAAATTATCAAGAAATGAAACAAAGAGTAAAGGAAACAGACATGAAACATACAGTAAACTTACAATAATTTATCGGACTAACTACATAGCATTTGGGTTCGGTTTATTTTTTCAGCCTTCATTGTATTGCTAATCCGTGATCTAAAGATCAAATATGACGGCCTTTGTGATAACTTGCTTAGCAACAAGCCGCGGTAGCTCAAATATGCTGGCGGTACATTGATTGACAAATACGGCCATTTAGATAGGAGAATGACTAACGACACAGGCATAAACAGACAATGTGGGATCTTGCGATAATGTAGTTAGGATGATAAAACATTGTGATAGGGCCTGAAGGAAAAAAAGGCAAGTTTCTCTGATATTTAATGAAGCGAATCTGAAAAGGGTTAACAATTATTTCGACGCATTTTGATTACAATCCCATCTAACATTTCCTCCAGAACACGCAAGTCAGAAAGCCTGCAGTCACCATGCAGATGCCACAGATGCTCGCCTATCCACAGCGGTCAAGCCCCCGCAAGAAATCCACCAAATGGCACGGTGCGCTTCCCGTGAGTGCCATTGAGAAGGTCCTAGCTCAGGAGAACAGGTTCGCGGACAGCCTCCTAACGGAGAGACTCAAGCGTATCCACACCGATCGGTACCGGGCTCAGAGACTCCTTGACTGGCAGGAGCAGAGTTTTGTCTTACGGCAAGCGATCAAGGAGACGGAGTTGAGAGAGATGGGGATTGCACACACGTCCTTCTTGCCTGAGATTGTCATGAAAATGACGGAGCCTGACGTCAGGGCGCGCCGGCCGTTTGGGAGAGCGCACCGTAGCGTCACTGAGGTAGACCTGAAAGCAAACAAGATTGGCAAACCTCAAGCTTCCTTGAATGAACTCCAGACACGAGAGAGTAGATGGACTGCCACAACTGCAAGGTCAGATCCCTTTTTGGAGGAGACTTTCAACAAAAATATCTTCACTAGACTTCATGGGATCGATCTGCCACTGTACGGACCACAAGCCGACGCTAAACGAGAAAGTCGTGAGCAGGAATTTGTTCACCATCTCCAACGGCAACAAACCAAAACTAAAGTGACTCTCGATCCTAGGTTTAGAAAGCTGGAACAGTCGTTGATTCGTGACGAGACAAATCTGTTAGTAAGGCATCCGAAGGAACAAAATGAACATGTAGTCACTGATGAGGACAAAATTGAAGACAAATTGATCCAGAATGATCGCCGAGTAGCGACCAAATCTGCCACGGTCATTCACAAAGTGCAAACTGAACTCTCTCAAAAACCCAAATCAGTATTTGCAAGGTCCGTATGGATTGACTTTTAACAAGCATTATCTGGTGACAATTTAGGTTTTTGATTGCGTTCAATCGTTGGCTAAAACTTCAGGGAATATTGAAATGCAGATGGGTAAGCCTGAACTTTAATTCGATGTGAGGACGCACATCAGACACCATAACTCCCAAGTCACTCTGACTTAAACAAAATGCATGCCATCCCACCATGCTGTACAGTTAGTATCTGCTTCACAAAAACAGTTAAACGCGGCCTCGTAAGCAGATTGTCCTGCTGTAGCTATGCATGGGCGGATCCAGAACACAATATTTTTGGGGGGTAAACATAATTTTAGTCCCCCAAAAAGTGAGTCCAAAAATTATGGCGAGTGGTTCGGGGCCCGCTTAAGGGCACCGAATTTTTTTGGCATTCTACATGCTCTGTGGTGCGATCTATTCTGACCACTTTAACCATTTTTTTCTGAGGAAAAGATGGTGGTGTACTCAGTGCCTGCCTTTATTGCGACTTCCCTAAAAAATAAAAAAATGGGATCGGTTTTTTTTTTGGGGGGGGGGCATGGCCCCCGTGGTCCCCCCCCCCCCGATCCGCCCTAGGGCGGTCAACATTCAGGAAAACAAGCTAAAAATTGCTTCCGAATTCATTTTAATTTTTCAAAATCTGTCCACTGATTAAATCTAGAGCTAGAATACACATTATCGACTAATCACAAAAATGTAAATTACGTTTATTTGACAATTTACAACGAGATTTACAACATGAACATCAGAAAAGCTGTTTAAAAACAAGCTCTTTATAGATCACAAAAGTTTTATAAATGACAGTGAGTTTTACACATTACTGACATTTATAACGGTACTTATAATAATACAAATTGTCAAACGATACCGAAAAGCACGTAACACCAAAATAAACTAAACCGATCTACGCAATGATGTCTTATAATATTGTAAGTTAAGTGATAGAGTAACTTGAAACGTCATTATTGTGTCAATATTATACTATAACCTTTTATGCGCGGCTACTGGCTAAAATAATTATTACTTCCAAAAAAAATGAGCCATTAACCGTCCGACGATAACGCTAAAAGTACTTTACATGTGTATTATTTAGTATATATTTGCCAGAAAGCGACCCGTGACTTCACGAGCCATGAAATATTGCTAGAAACTGCATATACAATGTGAGTGCGGTTAGTTTGTATTCACAAACGATAAACAAGTTTATACATGTAGGTATATTGCTGAGTTATTAAGATACGGTATTGACCTCCAGCAATAACAGTAATTAAATGTTCTCAATGAATCGTGAAGTGGCCATTCAGTAAAGCTAAATTTAGTTCATGTTGTTGTTTATGGTTTCAGAACAAACAAGCTTCCTTGCCACTAAACCAAGCCGTAGCCAAGCAACGCTGATGCAAAACCATCATTTTATTAACGCTTGGCGTGATAAATAAAAGAGGGGACAGTTTCCATGGGAACTGGTGTTGTCGTACAATTAATATGCATTGTATTCTACCTAATTTGTTTCAAGGCAGTTTTCCATTAAATTGTTTTTCATATAAATTTCACAGTAGACCTTATGCATGGAGTCAAATTAAGAGCCTATATATAGACCAATTAGTTTCACTTAGACATGCATCAGTGAACCTTTGTGTGCACTCTTTGTTACTCGAATAAAACAAGACAGAATTTCTATGTTGGCCTACGCCTGCAAAAATATCTTACGAAATTAGGAGGTATGTACATGAAGAACGACGAAATCATTTCTCATGCGACTTAGTTACCAGCCTTCATCTCTCATTTTGTTTGTATCTTGGGGCCCTAAGCTTTGTATTAATTTTCAGGCAAAAACACAAGAAAGTCATCATTGCTATATACTGTCATTACATCTATCAACAAAAATCTACTGATACCCTCTTTCTGTCCCCGTCGAAAAGAACATATTTGTTTTGCTTCCTGTTAAAGACAATGACCACAAAGAGTTTCAACATTATTACTTCACCAATTCGCAAAATATTCTGAAAGTTTCTGCAATTTCACAAGTGCAGTCATATCAGCAAACAATTTGATAAGTCGAGTTCGAAATGACTGATTTTAAGGGCACCAAACGTCATCAGGTACGCCCGTTTATTATGCGCATTGTAACAGTGAAATTTTCTAGAGAGGAAATTGTGAAATAATTATCTTTATCCAGATTTAAATAATTCATTCTGCTCTTCACTGGTTTTTGGTTTTGTACATATACCCATTGACAGTTCTTAAATCGTCTAATGTAAACACTGGGGAAAAATGAACCCAATCCTACAAACTTAAGCATTATTGATTCCATTATCCGTAGGCCTAAGCGGTTTGATATCGACAACTTTTCCAACAGTCTAAATTTGCATCCTAACAGGTGCAAGGAAAACGAAACATCTTGTCAACCTCCTCGGGGCACAGGGTAGTGGTAAAGATCTTGACCTCATCAATAAAGCCGAAGAAATACTCCATCGCGTGACCCCTTCCTGCCTGCCCGATGGTCACCGGGATATCTTTCGACAAAATCTCGCCTGTACAACAATCACTCGTACCGGTCTGCAGTTCATTGTCCACGTAAAACAGTAGCTGGGAGCCGTTATACGTCATGATGACGTGATGCCAGTCATTCAGACTCACTTTCACGACATTGTAAGGCCATACTTTTTCATAATGCGAGGTGATGACTGTGCCACCGATTCCTGTCCCGCCTGCGCTGTCTGTCATGCGGACTTCCCAGGAGCCATCCTCGCTATAGCCAGCATTGACGATTCCTTGATAGCCATCGGGATTGGTTCGTTTGAACCAAGCACTGACACTGAAACGAGATCCCAAGGCAAACTGACGGAAAGCATCGACGTCTATTTTGCTGTGACCGTTGAACGAAGCAGCCCTCCCGCATACTCCTCTGGGATAGAAAACTTCGCCACTTGCCAAGCCATTCCTACCAGCGCTAGTTGAGTCCAACAAGTTACCCTCAAAAGCGTAATGCGCTGTAAAAGAAAACAAAGGAGAGAATAAATTAAAAATCAATGCTTGGAAAAATCTTTAATGTGTATGCTTCCATGTAGATACAGAGCAAAGCAAAAGCCTGATTTGGGCGGGGTAGGTCCACGATACATCGAGAAAGTTGAATACTAATAGGTATACAAAGGCGTAAGAAAATAACGAAATATCACCAGTTAACTTTTTGAAGTCTTTCTTTTTTTCTCTTTAGAATAAAATTTGTAAATAATTTCCAGTGAAACTTGAAAATAATTTCAAGTGAAATTTTAATAAAATGTGACACTTCTGCTCTTTTCTGCATCTGGGCTGAGACAATACAATCAAGCAGAGGCTACGTACCTTCAAGATGTGAAGATTCTCCAAAGTTGGAGTAAGCCGGCACGCAGTGTCTGCAATCTGTCTGTTAACCAAAATAAGCAGCTCGATAAGGGAAGAATTCAATAATAAAGGCATTTAAACGGTCAAGTTTACAGACCATTCGGGTTTAACATTTGGATTTGTTCAGTATTTTAGCTATTTAGGCCTAGTTATATAAAAGCCAACTCGCTGTTTTGGTTATTCTCAAGAAGACATCTTCTACCAATATATTGTCGAAGTTTCAGATTAATAAGTCCTTCAGTAAAATTACCGCATTAAGTCAGCATTTTAAATATCTGGGAATTATCGGAGCGGCACACTTATCTTGTCTGTATGTCAGGTTTACATGAAACATTACATCATTATAACCAATCCAATCTTTCTCAGATCCATTATTTTTTAATTTTAAAAACCATAAGCATTATAGTCACAAAAGTTTGAAGTGTTTTGCACCTTTACGCATTCCAACTTGGGAATCTAATCTAAAACGATTTACAATTGTCAAGAATCTATGCAAGAAATGTACTTCTTGTTAAACTAAAATGCATCAAACATTACACGGTTGGTATTTGTTATGATTGTGTCTTACCTTGAATTTGGGCGTGTAGATTGCGTCATTCCTCTGTACGAAGCTACGGGGGCAGTCACTGTGCGACGCAGCGTTCATCTCACACAGACGCTTGCTTGGGATGTAATTCGTGGACTCGCACGCTGGATCGGCCCCACACGACAGGTGACAATCCTTGTGATTTTTCGCATGATTTCGGCTGATTTGTGTATCATTAATGCCAGAACCGATAATCGTACACCAAATTGAACCTGACTGGTGATTGAAAACTTGCTGTACATCGGCGGTTAGAACCAAAATTGTTGCCCAAGAAATGAGCTGACAAAATAGTGTGAAATGTTCAGCTGCCATGTCAAAAACTACTGTTTACAGTTTTTTTTCTAGAGATAATTAGTGATACTTCTTCTTGCCTAGGCCTATCGTTGATTCACGTTACTGACGACAGAGTATAATGAGCGGTCTCATGTAGTCGGAGAGCATTTAAGTGCCCAGGCCACCAGGCGGGGCAAATATCACAATCATTATTAAATTATCAAATTACAAGCTCTCAGCGTTGAAATTCCGTTACCAAGAAACCCAAATCATCATGCCAGCGTCACGTACTTGAACCAATCATATGGCTACATATATTCAGGCCCTACATGTCACGAGCAAAATTGCCAGTACATTTGTAAATAAATCATCCCAATGTATTACTAGTATGATGAGCCCAAGCTCATTATCTTCCCCAAAAAAGTTAATCAAGAAATAAATGCTGTCTAATAAATTTCACCAATAATCCTAGCATAAAGTGGCATGTCAACGGTTGTTGTCGAAAACAGCTAAGACGCGGCCTCGACCATGTACAGCGCCACCTTGTGACATGATAGGTGATCGCAAACGCACCTCCCTTCCACGTCCGCACAAAGTGCCCCACATGCCATTCTTTTTGGGGCATTGCTTGTCGTAGTAATATCACTCCATTGTAATATATTAATTAATTAATGTAGACCTACATGTATAAATGCCAATCGTGTTCAACAAAACAAACAGGTTTATGGAGGAAGGAACGCAAACCATCCACGGTTTTATCAATGACAGGACAGTATAAACGTGGGCACTTTGATTGTTCACCTTAGTCCCTAATTGCTACTTTGTGCCTAATATTTCACAGTAAGACATATTTTTCATTAAGCTCTAAAAACAACGTGTCATAACTAATCTTGAATTTGCCTACCTGTTTAAAAACTCGGAGCGAATTGTACCGTTTAAAGTTCAGAAAGAAAGTTTGGCGCGAGTTTCCAATTTTACTTTAAACGGCGCAGATAACACGCGCCCCCAAAATAATTATGAAACTAATTTTTTGACAAACATTTACATGTACATGTACATGTACATGTAGTTGGGTGTGTACGTGGACATTATAAAGGTTTATCAGAATTTGTAAACGTGCGAAAGTTTGAATTTTCCACTTGGGAGTTTCTGAGATTTCTTGAGTGCGCCACGTTAAGAAACATGCACTCGGCAGATTTTGTGCCCAATTCTCGGACGCCACATTTTGCACGGTCATCGGACAATCTTGCTGTAACCACGGAGGACACTTTTCCACGACGACGAAAGTACATTAAATAGTTTTTTTAAAATAGGTTACTCACGTTTACTTGACCTTTAAGAGCGCCTGTTTGAACCCAGGAACAAGTAAATTCCGACATCACTACACATCTAAGCCAATGTACTCCTTACCGTCAACTTACCGCCCGACACAAAACTAAAAGTTTATGGCGATTTGCATTTTGCGCGCTTAGAGTCCCTCACGGGGGACACACTCCTATTTCGTGGTATCGAATTTTACCTGTATCGGCACCTTGAGATTCAAGCATAAATGAAATCAGCCCCTTCAAGGATTCTTAAGAAAAAGTTCCAAAGTTTCCCGAAATTGTTAACAGTAATTACGAACAATACATTTTTCGATGATTTAAAACGTTGACAAAAAAAACTTTGGCATTATTGTGCATCCCCTTACACGATAGAGAGCGCCCTCTATTGACGATGCTAGACCCTCTATGAGCCAACATTGAACAGAATCACAAACATTTCGGCATCTTTTACATAATTGAGTCGAGGTGATTTTATTCACAATATTTCGACAATAACTCCCATTTCCGCGATCTAATAATTATAATAATTAAATGATTACGTTATAAAATAACAAAATCAGAATGATTCTTAACAGGCAACAACCTGCATGCAAAAACACAAACCAAGAAAAACTCTGGAAAACAAAAATTATAGTTCTTTACTCAACATTACCATACACTAAATTACTTTGGTAGGCTAAAATGAAATTCTATTTACTTTTATCAAAATACTGTCCATATAAAAAGATGCTAGGATTCCTTTGATACTAACCATTTTTAAACAACTATAAAAGGGGGGGGCATTTGATAATATTATCAAGGTTATTACATTTTACAAATTTGGCTACAACATACAAACGTTTGAAAAAAAAATGACATTTGAAAATTTTTTGACAAAAACTGAAGAAACCGTTCATTTTATATCATCTGTAAGACTATTTTTCTTGACAGAAGAATTTCTGTTGGCTCTTGTACAGTAGCGCATCCAGCTTTTTTACGCGGGAGGGGGGTGGTGGGGCACAAGTAAGACTTCACTGTATCGACATCCGAACCATCTTTTAATTAATATGGGACACCAAAATGCCCTGGGATATGCCATTGCTCTTATTTTAAGAAATTTCTTTCACCTCATATTATTTTTATCAAAAAACTATCAGGTAAGAAAGTAAACCTTGTCGATAAACAATATTAAAAAGGTGTGAACTGAAAAGGACTACAAATTGGAAGACTTTACATGTATATAGTTTTAAGAGGATGCATTTTTCACTTAACTTGGCACCAGTACTCACAAATTATGCATTGATCTAGTTATCAGAGCGCAACAGAGATTTCAACCAATATTTCAACACTTTCATCTTAATACAACTGAATACGTAAGTCACGATTATGAAATGAATGAGAATTGAGAATTCATCCTTCCAATTTATTTTTATGCATTAAATTTACCCTGTATTTGTTTTACAATTATATGAAAAAATATTATAGCTTACAGTATTTATTCCTGGTTATATGTCCGAATGGAATTCAATATGGAATGCTGGCAAAATATGCATAAATTATGTCACAGCCTATAGACTTCGAAAGATCACAAAGCAATTGAAAAAAAATAGAGAAAATTACTCTTAAATCATTTGCCAGTTTATCCTACAGACTGTTTAGAATTTACAATAAAAGCTTTTGCCTTAAAAATGACAAAAACAGAATTCATGCACATGAATCATCATATCAACAACTTGTCCAATGCAAAACTGAAACGCAAGCATCACAGAGTGGCTCAACGATACATGCTTCCTTCCTGAATCGTCTTACTTTGAATAACACTTCAGAATTTGAAGAAAAAAAAATACATTTGTGGATGGAAGTGACCTTTCACCTTGGACTTCATCAACACATGAAGACAGATATCCCTTTAGTGATTTTAATTCTAGAATCACTGGTCAAATTTCTACAAACATGAAACCAGAGCATACGACAAATTGAGACCTACTTTTCATCTCAGTGTTTGTTCACTCAAGGAAAATGTGCAATGTATGGAAAAAAGTGCCATTCTAACCCAAACAAAACAGAACAAAATCACAGAAATCTATAAATTTACAACAAAGTGTAGTAATTTGCCATTCGCACGGCAGTCACATAAGTGCAAGTGAATAAGTTCAGACTGTACATGTTCAATAATAAAATCAAAAAGAGATTATTTTTAAATCATGCTTATATCTAGTTAAAGAGAGGACAAAAATGTTCCTATAAACATAGAAAGGGCAATGTTGTGACAATTGGTACCTTTTCATCTCTCCACAGCTTGTTGCAAAATGTTAAAAATGAAAAAACCTTCTAAAAGATTATGAAACATAAAATAAGCTGTAAAATAATTTATAAAAATTAAAACGCTTTTCTAAAGGTTAGATAGCAAAAGTAAAATGAGTTGAATAAGTATTGACAATATTACATTCTAAACAATATTACATAAGTTACTTTATTGTACAAGGTGCTCAGCTCGTTCATAATAAGAATTTTCCATTGAAAGAGCTAGCACCACAAAAATAATGGGTCCAATTCCATTTGCTTAATTGGTCAAACTGCAGCCTCTTCATTCAAACAAACTATTTACAAATCTCTGCAAAAATCTCATAAAAATACAGTACAAAATGTAACGATCATGTGGTCAAAACATGATTTACATACATGTATTACAGAAATTTGGCTATACCTTGACACTTGAATACTCTGAATCATAATTTTGCAAAACAATATTTACAGGTATTTACACTATACATCTATAATAAAACAGTTACACAAGGCAGACACTCTTTGAAAACACTGTAGGAATGCTTAGATTTGGATTTCTTCCTCATCACCGGTAAACGATGGTACAAAGCGGATACCAGTGACCTGCTTTGGGTTTCTTGACGCTCGTTGGGGTGTGCTTGAACCAGAGTTCCCTCGACTTGAAGACTGACCTGAACTTACCCCTGTTGATGTAACCATGGGAGAAATGGACATAGATCCTGGTGCAAGGGGTGATAGCGAGGGTGACAGATCCGGTGATACAGCCACAGCTGCAAATGCGCTCTCATTAACGATTGGTGAGCGTGGCAAGGAGTGTGATGTTTGCTTTGACTGACCATTGTTCATAGCGAGTGGAGCTACTGGTTTGATGGGTCCTTGGACTACATTAGTCAGCAATGGAGGAGGATACTGCTTCACAGGTTTGTGCTTTTGTTGTGGCCTCTCCAGCTGCCGTTTCACAACTGTGTCGTCCTTTAATTTGGCAATTTCAGCAAAGACGTGAGCCAGGGGTTGAAACTGAGGTCCCCAGTCCAGTAAGTAATCCCAGTTGTAGCTACCTGCGAGTTCTTCGTCACTGTTTACAATTGAGCTGAGTGAACCTGCCATAGATGGTTGGACATCATCTCCCCACCCAAAGGCTCTTGTACCATCCATAATGGCATCGTCTTCTTCTGCACCTACTTCATCTAATCTAGCATAGATCAGATTACCAATGTCCATACCACCACCAGCCTCGCCACCTCCCTCCTCACCAAACACATGCATACTCTCTGCACTTGTACTGTTCATGTAACTGATGTTCTTCTCTCTAGGTGAGCCCATAACATCAGAAGCATTATCTCGCAAGGATAATCCATCTTCATGATCTTGCTGAATGCCGGAATCTAAGACCTTGTCTCGTACGCTGGCAGTATGATCATCTGAAACTGAGCGTTCATTAATGCGACGGATTTCCTCATCCTCTACGGTTGTTGATCCCCTCCCACTGGATGCTGAGTTACCCTCAGAGACATCAGTCCGAGTCAGGTGACCTACTTCCATAGAGCTATTCATGTTATTTCTGTGCATGTTGTAGAGGTTCCGCGGTGGATAGATGTTGTATGAAGTATCACCTGCTGTAAGTGGTTGTTCAGGAATCATAGCATGATTGACCATAGCACTGTGGCCCATTTCTACAGTATCAAAGGTGGTATCGTAAGATCTTGGTGACAGTGACCGGTCACCGGCTTGGTAATCAGCAGGTTTAGGATCCTTCTTGCGATTCTCACGACGACGACGTCGTGCGATAAAGAACAGGATAATGATGATGAGCAGAATCAGTAAGATGACAGGAATAACGATAGCAAGAATGGTAGTCATCGGTAAGCCTACTTGGCCACCTGGTACAGCTGGAGGGTTGACATTCAACGTGATGGGGACTATGTCTTCCTTGGATCCAACTCTTCCAGAGCTAGCTTTGACTATCAGTGAATACTGGTCTTTGCCATCTACACTCTGCCGACGATTTCTATACAGAGACTCAATCATGTCACGCTTCCGTCTGTTTGAGGAGTCTAGACGTTTCTTTACTGTTATTATCCCTGTGCTTTGGTTGATGGCAAAAAACTCATGACTTCTCTCAAAGCCATAGAGTACAACACCGTCTGCTCCTGTATCATTATCACTGGCATGTACCGTACCCACCATAGTGCCAACTGCTGCATCCTGAACCACGCTAAACAAGTATTCCTTCTTATCAAAATGTGGCTGGTAGTCATCCTGACTGGTGATCTCAACTTGGGCTTGCACAGATACTGACTCCCCACCTTTATCCACAGCTCGGATGAGAAGTCGATAAGATTCCTCCATCTCAAAGTCAAAAGGTCGCACAGTGGTGACGTTACCACTGACGGGGTCAATGTTGAACAGGTCCTTCCCACTACCTTCAGTGATTGCATAAGTCAGCTGACCATATTCACCGGTGTCCTTATCAATTGCATGGGCCTGAAATACAGGAGTACCAGCTGGTTGGTTCTCGGCCACGCGTTCCAAATACATCATGAATGGGAAGTATGGGACGTTATCGTTGTAATCGGTGATTTCAATGTTTACCGGCACAATAGCATGTAGTGGGTTATCACCACTGCGATCGGTAGCCCGTACTGACATCCTGACCTCAGGTACTGTGTCATAATCCAGACTGCCTTTAACAGTAATCAAACCGGTAGTCACATCAATAGTAAACATATCCATCTCATTACCTGATTTGATATCAAACTGAATCTCCGCATTCCGTCCGATATCAAGGTCGCTTGCAAACACCTGTACAACACTAGTGTTAGTTGTTGCGTTTTCCTGGACAGTCCCAAAATAATGCGTCTGGTTGAATCTCGGTGCGTGGTCATTAACATCCAAAACCTCAATGACAACCTCAGCCGTTGAGTTACGTTGAGGTAGTCCACGATCTGTAGCTGCAACTATCAGGGTATACGTGTCAACGAGTTCACGATCCAGGCTATCAAATACATTAATGTCTCCACTGTCGGCTTTGATCTCAAATTTCCCATCCTCGTTACCGCTGATAATGCTGTAGTCAATCTTCCGATTATGATAAGATGGGTCTTCATCTTCAGCAGTTACCGTGGTAACCAATGAACCAATGGCTTTGTCTTCATCGACAAACGCAGAGTAGATATCTTGTTGGAAGGCAGGAGCATTGTTGTTGACGTCTAAGACCTGGACTCGGACAGCAACAACACTGGATAGGGGTGGGTTGCCATGGTCAGTTGCCGTGACGACAAGCTGAATGATGGGCTGGGCTGGATTAAAGTTGATTGTCTGGTTGGTTGTTATAGCACCTGTCAAATACAAAACGACATAGATTGTAATATCGCATGCATGGTCAATAGTAGGGGTTAGGGAAATTTCAGTTTAGTAACGGCTGATTTGTAGCAACTACATAGATGTCCTCATCAATGTTACCTCTGCCTCTCTCTACATGTTCTGTTTATCGTTGGACTTCCTTGCCCAGTTGCTGTTTCCCTCCATTCTATGATCTAGCCTCTTTGAAGAGAAATATAAATTCCTACCTCCAGCTTTCCTGATTATTATTATTTTTAATCACATTTTTCTTCTTTCTGGCCCTTGCTGCACCCTCCCCCCCCCCCCCCCCCACCAAGAGTGGCTTTTATAGCCTTGCTTGCTTGGACAGATTTTCCTTAAAATGTACATATCATGATTATAATAGCCCATGGCTTCATTGCCTTCATTCAAGAACCACTATAATCTGAGTTATTCCACGAGCGCCAGTTAAACACGGAACAATGTAGTGTGTCTCGGCCGTGGGACACAGACGCACTACATTTTCCGTGTTCCACGAGTGAGAGTGGGATAACAAAGTTATCTTCAAGCAAACTTGATGCGCAGTAAAAAATAGAACATGCACGTTGTACATAAACCTTTCAGTGATAACCTATTACACGGGTGTACAGTAGAAATGGTGTACGTCTTGGAATAGAACGATACGCTGAGTGCGAAATGCACCATGGTATAAGGTATTTATAGTTATCCCACGAGCGTGGGATAACTAGTGTAGTGTGTCTGTGTTCCACATAGAGTGGTATATGGGACACAGACGCACTACATTTTCTGTGTTCCACAAACGCGAGCGTGATAAGGGATTTATCTTCAAGTAAAATTGATGCACAGTAAAGATGGAACTAGCCCGTTTTACACGAACCTTTAAGCGGTTTAATAGTACATGCAGGTGGAATGTTGCTTGCATCTTGGAATAGCGCTATACGCGGAGTGCGATATGGACCGTGCCATACAGTGTAATATCACACTGTTGTTGCCATGAATGGACCAATCAGGATCAAGGATTCAAGTTTGCTTGAAGATAGACTCTTGTGTATTGTAATCCTTGCAATGGTCAGTCTATGTAATACACACCTGTTACTGAATCAATGACAAATCCCTGTACAGGTGCTACACCCATGCTGTAGACAATGTGAGCATTGTTGTCAATATCAGCGTCTGTTGCATTGACTGTCAGGACGTGATAACCAGATGGGGTCAACTCAGACAATGCCACCTACAAATGCAAAAATAACAACCATTTAACATTCATCACTTACAATTTGATCCAAGACAGAGCTATCATTAAATTACTACATGTGTCTTCTCCAGATGGTTTAATCTAACTGTGCTACTCATAACCTCGAAGTTTAGATCATAGTGATAACAACTTTACAACTCTTTGAGGCATCCTTATGACACAACCTAACACAAGCAACCATGAATTCAATATAATAAACGTGCCCTCACTTGACTGTATGAGTACATGTTAGTAACACACTGCCTCGACACACTACAATAGAACTTCACTTTGAAAACACAGTGGGGTACACAAATGATTATTTGGTTTAGCCATTCGTTATAGAGATTTTCCACTGACATTACTCTGTGTGATTGCCCACAAAATTATAGCAGTGTACATCATTGACGTGTAATGCAACATGATAGGAAATAATTCCACACCCACCTGATAGGACTGCTGGCTGAACTGTGGCTCATTATCATTCTCATCTCTAACCCTTACAACCAGCGTGACGTCATCCGTGTACACAGTGTCCGATGCCTGTACTTCAAGACTATAAATATCCTGCGTCTCACGATCTAATGTCTCGGCTAGTGTAATGCTGCCACTGAATGGATCAATGGCAAACTTGTTGCCTGGGTTACCAGTAGGTGTGAAGTGATAGGTGATAGTTGGATTGGTGTCTCCATCGTTAGCAGTCAATGTTATCAGAGGGTAACCAACTTCAGCACCTAGGCAAACAAGACAATCAAAATTTGTTGCGATTACCAAATGTAAAATCATAGACAAGTTATCAAGTGATAAACTTTTGCAGTTTTTTTCCCAGATTGTCACAAAATTATGGATTTAACTTTGAAAGCATCAGTTCTAAGTGTGTTTAAAAGTTATGCCAGATGGAGAGAAACAGGTTTTAGGCGGCAAACAAAACATAGTAATGAAGGACAGATGCAAACATGAAACAAACACTCCATAGTTTGTACAACCCAAAAATAAATAAATGGAGCCAAACAAAGAAAACGTAGTTATTGAATAATTTATTTTCAACTATTAAAGCTTGTACATACCTTCACTGATGACCAGCGGGTTGAATGGTGGGAAGCGAGGCCTGTTGTCATTAATATCCACAATGGTGATCTTCAATGTAGCCAATCCTGTCAGCTGTGAGCTACCGCTGTCTCTGGCCGCTAACGTCAACTTGTAAGCATCTCTGATTTCACGGTCTAGTTCAATATTGGTCGTCACAATACCGGTGATTGGATCAAGGTTGAAGGAGTTGTCAAAGTTCCCACTTCGGATGGAATAGGTGATCTGACCGTTGGTACCCTGGTCTGCATCATTGGCAGACACCTATCAATACAAAACAGAGATCAGTCACATCATGTAGCTAAGCAACGGTATCATATATTTTTTACAAAGCTGTTGTCACATTTGTTACGGATATAAGACACTGTCAACAAGGTGAAACAATGAAAACCAAAGTTTTGGCCTCTGCATACTGCACACGTTTGATAATTGTTCCAGAATTATAAGCAACTTGGCACAGTTGAGCTCCTGAAAAAAGAACTTCACTCCGTTTGCTAACAGTTGTACCTCTTTGTTTGTCTGTTATCTTGCCATGGCTTTGATCTCCTGCTTCAGCTGCATCAGATATGACAGACTTAATGAATCATTTGAAGGACTGCAACTCACCTGAATGACGTAGATTCCACTGGATTGTCCCTCCCAAACTGACGTTGTGTATTTATCCTGGACAAAGCGTGGAGCATTATCATTAGCATCCAGTAGATTCAGTTGGACCGTCGCGTAACCGTACAATGGTACTGCACCAATAGAGGGCGCTTCAGCCTGCACAACCAATCGTACCTGCTGAGTTGTCTCGTAGTCAAGGGAGGTAGAATCCAGGACTGACAGAACGGCAGAGTCTGGTGATTCAAACAATGAAATTAAGCGTCAAATTAATAAAAAGTGGCGAGTCCATCGGGTGCATGATAGAACTGTTATTTGTCGAGTGTTTTCACTGGTTTAAATGCTGAGATAAAAAAATCCAGCAAATGAGGTATTCGTGTGTACATTTGGGCTAAGATCTAACATCCGCGCTACAAGGATGGCAAGCACTGGATAAAAAGTTTGTAAAAGTTTTCACACTTGCCTTCTATCACAACTAAATGTTGGGTTATAAAAGCTGCTTTGTGAATAGTGTTCAATTGACAACGCACCTGATTGGCCAGTAATCTTAAATGCTGCATCATCATTGCCGCTGATGATTGAGTACGTGACTTGTCCTGATGGATTGCCATCACTCCGGACAGCTTTCAAGATCAGGATCTGAGTATCAGCTGATTCATCCTCAAGAACTGATGCAGAATACTCAGAAGACAGGAAGTCTAGTCTAACAGCTGCTGCATTGCCAACGTGAACCTCCACCAGACCTTTAGGGTAAAAAAACAATCGACAGATAATGAAATTATTGATACAAGAATTGAGTCTCAATAGATCCAATAGATCAAAACATTACGATTGTGATTGACAAGATAATGTTGACACTACAGGGTGAGTAAAAAAAAACGAAACCCAAATGTTGGGACTATTGTTTTAGTGAAGTTCTGCATGTACCATTTTCAAAATCTAGGATATGAAAGCCCAATTCGTAAGCTTTCTTTTAGTACAAGAATCATTCAAATCACTCATGTACTTTTCAAGTTACGGAATTTTAAATACAACCACCGTTTTAAGGTTCTGTCCACAGATCACAAAAAAAGTTGAGTGTTCTTTCACCAAAACAAAAACAAATCACATAAGGATGTTTGTGAATTGTTTTCGTTTTGCTGAAAGAACGCACAAGAAAGCTTATGAATTGGGCTTTCATATCCTAGATTTTGAAAGTGCTACATGCAGAACTTCAATGAACCAATAGTCCCGACATTTGGGTTTCGTTTTTTTTATTACTCACCCTGTATTTCATATCAATTATGACCGTAAAACAGGTGCAACCTGTTAAACCCAGTCTACATGCAAAGGTCAATAAGACGAAAGGAAATGAACATTTCAGACACGGTCCCCTGGTTAATTTTCTCCTTACCTCTTGTTGACAATGAGGGTGTTCCCAGATCGTATGCTTCAACTTCCAATCTATAAAGGGCCTCTGTATTCATGACGACTGATGTGAGAATCATACCGGTGGTAGCATCAAGGGTGAACTCAGCAGAGGTTTGAGCAAATCTGAGGGAAAAAGGCATTGAGTGCATTCCAATTTATGAATGAAGCTTCATACTGGATTGGACCTACTGAACATTTTGTGGCATTTTCAACTCAGCTATCAGTAGTTTAGTTTCAATAGACTCACGTTTCGGACTCAAAATTTTCAAAGACTTCCTTATTTCCTTCGAACAGCTTCATAAATGAGTGTAAGACACTTACATGTTTTCCGTTTTTAAAAACCCTTGACTCATTGCCAAAAAGCACTTATAATATAATAGACATCAACTGTTATTCTACTTTACAAGTACTAATAACTGTATTTATATAGCGCCTTTTTCCAGAGGATACAAAGCGCTGGGGGAGAATGCAACCAAAGACAGGTAAATGAAGTATATGAACATATGAGACCCATTATGTAGCACCTTTTTGCTAGGTGCTGCGGCGCATAATTGCTGCCACAGCCAGAAACACCGGGGCAAACCCCTTCTCTTAGCGACAAGTGTTGCTGGGTTCTTTAACGTGCATTACACAACACACGGGACCTACGGCTTTACTTTCCATCCGAAGGACAAAGCAATAATGGTAAAGTGCCTTGCTCAAGAGCACAAGCACCATGTTCCCATGGTCAGGATTCAAACCCATGTACCACGGCACACGAGTCCAACACCGTAACCATTGGACCACAGTGCCCCACTTTGAACCAGGGTTGCTCCTAATTGTATTACAGTCTCATCAACATGTGTCATAGTACTCAGTAACATAAACCGTGTCTGTAATTTCATATTTCACTGTCACTAAATACAACCATTTTTCCATCAAGGGTCCCCTGCCTTCCAGACTTAATTAGTTTTTAGTTACATATCATAATACACATATTATTAACAATTCTAATACCATAATTAACATGCAAGAACAATATTCATATAAAGTCATCTTTTACAACTTTCACATTGAGATTATAAACAAGGAGGATTTCCAACTCACCGATAGTTGACTTCTCTGTTGACACCCGAGTCTTTATCCTCTGCGACAACCCTCGTCACATAAGCTCCAGACAGCGCCCCCAAGGACAAGTTAGCTCTGAATGGAACCATGGTGAACACCGGTGCGTTGTCGTTCACGTCAGTGATGTCTACGATTACTTGGACTTTCTCTGAGCGTGGTCCAAAACTACCTCCATCGGTCGCACAGACTTGGAAGATGTACTGTGATTCCTTCTCAAAGTCAAACAGCCTACAAAGAGATCAACAGGTGTTTTCTCATTTAATACTTTGAAGGTCTGCATCACTTAAGTATAATGCAATACTAGCAAGCACAAGCAGCTAAGAGCACGATTCTTGCAGATATCTTACCCAGTTGTAGTGAGTTGACCAGTGTTGACATCAATACCAAACAGACCCAGCGTAGAGTTATCCAGAGAATACTGCACCATGGCATTAGTCCCTTCATCTGCATCAACTGCTTCAACTGTCATCAATGACACACCAATGCCAGTATCCTCAGCCAATTGGTAATGATACGATGGCATCAGGAAGACCGGGTCATTGTCGTTGTCATCTAGAACATTGACAGTGACCACAGATTCTCCAGATCGAGGCCCGGCACCATGGTCAGTGGCACGGACTGTCAGGTTGTATTGTGGGGTCACCTCGCGGTCAAGTGGGCCGGTAGTGGATAGCTGACCAGTTATAGAGTCCAGTACAAACAGGCCATCTATGTTGCCATCTGGGGAAAAAGTTAACATGTAGTTAGAATAAGGATAAAATACTTGTTAATTTTCTGGCATGCTTTGTGACAGTCTGAACAATAGAGAAACAATGATAATTTAGTCCAAATACCGCCTCAATTTTCAACTCAGATAGTGAGTCAGAACACAGCCAGCGTATCGATCTCCTTATGGCTTTTGATGAGGGTTCATCTCTTTATGAATATTCATAAGTTCCCAAAGGCATTGTCTTCCTCTGTCTGCTTACTAATTACTTACCAATGATAGAGTAAGTCAGGTTGCTATTCACACCGATATCTTTATCCTCAGCAACGACAACGTGAACATCACTGGCTGGCTCATTCTCTGGGATGCTGAGCTCATAACGACTTGTTGCAAAGGTTGGATCATGATCATTGGTGTCCTGGACATAGACAATGACTGAAGCGACATCGTAGCGTGCAGGGAAGGCACCATCCCGAGCATACACTGAGTTAGAGAATAAAAAAGCAATAAATATACATGTACTCTTATTTCCAAACAACAGGTTTCACCATAAATGAAAATTCAGATTTTTCATAAATTCTTTCAAGTTTTCAACTTTCAGATGTTGCTTTTTGGCACGAAATCTTTAAATACAATTCAACGAAAAAACACCATTATTTTTTTCCAAGAACAAAGTTTACGTGCAAGGCATTTCATTTTTGGGAACTGTCTATGAGTGAAATTGCAAAGCAAGTTTTACTGCTTGTATTGGAGACTACACTGACCTGTAATACTATAGGAATCCTTAGCCTCTCTATCCAGCCTGCCATTGGTGACAATAACTCCTGTTGAAGCATCCACTGTAAACATATCCTCAGCAATACCATAGGGAATCTCAAACGTGATCTCTCCATTTGTGCCTGCAAGAAAAAAGACAGAAATAAGACAATTGAAAGAAAAGTTATACCTGGGTGGATTTAACAATCCAATTATTCACTGAAAATATTGTCAGGTCAAGCAAAATCCTTTCTTGAGACTGTAAGCCATTTGTGTTCCCTCTATTAGGAGATTTTGCATCACCCGTGTTCAATTCCTCCTTCCAAAGTTCAAATTCTCCATACCTGTGTCTCCATCCTCTGCTACCACCGTTCCGACATACGTAGCTCTGTCTAGGTTCTCAAACACATTCATGACGTAGGATGACGGGTCAAAGTGTGGTGGTAAGTCATTCACGTCTTCCACACGTATCTCTAGTGTCTGCCAGCTGCTGAGGGACGGTAGGCCATGGTCGGTGGCCGTAATGTTCAAGACGTACAGTCTCTCATGCTCATGGTCAAGCGAATGAGCAATTGATAACAAACCTGGGAATGATACAAGAGTTAATGGTGTTGTGGCTTACATGCTGAATACAATGGTGTCTGGAGGTAATAGCAACGCCTATTGATACAACCTGTGAATTTACACAACATGAGACCTCTATGAGAGATTAGCTAACATTTTGAAGCCTTTCCAAGTATAAAGACATCTGTCCATGAAGCAATGATTTATGAAATACTCACCTGTGATGGATTCAATGGCAAACTTTCCTTCCTCATTTCCAGATTTGATCTCGTAGACCAATCGCGCATTCTCCCCGAGATCTGCATCACTGGCATGGATGTGAAGGATTGGATACCCTACTGGTTCATCCTCATTAATATGCGTGAAGACACGTGACAGAAAGACGGGAGAATTGTCGTTCCTGTCCTCAACTAAGATACTAACTGTGACTGTACTTGACTTGCGATCAGATACAACGGTAGCCTGATCTTCAGCTTGTACGACAAACAAAAACCGTGGAATGGACTCCCTGTCAATCTCTGCAATTGTTGTCAGGGCACCAGTTATCTCATCAACGGTAAACGTTGACTGCGGAGTTAGGATGCTATACCGAATGTCACTGTTGGTACCGGAGTCAGCATCAGTTGCAAGAAATGTCCAGACCAAATGACCGACAGCCACATTCTCACTCAGACTGAATTGAATAGGGTCATTGGCAAAGACAGGTGTATTATCATTCATGTCTAAGACATTAATGTTCACAGTGACTGTTGTCGTCTGCGGATGTACAGGTCCATTATCTTCAAGAAGAACTGTTAACTGATAATGGCTGCTCAACTCAAAATCAACCTCCCTAGTGTTGATGATAACTCCCGTGGTTCGATTGATGCCGAATGTTCCATAGTCATTACCATTGATGATGCTATAGAAGATCTTGCCATTATCCCCAGCATCTTGGTCATGGGCTCTGACTTGACCGACAGTGGACCCTGGTTCAATGTTCTCCTCAATGGTAAATGTGTATGCTGCCCTCTCAGCGACCGGCATGTGATCATTGATGTCTTGGATGCGTACGGTGACCTGTATGCTTGATTGGAGGGATGGAGTGCCGTTATCTTGAGCTGTGACATTGATAATGTACATCTGACTCCTCTCTCTGTCTAAGGTGCTCTGAGTGGTGATCAGGCCAGTGGAAGGATCCAGGTTGAAATGTTCACCACCTGAAAAGAATTGAAAATTGAATGAAGGTCTTAACTTATATCTGAGGTTCAATTTCATTTCTTTGAGCATAATAATGCCAATACACGCATCATTTGGAACATCAACAATATTTCACTCAACTTGCTTGTTTGCTTTTTCAATGATTCTTCAATTTTAAAAACTTATCGTTCTTTAAATTAAGCTCCTTTTCTTCCTGCTATTTTGATTTCGATTATGAGCAATTTAAAGCCAGTATTTGTATAATGGATGTATACTTTTTAAAAAAACTTACCACTTGCAAATGAATACGTTATTGTTCCATTTTCGCCACTATCTGGATCAAACGCAATCACTTTAGCAACAAATTCTCCCGGCATTTGTTCTTCCATGATGGATGCATGGTACTGAGACTGTCTGACGAACGTTGGTGTGTTGTCATTCAAGTCATTCACACCAACATGTACAGTAGCCACAGCCATGTTGGGTGGCTCTCCATGATCCATAGCCGTAACCTTCAGGTCATAGCTGGCTGTATTCTCACGATCTAAGCTTTGGGTTGTGCTTATGACTCCTATCACATGAAGAAAAGGAAATCAAAATTGTTTTAAACCCAATAATATGATAGAAATTCCATGAACAATATGCAAAATTGAAACAAATCCCTCAAAAAGATAAATTGATGAGGTTTCTTTCTTATATATATAGTTTTCAAGTGTTCCTACCTGTTGAAGGATCAATCCTAAATGCACTATTTCCTTCCAATGTGTACGTAATTTGAGCATTCATCCCAGAATCTCTATCCTCAGCTATCACACGTCCTGCTTCGGAGTTAGCCTCACGATTCTCATCAATGTAGAAGTAATATGTAGTCTGTGCAAACTGTGGTGAGTTATCATTCATGTCTGTGACACGGATGCGTACTATAGCTGAACTGTTCTGGGCAGGGCTTCCGTTGTCTGAAGCGATGACCTCAAGTATGAACTCTGACCTGAGTTCATAATCCAAGCGTTGCCGTGTGTATAGCCATCCATCGTCAGGGAAGATAGCAAAGTAAGTTGCATCTATGCTGGCTTTGAGGCTGTATGTGATGCGTGCATTGATTCCATGATCCTCATCTGTTGCCATGACTTGTACAACTCGCGTGCTGATTGGTGTTGCCTCGGAGACATCCATCTGGTATGTGGCAGGGTTGAATTGTGGGCCATTATCGTTGACATCTTGCACCAGCACAGTCAGAGTCAAGTTACCTTTCTTCGATGGACTTCCACGGTCATAAGCCTGGATAATGATTTCATATGAACTCTGATCATTGTAGCTGATCACACTCTCAAGGAGAACCTGTCCCGTCACCCGATGAACAGAAAACTTGTTGTCTGGATTCTGAACCAATTTATATCGCAGTGTCCCAAAGTTACCACTGTCTCGATCTGTTGCCATAGCAATGAAGACAGTGCTTCCAACTGCTGTACTCTCTGGGACAACTACAACCTCTCTGTTGCTAGGGAACTGTGGAGTATTATCATTCTCATCTATAATGGTGACATTGACATGAGTGAGTCCGTAGAGAGGAGGGGAACCACTGGCTGCTTGAACCGTCAGGATGAGGTAGGGGTAGAGCTCATAGTCAGGAGGGGAATTGATGGACAGCTCAGCAGTGGCTGGATTCAAGCTGAAGTAGCCTTGTGGATCACCGGAGTAAATGGAGTAGGATATCACTGCCAAGTTAGCTGTGGAAAAGAACAGTTCAAAAGACACTTGATAAGATTGGTTTATTAGAATGTGCATTCTGGGGTTTCAAATTATTGTCAATGGATCCCAAGAGATGAGAATGAATGTACAGTTTATCCTCATTCCATGCATTGTATTCATCACTTATAATGATGACACTGAGTCACATAATTTATTAGTTACGTAATTCAGACTCACTGACAATCCAGACTTTCAATGCCTGTCTCAAACATGCCTTCTGTGAATCTTCTATCCTCTATGTATCGTCTTTGTAACAAGTTCACTTACTTGGATCTAGATTTTCCGCATAGACTGAACCGAGAACATGAAACCGTTGCGTATTCTCCCTGACAGTAAAGCTGTAATGTGATTGGTTGAACACCGGAGGGGAGTCGTCAGGACCTACTACGCTGATCCTGATCTGGGCATTCTCAAGGGATGATTGGCCCCCACCATCAGTTGCTGATATCTCCAAGGAATGCATAGACTGTTGGTAACGACTCAGGGCACCAGTGAGGGTAACTACACCTGCAGGGAAAAAAAATGGAGATTGGATATTTATGAATTAATGAATAAACTCAACAATGGCACGTTGAGATAGCTCAAAGAATGCAAGGATCTGTTACTAGTTCAGAGTTCAATACTTGAAAAAAATCTTAGGGAGTGACACTTTTGGCAGTGACAAGTGTACTGATAAAAGCACTTTAGAATATGTGAGGATGCATACTTGTTTTAGGTACAGAGACCTGATGAATGCAAATGATCAACTTTGAAATTAGGTACATGTCTTCATACATTTTGTGACAATTTTTAAAGATAACTACACTCACTTTCTCTTTGTGGTTAAATATTTGATGACATTTGGTAATTCACAATGTTTGTTTAACAAACATAACTCAATTTTACTGCTGAAAAAGAATAAACCACCACCTACCAACAGAGATGATGGCAAACTTGAACTTACCATCAGCAATAGTGAATATTCCTTGCTCATTGCCGGATACTATGGAATAGGTTACTCTGCCAAAAGTCCCTGAATCTTGATCCATGGCAGACACCGTAGTGATGACTGTCCCTTCAATGCTACTCTCATCAACATCAACTGTAACAGAAGTAGATTTTATAAATAGGTAAGGTTCTCTAATATACGGCTGTGCAGTCACTTCACACAACTATCCAGCCACCAAACACTATGCTTGAGGATCCTGTGAATGTGTAAGAAATCCAGCGACCACAAATTTCTATTTTTTTCAAATACAACGCTGGGCCACTGTTGTTCCAAATATTTAAGGTTGTTCAGAATGACCCATTCAACAACATTTACCACAGCTAAGTTCACTGGCTAGGCATACTTGAGTCAATGAGTGATGCTGTGTAATTATTGAATGGCGATTTTATTGCATTACGGGCTAAAACAAAATAATTGTATTTGTAATTAATTTTGTGCTTTATATATGAGCCCCAAAAGGGCTAGCAGTAACTACATGTATCTGTAGGATTTATTGGTGTAGCATCTCAGTAACATCATGGATGAAAGTGTTCCATAAGATCAATGATCACATTCTCACCTGCATAAGTTGTTGGATAAAACAGTGGTCTGTTATCGTTCACATCCAGCAGAGTAATCTTGACCAGGGCGATGCTATTCAAGCCCCCACCGTCCATTGCCTGTACAGGGAATTCATATGACGTTGTGCCTCTATCCCGATCTAGCTGTGTGGCTGTACAGATGTAGCCATCGTCATTACGGATGTAGAATTCTGGAGGTGGTTGAGAGCCATAACCCAGACTGAGGGAATAGGTGACATGGCCAAAGTCACCAGAATCAGGGTCTTCAGCTTGGACCTGTGTCAGAAGAAAAGAGATCAATGCAATATTGTTTAGTTTGTTAAATGCAATATAATCATCTTTAGACATTCCCTGGAGGTCCAATTTAATAATAAAGTGTGGAGGTTGCTGAGAAGTGAATCTGACTGCTAAAACAACAAGTTTTCTTGCCCGCACCAACAAGTTCCTACAGACTTTCTAATGGTTAGGAGCTCAATGGGTTAAGAACTTGTGTTACTTTTACCGACTATAAAGTTTCTTTCATAAATACCTAGGACAGTTTGAACATTCCTATTGCCAAAAGCTCATCACCTGGGTGGTTTAAAACTGCCTGTGAACTGTTCCAGCACACTAATTATACCCTTAGTAAAGGTTTTATAACATCACAGAACTGCGCATCTATCCCTTACAGCATATTCCCTTGAATATCATATGTTTTGGTGGTGAGGGGTTTCTATGACACAGTAAGATCTCCTCTTTGAGTTTCTCTTTTTATATTTTTACAAATCTTTGACAACACAAACTTGTGAAGTCCTTCAAAATTACATGTGGTTTCCTGTTTTGGATGAAGTCTTCTTTGTTTCTGACCCATTTCATCATACAGTTGGAGATTCCCAATAGCCCCAACCGACCAATGAGATTATCTATTCCCAGTAAAACCGCTAGTCTTGTATACAAATCTATACATAAAAGCACCTTGCCTGTCAGCGTGCTGGTTTCCTATTCAATGTGTTTGCTATACACTGTACAATGTTATGTAAGAATGGCCATGCCACAATAAACACTCCCTATTGTTGAACTATTGATCGCTTCTTACTGTCGCAACTGGTTTACGATACGTAGATCACACTATACTATATCACAGCATTTATTGGATATTCTTAATCTATTTGAAGTTGCAAAATTAGTTTTCTTTATTTCAACATTATTTTGGCAAAGGACAGAATTTCTCTATAAAAAAACCAAACACTCATAAAAAATTCAGAATGACACTCATGATTAAATTTTTATGATTATATTTTCTTAAAAAAACCCTGACAACTCATCTTTTTTTATCCCATTTATACCATGTCTCAATAAAGTGAATTTACAGTATGAAGAACAGTCAAGCAATGCATGGTATACAGCAATACATATCAGCGAATAGTGTGCATTTACACTGTATCTGCCCTCCATTGATCACTCTTCAAATTCTCCCTAGTACCCATGGAATGCAGTTGTACAACCAATCTAGCAACAGTAGTCCTAGTGTGTGAGTGCTGATACATTTACACACAAAAATCTTACGCAGCACACACTTTGGGAAAAACACAACAGCGAAAAATTTGGGCCAATTAGGCAAATGAAAAGTATATGAACATAGGAAAAGAATGTTGACAAAAAGAAGTAGAACTGTTCAATATATTTAATTGCATACTATTTAAATGGTCTTTGATTTATGAAATTTAAGTGTCAAGGAAAATCAGTAAACTACATGTTACATGTTCGGTATATGTGTGTGTGCAAAAATCTCTTTTTTAATCACCATTTTTTTTTTGGAAAAGTGTACTTTACAAAAATACAATGTATACATTTGTACATTCAACGTGAATGGTGTTTGGAAATGGATGGATTTGGGTCAGTGACAAAGGGAAATCTAGGTCATAAAAGAAAAATACAATAGAAATCCCCTGGGGAAAAAAAAGACAAGCAAAGAATGCTCACATTTTTAACGAATTTATCAAGGCAGGAAAATCTTTGACCCCCCGAAAAATAGTTCAACTTCATTTTAATTGAACTGTAGAATGGGTCAATAGTTTGTTTTCTACTCAGGTTCTGTGATTTCACAGCTTTAAGAAAACCCAAGGCACGTAAGTATTTACCATGTGTGAAATTATCACAGAAATAGCTGAAAGGCATAACCTAGCCCCACAAGAAAAATATATCAGGACTTTGCGGTCTATTCTTCATACTTGCACAACAACATCCCAACACCCAGCCTTTCAACAAAAAGTCTTACTTTAAGATTAAGAAAAACCACCTGGCCATGAAAGCCGACCATTTTTCATTTTTATTAATAACTTGGGGGGCACCGGCGAAACAACAAAAGAATGAAAATAAAAGGGAGGTTGATTAAGACCTAGGGATATTATGATAAGCATGGACTGAACACTGTGTATGGGGTAATGAACCACTGCTACAAGTTCAACAGTCTGTATTCCAGGGGGAGTTTAGAAATAAGTGCATTGGCAAGGGCATTGACTTGTGCAAGATTTCAGCTTTGTTCAGCGTGCTGATCAGGTTTTTTAAGATTAATTTAGTTAGCTCAAACAGTGCCTCAGTTCAACAAGAAGTCTGTACTTTTTAAGGATATTTATTATCCAGATAAAACAAAAAATGAAAATGACCAAAGTCTAATTTTAGGTTTAGAGAGACAGATCCAGCACCAAATATTCCCCTGACTCTAGGAAGGTGACCAAAGACATGGTTTAGCCTTCTGATGTTAGGCGCCATGCATTCAAATAAATGCCCTCTGCATTATCAGTTAGACAACAATGAATAAGCCAATGCATTGGCCATTCCTAAAAGGTGTACTTGTTACTAACTACAAAACCCAGTAGTTAACAGTAAGTAGCATTGCCTGTTTGTGCCGGTTGTTACATCCACAGTTATCTGTATCTTTCTTTTTGATAAATCACTTCGCCTTTGTCTAGGAACACCACAAAGTGAATCATTAACATAGTATGTGCACGAGGTGCCACCAATTGTATGCAGTTTTGAAGAAAAATACTTTGCCGTTGTCCGGATACCTACATAGGGTGAGGCAAACACGTTCGTAAACGAGTAGACATAAGGTATAATAACAACACTGGGATGAGTTCAACTGTACTTTGTACTGTGTTGAGTTTCGACAAGGGATTTATTTAGAATTTTATTTTTGTATATAAAAGTTGTGGTAAACAAAGTACGTTTTGTCTCACTATTTCATTTTTGTCATTTTTTTCACTGGAATATTTTTTACTTCTTTCTGGCAAAATACCGTACCTTGAGAAAACCTGAAGGAAGTTAAAGGAAATGTTGCCAGACTGGCAAACATTTTCCCTTTTTGCAGTGTTACTATCAAAGCTGAAGTCCCACCTAAGGCTAGGTATGATTCACTTGCATTCCCTCGCTGGGAATATGTCCCTTTTGGTGTTTTTATTTCTGTCTGGATCTCAAGCTTATAAATAGAAACGTGTTAATCGCCTCGGCAGAACACTTTTGATTTGAACACTGGGCCATTGAAAAATTACCACATGCATGACTGATAATCCTGGCACTTTGGGACATGTGACTTTGCAGGTGTAATGCCAATGACATTTAACATTCAACTTTTTGAAATGTACATCATAGAAACAGCTTGATTCATATTTGCATTGTGTGATGCTTTACAGCAAATAACGGCACCTAAAGTTGTTATTATTTTCACAGCAATGAATCTGGCCTGAGGTGTAACGAACGGACTGAGGAAATTAGCTCGGAAAGTTTTATAAAGAGCTCGATTTGAAATCCACACATTGACAAAAACTGGAAATATCTGTACAGATTTGTCACTGAGGAAAGTCCAGTAAACCCCAACTTAATTCCAGATGCTGAATCAATGAGACAAGTTATTACAATTGTCTATTATGAAAGCTTGGACTGGAACACCAACTGCCAAAATGACACACTTACTGTTTGATGAAGTACATGTATGAACACGCTTGACAACTTAGAATGTGACCTTCCAGGTTATTTCCATCCAGAAAATCTTCACTTCAAAAGCAAATCCACCTTGCACCTTGATTTATTTATGTGTTTTTAACTTCTCCACTTCTCCTTAAATAACCTCAAGAGTTGTTGTCATGTACATGTACCACACAGCATACCAGTAAACCACATCTCTTTCCAAAACATATTTTGAGACACACAATACTAGATTGACTGTGAACATTCTGTACAGATTCAGATTCTGCACATACACACTGTATACGAAGCTGCTGGGTGACAGACATCCAGTAATTCTTATTCCAAATCCCTGTGATTATAAACCATCCTTGATTTTCAAAGCCTTCCCTGCCAATTTCCGGTTCTTCAAAATAGAATGATGTATACTTATGGGAAAGAACCCCTGCAATGTGAAGACCAAGACACCTTACCAATTAATCCCAATTCATCATTTTACCTTCTGGGAAATAACTCTATAACCACTTCAGTCTTCAGTCACTCTAATAAGTCTTGCAAGGATTCCCTGTCTGCCCATGACCTATGACCCCCGAGGCATTCTTTAGGACAAGGTCTGTTTAATATCACAGGAATGCCAATGACAGTATAAAGATATGCAGGAAAGGTGTGCTAACAAATAACCATTTCAGACACCTTGAGAATTGAAACTTCGTTTTTTAGGTCAGGATTTAAGTTCAGACCTCATCTGTCAAGTTGGTTGACTCAGGTGATTTATCTTGTCATTTTGTCAATTCCAACATATCTCTAAGAGTTTTAATAAAATCTAGGGATCAACACCCATTTTTCCTAATGTTAGCAATGCAAATCTCACCAATCTCAGTACTTAGAAAGCTTTCAAAACATCAGTTTGTCTCAATTTTTCTTACTAGATAAGATCTCTTCACCCTACATATTTATTATCATGTTTACTGATCTGCCAAAAAAATATGCATCAAATCCAAACAATGAGTAGGAAAAAGTTTCATTTTTACACCTACTCTGCAAGAAATTGCAACAAAACAAGAAATCATGGAACAGAATTACTTGTATGTATACAAATTGTTTAAATACGGTGGCCTTTCTTGTGGAGATATCCTTGATTGCCAGAAGCATTGACCAATAAATGAGGGCAATTTCAAAGTCCAGATCAACAGGTGTGAAATCTAATAATTGGAATATGACTAGCTCGGTAAGCAGCAATCAACCATGTATTCAATCGTAAGGTTAAAACTTAACCGTTTGGGTTCAAAACTAGGTGACATTATCCTTGAATGTATGTCTGTTTGTCACCAAAC